CTCCTACAATTCCATTTTTCAAAGTAGCCGATATCTCTTTTGATATTTTCTCACTCTCATTTATTTCATCTACAAAAACAACTGCTAACATCAACAAACTATTTTTGACAATTTAACGAAAATCTGTTTTAAAAGTAGAGCCCACGGTTTCCATTGCATTCGCTCTTACGTAATCGTTGATTCCTCAGAGAGCAGTTTGGGTTTCGTGGCCGGGTTAAGGCCAATTTTAAACTAACCTCAAGGTATTGGCGCCATCCTTATCCTTGCACACAATATATATGATTAACGGATATAACAAAGAACAAATTTATCACAATTATGCCCATGTTAGACCGAGGAGTGCGAAGCAACTTCTCGTACTTGGAACTGCGCATTGGAGTGGAAATAAATTGGTCCCTGCTACATAAAATCGTAAAAATCTTAGCTGGAGCTTTGAAAAACCCTGAAATACCTTCTTAAATATAACAAGCAACAAAACGCATTCCTAGGACATATCTTGCATATTTCTTCAACTATAGAATGGAAAAGTGTTTTATCTCAAGTACTTTGTTAGATCTCTAGGAATTCATGCCAGGATCACAAGCATTTGTTCCACCAACACTAACGAGTATCACATTGGCGTTATATCTGTCATGCGCTGAATAGCAAGAAATGTTAACCTTTGCTCTTTATGGTACTTAGTTCTCTTCTCTTTCGAAAACAACCGAAGTAAATGTAATTAATTAACTGTATTTTTTCCCACTGACAAATATTATCTTACAATCATCGACTCAGAGTTTTAAGTCAAGCAATTTTTGTCACTTGAGAATAGCTTTGAAGTACTTTCCATTTAGCAGCTTTATATATGTCAGTTGAATGGTCTTCTGAGGGTCTTATATTGGACATGGTGATATATTCACTTGGGACAAACGCTCGGTGGAGTTTCACTCCAATGAATCCTAACTTTCTTAGCGACACCTGATCGAAGTAATTTTTAATTCATAGCATTTTTGAGAATTACACAACAACAAAAAAATACTTTTTACCCAATCAGATCATGATCCGATATAATTACGGTATATCGCTTTTGAAGTCAAGCACGCCAAGTGCTTTGTCTGTGGTCATGCGCAGTGAAGGTCTAAGCGTAATATTTTCAAGTTGTAATCTTGATGAAGTGAGCCGAAAAATTTGTTGCATTGTCGGGAACGCCTGTGTTAGCCAGCGGTACTTCAATACACAATAACACTGACTAACCTTCCCATCGATCGTTCATTGTGCAAATGTCCTGAAGGAATTTCCTGAACTCGACTTGAATATAGATCTCCCTAACACAGTTCCAAAGTTCATGCCTAACATCACAAAATACAATATCATTTCGTGGCGAGGGAACGGTCAAATACAATCCTGTTGCCTTGACTTGAGGTGTTGAGTTCAGTTCTCCGAGTGCAAGGCGTCTTCACAAGATTTTGTGTCTCGGCATCCCGTATCAGGAACGAAAGGTAGGATTGATAGCGTATCGAATTATCATAATGGTTAAACATATTCTTCCTCAAACTTGCAGAAAACTGCCCGTATTAAGTCAGACTTTTGACTTTAAACTATAATACCGAGATCAAAGCAAAATTGATGCAAGCGAAACACTCGCCATTGCTAGATTCAATCGTAGTATTCCCAGTGATCACCGTGACTGCAATTCTTCGACCGATTGGGTAAAAATACTCCTTTTTTTCTTGTGTAACTGACTTTGCTGTCATGTGCTGTTGTAACTCAGTGTCAGGGCTAGTCGCCGTTCTACTTGTATAAGATTGAGATGGGAACTAACAATGGTTAATATCGATTTATGTGTAACAATGAAAAACAATCACTTTGGAAAGAAAACTTGACAGTGCTACACCCTTAAAACAGCAATTTTTATTTTGTAGTGTTTGTCAGAGCAACAGTGTTTACAATTTTTTCAAATATAAAATTCGACAAAACTATTTTCCCAGGTATTCGACAAATTATTGAATATCAATGTTTTTGCGAACGCAAAGGAAAATGAAACAGCTAAAATCTGTAACTCGCTGTTTTTGTGCATGAGGCTTGCAGTCATACCTATTACCGACTCGTAATTGTTTGTGTCCGTTTAGGTTATCCGTGACTTTTAGCAGGCCATTTAATCTGGATTGGTTCAGTTTTTGTGATCGGATAGGAAACATCTCGCGAAAATGCCAAGAATAGCACCATTACCCTATATCTGCTCCAAAGGTATATTAAATGTATACCCGAAATTTTTGAGCTGCAATATCATTTTCTTTTCTCTTTTTTTTCTTTTCTGGAATGTCTCGGCCGTGAAAAAATAGACATGCAAAGCTTAAAATAATTTTATTTGTGTTTGTTTGTCCTTTTTTATGAACATGTTTCTTGGTGCAGTAGGCACTTGCTATTTTACCTTTAAAACTGTAGTCTGCGCACAGTAGCATGATAAAGTGACAACTATACCTGAGCTTTCAATAGTTTCATGTTCAACTCGGTCGCCGTAAGAATAGATGTTTACAACAGCTACTAAAATGGCAAAGCGCATAATTCCTTCTTGGCTTTTTTCCTCACCAAAAGCAGCTTATAAATGCCTTTGTAAACAAATTAATTATTGGAATTTCTGAAGTGTGACTACAATCGTATTGCATTATAATTAGTTACTCATTAAGCAATAAGTCTTCCCTGCTGTTGAATATTGTTTGACTAAAGGTACTGAAAAAATGATTAGGTCTGACGTAATTTCCTCGCCAGGTGGTTTAAATAGCACATAAAGGATTACAATTTCTATTTATTTCCTCGTCTTTTGTTACATAATCCTTCACAAATCGAATTATATTTAGAAACTAAGGAAAATGTATCATGGCATCAATATCGCAATATTGCAGGATGTACTTCAGTAGAGTGTTGCTACGGTTACAGGAAGTCAACATTGCTCGCCGATTTGAGAAGTATGCCAAATACACAAAAAGTAATAAATCTTTGAAATCCGTTTTAGAAGTGTATTAATTTATTCGAAAGAGACATATGGAAAAAATCTTTTTTGTGGCGAACATCGCTGGCTGGCTGCTGAAAAGACGTTTTCTCGACTTGAAAGCCGATTTGTTGCGACACGTTTCTCTGTGATTTCAAAACTCTCTCATCTAACTGCAGTGTTCTTACTTGGCTAGATGCAGGACGAGGGCGATTCTTTCGACGGGAGGCGAAATTTAATGATAATACTTTTCAAATCGTGCCCTGCCTGATAAGATCGTCACTTGTCAGAAAACATTTGCGCGTAAACAGAAACACAAGCAGTGCATTGATACGCCAAGTTGATCCCAAAGTTGTAATTAAGGTACTGCTGGTGCTTGTGCATGTAGTTAATTTTCCATACTGAATTGTTCACCAATTGAAACAAGTACAAACTTAACTCAAATAATCAATGAACGAAGTTTCTGTGAGAGACATCACCTTTGTTTTTACGATTTCGCGAGTGTGTTTCTCAAGTCATTTTACCTTTACATGACTTTTACAAAAAAACGACTCCAGAACTGTTTTCACTTAATAATTGGTTAATATATTTCGTGCGATATAAGTTAAGAGAAGAACTGATGCGTAAGAGTTTCTCGAGGCGCATATTTTGATCATAAGTTTTTGTGTTATATTTGAACGTTAAAGCGGATCTGAATACGCTTTAAGCAACTCTAACTAATCTTTCGCGCTTTCCGATTTTTCCGTGTGCGCCAAATCCTAATAGACGCATGCTGACGTGCGAACCAATTGTTATATTAAACAGATCCGTGGTTGTTTCTAGGCAATAGTGCGCAGACTAAACAGGAAAATGATGTGGGTCTTGCAAAATCTATTTAGTTAAAATGTGTGCGCCCGTCGCTTCAAGGTATATTTGTTTAGGTCTGTGGTGTGGTGTTGGAACTCTATTACGCCCCGATCCTGGAGAGCATTTGATCAACGATCCCAACAAGATAAAAGCAGTCAGAGTACCTAATTTACTTTCGAGGTATTACACAGTTTAATTCAAAAAGTATTTTAAAATTTCCCGCATACAACTGCAAATAAGTCAAAAATCCTTCTCTTCCAATTTCCAGAAGTTAAAAGTCATCTTAAAACAATAGCAATCAGCTAAAAGATTTTAGCACAAACAACAGCCACACAAATTCTACACCTTATTTGAATTCGTGGCTGATCGCTGAGCTCTACTGCGACTCCGATGAATTTTCAAATTTCTTATCTCTCCATCTGATCAAAAGTCGCAAAGCAAGTAGAGAATTAAATATTAAAACACTGAAGTATAACGAAACAATTAGAACTAAGTGGAAAAAACTGTCTTCTAAAATATTTCTTTTACTTTTTTCTATTTCTTTTGTGAGAGAGTTTGGTTTTTATTTTTAAAACTTAATTGCATTTTATCAATGCTCCCCTGAAAAGAGAAATACAAATTAGATGGCTTTATTGACTGAGTTGTGTATTCAAATTGTCCACAGTAGAGAATTTGTATGGCTGACATTTCGAGTTTTAGCCATTCGCCGGGGCGAAAAGCTAGCCCTAGACATGTACCGACGCAGCACTACAACTTCTCCAGAAACTAACCCCTTCTCTCAAAGAATTTTCCTTCATTCCTCCCTGCTGCAATTTTGCATATCATTCGACCGTCTCTGTGGTAGGTCATCTTCTTGTATCGGTTCTATTATGTCAAAATTTTCACCTGCTGTTGTATTTTTTAATCGTACGCCATTTTCAAGTTTTTGTTGCGAATTTCCTTCATATTCGTGACGACTTATTAGTGAGCCGTCAATGAAAAGTTTTGTTTTATTTGAAAGCCGATATTTTTCCGCTTTTAACTGTCACGCAATCAAAAACAAAATCATACCTCAGATTAAATGCCTGCAGCGTAAAATAAGAGTCATTGTAGAATGTTGATGAAAAACACTATATATTACCACGGATGGTTGATCGTCACGAGTTGTATCCGTGCCAAGCGGAATGAAAGTTTGGATACGAAGTTATCCAGTTCGGATATGTTCTTTATTCGACGAAAGGTAAGGCTATATTAGTTCATAGCGGCACAATAATTCTTATAAAAGTCGGGATTGAATTCTCTTTATTAATGATCTAAATACATCGGCAGGAATGGTGCTTTTGGATGACTCTAGCCTTACTTTCTAGAAACATTGAAACACTTTCTGCTTGTCCTCGCTAACACGGTATTTACAGGCACGAAGTAGATCGATCATCCTTCTCTTGAAAGCGGAGGCGAGATCTTGCACAAAATGCTTGACTTTCTGAGGTATTTTTCTAAGCAGTAGTTTTGCCCTTGGATGAGTTAATTCTGTGTTATATTCTCGAAGCCGGCTTGAGTCGACGCGCTTCACTTCGTAAACACAAACAACGGCGAACTTTGCTTTTTCGGTCGGTTAGTAAAAGTTGAAGTCGTGATCACGACATCTCTATTCTGGAAAGGTTCTACTGAAAGCAACTGATTTATTAAACTTTGCTCGCTTTATGATGCTGCTGGGAATGTATTCTCAAACAACTAGAGCGGGAGAGATTTACCAAACTTTCACACTGCGTCAAAGCGGAACTTGATTTGCATAATCTCATGGTGTATTTGAAGCGTCAGACTTCGCTTTTTGAGCTTTTTGAGGGCTTATACACTTCAACAACGGTGATTTTGAAGGTCTGTAGCAGCCCCATCATCCCCTCTTCGGAAAGGTTTGAAAACGACGTTTTTACTCTGAAAAGGTTGCAACAGTTTTACGTTCATCCTTAGAAACAAGTAAAGTGTTTTTCATACTCCTTGAACACAGCGACATACTTGAGTGGTAGTGAACTGTGTCCACGGCCTTGTTTGCATTGAGAGTGTCGTGCTCCTAAAAAAATAAAAAAAAATAAAAGGAAAATTTAAAAAAGCGGTTTCGTTTGTGATTTTGTTGACCAGTCCATTCAAATTTAGAGAGGGTGTTAAGCTTAGAAAAGACTAGAGTGAAATAGCCTAGGGGCAAGCCAGTGATAAACGCTTTCAGTCATGCGTAGATGGATGTTCTTGAGCAACCTCGTTTATGGAGTCGCCGTTACGAAGAAATATTTCAATGGAAATTTGCTGAACACCGCTCGGAGGATCATTTTACATTAAATACCACCAATTTACTTAGTGAAGTACAGTTTTAGAATGTGCAGGCCGCCTCTTCAAGATTTTACCATATGGATCCTAATGAGTGACTATTCGTCGGTAGCATAGCGATCTTTGATTTGTTCGTCAATCACTGAATGGTCGGTCGAGAAAGCAAAGTAATAGCTTCCCCATGATAAGGTCCTTTCCACGTTGAGATGCTTAGTTATCACAGAAAGATATTAATCAGAATACTGATAGGCCTTTGTAAGAGCATTTTTTGAAAGTCTCTTGATAAGATGGCTTATCAAGTTACACTCTTCCGAGTTTCGCTTATTTTTTCCTTTGTCTGATTTAGGTTGATATGAGACGGTAATTTCAAAACCGTTTTACCGATTCGCCACTAATTTCGTTTGTTCTTTGGATATCTTGATCATGTCCTTGCTAGTACATGCATGTAAACATTTCGCTGCCCACTGTTACTGGAGCAGAAATTAAAGCAATACGGGTACCGGTTCAAAGTATCAGGCAAACTGTTTGTTATACAACTTTAATTCGAGAATATTGAGAGAAAGAAAATGCACGTGTTAACTGAAGACGAAAATTTCGCCCTCTTCGTCAAATATGACTGAAAACTCCGAGGAAAACGAGAGACTATTCGCCAACATGAACTAATAATTGAATACAAAATTTACATATCCGTTGAGGTAAAATAATTAGAGCAGAGATATCGTGAAAACATCATATCGTTGTCTAATGACTTTTAATTACGGTAAGTAGCGGAGAGAATTTTCCATTTTGTTATGGTAACACCACCAATCAAAAATGGGAGGTGAATTAACAAATGCCAAATAGAATTTTAAGTTGTTTTGCTTTGTTTTTGTTTTTGTTTTTTTACATTTACAAGAAAAACCATTTATGGACCAAAAGCGAAATGTTAATTAAGATCTTTTCAGTCTCGTTCAAGAGCTCGTAGGTTTTATCGTCACTTATTATATTAAATCATTTAAAATTGTTTTAATTGAACCAGGAGATGGAAAAATTTATCCAGCTAATGACTTGGCTGACCAAAAGAGTTCTCTGGTTCTCATTTCATGGACTAATCGACTGCGAAATGGGCGGGATTTCAATCGCGACAGGGGATTTGGAGTTTTCCGCGTTCCTCGCTCAGTGCAAACAAGAGTTTAAATAGTGTCTTCATGAGAAACCAAAGATTGGTTAAGCGTCTTTATCCACTTGAGTTGTTCCGTAGATATGAGAACTCTTTGATTTATTCGCAGTGAAAGTTTGTGCATAGGTAATTCAAACAACATCATGGATTATGGTCGTTTTTGAATAATTCTTCCTTCAGATAACCTTAAAATCCATGAAGCGATATTCGTTGTAAGTAAATATCGCGAAATATACCATGCACCTCTATGGCAATATCTCTCTTGAGCTATGTATTCTAGACAGACAGCGAAGAGCTAACACTTGATTTCTTCGTTCCATTTGCAGATGTTTCGTGGAATCATCAAGTACGTAGCTTTCTTTGGAGTACTCGTCGGAATAGCAATCATAACAAGAGTTTTGGAACAAGTTGTCGAAAAAGCTAGTCCTAAAGGTGAGCTACACATGTGCACAAACTCGAATACAACACCTTCGAAGTTGAATGCACCATGCGATTGTCAGTCAATTATTGGATACTCAATCTGTTTCAAGAATCCTCTGACTTTGCTCCCTTTTAGAATCTGAAAAATGATCCCATATTGCCGTCAATAAAAAAGAAAGGAACTGTAGTGGGTTCTAAGGTTCTCTTTGCCAATTTTCCTTCATTCAACGGAAATATTCAAAACTTTGCCGGACACTAGTGGTTATATGTGCCGTCTGATTCGAGATTATTCTAGCAAATGGATGAGCGCTGTGCGAGTTGACGAGGCTTTTCGAGGTGGAATAGAAGCAGGTCTAAGAGAAGAGCAATTGCCCATACTTTAATGTATAAATCACTCCTCGTGGTAATTCTGCCAAAAATTGAGGCTCGAAATGCCATTCGTAAAATTGCTTGTTTCACGCTCCTCTAAAAGCATGAGATAGTTATGGTGTGTCATTTTGCAGATACTTACAAACCTTTGCTCTTTATTTCATCACATCAACAACAACAACAGTGCTTGATTTCTCTGTTTTGTTCTTATTCATGTTGTTGTAATAACCCGTTCATTGCTGATGTGAACTCGATTGAAATATCCTGGGGAGAAGGGGAGGGCCTGCACAGCGGTAATGATTGATTTCAAAAGAGGCCATTCTTGAGGAACCCAAAGCTTCTTTGTGGAACAAGGAAAAAGTGTGGAACCGTTTAAAAGGGTTTGTTATCCCCATAGAAATAAGGCTAATTAGTGACGTGAAAAATTGTGCACTCGGCCTTAGGACATTTCCATTTACCTTTCAGCTCCTCAAACCAACGAGAACGATGACCAACTGGTTAGGAGAGATCTAACAAATACAGATTCACCATCTTCGCCTCCTAAAAATACAGCTCAAGCAAAATTAGAAATAACTGTCGAGCAGCCTAAAATCGGAGAAAAGAAAATTGTTAAGAAATTATCCCCGAAGACAATCGTTTACGCCGTAACACCAACGTATGCACGTTTCCTTCAAAAAGCTGAACTGACTCGCCTGTCACAAACTTTAAAACACGTCAAATATTTTCACTGGATAGTTGTAGAGGACTCATATCAAAAGACACCCCTCGTCACAAGATTTTTAGCTAATTCTGGTCTTAATTACACTCATCTAAATATACGAACCCCGGTAGAGTTGCGCCCATTAAAAAATAAACCACGATGGACTAAGGCCAGAGGAGTAGAACAAAGGAACATTGCAATTAAATGGTTACGTGATAACATAAACATCAATAAAACTAACGGTGTGGTCTACTTCGCCGATGATGATAATACCTACGACATCAAGCTATTTGAGGAGGTAAGGGCACAAATCATGCAGAGTAAATGTTTTATTCGAGAGAACTTGACAAGTCTTGGATAAAGATTGTGGTTGTCATTTACAATGACTGACTTTTCAAAAGCCAGAGCGCAAATGGTCACGTGAGTCAAAAGTTGACATTCCGCTCTAGATTGCCCCAAAGTCACTCATTGCAAATGACGACAGTCCTTTTTATGATTATTCTCTGCTGAAACCATTTACAGAAATAGTTTTTTTTTGGAAGCCGTTTGAAATAGGTCAAAAGTACCCCCTTATATAATAAACACAGCGGTTAAACGTTTACGCATGCGCAAACGTTGCAATAGCTAGGTGGTGCGCTTTCAGGCTGTCAGAAGCAAGTTGGGTAAAAGGAATCATAGGCAACCACACAAGCCAGTAAGCGCGTAACCCTTTTGATAAAGCTCAAAACAAAATAGAAAATAAACAGGATGCCCGTAATTAAATTAGCTTTGCGTTCGAAAAGTTTTTCCTTTCCATACTTTTGTTTCCTTTCACAGTGGTGTAGAGGTGTATGAACTTTCCCGTTCCCCGTTTCCCGTGGTTGTTTCTTGTGTTTTCCTCGAAAATTTTTAGCAGAAAATTGGCGCGCGGCCTGCCGATATTTATATCCTTGCACATGCTCAACATTTGACCGTTGTGTTTCCTGTATGTTGTCATGGACACCAATATGGCTGTCATTCCTTTGATTTAGTATCCAATATAGCTAACATTATGTTATATAAAAACGATCTATTGGCAATCCAACTAGCGGCATTCCGAGACCTTTGCATCGTGGATATTTAAGCGTGGACGTATTGGGAAACAATTTCTCCATTTTTTTTTTTAATTGAAATAACTTTGCCGTAATAGACATTGCCTCCTTAATTGTTCCCCTCTTTCCCTTCCATTGTTCTCGGTGGCTCTTGTTCCCATCGCTTACAGCGAGGCAGCTGGAAAGTTGCCACATTGCAATCTTTTCTGTCTTCCTCACCCAGATGCGTGATATCAAGAAAATTGGGGTATGGCCTGTAGCATTCACTGGTGCCGCGAGATACGCAGGTCCCCTCTGCAAAGACGGCCGTGTCGTCGGTTTTTACACAAACTGGCGACCAAGTAGAACGTTTCCACTTGACATGGCAGCTTTTGCCATAAACGTAAAAAGGCTCATTGTGGATAAGCCACAAGCTCACTTTGATGCTGATGCTAAACCGGGAGACCTGGAGAACTCTTTCCTGGAACAGGTTGGGACAAGGGAGGATTTGGAGGCTAGAGCGTCGAATTGTTCAAAGGTATATAACAATTAACAGATAGATTTCATGTTGTCGTGCGCCTGTTCAGGTACAGTTTACAGATGACGTCAAAATGTGATCACTGATGTTCTTGACCCTTTAACTCCTAAGATCTGATTGCTAACTCACCTCCAACTTTTACACAATTCCTTGCAGATAAGTTGGATGAAATCAGTATTAGACAAATATAATAACTTCTATCTGATATATTTTGGCTATTCTTCTTTGCTCTTTGCTGGATAATGTATGGATATTAAAGGGAGAAGTTTTATGGTAATCACTTCTGGAAGTTAAAGGGTCAACTCATTTAGACATATTCTGTGATCTATTGCAATGCAGACCCACGGCAACGAGGATTCTGTTTTTTTTTTAATGATGCAAACACCAAACAACAACAGAAAAAAACTTTTGTTGGTGTTGACGTTATCTTTGCGTGTTTCCTCAAAAAATGACATGACTAAGAACCAATCAAAATTCGTGTAAATTCGTGTATAATTCAGCTTATCATGTGAGCATGACTGCATTTACATGATCAAAATGAACATTTTATTATGATTATTATTATTATTATTATTATTATTATTATTTCCATTATTGCTCTTATTATAATCAAAACCAAATATGAATGTGAAAGCGATCTTCGCAATAATGAACACTACTTAAGCAGTAGTAAAAAAAATGCTAGTAAAAAAGTCTAGTCCTGTGCAGGATTTGAACCCATGACCTCTGCAAAACCATAACAAAATTCTCGAACGTGATTCATGGTTATCACAAGACTGATTTTAGAGCTAATAGGACACTGTACACGTCATGCTTGTGTAATTGGACAGTATGCCTCATATGAGCGCTCCTTTGTCACGCATTTCGCCGAGTAAAGTTTTTTTTATGAAAACATATAAGTCATAGGTAGTTTGCTTCTGATATTTTTTCATTGTTTTGATTAATTGGTAACAGGACATCGTGTCGTCCAATTCTGTTTGTAATCATACTTTTGATGATATTATGATTAACAAATTGGATTCCCTCATCGCATTCGTCCGATTTTGTTTATCACAAGTATGATTATGGAAAGAATTGAACGCCGTTCAGTACTCTTACCATTACTAAATATTGTTTTATTGTTATTAATAATTAACAAATATTCACTGAAATGGAGGTGAATAGTGTCGGATATTTACCGAGCCGCGAATAATAGGTAAATATTTGTTTTAGTATATAGCACACAGATACAAAAATTAGATTATTTCTTTCAACATACCGAAATACGGTCGGAAATTGAACTCTCTATGCGATTTTGTCTCCTTTAGCGAATAGCACTATTCACTGGCCAATCAGCGCGCGCGAAACGCACGATTCACTGGCATAGTATACACTAATTGTTATTATTGTAATTATTTATTTATTATTATTCAGTATTATTTTTGTTATTGTTAACACTGTTATTATTATCATTAATATTATCATTATTATTAGTATTATCATCATTATAATGTTTTTTTGAATTGTAGGTTTATGTGTGGCACACTAGAACGGAAACACCAATCAAGAATATAAATGGCGAAAAACTGCTCATCTCCAAAGGAAAGCCTTCCAACCCAGAGGTGGAAACATAGCAGAGCTGCATCCAGTTATCAAATTATTGAAGTAATTAATGAAACTAAATTTGACGAGGAGATTTTCAAATCTCCGATTCAAACGTGCAGCGTCAATGTCATGCGCCAAGTGCCTTGGTCATGCAAACAGCCAAAATGAGAGATGGAAAAAAAGGACACGGGTAACGGTAATTTTTCCTCTCTGTTTTGATCGGTACGTGTTAGGGCGAAAAAAAAAGATCCAAAATATGGCGAAACAGAAGTTATTCATACTGAAAAGATCAGAATACGTATGTGTTGTCGTTGTCCACAAAGTAGCTTGTTGGTTCCAACATTTGGAATCGTAAATACCAAAACACTTAGAGATTATCTTCATATTTCAAATTCTTCAAATTTATAGTTGTGTACCTTGCCTTTACTGCAATCTCAAGAAAAGATTTGCAGACAAGTGCTAAGTATTTTTTCTCTCTGTTCTAAAACATAACAACTGAGACGGTCGCAGAATGGCAAGTCACGAAAGGGTCAGCACTGAACCACATTTGATGGTAGAAAACTCGTATTAAATGCTCCACATAATATTATGTGAACGCATTATTTACTCTCATATCTTAGACACTTAAGGTAAAGCATGTTCCAGAAGCCACAAAAATTTTAATCTCCGCCCTTTAAAAGCAAAACCGATCCAAAAGTCTCTAAATCAGCCCAGAAACTCACATTAAGTAAAAGAAAACAAATACAGAAGCGACGTAACACTGTTTTATTTATAACCAATACAATTTTTTAGATTAAAAATGCGATTTTTTATTCCTGTAAAAATCCTTACATTTGGCCCTTTTCAAAACATAAAAATGTTTGCATATTTACGGAGTCTCATTATGCAAGCTTGAGCTACCTGTGCAATGAACAGAGTGACAGTTGTTTGCCACCTGAGCGTTGTGGTTTTGCGTAGGCAGACAAATATTTAGTTACTTTCAAAGTTGAATTTTTTTTTTTGTTTTTTTGCGCATTTAAACTGTTAGGATATCATTTGAAACATTAACACGCTGTAAGAAGTAAATTGTAACATACACTTTGTAATGGCGGAGATTTTAATCATGTGGTTTGGGGAGCATACTTCTTCTCAAAGGCCTTTTCAGAATTTCTCCTGTTTCCAAGACATGTTATTTTCACTGCTCGCGGTGAAATCATTATTTATATATTTCGGATGAAAAATGATTTCTTCATGATAGCCGGGTACATAAATACGGCCTATGTGTTTTTATGAAGATTCTTTAACCTAACGATGTCATTATCGTTTAGATTTTCTTTTTTATGATAGAGAATAATTCTTTCAGAGAGAAGTAGACTATTTTTTGTTTAAAGTTTTAAAAAAAGAAACCTTTCTGTGAGCTTCAGGTGCTTTAAGATTGTCTTTTATACGATATCAAATACTTCTTAGTTAATATCTGTAATTTAGATGGACCATAACTTGTCGATGAAGATGCGAGTCTGTCTCATCGTGTTTATCATCTTCGTTCATTAAAGATAGCATCAAGACAGCAAAGATTTGGGTCTGTATCCGCATGTGGCCAAGAACTCACCTGTGTTTCTTTTTTGGTATGTGGAAGTGAAAAACTTTGCACATACGTATTTATTGGCTAGTGTTTAGCTCTTAATTGGTCAGGTCCAGATATATTAGATATAAATTGATGCAGCCTACCTGTACGTCCTAGGAACCTGTTCCTCGATTGAAGGTTCCGGTAACTGAACGGGCCCGGAAAGCTCTTCTGTTTTCATTCAAGATAAAGGTTTCAAAAGTTTTGAAAATTCTACAACGAAATTATCAGCTGAATAAAAAAATGGGCTGGTTAGGATACAAGAATCTGCCTCTCTAATTTTTAAGTTTCAAGTCAAAATATGGCTTCGGGCTCGTTAAGTTACTGGAGCTTTCGAGAAACGGGACCCAGAGAGGCTATGACGGCTTTATTTACAGTACCGAAAGAAAGGTTCTTCTCTAAGAAGCATATTAAACTTAACAAAATTTTCTTGGCTCTTCTCTGGTGAAACTTCTCAGGAGTTAATAGTTGTTTTTGTAACACCGTTTTATGTCATCAGTATGTTATACGTTTCTCTTATGTAATACTGTTAAGTTTCTCTTCGCTCTTGTTCTCCTTGTTTTCAACAAAATGTAGGAATTGTAACTTTTTTCCTTAAAAAAGAACAAAGATTTATAACATACTTTGTGTGTGTTTCTTAGAGAGGGACAGAATTAGGAACCCGTGACTGTTTATCGCCAGGAGGGAGGGGTTTTGAGGTGGGATCACATGGTTTTCTTGGGGGAGGGGAGGGAGGATCATTCGTCGCCAATAGAGTCTAAACGGGGAACTGATAATTGCTAACGGGGGGGTAATCAAAGTAACATCACCTGGCCTAATAGGGGGATCACCCAAATCTCCTACCCCCCTTAGGCGATAAATAACAAAACTGACCCAATACAATGTAGGAAGACGAGCAATTAATTCCTTCTATATCATTTTGTAATTTTCATATGCTCTGGTCTTTATTAGCAACCAGTGTTCGACAGTTCAAACGACAAACATTGTTTAATTCCTATAAACTGATTGGTTAATCTTGCTCAAGTAATTCTAGAAGTGACTAGATTAATGATGCCACAATGATGGCGAAATACTGAAAACCCTCAAGCAGTGAAATTTCCGTCTTCCTGGAACAAACAATGCCCATAAGCGAATATCAAAGTAGCTTTTTTGCGCCAAATGGAGACTATTTTTTAAACATTCATTCAGTACAGCTTTTACGCTTAGTTGGCAGCATGTAAATTATTCAGCACTTTACTTTATATTGGGAGAAGAACTATTTTTTGCCATTAATTCTCTTCGCTTCTTCGGGGAACCGTTTGTAGACCCAATTCATCAATTAATTTACGATCGACCAATTAGAACTGCACGTCTCTGTAACCAGTCATCAATTATCTACGAAGTTGGGCAGGTGATAAAGTTTATTTCGCGGAACTTTAGGTGATTTCAAATCTTGTACAACACTATCTGTGTTTTATGAAATATAATCACAAAATGTTTTATGAGTTCCTGCAAGGTTATAATTTTGTTCAGGTTGGTCGAAACTTGATAATTTAAGAATGGGTCAATCAAAAGAGGGAAAGAGAGAGAGGACGAGATAAATAAAGTGAGTAGGGACAGGAAATTTAAAAAAACGTAGCTAAAAGGCTGTCAGAAGCTAATATGACGTGTCTTATGCACTTACTAGCAAAATAGAAGTGGTGCTTCGCAAAGTAGTCTTGTTAGGTACACACTGGTAATTTTATGTTGACCGGTAATGATTTTTTCCCCGAGAATTATGTAGTTAGAATATAATGAAATATCCTGTTAAAAACCTTTCCTTATGTAAACTGTCAGGTGCATAATATAACTATCTTGATGATGAATTTGATAGCTTTTTCGACGCCGCTAGAGTTATTCTGTGCAATCACACCATTCTGTTTGAATAAAACCGCGCAAGGAGGACCATCAAAACCATAAGCATCAATACAGTTGTTGATGCAACACCAACGTCGTATCGATGAAGCTTGCAAAGGTTTTATTATCGATACTGTTAAAAGGAATTTTCGTTTTTACAAGCGACAAATTTACAGCTGCTTACTCGAGCTCAACCTACTTCCTGACTTTGGAAGATAAATACCTCACGGGTTTTGTTGTAGAACAGTTCGAGTCTCCGAGCTTGCTTTCATGTTCACATTCTTGTTTGAGAACTTCCTGGTGTTCTTCTACTAACTTTAAGGAGTATTCGATGACAGAAACAGGCAAATGCGAGTTGAACAGCCACGAGGTTCTCGATGTCGACAAGGATTTCCATTTCCAAGATCGCCGAGGCTCAAGATTCTCACTTCTTCGTAAGGTAAATTAATCATTCAAACTGTAAGGTGGCTGCTAAAGTAAATATCAAAATTTTTCGGCAGTATCGTTTATAATAAAACATTTCAAGCTTAAAGGACATACCTCATCTTCCTCAAAATTGTATTTTGCTAACGCTCGCCTGGTTTCAGTTTAAAGTGTTAGAAATAATTTCCCAACACTCGTCGTTCAGTTGACTATATCTTTTATTCTCTCTTTTATTACGCAAGTTATTACAACGAGGATTAGCTCTGATCTCCCTAGGAAAGTGTGGGTCACCGCTTATAAAGGTGACACTTACGGAGCTGTCAATCTCTAACCTTCGTCATACTTTTACACTCAATCAGCGAATCACGCTAAGCTACGTAGAGCGGAGTTCGCATACTGAGTGGATACCTTCGCGATGTTTACGCTTTGCAAAATGTCTTTCTAACTTAAATTTCTTGGTCTTACGGTCAAGTTCGGGCAAAACAAAAACGAGATTGACGTTATGAAAATTATAATAAACTTACTAACAGAATTAAAATCATACTTGAAAAGATATCAGAAGAGAAAAAGTCTTTAATTATAACAGCAGAATTTTTAGCTACAAGTCAGTTATCTAGTTACAAATTCAGTGCGGAAGATGAAAAGTCTGCATGTTTACACTTTAAGTCACCTCTAAGAAGAAGGTGTCGAACGTGCTGAATTAAAAACTGAAAACTATTTTCCTGATCGAGAATTCGACATGGATTTAGCCTAAAAATGAGAGTATCAAATGGATAAATGTATAAAGGAGGGTTATTTCCAGGAAATTCCTGTACGGGATCAATTTTTATAAGGTAGAGTCACTTTTTTAGTAATTAATTATTTTTTTAGCAACATAATGAAAATATACTGATATCTAGCCGCAAACCGCAATTTACATCTGTCTCCATGTCAATTTCAAGATCATAACAAGGAAAAGGTAACCAAACCCTACCTGTAAGATAAGACTGCCAAAAGGAATAAGAAATGATCAACTGGCTTATTATAATGTCTACTGAATGGCTTATGTAAATATGTTATTTCCATTTATTTTCACGTTCAAATAAGTCAAAAATCACCTATAATGAAATTTTGCCAGATGCCAATTTTGTCTTTTAACAAAAGTAGACCTTGAAGGAGTTTTACCAGTTCAATAACCTCGATTACTCCTTAAAAAATACGACAAGCCAACTACAATATGCTAATAAAAGAAAAAAGTTTTTCATTATGACATGATTCAAATTGACGTTTTATCGATTTGCACTGACTCCAGGTAGAAAGGCAGATTTACACATCATGGGCTTGTGGCGGAGGACACTATCCACGAAAGCCCGCTAAAATTATAGGTGCTTATTTGTCAGTTGTTTGAGCGAAATTGTTTGTGACAGCAAATTCACCAGAGGGAAAAGTTTAACTGTCCTGCCGCTCACCCAGTTAGTGGAACGAAATGATTATGTGCAACAGACCAGAATGGAGTACATAGGAGCTTAGTTTGACAGCTTAGTCTATAACATGAGGCAGAATGTTTGCCTTGTCATAAAATGTCATATTTGCATATCAATATTCTCTCGCTTCAAACGTGAAAAGCAGAAGTATGAATACCATAATGATTCGATTTAGCGCCCGGGGCGCTTATTTGCTTTTGTTACCTGCAGAGAGGGCGCTTATTCGAAACAGGGCGCTAATCTCTTTTATGAGAAACAGCAGTATAGTATGTCAACGAAGCTTTGATGTTCATTTGATTGAGGATCAAAAAGACTGTAAAGTAGACTTGTTGTCCTTTATGTTTCTTTACAGACTTATCCTCTTTATTCGGATAGTTTGAAAGGGTCAGTTACATATTAAAGCAAATAAGCCCGCCGAGTTATGCTAGCTAATTTTGCAAAAGTTTTAATTTCTCGCCAAATCTCAGCGCTATTTAGGCTCAAAGTCACCACGTGATCATTGAGGTGTCTCTTCTTCCTTAGATTAATTTATTTGTTTGTTCGTTCGTTCATTTATCAATTTGGTTACCTATTTATTTTTGCGAATCAGAGCTTTTCTGTACTTAGAGAAGAACACGAACTTTTTCCTTTTCTCTGCAGAGGCTAAGATAAAAAAAATTGAGTCTTTCTAAACTCAAACACTCTCAAGAAAGCTTGTCAAAGATCAAATGTTGTATGTTTGACTTAAATTTACACACCCGTACTTTCAGAAAAAGGAATGTTATATTTTTTCATAAATAATCTATTTCGGGGTGTTTCATCTCTGTGTGATAGGATTGTGCGCTGACTGGCTGCCTTAATGGTGGGTCATGCCTGTTTGATGAGAAGATACAAAGATTTACATGCTCTTGTAAACTACCGTGGACCGGAGACAATTGTGGAGTTAACGTAACAGGTAAGAAAATCTCATCAGATCTCAATCAGATCTTTACGCTGTAAATCAAATTACCTTTCACTGGGAGGGTTTCAGTTAAATTAGATTCGCCGGAACCGATGCCCCTTAGAATCTCGCTTTTAAAAAAGATTTGCTAACCTTATAAAAAAATAGCATGTTCTTCGATGAAAAATTGTCCTTTGATCAACAGATAATATGGTTTATCTAAAAGGTTGTTGATCAAAAATGTTATAAGTCTGAGACACTATGAGTCCATATTAACCTTAATATTGATACAGTGCTATCTCAACCTCTAATTAAGACATCCTAGTTGCCTGTCTCAGGTTTAACTATATACACATTTAAAGCTGAAACAACAATCTTTGACTGCGAAAAATGACAAAGAAAAAATTCTAAGTCCCCAATGAGGAATCGAACCTCAGACCTTCGGATTCCGCGCTCCGATACTCTCCCGCTGAGCCACAGAGACTCTACAGTGAGCGAGGTATATTACGAAGTTCAGATGACACGCGTCCTGCATACTGTTAGGATCAGCAATGTCGATAGCGTCATGTTTATAGATAGATTAAGGGAGATGGTAAGTTTTGTGCTCGGTAAAGAAATAGAGAAAGATGCTTTTCGTCTTGTCACGAGCGTGGGACATAGAAAAAATTTTGAATCCCTTTGACTAATCGAACCTCAGACCTTCGGATTCCGCGGGCCACGCTCGTGACAAGACGAAAAACATTTTCCGCTTTTTCTTTACCGAGTTCAAAACTTACCATCTCTTTTATTCTATTTACAAACAATCTTTGACTTTTAAGTTTGAAACAGAGTAGCCTTTTTCCTCGAAACGAAGTTAAGGCTGATTTATCAGTGAAGAACACATAGGCACAATCTAAGCTTCAGGAAACGGATGGATGGAGAAAAAAAATAGAACAGGAAATTGTTTCAAGGCATGATTGGACATTCATCAGTCTCTTGTAGAAGTTTTCGCTCTGCAAAACTTCTTTTGAAAATCGGCATGCACCTCAAGTCTTTTCATTCAGATCAAGAGAACATTAAGTTGATATTCTCTTGTTCAGGAAAAATTCTAGAAGTCAAGTGACCATACCAAAATGTACTACCTCACGTTGCTGTAACGTCCTCGACGAAGGTATAAGTGCATTTTAAGGTCTAAGTTAGATGGCAAGATGGTGTAACTTCATTATAGCGTAATAATCGAGCTATTTCATGTCAGGCATAAGTAATACTAGGAAGGAGATCTTAGTTTCTCGTGAAATAAATACTTTCAGTTACTGAACAGCCTAGCTGTTCAACTAACGTAAATCCTAACATATGCAGAACAAATGTCAATTTGCCATAGTTGATTTTGAAACGTTGTTGTATGTCCTTGAGCAGTTTACCGAAGCTGTGATGAGTTCTTCAAGGCTGGGTATGAGGAGAGCGGAGTTAACTTAATCAGACTCAACCAGTCCGAGTTTTCGAGAGTGTACTGCGACTAACAATCAAGCAAGGGAGCAGGTAATCAGTTATATGCAGAGCGTTACTTGGTGCAGATGGCAACACATTTACTCTTTTAGCTTATTCACCAACAATCAACAACAAACTTGTGCTTACTTCCTCTTTAATTCATGAACTTTACAAAGGTAGATGAAAATACTATATTTTAAGAGGCCCACCGCAAAAAAGGAGATTAATGACGGTGGCTTTCCTTAATTGCTTCATTCAAAATTGATAAAAGTATAAAAACTATAGTTTAATCAAAACATCATCCAGACAGAAATAAGAGCTATGTAAGGGAAACATTACCTCGTAGATTTAAACACATGCAATATAAGAAAACAAATGTTCTATCTTTCAACAGGATGGACTATGGTATTCAAGGTAGTGTCTGGTGTGGTGTCAGACATTTACAGATTGTGGTCATCAGCGAACTCCTTTAACGAATACAAAACAGAGGCACTAAATGTCAACGCGTCTCTTAAGGGGCATTACAAGAACCGCCTGGTAAATAACTGGAATGCTGTGAATCCTAAGGAGGTATGATTAATTGATCGTAACTTGCTTATCAATTGCCCCACAACAATGTCCTTCTAGTAAATATTGATAATACCTCATTTATATGGGGCTATTTCTATCTCTATCTAATAGCGCTTTACAATGACTGAAATAAACATAAAGTGCTTGAAAATCCCAACTGGTAGGAGGCAGACCAGTTGGCTATTTACACAGCGCAGCCGGGGTGTTGAACTCGGGGCGACCGAGAATAAATCCAGGGAATGGCAGGATGGAGGACTTGAACCTAGGGCCAGATTACAAGTCCAGCACCCTAACTACTCAAATTCGCCGCCTCCTATAGCTGGTTGCATTGACAAGTAACAATTTTTCTATCTCTGCCAGGATCATCGTTCTTATTATCTCATGGTCAGATTTTAATCGTTAAGGATCTAGAAAATGCATGTTTTCCTTTCTCAGGTGCGTGTTTCATTGTACAAAGATGGATCTGAAATTTTATCCATGGTGTTTGACGCCAGTAATTCCGATAGCGAAAACTGGTTTTCTAAGGATCGGATTACTTATGTTCCCTGGACTGACCTAAGAACTGAAAAAACAAACGTTTTCGATGTGAATGTGTGTTGTGGAAGAGCGTTTTCTATCTTCAGGAATTATGGAAGATGCAGAAAAGATGCTGGATGGCTCGTAATAACTGGTATGGATTGTGATTGGGAGAACCGCTTTCCAAAAACTACTGTCATGTATAGTAAACTTCGAACTCACGTTGACCTCAATGACTTCGGTAAGAAAAATAGGCATAACATTGTTATTTTCTCAGTTTCTTTTGTTTGTTTCTGTTTTTTTGTTTTCTCGTTCTTGCTGCGACGAAAGGTTTAATAAAAAATTTTTACATGCTTTCGCTCGGCAGCAAAGAGTCGTGTCCGATTATGATATTTGAGTCGATTCCTAGAAGAATAATCTAACTCGGTTTTTATTGTTTTCTTCTCAGTAAACGTTGGCATCGCAGATGTCTTCGCAGTGTTTATTCGTTAAAAACTAAGGTAATAACCCGACCGAACTGTTCTCTCTTGATCTTTTAATAAGAATAGCTCACAAGCACTGATGATCCAAGACAAAACGAATCTCATGCAGTTTGCTTAGCTCTTCACTATGGACTCGGAAGAATTGATAAATGTAAATGGTAACGAAACTTTTTCGTTCCACCTTAACTGTAATATACCGTAATATGTGTATTTTCGTGAGGGACGATGTCGAGGCTGTCGCCAAAAAGTGCCCGTGATGCTCAGTGCGTGTCTTTTTTTTCTTGTTTTGCTTAACCAGCAACTACTGACAGGTTTTGTTGAGACAAAAGAATGCACGATTTACTGGTAACATGGGATCGTACCAAGTTGATGTTTAGTAGAGTCGACATCATGCTAACAGTAGGCTTGAGGTTCGTCGAATCGTTTAATCGATTTCAGTGATTCACAAAAATAATCTGCCTATCTCAATGACTGTAACAAATTGTACAACTGGTTCAGTTTGGATTAAAGGAGGCCAAAAACAGCTATTAGTTACACGCAAAATCTATAAAAAAAAATTACTAACGGAATATTTATGTACATATTTATAGAAGTTTGCTCATAATTGGCTACTTGTCTTTCAAACAGGGGCAAGGGTTGAAGACACGCTCCGATTGGCTACTCAGACACCGAGTATCCTTTGCTATTCACCTCCAAGCAACGTGCGCGGGATTTGCGGCCAAAAATATTGTAGTTATTGCAGGAATAAATGAGTTGTAATCATCTTTTTGTGCTATATTATCTCACTATTTAAGTATAATTCTAAAACGACTATTTACCGGCAATGTCAGTGCTCACGGTGGATATTTACCTTGCCGCTTTACCACTTCCACCTCTGCGAATAGCTGTTAAAAATCTAACTCTACGTGAATTTGTGCTCAGTTGTAATGATACAAGTCACCGTTTAGTTTGTTTCAAACACCATATTTTCAGGTCACTGCGGCCATGAATCCCATTTTTAGTACTCTATATCATTCAAAAGTGAAATGACGTCTTATTTCATCCTTTCATCCTGTGTGGGAAGCACAGCATTGTGTTGTCGGTGCCAAGAATTCCCTCTGTGATCATTATTCCCTCCATGTGTATGGCATGATCATCGCCTTTTCACAGAACGAGTTCCTCGAGGGTTTGACTTTCTATTCTATTTTCGTAAACTTCAAGAGGGCCCATTTGTCCTTTAAGCAATGGATGTAACCTGTCTTAAAAACTCTCCTCCATTCCACGTTTTAAGTAACAAAATGCTTTTTGAATGTCATTATGTTCAGGGTCATTTGGAGAGTTTGGTATGTTGGCTATGACATCATCAGTGTCTTTGAATAACAAAAGAGGAGAAAGGATAAATGAAAGAATGTAATTGATCTCAAATAAGATTAAGAAGTCAGTGGTACTAAATCATTTGAATTTTGCATCTACTTAAGGTCAGTCTTAGATCTAAGTGTATTGTTAACGAGACCTGTTGCTGTGGACTTCGTAGCTTCAGTTTGTGAACTTTCACTCCCGATCTCGAATTACAGACGATTTAGAATTGATCACGCTTTGCAATCTTTCTCTCTTTACGAGGGAGTTCCACCACAATAGCAAACAAACGTCAAATTCAATTTGGAAGAACAGTTCAAGGCAAGTCGATTTATAACAAAAGAAAATATCGCTGTTTCTGATTTGAGGAAAATACGTCACTTAAAAAAACAGTACCTCTGACAGAGGACGCTATGTGCTCTAAATAAATTTGCTAACTTAACAAAAACATATATAAAAATATGTTGATGTGACAGTTGCTCTTCCAAGTGTCTACGAGACGGCTGTGCAAAGCTTTGCCCTTACTATTACTTATGCAGTAGTACAAGCGCTATTCTCATCATGAATACCTGTCTCTGGACAATGGGTCAAGGTATATGAATACCTATGTGAGCAAGGAAGGAGTTCCTCGATCATTGTTTCTTTCAGTGGGAAATAATTAAGTTTTCAACATCTTTAGGAACTAAGCCAACATGTGACAAGCCAAATTTTCGCACAGCTCTGGCGGCGATACGTTTTAAATTTAACTCTATTTTAGTCCTTTTAGATACTATTGACCGTGCTTCATCTGTTTCAGCCACATCCATGGCTGTTTTCCTATTTTTGTTAACCATATCTGCATGAGCTCCTCCATTCAACAGGGCCTCCAAAACCTCTCGTAACACACGTAGGCCATCAGGGCTGGGTCTATAACTCGTTGCTAAGTGCAGAGGGGTATTTGTTTCGTTATTCACAGCATTGACAAGTCCGCCAGAATCGATGATAAACCTCACGGTCTCAACACATGATAAATAGCATACTCTTCGCAATCTTCCTGCGAAGTCGTCATATATTTGGGTCTCGTACCATGCAGCCAAGTGAAAAAGGGTATTGCCATCGCAAGTCCGATGGTTTAAAGACAAAAATCGCTCGATTAAACAAATAATTTTCGTGTCTTGTCTCTTCACTGGAAGGTGGACTTTGACAAATATCAATAAAATATAAAGCACATGGAGTAGTATGAGCTCTTGTTCTTCGTTTTGTTTTCTATGTTAATTTGAGAACTCCTACTTTTCCTTTAGTCTTTCACCTGCGGCAACCAGTTTTTTGAAGATTACCTCCATATATTGCAAGCTTGGGTTTCGAGCTTTGCGCGCCATTTCTCCGAATACGTTTACAAAACGTTCAAGGTCTTTTGTAATCGAATCATCGCACAACATAGCCATTTCCATCGCTCGTGTCCACAAACCAATGCAGACGTCATACTTCCCATGATCGGCGAAAAAAGCCTCACGGTATTTTAAAGGATAGCAAAGTTCCTTGTTGCCATTTTCAAGGATTCTCTCTCTCATTATAAGTCCCTCCATTTGTATAACATCTTCATTATCATTTAACAGAGCAAGTTCTTTAGGGGTTCGACTCTCTTTTCTATTCTCGTAAGCTAGTAAGGGTTCCATTTCCCTTTTTAGCAAAGGGAATGAAATATCTCGAAATCTTATATCCATTCAACATTTTATGTACCAGAATGCCTTATTAGTGTCTTAAGTATCAGGGTCATTAGTAACGGCGGCATCAAGAATTTCAAGAGCATTATATCTTTCTTCCTTTGAACACTTTAGTCGTTTGATAAAATACTACACTAATTCGATTTTACAATGATTTCTTCCCGTTAGACGTGGTTATTTTGAGGCTGCAACCCCCCATGACCTAGAAATTTATCGACAATTGCAATGTAACCGCATCTCGTAGCCAAGTGAAGGGCTATATAGCCGTCTTTGTCTTGGAAATTCATATTTGCGCCGTGCTTGAGAAAACATTCCACAAAATCTGTGTGATCATGGTAGCAAGCTGGAAACAACGATGTACACTTATCATTCTTCCTTGCGTTAACATCTGCTCCGTTCCCGACCAAATAATTTATAATGTCAATCCGTCCATCACAGACAGCACCCCTTAAAGGAGTCGAGCCCGTTTCTACCCTTCAGTTGACTTCCGCTTTTTGTTCGATTAACAGTTGCACAACGTCAAGATGTCCTGCAGCAGCAGCGGCTCTCAGTACAAGCCTTCACGACATGGTCATCAGCCTTAATAGTTCATCGACCTTCGATGTTTGCTTTGTAGGTTAGAAGTGTTTTTACAGAATCTTGGTTCCCTCTTAGAGCGGCAGTGATTAAAGGAGTTGTGTTTTGGTCGCTTTCCTTGTGATTTGTTTACAGTGCGATTTTTCTTTCATGTGTTCAGCCGCCGTAGAGGATCAGGAAGATCACTTCTTCCGTCGCGAGCGGCTTCATAAACTTTATTCACCCGATCTGCAGATACTTCATTCGCCATTTGATGAGAGACCTACGGTACCTCTAGTTTTCAAAAAGCTTTTGGAGAGACTGATTTATTTTGGTAATATATGCAAATGATTAGAAATATTATTTTTGTTTTAGGTCATAGCCTTGTTCCAACTCCTGTTATGAATTCTTTTCGTCACGGCAGAGAATAATCGGTACTAATTCAAACAGAATTTTTCATTTTCCATTCTTCATTTTCTGGGTTCTTTATGTTTCTATCAGAGATCTCTTTGCATCATCGTTCCGTTTTGGTGGCTCTCAACGGGGTTAACCTTTACTTAAGTGTATTTGGGCTTGGCTACCTGATTAAATATGCATAATTTGTAAAATGCTTTTTTAATTGGTTTGATGCTCTCAACGATACGTCAAAGTGATTTATAGATTTTTCTCCGTAGAAAAGATGGGTTCCTCGTGATTTCAAATATGTGACATTGCTTTTTCAGTGACGTCACAAACACGTTTTCTCAAACGGGGTAAATTTGTAAACCTAACCCCACAGTTTTTTTCAGACTTGTATGCTACAAAGACTGTGTAAATGATTCTCCCGCCATTTAAGGTTGAAAATTCTACTTATGCCATTAGGGATTTAACAAATTCCAAAGTCACGTGACCTCTTTCCTTTTATTTTCCAATTTGCATATGACCTATACATATTTAAAAGGCAGCCTTCGAAAAATATCCTTGAAAGCCTTTGAAAAATACCAAAAAGAAAACGTTGCTTTTTTTGTTTTCCTTACCCCATTTAAGATTGAATGTTTTGATCGGTAATTTCGCTAATTAGAGGTCCGTGACCCGATAGTACCTCTTATTGTTAATGTCGTTATTTGTACCAGTAGTGCAGGTTTTAGGCGTATTGACAGGGCCGTAGCCAGACTTTAGAACAAGACGAGGCAATTTTCGAGCGCCGAAGGCCGAAGGCACTAATTCCGTGGAATTTTTCTTCAGAAAAGTCAATCTTGGGCCAAAATCAAGACGAGGCAATTGCCTTTTCTAATATTATGCATATTTACTTAGCTAACCAAGCGTTAACACACTTGAGTGGCAGTCAAAAAGGCCAAAATATTTAGCCGGAAGGCGTTAAGAATGAAACTTTTAACTGTTAGTCGTAAACAAATTTAACCGGATGAGTTGACAGAAAGCTTACTATTTTTATGGATCTTCAGTTTCTTCATTGAGTGTGGCTGTTCTGAAAGATCTCTTTCCGTTTTGTGCGGGTGTCACTATTTGTTATGTTACATAAGAGTCTTACAGCGACAATCGTAATCACTGTAATGTGTCATATGCATGCGTCATTTCTGGGAAATTAGAAAGTCGATATGTCAATCTCCGGTGGAGTGTTTGTTGCTTTGGTATATTTTGTTCTTGGCTGGGGAGGGGTGGGGGCTGGCTTCATTTGTTAGTGAAGAGAAAAGACTTTTTCGACAATCAAAACAATGATAACGATCTTTCCACTATTTTTCTTTCTCTCAAATCCGTTACTATCAATTGTTATACAAGGGATCATGCAAGTGGCAAGAGAGTACAGTCCAAATTGTAAAATTTTTTGCAAGTTAATGGATGATGAACGGACTGGAGGTAAAAATCTCCTATATTGCTCTATCACAAATGCTGCACTTTGATTAGCCTTGCCATTCGCTATCTATTACGTTTTATTAGCTAAATTATACACCGATATCATTAAATCTTTCTTACTTCTAATGGTGGACAGACGATTTTAAGACGTCACCATCAACAACATTTTGCTTTCAGGAAAGATGTTTTTCGTCTCGTCACGAGCGTGGGACAAAGAAAAAATTCTGAGTCTCCATGAGGAATGGAACCTCAGACCTTCGGATTCCGCGCTCCGATGCTCTACCACTGAGCCACAAAGACTCCACAATGAGCGAGGTTTATTACGAAGTTCATTTGACACGCATCCTGCATACTGCTAGGATCAGCAGTGTAATGGGGGGCGTAATGTTTGTAGATGGAATAATAGGAGAGATGGTAAGTTTTAAAAAAAAAAACTTCGTCGTGGGTCTGTTCACTAGTAGATAGCACGATGCGGTAAGTGTGATAAGAACATCAGTGACACACTCAGTTGCGCCTTCGCGCAGAAAAAAAGCGCAATGTCTGATTGTCAAGAGGGTGCTGTAGATGTCGGCAAAACCTCGCTTTCGGTTTAAGCATCTCTTGGCTTCCGGTTGATGGAAGTGGCCGTTTAGGACTGAACACCAATAGAAAGGAAAATGGCAGAGGGGTGCCTTTCCTTTGTCTCATCACAACATGGCAAAATATCGACGAGATCAAGTCATTTCTAAAGATATCCAGAAGTATTTATTCTTCTAACAGACGAATTGATGCTTTTTAAAGAGGTTTTAATGCTCCTTCCACAAAGTGAAATCTGTCTGTGAATTCCTTTCGCTTTTCCTTCGAGGTGGCAGGAAGTTTCTCATGTTTGTTGTGTGCCAAGTTTTCGAATGATTATGTCGACAGTGGATGGCCAGTCGTGGCGGGAATTGCTCAACCCAAAACCAAAGGTGTACGAAGCGGCTCGAGATGGCGCTGTTATTCTACTCAGTGACATACTTCAGCGGATGAACCTTACCGAGAGAAGCAGCGCTTTGGAGACTAAAACTAAAGATGGCGACCAAATTACCACCCCACTGATCATTGCCGCACGTAATGGCAACCTGGACTCAGTGAAGATGCTGTTAAGGTACAAAGCAGTCATCGAGGCTCGAGGAACTGTCAAGGTTGATGACCAGGTGATTGAAGGATGCACTCCTTTGTGGGCCGCGGCGGCTACTGGACATCTCGGCGTGGTGGAACTGTTAATCGATCGAAGTGCGGACGTCGATGGAAGAACACTGACAAATTCGACCCCATTAAGAGCTGCTGCCTATGATGGGCGGCTTGATATTGTGAGCTGTTTGGTTGAGAACGGCGCCGATGTTAACGCCCGCAATAATTTTGAGAATACCCCTCTCATGGTGGCGTGCTACAATGGCCACATGAGTGTTGTTACTTATCTCATCAAGAAAGGAGCTGATATGGACCTACAAGACAAACAGGGTAACACTGTTCTTCATTATGCGGTGGAAAGGGGCCACTTTGAGATTGCCAACGAGCTATTAGCTCTTGGAGTATCACAACTGGCCAATATTCAGCGTTTGACACCACTTCTGCTAGCCAGTAATGACTGTAAAATTGAAATGGTGGAGTACTTTATAGAGAGACCTGAATGCACCAAGGAGCAAAGAATTGAAGGGTTGGAGCTTCTAGGAGCCACTATCGCAAATGAGCCTGATGTTTATGACATTGAAAAAGCATTCAGTTACATGAAACGTGGAATGGAAGAGAGGTATGAAGACCCATCACAACTGTTGCTTAAAAAGAAAATGGAACCACTTGAAGTTTACCAGAAGAAAAAAGAGAGTCAAACTCTTGGAGAACTTGCGCTATTAGAGGGTGATGATCATGCCGTCCACATGGAGGGACTAATTATTAGAGAGAGAATCCTTGGTACTGACAACACAGAACTTCGTTTTCCAATTAGATACCGTGGAGCTGTTTTTGCTGATTCTGGCAATTTTGATCTTTGCATTGGTTTGTGGGGACATGCCATGGAGATTGGCCAGCGCTGTAATCAACCAATCACAGATGATCTCAAGATATTTGCTGACTTCTTTTGCCACATGGTGCAAAGAAATTGCCTTCCAAAGCAAAAGTACATTGAAGAGGTCTTTGAAAGAGCAATCTGTGAATATAAAAGACTCACTGAAAAAATGCAGTCCAAAAATCTTAAAGGGGAACATGAAACTAAAGTGCTCAAAGAGGAACTTGAAAATGTAGTTTATCGTGCTCTGTATCTTCTCACAATCTTTGCCAAAGTTCAGGATTCAAGTAAAACTGAAAATTCAGCTCTGTTTGATCTCATCGAAAGGTTTCTGCGATTGAATCCTAGGACTCTTGAAGGTAATACAATGTTGCATTTAGCTGCATGGTCGAAGACTCCTACAGAGGAGCATTATGTGCGAGATGTGTGCAAATTTCCTTGCATTGCAACCATGAAACTCATCATGAATGCTGGTGGATATGTAAATGCTGTCAACAACAAAGGAAACACTCCTCTTCATTTGGCAGTGACTTATAAACCTAGCACTGGAGGTCTACAAGTGTTGCGAGATGTAGTGGAAACCCTGTTGGATGGTGGAGTTCATGAAGACCTTGTTAACAGTGATGGCAAAACTGCCATGGATGTAGCTGAAACAGATGAGGCTCGCAGAATTCTTTCTGCTAAGAGCAGACTGGAGTTGAAATGCATCGCTGCCAGAGCTGTGCGTAAATTTGGATTATCTTATTTTGGTGTGGTTCCTAAGACTGTTGAAAAATTCATTAGTTTACACTAAGGGATTGACCTTTATTAACTCTTTAACTCCCCAGATCTCATTAGTAATTCTCCTTACTGTCTGCCAAACAATTCTCATTATATTAGTTTGGAGAATTTGGCACTGGATTACTTAGTAATCCTGTAATTGATATTTTTCTTTATTCTCATCACTTGTCTGCATGATATTGTATAGATATAGTAAGGAGAAATTCTGTTTTGGTCATTCATGGGAGTTAAAGGGTTAATAAAAGATATGTAGGAAGACAAGCTGATGCAATTTAAATTGCAAAAATGTGAGGAATCCTCACCATTTTGGTGAAAGATGAGAAAAAATCCAACATAAGTTACAAAACATGCACTACAAAAATACAGTGCTTATATTCAAGTGAAACAACCTGCTCAAATATTTGTTATAAAATGGGAACTTTCAGCTTCTAGTCCAAACTGTTTAATAATGCCTTTAAGAAGTAAAAGAAAACTTTTTATGCACAGGACACCTTTCACTTGAATTTAGATTAAATTGCTCTTCCATTTTAAATAAAAGTAGAGATGTAAGAATCTGTATTATCAATGTCAACATAGATTTTTTTTTATGGGAAACTTTTCAGTAGCAGTGTCACCTCAGATCTTTAATGGAACAACATTTGGAATTTTTTTGCCTTTTTGTGTAAATAAAATAGTTAAATAATTACAGAGATAGATAAGAATGTATTATTTTTGCAATACCAATTTCAACATGAATAACAACTATTCTTTTTGTTGATAATAATATTACCTGCTCTCTTAACATCAGATCATCATCTGGGGACTTTGTGTCACCTATCTATGATGGTTAACACTGAATGCAAGACATGACTTGTGAGTAATCTATCTCTTGTTTGAAGGGAACTGACTTTCAAGAGAAGGCATATAGGCCTAGTTTAGTTCAAATCATTAGTAATGATTACTCTTGCCAGAATATTTATCGAGATGTAATACCCAGTTGTTCCCAGAAAAATTTTGCAATACTACACAGCATGTTGAGTTGCATGTACTGAAGTATAATTTAACCATTTCACTTCCTGTAAAAGCTGAAAAAGAATTTTTCCACACAATGTGGAAACATTTTCAAGGCAGTGAGAGGAAAAGAAAAATACAATTTAGGGTGTACTGGTCTATTCAACTCCAAATTTGTGGAGTATAACATAAAAGAAATGCATAGCAAAAAAGTATGGAGAATTGATGTTTTGATATTGGGAGTGGAAGGGTTGATATCTTAGATAATTAGGATGTTAAGTGAGTTCTGATTCGTCGGGAACCTTCATGAGTGTGTTAATTCTTCATGCATGATTTCTTGTAAATTTAGATAGACATCAATGCCTACAAGGATTCTTTGGAATCAATTTAAACTTTAGCAAAAGCAATAAACTGCTAGTTTGATTTGTTTACTGACTGGATTTTGCTTCAATAAGCTATGATGTTCTTCAATGCCATTTTTGGAACTGTAGATCTCTTTTGTAACTGGTGGGTGTAATTGTTATTCTTTGACAATCGAAAAAATTCCCATTTCTGACCTTGGAATCAATTAAAAACAATTAAATTGTCACCTAAGTGCTAATCTGCATACATGCGTTTAATAATGATCATGCCTGCTATTTTGAAAGGGGTCTATACATGCTATTTACAATCATCGTTCTGGTTAGTTAATTAGCAGATGCACTGTATAATTTTTTGGGAAATATGTTTATTTAAAATTTCAGTGCTATGTGTTTTTTCTTCATTTCGATGCATCATTTGCTATAAGGGTGTTCTGAGTTCAAATTTCTTTGAGATGTACAGTAGTTGCCAGAAACATATTTGAGTCCTCAGCAAAACTCAGGGAAAGTCATATTAACTAGATGACTATCAACTTTGCAACCACAGTTTTCTGAAAATGTGACAATCTAACTAACTCCTCTCATGGGAATAAAGATGGGAAAGTACAATTTACCCAGTGGTACATAATATTTGATGCAAAATGTTCTATACCATAATCAATATGTAATATAAAACACTACAGCTTGCTAAAATGATCACCAAGATTGAGACTTTAGCTGCAAATCTAGATGCAAAAAAGCTTTTCCTGACATCCATGGCAACAAGAAAATGGTCAAAGCCTGGAGTGCAGAAAATAACACTTAAATCTAAGGATTATGTGTAAAGATGCTAATGAAGAAAATGGAAACAAAGGGCAAATTAATATTTACAAATGACTTTATTTCAATCCTGAATTCAAACCTTTTAAAACAAGATCTCAAGAAAATGTATTAGTTATTAAATATCAAACACAAGGTAGGTGCTTGTTACCATGTTTTGACCAGTAGACAAGTAATACTTCCCCCACCTCCCATTTTGGTAAGCTACCTAATGACTGTATTCTCTGGTTGAAAGCAAAAAAGATACAAAATATCAAAATTTATGCTAATGAACTTATTTTAATCTCAGAAGAATTCCAGTCTAGCTAAGCACTGCTCTTGGGCATTGTGTCTAATTAACTTAGTTTCTGCTCCCTCTTATTGCCTAAATTGAATGAAAAAAAAATTGCTGATTGAAGGTACAGAAGAACCCAGCTAACTCAAACTCCCCAGTAACTTGAACAAGATCCAATTTCCTTTGACCCCATTATTTCAGTCTGCTTACTCCAACCACTTTTTGTTTCCTTGAGGAGTTCAATTTAGTGTGGTTCTTCTGTGATTTTAATAAACTCTAGCACTGCCCCTGACTGGTTAACCTTTATGTGGAGAGCATTAAAGGCACTTTTTGATTGGGTTTCATAAAACCAAAGCTAAAATAGACCAATCTGAAGACAAGGAGAACTTAGATTAATATCAAACTTAGATTAATATTGAATTAATAAAGTGTAAACAGCTTTAAGGGAAAGAACATGAAAGAGAATATGAATATTTGGTTTCATTTTTGTATCTAGTTGGTTGAGAGGCAGGCAAAAGTAAAACTGCTGCATGCCTATGATTTTGTCGTTCAGTCACAACCTCCATTCACTACTTGGACTCAGTGCAACTAGATCACTGCTTTAACTAGCAGTTGGCTTCTTGCGAATCAGTCTTTCCCACCAACTTTGCTGTTTTGATTTCTTCTGAAAATCTGGAGGAGAGAAAATAGGTTATGTAGTGTAAACAAATAGTTTTGGAAATGGTGAGGGTTTCAGTTAAAATTGCATTTATTTACATCTTTCACTCCTCAGAGAGAGACTAACATTTAATTTCTCCTTACAGTATCATATGCTGAGTAAACCTTCACTTTATTTACACAGTGTAAGACACAAAGTAATACCTGATGAAAGGTAATATGAGGCAGCCTCCTTACAATCCTGTACATTGTTTGTAGTAAATGCTGTTTCTTTTTGACGGGGGTACTGTGAAGTAGAAACTAATTTGCTAAGCAATAATTAAAAAAAAAAAACTTATAAAAACTTCAGAATGATCAAAATTTATCATCTCTAAAGGGTAACGTCGACCATAACTTACGTAATTTAGACCATGATCAGCTTTAAACTAACCTTATTTCTGTAGTAGTTTGAACTAATCTTTAAGAGACTGTCCAGCATCTTTTCAGCCTCTTTTGGCTGAAAGGATAAATTTCAGCATTAGATATTCTAAATACAACCATCAACGAATAAAAATTTACCGTTTACAAAATAAAAAAGGCCATAAATGACGTAAGGAAGACAGTAAATTACTTTGATTCAAGCTTATATTCACATAAAACGAAAAGCTAAGGAGTTCATTTTGACAAATCTGCATCTATTTAATGAACCATTGAGGAGATCGCGTGGTTACGCTCTTTTAATCATTATATCTCAAGCGCCCCAGTGCAGTTCAGTTGCAGGTTACGTAAGACAACAGCAAGACACCCGGGCCAGATTGATCGATGAAACAAGAAATCTGAGAGCTTACGTCTATCTGGGAATTCTTTATACGAGGTACAAGATTCCCTTTCAGATGTTCTCCGAGATCCCTTCCTAACCGATTCTGGTCGACCGGCCATTGCTCGCAAACTTGCAGAAACCTCTTATAAAGTTTAGGTGCGAGCGCTTGCCTTGACGCCATGTTGAATTTATGCGTACATCCGCTGATAGAAGGCTCACATTGCGTGGTTGCTCGGACTAGCCGGATTAACGCGATGAAAATACACGATAACTTTGAAATTTGATGTTTTAAACATTTATGTTGCTTTTTACTGATGTGATCATTTCTGACTGATGGAGTTTGTGGAGTATATCAAATCACCGCGTGTTGACAATGTGTATCTCAAGCGCAGAGGAATAGCTTATTTGGAAGGAACTTTGTGCGTGACAGGTCATCACTTGATCTTCTCTTCTAGAACAGAACACAAGGATGAGCTCATTGTAAGTCACTTACTAATAACAATAGCCAGCAAATCATTTTCATACGAGCTGATTGAGTTACTTGAAAAGATTACAAAGTATTCAGAGTCAAACTCGTGATCTGGTTAATGTTTAACTTCAGTATTATGACGTTCAAAGTTCCCCAGGGTATACTCCTTGTGGCCTTTTTGGTTTTTATGGTTGAAGGTTTTTGAGGTGATTTTTGCTTACTCTTCAAGCTTGTTCTAAAAAATCCAAGAGAGGGGCACATCTGCTGAAAAAAGGAAAGAAATTATTGATAATTTTCAGAACCAACTATCTGAATATTTACCTTCATTTCCAAATGCAAATATGAAAAACATTTCTTATCATTCGAAGAGTTGTCCTGGTAACCCAATTTAACCAGTTGATATGAAGCCTGAAAATCCAAAGGCAATGAAATGAAAAATAATTTGAGAGATACCACAATTTCTATTAAAAATTAAGCCTGAAAATGTGTCCCCAATTTACTAAGGCTCAGAACATCAGAATATCCATTCACTAGTTGTATATCACTGAATTTAAAGTACACCTTGTTGGATAATTAATGTAGCATTCAACAGTTTCATCCAAAATGATGCTATCTTAGATATAGATCTACAAGCAAGTGACAAAATTATTGGATAATTAATGTAGCATTCAACAGTTTCATCCAAAATGATGCTATCTTAGATATAGATCTACAAGCAAGTGACAAAATTATTCCAACAGTCAACCCTTTAACCTCCAAGATCTCCTTTGAAACTCTCCTTACTGTCTGCCATACAGTTCTTGTGATGTTAGTTTGGAGAATTTGGTATTGGATCAACTAACAATCCTCTAACTGATATTTTTCTTTATTCTCATCACTTGTCTGCTTGATATTGTATTGATATCGTAAGGAGAAATTCTGTCTTGGTTACTTATGGGAGTTAAAGGGTTAAACTGCAATCAAGATAGTTATTGGGAAAGAAGCCTTCTCCAGGCTTTGATAAGGATTCAACTTGTGCCTGTCACATAATAGTTTGAACCCTGTCCATGCCTGACTTTTTTTTGTGTGCTTCTTTTTCAATCTCAATTTCTTGTGAGGATCATTTTGTAAGTTTCTGATTCATGCACAAGAAAAAATATGATTTATAGCAGAGCTTGCAGAGCGTAGCCCCATAAGTATACAAAATAGTAGTAACCCATCAAGCCAAAAAAATTTGGTTGTATGACCGTACGCCCATATGACCGTACGACCGTACGACCGTACGACCGTACGACCGTACAACCGTATGACCGTATGACCGTACAAGGTGCTACTTTTAACATGCGTGGTCAACTGTACCACAGGCATGCCAATGCCATGGCTTTGTCCAGTGGTCCAGTGGTCAGTGCACTAGGCTCCGAGTCGGACGACCTGGGTTCTAGTCCTGGCCAGGACATTAAGGCATTGTACTCTTGCGACATGCGGGAAAAAAAATGCGAGCTCCACTTTTAGGCTCGGCTAAATCTATATATTATTATTTATTTTTAATCCATAAACTTTTACCTTACCAAGAGAATAGGATTAAATCACCATACATTAAAAAATGGAAATAAAACAAATTCAGAAGGACAGCCTTCTAGGAAACAGCTGCTTGCTATTGTTTAAAATTACTTTCAAGTCAAAATGATTTTGAGGTAGTTTTTATTTTCCTTTGCTCTATACACATTGTCCTAAGAGAAAGAAAAGTATATATTTTTTTCCTATCTGTTTAACTTGTAGCTATTGCACTCAGCAGTGGAACAAGTGGAGAAAAAAGCCAGAGGACAGCAAGGAATATTGACAATCTGTTGTAAAAACTTTGATTTGGTTAAACTGAGGTTTGGCCAAATTGAAGAGGCATTGAATGTAGCTTCCTCTATTGAAGTTCTCTCAACAATTGGTAAGACATACAGCTGAAAGGTTAAGCTATGCTCTACTGCATTAGATAGTTCTTTACTTGCATGGGTTCCTGGTGTAAAATCTTTTGTGATGTTTGACATTAACTGAATGTTAATATATTCAGGTTAGAGGTAGTTACAGGCTATTAGTGTAAAGAAACAGGTTGGAGAATATTTTTTGCATCTGAATTAGAAATAAAGACATGGAAAAGTAGCAGAAGAATTCATCATAGTGGCTCGAGAATTTTCCAATCCTGGATGTGTAATGAGTATTATGAACACGCTGTAATTCAGTCTAATTACTAGTGTGCCACTTGGAAGGATATTTATTGCCAAACTCTTTCAATAAGATGTAATGTAGAATTATTTCTGATTAGCAGTTTGGGTTTCATGTTATGACCATTGAAAACTCTTAACAGCGTGTACAGTTATTTTTTATTGTGGTCTATAAAATTTATATTATGATTTGAACTTGGGAGGGGGGGGGAGGATATGTGATATTGTAGTCTTATCATTCAGATGAGTGAGAAGGACTGTTGTTGGTAGTAGTAATTAGGGAGTGATAACAGTTGTTTCTACAACCTGTAGGGAATTCATCATTAGAGTTGAGTGATGATGAATTCCGCTCAGGTTGTAGAAACAACTGTTATCACTACCGACAACATTCCTTCTCAGGACTACGCTAATCCTGGACAATGGGACCACACTATCACATGAATTTATACTATTGAATACTGCTAACTACAATATTTGACTGAATCAGTGTCTAGTCCTGGTTACACTCACACGTGGAATTGTTCATTCCCCAGAAAATACAAATCTGAGATATCCTTTTTTCTACCGACACCTAAGAGCCATTGACGAAGATGGTTGGGATTTATTTAGTACAGAAATGGAATTCTCAAAACTCTCTGCATTGACACAGGGCTGGAGAATCAGTCATGTGAACAGTAATTATGAGGTAAGTCCTTTGTAAGTTATAAATTGCAGATATATAACAACAAAAGAAGGCACTTCAGCAGAAGAGGATTGTTTAATAAATTCTCTACCATATTTTATGTCTTTTGTAATCTATAAATGAAAAAACCCTGTGTAAAATGTATTTAAAAAAATAAATATACTTTCAAAGGAAGAGAAAAGGAAAATAAGTTAAATTGGAAACTTGCTTGGAGACCATCTTTAAAAGTTTGTAAACACTTTTTTTTCTAGGTATGCCCAAGCTATCCTGCTAGTGTCGTAGTACCTGCAAAGATGTCAGATGATACTCTGAAGGCATCTGCTCAGTTTAGACAGTCTGGAAGATTTCCTGTTCTTAGCTACTATCACAAACGAAATGGGGTGAGAATATACATTTCGTCAACAAAGTGGGGAGCTTGATTTAGCATTGCCTTGTAGTACTCATAGTTTATTTCATAGACTCTGACAATTTAGGTACATGCTCGCTTTGAATTTGGTTTTTTTTGTTGTGCTTAACATACATGTCAGTAGCTGCTGCACACCTCCCTTACATGTATGTATGAATTAATCAGTGACTTTGAATTGGTCTACTCTGTGTGAGTTAATTGTATGAATGCATGCACTTTATTTTACCATGAATGAGGACAGTATTAAACTCATTGCAGGACAACAATTTTTCTAACGGCTGTCAGAAGCTACAACTGCTTCACAATCTTGCATTATTTTTGTTTTAGGGCTTATGTTAAATTGGAACTTAATGAACATTTTGTTGTTTATAGAACAGCTTCTCTTTCAAAACAAAACCTCAAGCAAATATCATTGCATGATACACAGGTTGTTCTTTTAAGATGTGGTCAGCCATTAACTGCGATAGGAAGCAAGAGGAGTCGTGAAGATGAGAAATTGGTCAATGCTACTTTAGGTGGTGAAACTAAAGGAGTTATTATTGACACAAGATCGTCCACTGCTGCCATGAACAGCAGAAGCAAAGGTAATGGAATATTCTATATTAAATACTCTTAAAATTGACTCTTTAACTCCCAGAAGTGATAAACATGTAAGTTCTCCCTATAATATCCATACATTATCCAACAAACAGGTATTGAGAATACTCAAACTTATCAAGTAGAAGTAGTTGTCTTGATCTAAGACCAAATTCTTGTAACTAAGTTAAAAGGAAATGTGAAGCAGATAGAGGGGAGAAATAACAAACAGATCTTGGGAGTTATAGGGTTAAAGGTAAAGTCTGTACAAGTGGTCCACCAGAGCTTATTTTGGTTTCCTTAATACTACTGAATGGGATGTTATTTACTCCCAAGTCATTTCTCTTGAATTTATTTAACCTTCTGGTCACATGACTACCAAGTAGTCATGTAGCTTATAATTTGTTCTATCACTTTCCTTCACCAACTGTGCTATGTAACAAATCAATCTCAATTTTCCAATGTCTCAGACATGATGTCGACAATGCTCAAAATTTTTTGCGGTGAAACTACTTGGCTGTACCTTGTTTGCAGTGAAACAAACACACTTGGGTGTGCCTCGTGGCTTCACTGTAATTATGAACATTGTTGATGTCATTTCTATGATTAGTAAGGTTGTAGACATTGGAAAATAATTATTGTGGTAGATTTGTTAAATTGACAATGGATCTTGATCACAAAGCGCACAAGAATTTCTACTAACAGCTATTTTAAAATCTTCCAATATCTGATGAGGTATTTTGCTGAATGATCTGCACAATGCAGTAGATGATTTTTGTCTGTGTAAACTTTTTGGTGAATAGTTGTTTGTTTATTTTTGCAGGAGGAGGAGTGGAGCCAGAGTCACATTACCCGCAGTGGAAGAGAGTTAATCAAGGCATTGAGAGATACCCAGCACTTATTGATAGTATTGCAAAACTTGCTGAGGGTATGTGCATTAACAGTGATAAAAAGCAAAAATGTTCATTCCATGTTCTGAAGACAAATGGTGGAGAAGAATCTGACAAGAACAAATTGATGTGTATGGAAATCTTTTGGCTAAATGGCTCAGTGTGAGTAATTCAGTCCAAATATTTCCTCAAAATAAACACTTACCTTTTAGATTCTTCTAAACATTATGTCTTTGGAACATGGGATGAACATTTTTGATTTTGGGAATGCTCAAACAGGCCCTACTGAAGTTTGACAGTTGACACTGTCTGTAGTTGGAAAGTTATGTAATGCTCAATATTGTTGACAACTGTATGTCTGCATGCAATAATTCAATGACATACTTTGCCACTACTGATAGAAGTCATGATTTCAATAAGTCTTAACCATGCAGATTAATTTAATTTAAGTGATACAAGAAAAATAGTGGATGGGAAGCCTATTTATTAAATCTCTGGGCTCAAATAGAAGGAGAAGATTTCAATTCAAAAACAAAATTTTGAATTTAGCAGGCCATACAGTGAAGTATTGTTTACAAAATTGACCATTCTTAGGGCTCGTATTAACTTAGAGATGTAACAAAATACTGCTCTTGATGAAAATCAATGAAAAGCACTCTAAATGAACAACTAGTGTGCTAATTATTTCAAAGCCTCAGTAACTGGTATGATTTCATGTCAATGTTATGGGAAATAACATTCAGTTATAAACTGAGAAGTTTTAGTTTAGTACTGTGTTTAAACAACAGTGGAATTTTTTGGGTTTTCAGCCAGTTTGGATCAAAAACTCAGCATGAACTCATGGCTGTCAAAACTTGAAGCAAGCTCCTGGTTGGATTATGTTCAAAGTGTTTTATCAACAGCTTGTTACATAGCACAATGCTTGGATACACAAGGTAAAGTTAAAACCCTCAAACTCCCAAGATCTGATTGGTAATTCTCCCCTCCAGCTGCTACACATATCCTTGTAAATTAGTTATGAGAATTTGGTGTTAGATCAAGACAACAACTTCTACCTGATAAGTTTGAATATTCTCATCAGCTGTTTGCTGGATAATGTAAGGATTTTATTGGGAGAAATTTCATGTTGATAACTTCTGGGAGTTAAAGGGTTAAATATGACTCTGTTTTGTGTGAAACTGAAGGGAAAAAGCCTTTCTCTATTGTGTAAAACCACATGGCAGATTGAAGAAAATAATATTTCTTTTTTGTAAACTGTGTATCTACAAAAGAGCACTTTCATAATCAAAGGCATCAAATAATCATAGGTTAACAGTGACACTTTTATTTGAAACTGATAAGAGTGGTTTTGTTCAGTTTTTGTCTCTTCATTTTGGTAGTAAAATTGGCACAGCCCATTTCTATTAACCATGCAATAATGGTTAAAATCCAATTTAACCCTTTAACTCCCATGAGTGACCAAGACAGAATTTCTCCTTACAATATCAATACAATATCAACCAGATAAGTGATGAGAATAAAGGAAAATATCAATTTGAGGATAATTAGTTGATCCAATACTAAGTTCTCTGAACTAACATTATAAGAATTGTATGGTTGATAGTAAGGAGAATTATAAATTTGATCTGGGAGTTAAAGAGTTAATGCAAACTCCAGCCTTTCCAAAGCTGACTCTTCAAGCACCAGTTCTTCCTCAGAGAGAATGAAGGGCTTTTGCTCGAAAAGTCTGATTTAGAAACTCTTTATGGGGGACAATTTACATTTAATCAACTCAGCTGATAATACAAACATATTTTGTGGCAACAGCTGAATGGTTATTTTCAAGTCAAAATTTTGTTCTGTCTGGAAGCTTAACACTTCAGTCACTGACCAGCGCAGTTGATTCCAATTATTATCTTGCTTATTAAGGCACAACTGTGTTAGTACATGGTGATGCTGGAACGGATGCGACGTTACAAGTGACATCATTAACACAGGTTCTGTTGGACCCTCATTGTAGAACAATAAAGGGGTAAGGAAAACAATTTTATGAGTTAACTTTACAATTTATGATAAATCTTGGTTTCTTTGTGTCAACAGTTGCAAGTCAGGGATGGTGTAACCTATTTCACTTTAACTGAGGAGGGGGGGGAAAGGGGGGTCGAGGGAGGGGGTGAGGAAGGGGGGTTGGGGGCTTGTAAAAAAAAACGCAAGGGACGCGAGTTTGTCGAAGGGTCCTCCCTCAAAAAATTTCGAAATCTATTCTCCATAATTATCTCATATTTAAACAAAATAAAATATCATCCCAGTAAAAAAAGGGGATTCAGCTACACTGTCCTTGCAAGTGGCATCTTCACGGAAGCATGGCGATATTGTACTCATTTCACTGCATTTTCATTTCCCGTGATCTTATACAGGTTTGAAGGGCTGATTGACAGAGAATGGCTGCGTGGTGGCCATCCATTCGCGGAGCGGTGCGTCAAAGTGGGTTTGTCTACAAATAGGTACAAGGGACAAGGCCCAGTTTTTCTCCTCTTCTTGGACTGTGTTTGGCAGGTTAGAGTGATATTATTATAATATAATATAATTATAGTGGCTGTTGGGTAACACGCAACATTCAGTTGAAAATGGCTGTTTAATGCCAGGAGGATAAGGTGATTATCTAACACTAATGTGTTGTTTTCTTTACTTGTAGATTTACCAGCAATTTCCATGTTCTTTTGAATTCAATGATCGCTTTCTCATCGCACTTTTTGAACATGCATATTCCTCACAATTCGGTAAGTAACCTTCCTTGAAAGATAAATCCGAGTGAAAACTTTCCTTGTACTGAAATATGACATAGTTTCTTATTTTGATACTCAACAATGTTTTTGTCGTCAAAGGTACATTTTTATGCAATAACGAAGGCGAGAGACAAGCAGCAAAGCTAAAATCCAAGACCATTTCTTTATGGTAAGCTACAAATGTGTTTTTTTTTGTTTTTTTATTATTTTTTTTTTAACTAAGTATTTGCCTTGCTTTCCTCGTCTAACTGTTCAAGGTAATGCCCCTTCCTTTTCCTGAACAACGTGGCAAGAACATCATTGACACACTCGGCTTGGCCTTGTGTGACACTTTTTTCTTCTCACCATATTTCGACGTCATCTGCGATCTATTACTGAACAGGCGTAGGGCATCATGGAATATATTTGTTGAACTGATTTCGAGTTGTCAATAATTATCCACATCTTCCTTCTTTCCTTTGAACAGGTCGTATCTGAACCAAGCAGATATCCTGAACCCTCTGTTAAATCCTATGTACGAACCCAACAACTCTGTTCTGTGGCCTTCTGTAGCGTCTCAAAGTCTTGTAAGTCCACAGATCTTACTGAAAGTTATTACATTGAAGGAAAATAATGTTTGTGAAACTATAGAATATTAATCTTTGCCTTTAAAAAGCATTGATGAAAATTTGCTCTTTAAGGCGTTTTCAGATGTAAAAGAGTATAATAGCATTTAGAATTTTGTTTTCAATTTTACTAAAATCCGACCTTAGAGGCCGCCATTTTAATAATAATAATAAAAAAAAAAAAAATTGGCAAGGTCGTTCACATTTTCAATCCCTTTCTACAGGTCCTGTGGCCAGGTTTATTTTTAAAGTGGAGAGAATCTAACAAGAATGAAGATATCTTATGGGAAGAAGTACGAAGAATACAAGCAATAAATATGGACCTGAAAAGCAAGGCTATATCGCTAAGAAGGTAACATAGAAATGATGACGTAGAGTAATGTCCACTCGAGGACTACATAAGTTTTATTTTTCTTCGCTTTGTGATTGGTCTAGAAAACTCGCATCAATTTTTCAACCAATCAGGTGCAAAACTAAACCTTAACGCCGTGTGCACGCTTTCCTTTTCCCGCTCTTTTGGCAGTTCGCCTGCTTTACTCTGATTTCTCATTGACCCTTTGATATATTCTCCTTTGTTCCGATTGCTCACCACGATTTCTTTGTTTGTAGTGCTAAGACACTTCTGGAAAAGCGCTTGAAACATGATGGAAATATTGTTCAAAACCAAAATTGTGCGCACTGAATTCTCAATTTGGTTTTCGCAACATAGGATTAGAAAAGGTTACCGTGATAACTCCGTTCCAGTAAGTGTTTCCTCTATTTTCGTTTCCAATTTTTGTTTTACTCCAGAGAATATGCCGAACTTCAAGCTAAAGTACTGGAAGAGAGAAGAAAATGGCAAGAAGAGCGAGATAAAAGAGAAGACCAAGGCTTGTAAGGAGAGAACTGTGGTCAAACTGATGTTGCGCGCCTTCAGTTAGGAACGTGCTAGACGAATAGATAAGTACTGCGATCTTCGCTGGCATTAGAAGAGATATACAAATTTACCCTTTCTCTCCAAGGCGTTTCCAAAGAATAGTTTCTCCGAACAATATTAATGTACTATCAAGAAGACAGGTGATGAGATTGAAGAAAATATAATCAAGGGCATACATTTTGATTTAACAACCAATTCTCGTGACTAACATTTTGAAACTTTGTAGGGGGGGACTGCGGGGATAATTATAGTTCAGGTAATGGGAGTGAAAGTGGTAACAAAGATCGAAATGAAACCATGTCAGTGGTAAAGAGTTGAAGTAGACCAGAGGTAGATCAGAGGATCAGTTCTCCACGTTGGTACTCAAGTTATACTGAGACCGGCTGCCATCAGCAACAACAACAACAACAAAACTTTCTCTTTGTGTTCTTTACATTTTACAAATTATAGGAAATTTTACACGTAATGAAAACTAAAAAAACAGTAATAGTTAAAATGGTAAAAAAATTATCACAGATCAAATATTGTTAATGGAGAGGGCATAGCCATTTAGAAATAGCGAATGTTAGTATATACTAAAACAGAGTATAGCGTTCTGGTTGGCTACTAGAATTCCTTACATCCCTTGCTGGTCACCTCCATGCAACTCGTATGAGATTTGCGCCCGAAAATATTTTTATCGTTTCAGGAATAAATTAGTTCAAATCATCTCTTTGAGCGATATTATCTCAATGTGTTATTATATACTAAGACAACCATTCACCTCGGAGTCGGTGACAAGTGGTGGATATTTAATTCGCGGCTCCGCGACTCGATGAATATTTACTACTAGCCACCGACACTGAGGTAAATAGCGGTTAATTATTTAGACGAGGTGACTAGGCCATGCATCTGTATATTTAAAAAAATTCGGGAGAAATTGGACATGCATTCAGTCAAGTGTTCGAGCACAAGGACTGTGCATTCATTGTAGTATTACTACTTAAAAACTAGATGAGAGCTCAAAATTTCTGTGGTGTGATAGTGAGGGTGAGGCTGATTCATCTATCGTGAATGAAAAATTGAGAGCGAATAAACGAATTGATCTGTAAAAATCAATAAGTTTTTCAAAACTCGATAATAATATAGTCTCATCGTTTTTAAAATTACTTTTTAACAACTACATGACTTCCGATAAACTTCTGTTCTATTAACTGACTCCTTGTTCTTTTTTTATTCTTTTAAATCCATTAAATGTTCGATACAATTCTTATTCCAAGGTTTTTCGGCGATATGTTCGCCATCTTTTTTCGCAAAGTGAGAAGCTTCTCGATCAACTATAATACATTGGGAGTGACATTTTTGAGCTGGACAAAAACACTCTGTTCAATAAGTCTTCGAGCAGGAATGAAACTTGAAGTGAAATATTACTCCATTAAATAAATATACTTTCATTAATACAATTTCCAATATTCCAATTAAGATAATTCTAGAAACGCCCTGTCGATGATTTAATTAGCAATGCATAACAAGATAAATAGATACAGTATGTAAAATGAAATTTTCATGGCTGCCGCAATTTGACGTCGGGTTACATCAAAGTAATTATACGATCGTGCCACTGTCGAAAGCGTTAGATTCGTTCACCTAGCTGCATTCGTTCAAACAGAATCGAATTAAAATCCAGCGGCTTAAGGATGTCCTCGTACAACATTGCCAGTTCCTCATTACTGAGTTTTTTAGCATTCTCGGTGAGGCGTGAGTCGCCTTGTAGTAAAGCAGGATCAACAGAAGGACACGGTGCACTTTGGACTCGCAATCGAGGCTCTATTTTTTTGGGTCTTTCAGCAGATGGATCGCTCCCTCTACGCAAAGCTTTTACTTCCTGAGGCGGCTCTCGAGCGATTGTTGTGAATGACCTTGGTTTTCGCAGCTGATGGTCTGTTGTCGTCTCCGCTGGCTTTGTGGTACAAAATGGACCCTTGTTTTGTACATCTTGTTTTTCTAATTCCTGTAGGACTGACGACAAGCTCGGATAATTATCGATGTCGATTATTACACTCATAATGTAGTTTGAATTCCCCTTTAAAATCTCGGCTCTCGTTATGTCCAGATAATAGTCACCTTGAAATGATTTGAAATATAAGCTGGTTGGACCTCCGTGTTCCTTTCGGATGATCATGGACTGGTTTCTCCTTACGTTGGTCTTTCACGTAGCTTACCATTACCACAAAAGGCAAAGCCATCTAACATTTGGTTTCAATCTCTCTTACGTCATTAGAATGGCGTTCTTTCTCAGAAGATGACGCTTTTGGGCGGCAGTGGCTATTTTTAACAATAGGAATTCCTTGTTTTATTATTAATATTCCGCTGCAAAACTGCTCCGACAGTTCGTTTTTTTTTTGTTTTCTTTTGTTTTTTTTATATCATTATTTTTGTTGCTTTTCAATACATGTAAAACCTTAAATTAATTTCTATGCTTCTATGAGCGAAAGACCAGAAGAAAAAAAGAGCGTGCGCGAAAAATGGGCGCGGGTCAGCCAAAGGAAAACTTGGAGATGGAGAACAGCTTATTGTCACCCAGCCGTTTGCCGCTTATTTCTTGGTTCGATCGGTTTTCCATTGATTGAGAGCCTGAAAAAAAAGTAGACTAAGGTCAAGGGCAGAGGGGCAGAGGGGCAGAGGGCCTAACCAGCGTTTTGAAGCAACATGGCTTTTGCATATTTACGCACACACGCTTGTGAGATTACTTATCATATATTGTTCGTGTATTACGCAATGAGACAGTTAACAGGTCTCGCAGTGCACGTCAGGAACTATTAGGAAATAACTATTTCGAAATATCACACTTCAACTTAAGTCATTGTGGAGGATAGCTTATCGGTACTATCACACCTGGTGAGCCAACACCCCACTCCTTAGCGGTATGTTAGTAACCATCACAATACCGAAGTAGGAAGCAAGTCACCATGACATCACTGGAGCAGGATATGCTGATACCCAGATGTCAGGAAAAGAGGATAGGACTGACGCGAGAAAAACGGCGTGGTTTAGCCCATTTATGTAGCAGTCTCTTCCTTTCCCATTACGGTATAACGCTACCGACACTGAGCAGCGACAACATCATAACTTTTTTTGACGAGAGCTTTTTGTCATTTTCAGAACAAGAGCAGTCCTCGATGTGATCTGAGTTACTAAGAACTGAACAGAGAGATTCTAACAACTAAATGTGTTGAATTGCTCTTTTATCCTAACAATAATCCCCAAAGGTTGAAAAAATTTTGGGGAATAACTTTTAGATATTTTAACCTAGTGTTTCTATTGAAACTGGCAAGACAAGAGCCGGTAGAGGGGACGTCCTGCGCATGTTTCACCGACATCAAATGATAGCGAATCACGAAAAATCGGAAATACGACTGTAAGGTTCGTGTACCTCGGAAAGCGAAAAAATTCACAGTTCACGGGGTTTTAATTTCGTATTTCTATTGGTCACGAAAATCCCGTATCACGCAATAACCCTCAGAGCCAAAGGTTTTGTAACGAGAGGGCCTAGGGCGGGACTTCTATGTCACGCAATAATCACGCAACATACTGTGGGCAGGAGGGCTAGACAGTCACTGTACGTGTTCATGGAAGGAGCTTGCAAATGAAAGGGGGAATTATCGGCGAAATCGTATCATCATGACTTCGGTAACATTAACTAATCGGTAAGATCTTTAACTTAATTTTTTAAAAGTGTTAATGGGCATTTCAGAGTTTCCTGTTAAGTATAATTTCGCTGAAGATGATCAACGAGACTTTCCATTCCTATGCTGTCCATCCGAAGAAGTCCTGCTTCGATTAAACACTAGTGATCCTTAATAGCGGTCTTCAAAATGAATGACACAGACGCCAACCCAACCCTAGTTGAGCCCTTTCTTTGCTAACTTTAAAGGAAATCGTAATGTGATAGTCAATATCACTGTTCTTGTTTGTACTGGTATTGTTTAGTGACTAATTTTTTAAAAAAATTTTGTGTTAGTCTTGATTATTTGCTCTGGGCGTGATTACTAATTGGGACAGAGTTAGCCTTAGGGGTGGCATAGAGGGCAGAACTGGAGTTGTTCCTCCTAGGGTGGGGTTGTTGTCAAAATTACGTACAGGGATGCATTACATTTGAAAACCACTGTGGGCTATTGGGACCACCTGCAAAATGATGGTCACCAAATAGCAATGTATGCTCCAGTTGAGATTATTCGGTATGAACGTAATTTGGTATTATAAACTGAGCTGATAACATAAATTGGCCACCGGTAAGAGTTTCAAAGCTGATGTTTTGAGCATTAGCTCTTTGTCATGTGCTCTGATGAAGGGCTAACAGCGTTCAAAACGTAAGCTTTGAAACTCTTAACCCTTTAACTCCCAGAAGTAATTAACATGAAACTTCTCCCTATAATATCCTTACATTATTCAGCAAACAGGTGATGAGAATATTTGAACTTATCAGGTAAAAGTTGCTGTCTTGATCTAGCACCAAGTTCTTACAACTAATTTACAAGAAAATGTGTAGCAGCTAGAGGGGAGAATTAACAATCAGATCTTGAGAGTTAAAGCATTAACAGTGGCCAATTCATGTTATCAACTTAGTTGATAATATCAATGTTATTACCTTGCTATACTCTCCCACCAACACAGCACCACAGTTTCTTTAGAAACTTCCCCCTTTTATTAGTTTGAATGTCTTTGATGCAAGGACACAGTGAGTGAAAAATCTTTCCAACAAGTCTCTGAGGCCAGTTACTGCCCACCTTATGAGAAGTGAAAGTTTTTGTGAGGAACTGTCTCTGTGATCAGTTGCAAATATTGAAACTGGCTGGAAAGCTGCCTCTGATCACTATAAAAAAATTTGTTGTGGTGGCAAAGTTTTAACGACAATTGCCCTCCCACACGAGGTAAAGTTTTTCATTCTGCAACTTGTTTTAGAGCAGTAAGACTTGGCTCTGCATGTTTAGTGTAGTGTGTCAGGACCTGTCATCTTTTGAATGACTTTTCATGTCTCATTTTCTCAGGGAACTGAAGAACAAAGCAACTGGTGTTGATATTCTGGTGCCTCAGTACGAACATATCCCAGGACCATTTGGAGGATCAGTTGATTATCACATAATTGTGGTCACACAGTTGTTTTACTTCAAAACACCCACTAAACACAAGGAGTCTGATATTGTGCAGTTTATGGTAAGTGCAAAAAATTACTTAACTCTTTTACACCCTAATACCAGTATGCATATTCTCCATACTGTTCTCTATACATTTCCTGAAGTGCTGACAAGGAGAATTTGTTGAATCATCAAGAGCTTCCTTATATGGTGATCATTTCCTTTATTCTCATGACCTTACACTCAGGGTTAATATTGTAAGGAGAAATTAGATGCTAGTTACTCTTAGAGGTCAAAGGTTTAATTAGAAATTTTCATCAAATGTAAGTTATGTTCTTTTTCCCTAACTTAAACCCTTAACCCTTGGCATAAAGTCAATCGCTCTGACGAAGGGCTAATGCTTGAAATGTCAGCTTTTTTACTCTTTACGGAGGCCAATTTGCATTTTCAACTCAGTTGTTAACACTAAATTACCTGCTATACTCTCTCACTGATGCAGCATCACAGTTTCTTTAGAAACTTACCCCCTTTAACCCTTGGCATGTAACTCTAAACCATGGAAGTATTGATCATGGAAGTGAAATAAAGTGTACTGTCCAGTCAAGTCAGTTGATTGGGTATTTTTCGTCACAAACCATGGATTTAATGCTTTTGTCTTAAGTTAATTCTTTAATTCTAAGATCTCATTTAATAATTCTCCTTACTGCCTGCCTTGCAACTGTTATAATGTAAGTTCAGAGAATTTAGTATTGGATCACCTATAAATTCTCTAATAGATATTTTTATTTATTCCTATCACTTGTCTACTTGGTAATTGGCATGTGATTTTATGCATTTTGTACAACTTTTTGGCAATTATTTATAGATACCACAAAAGTATGAAGTGTTTGAAGAGCTGTGCAATAAGTTGACACAGAAGTTCCCCAGTGTTGTATTTGATACACCCCCAAAGAAACCATTTTTGATCAATGATGCAGTGATCAGCGACCGTCGCCAGTACATGCAGGATGTACTACAACAAATAGCCTGTACTCCTAAACTTGCCTGCAGTTCACTGGTTCTTGAGTTTCTTGGTGCAAAAAGAGGCCATAAAGAGATGAACAGATTTGAGGACACTCATGGCGTATCAGATAAGGTACCTTATATGTATGTTTACTCAACCCTTCAACTCCAGATCAAATTTGTAATTCTCCTTAATGTCAGCCATACAATTCTTATAATGTTAGTTCAGAGAATTTAGTAGTGGATCAACTAATTATCCCCAAATTGATATTTTTCTTTATTCTCATCACTTATCTTGTTGATATTGTATTGATGTTGTAAGGAGAAATTCTGTCTTGGTCACTCATGGGAGTTGAAGTGTTAATTGACCTGACCCCTTCAGTGAGGCTTTTCAGAGCCAATGTGAATAAGGGAAAGAATGAATAAACATAGTGTTTATAAAAATCCTAACTGACAAGAGGCAGATCAGCTTGCTGTTAAACAAATTGACAGTGGTTTAGCATGGTCTGTACTCTTATCAACAATGATATTTGTCATCACAGTGGTCAAAATGTTTTAGACTCACAAGGTGCAGCCATTGCTATTTAGGTTTTATAAAATCAAACATGAACTCCCAAGATGTGATTGTTATTCTCCTCTCTAGCTGTTACACTTTTCCTAGTAAATTATTGACGAGAATTTGGTGTTAGTTCAAGATGACAACTTTGATATGACAAGTCTGAGTATTCTCAATACCTGATTTTTGGATAATGTATATATATATATATATATATATGCAATAAGGAGAAGTTGCATTTTAATCACTTCTGGGAGTCAAAGGGTTAACAGTAATTTTTATTGCACTTAACACAGGATGAAGACACTGCTACAGGAAAGAAAAATACTCAAGAAGAGATAACTGATGATGTTGACCTATTCGCCAGTGTTGAGGGAAAAGATGACCAAACTGAAGATAGGGAAGAAGAGGACTTATTTGCTGCTGCCAAATCATCTGGTCCTCTTCCTAGTTTGGGAGTGAAAGGCTTCTCAATATTTAGCACTGATGATAAAGATGATGCTAATGATGAAGATATTAACAGTCTGTTTGTACCAGCTGGTGCTGAAGAGGGAAACACAGTCAATGTTGATGGAGAAGATAATTCTGAGCTTCTAAAGTGAGTTTCAAACATTGGTTGTCCTGTTCTTTGTATTGTTGTCAGTGTTGTTGTTGCTGTTTTTTTTGCCTCTAATCTTTATCAAAACTAGCCTTGTGAAATGGCTGGTTGTAGAAAATCTAGGGGATAGTGTTCGGTGTAGAGTTTTTACATAACCAGAAAGTAACTAAGTATTTCAATCCATTTCTTTATTCTGAAAAAAATATACATCCATAGAAAAACCAATGACTGCTTGAAACATTCATAACCAGTTCATTTTGCAAAACAAAAAACCATGTGGTCACACTCAGCTTTTGGTTGATTTGAGGTAATCTTTTGTGGGGTGAGGCATTGTACATTTGTCAAATATTGTCTCTCTGCTTCAGTATATCAGATTGGTTTGTTTGACATCATTTTTTATTGGCTGTTAGTAGCTAGTAGTGGAGGTTGCCTGTTATTGGTCAGTCTTGATTTTTTGGTAAAATTTGGTCGTTCAGTGTGGTTCCTTTATTTTGCGAGTGTGGCAAACATGTTTGTATGGTACTGACTATAAGTTGCATCTTTAGAAAAGGGCCTGTTCTGAGTTGGTAAACCAGAGTTTGAAAGTCATCATTTCATAGTAGTTGATGCTCTTGATGCACTACCTTAGTGATATTTATATTGATGTCGCTGGCGGCTAAATGCAGAATTTTTCCATTGTTGAAAACTGTGTTTGCTAAAAATGGCCCAGGGTATGCTACTCCTCTCTATGTTTCTGGAAGTATCGTCACCTACACTTTTCTTTAACTTCAGTTTTTGGATCTGGGAAGTTGTGTTGTTCATTTTTCAATTCTTTATAAACAGGATTGAAGACGACTTAGACAAACTTTTGAGTGTCAAAGCAAAACCTCAGAAGCCACCCAAACCATCACTACCTGTTGCAAAGCCTCGTCTTAAGCCTAAACCTAATCTTAAGCCCAAACCGACTCCGAAGCCCAGGTTTGTCGAGGCAGCTGCCGGGGAGAACGAATTATTTGGATCAGAAGATGCAGAAGCTGCCGAACAGAAGACCAAAGAAACATCCGCTGCAAAGGGAAAACCTGGAAGTGAAGACTTGTTTGATCAAGCAAGGAAACATACTTTTAGGTATGACTGTTCTGTTATTGTGAGCGCTTTTCGATTGAGTGATGTGAAACTATATCTGAAGTAATCCCAATAGTTATTCAAAACGAAAGCGATCAGTCATGAAATAATAAAAGAAATTTGTTCTGCTGTCATGTGATTGTGGAGCATGGGAAAAATCTGAGTCACCCACGAGGAATCTAAACCGCACCTTCGGATTCCGCGCTCCATTTCTCTCACGCTGAGCCACAGAGAACTCTATTGTGAACTGGGCAATTACTAGCTCAACATAAGCTCCCTTGTGTCGCTCACCAGAGTTCTCTGTAGCGCACGGTAGGGTTCCCTCGAGGGAGGAGAGAGGAAGAGTGAAGACCCTGGGAACGAAGTTGTGTAGTACAGTTGTGCAGTAGTTGACAATTGGTGCGTGAAATACAAAGGTCAGGGTTTCGATTCTTCATGGAGACTCAGAACTTTATTTCGGTTTTTGTCCCATACTTAGGTTGTTCCAAGGTAAAAGGTAGCAAAGGGTTTGAAAAAACGAGAGGTTTCCGATGTCGGGTCGAGTCGCGACCCGACCCCAATCGTGGTCTCGTTCCCAGAACTTCCACGGCCAAGCAGTTGTAAGCATTTCAGGTACCGTTAGAGGATATGGGTACGAGATTACCCCAAGCGCTATTTGCGCGCCGAGTACTATTTCGCTCCTTTACGCCAACTGAACGCTTTACGCAGGTAATCCGACGCTCGATACAAGGTGACTAACGTCTTCATTTAGTAATTTTATTCTTGTCTAAAACCCCTTTAGATCATCATCCCATGGAGAGGAAACACTGGACGACATTTTCAAAACGAAGTCACGAGCAGTTTTTGAGACAGAAGACGATGACGACTTATTTAAAACAGTATCGACAGCCGAGAAGCGAAACGTGGAGGAGATGAGTGTGGATGACATAGCCAATTACATTCAACAGAACAAGGCTGACTCGAATGCAAAATTAGATTTATTTTAAAGATAGGCTCCAGGATTTTATGAATAGTTTTATATCTATCAACGCAATCAATAATTGGTACAAAATTAATTCCCAGGAGATCCCCAGTAGAAAATGAAGGGATATGGTGACTCTCTTGTGGTTATAAAACTTTGTCTCACCCTCATCCTCAGGATCTTTCTTTCCCAAAGTTGAGATGGCGCTGCAGGATGCGTGTTTCTCTGCCGCTAATAATAATTGGAACGAGTAGGAGAGAGTTTTGCTGGGGGTCTGGTGCCAATAAATAATTACTAGTGCTTGAACTAGACCCCTGAAAGCCAGTCCGCCATCTAGGAATAGCTGACATTTCCGAAAATCGCCCGGCTCGGAAACTCGTTACTAGTACTCCTCGGCTGCTCCTAAAGCTGGATTTAAGCAAAACCTCAGAAGACCTCTCGCCGACTTGCGTTACCCAATACCTTGTACTTCCTCGCAGGCTAAGAAACACCGCTGCTGAAGCGCCAATAATGAGGAACTTTCTCGGAAGACAAAGAGGATACAAGCTCAAATATTCCATTTACAAGAGACATCGTATAAATAATCGGTGGATGAATTCATGGAAATTTTTTCCGTTGTCATCGCAACGAGTACGTTTCAAGACAAAATCTCCCAGAAGAAGTGAGTGCTTTGAAAATTAGGATCTAGAAACTTTGATCATAAAAATCACTCGGAAAAGCGTTTCAGATATTATGAGATAGAGGAAAGGTTCATGAAATAGTCCGAATTAACCACATTTCTATTTCTCTTGTATCTTGGAGATTTCTTCTGTCACCCACAAACAATAGATGAAAACACTAGAGAACTACTACAAATAAGCCATTTTTGGTTCAACACAAATGAAATAAAAGTATGAAATTAATTCGTTACTTGCCTTCTAGTTTGCTTATGTTATTAATCCTTACTATCTGCCTACGCGCCCGCCTCAGCATTTTTCTTTTCCGTTGGTTTAATTCTTCTGTTTATCAGTGTACCTTACCCTCTGTCTTTCTCATCTCTGTGCCAACTCCTGAACTGTTTCCTATTTAGCTGGTACGATCAGTCACTATCTATCATCTGGAAAAGGATGGATTGGAGTGGGGGAATCAATGGAGTTTTGCTGTCTTGATAGAATTTACCTGATCCCCCCTCTCATTAGCAGTTAATTGGCAGTCACTCTTCTATGGTTCTTTCTTAATACTCTGTTGGCGACAACTTCCCCCCCCCCCTCGTTCCCCCTGAGAACTACAGGGTCTACCCCAAAATCCTCCAATTTTGAGCAGTCACTTGATTTCGCATTCTACACCTACTCAGTCAGCCGAGCATGGAGCATGCTATGATAATCTAGTCAGCGGATTCATTCATTCGTAAAGGACGCCATCAAACTAAGCCATCATGCCAGACAGATCCGGTGAGAAATCAAGAGAGAGATCAAGAGAGAGATCAAGAGAGAGATCGAGAGAGAGATCTAGAGAACCTTCTGATCGGAAAAGGATCTCTTCAGCAGTTGTTGTATCCAAATCTTTCCAAAAAGCCCACGATAAAAGGTAAGTGAAATGCGTTCAGATCAAGCCAACCGAAGAACAGATAAGCAAATGGCTGGCACAAGCGTGTGTATTTCGATCCTTTTCTGCAAGAATACTACCTGCCGTGTTATATTTATCCCTCTAAAGATTTCCATTTACAGTTCAGCTTTCCTTAGTAGGAGATTTAATTCCTGGATATGTTTGTGAGAAGTCGAAAAACTGATTTATATGAATTGCTTATGCTCAAACTATACTAAACAATATTAACTTTTGTCAGCAAAGATCCCGCGGTCGTTTCGAACATGTTATTGGGTGTATTGATTTGTTTTGTTTTGTTTTTTTGTTATTTAGAGATTCTATTAAAGAGAGAAGAGGCTACAGACAGAGATCTCCTGATAATGACCGTGAATCAAACCGAGGAGAACAGAGACTCCATATGGACCGGGATGAGAATAGAAGAGAGCATCGAAAACAGAACATAAGTGAGCGACTTGGGCAACGACCAAGAAAGAGTGATTCCCAAGAAGAACGGGAAGACAACGAGGATCCCAGCACCAGTAGATGGAAACAGAGAAATGAGCGTTATTGTGAGTACATTTGCCGAATAGGTTCTTGGATTCATACTATTCTCTAGTAAACATGCCAACCCAGATCCCCAAAGAACCTTCCATCACAGGCGCCTGCATTTGACCCACTCCCCCTAGGTTAATAGTTGTTTCACCGCGGAGACATCTCCTTATGTCTCCCTCAGGAGAGACAAAAAAGAAATCAGAAAGGTTATTAGGAGAAAGGAAGAAGAAGAAAATGCTGATGAATTGAACACCAAATTCTCAGAACTTAAATTTTGAGATATGTGTCGCAGACAGTGTGGAGGGTTGCCATTTACATCTAAGGAGCAATGGCGCGAAGGATGCTTAATCTGGAGATCCCTCTTGCAAATCTGTCCCCCTGCCTCAACTGGATTTTTTTTCTCAGCTGGTAGTCCTTTGTTAAACTCCTTGATCATGCTGTTAAATGCTCACTAGTAAACCCCAAAGAGGAATTTTAAACAATTTGTTTTATAAAATGATATGTTTAACTGTTTTTTGATGTATTTAGTGAAGAGAAGCCTAAACTACATCATCACCAAGTAAAGTTATACATTTATCCATTTTGTTACAAGACAACTATGGTCAGGGTAGCCCTCAATTTAACAAATCTTATCCAATTTTACAGCTCAACAAGGTAGAGGAGCAGTTTCAAATCCAAACAGACGCACGGTGTTTGATCGGCTTGACTCAGGCCCACCTCGAGATAGAATGTCCAACAGAACTCAACAAAGTGCAGGGTTGTGGGACCAGAGAATGGTTGAAGTGGATGTCAATCCACAAGATGTGCCACGAGGAAAACGTTATTTCATGGTGTGTATATGTTAGTAGTCTCTTGAGCTGCACATGTTTGGCAGAGCTGATCGAGCCACAGAAGGGTCTTCGAAGGTTCCAGACTTCACTTTCCCCCCCCCCCTCCCATTCAGATCAGTGGATTTTTTATCACCTTGCCTCACATCTAAATTTTGCAACAACAGGATTTCTAGTTCTTACTTATTTTGAAGTATTTAGATCATGCTTGCCTTGAACTATTTCCCAGCTTGTGTATGTTTCAGTATGAGACAAAAGTTTTGTGTCTTCTAAATCCCCCCACCCCCCTCCTGCAATCTAACATTCTTGGATCCACCCCAAGCTAATCCTAATTGATGAAGTAGTCTCATGAAATATTTAGAGAGTCCCAGATCTAAAATATGTCCCTCTTCCTGCAATTAGCCTAAGCTTTAGCCAGCATGAAAAGTATATCTGAATGATCTTTCTCAGTAGACCTCTTCAGCTTTGATGTTTTGTTTACTCATTTCTATTGAGGTTTCAAACAAAAGTACAGGAAGCTAGAGAATACTTGAGTCTTTCAAAGAAAAATTAGGGGTGCAGCTGAGGAAACAAAAGTCTAGAGATTGGTAGGAATTGTCTCAACAAGGTCAACATTGTTCCCTTAACCATAAAATCATTGTCTAAACCATTATCTAAAATTTTTTCTTGACTTTTGTTTTATTTTGTCAATTATTAGCACGATGATCGTGAATTACCTAGAAGGCAGAAATCTGACAGATCAAGAGCTCGTTCAAGAAGTCCATTGTGGGTTCATGATAAGTTTGATGACCTTAATACAGAGGAGAGTAAGGTAAGAAGTCTTTCATACCTTGCCTTTCATTTGTTGTCATGTGTGATTTGATGGGTTTTGGGAGGGTTGATTTCATCTTCTTCACTGAAGCCTATTAGAATACTGAAGGGAAACACCAGGCTTGTAATGCTATCAAGTAACTGAGGTGCTTTGGCTCTTAACCTTTTTAAACCCTCAAATCCGTTATAAGTTTTCCATACTGTTCTCCATTTGTTTTCTATGGTGCTTACAAAGAGACTTTACTTTACAATCAAGAGTCTCTTGACCTTGAAATCATTTTCTTCATGACCTTAAGGTTAACCCTAAGTGTTGTCTTTCTGTGCTATTTACTTTATGCAAGTGAAAGTGAGATGTAGTGCTGTTGGTTGCTGTTACATCCTGGTTGTTGCACTGTAATTCAGTAACCCAGGCCCATCTAACAAATTTTCCATTTTCAGAATGATGATGAAGCAGCTCAAAATGATGATGATGATGGTGATGATGATGCCGCAATAGAAATGCAAGACATTGAAGTCTCACAAGAGGAGCGAAGGGAGAGATCCAGGGATGGGCCCAGGCATAGAGAAAATCAGCGCCACAACTAGTTAGCCTTATCTGTAGGGAGCCTGTCTCCTAGACATATTAGATCAGCAAAAGGTTCTGTAGAATTGTGGGGTCATTTGAATCACTCACATTAATGAAGCACTCCATGGTCCAGAAGAGGCTAAACTGCATTCTCAGATAAATCTCTCTTTTTCAATTTTTTAAGGGAGCAGTAAACACATATCTTACTTCTTGACTCCTTGGTCAGACTCCCAATAAATCTTGAGTTGTTCACACTAATAGCTCTTTCATCTAGAGAAACGCTACATTGATATCTTTCAATGATTTAATCACTTTCTTCCATTTTAATCATGTTTTGTAACCATCCATTGTATATTTTTGGATGTGAGGTACGTTTGTAGGACGCTCCTTTAAATAGTATGGTTTATTTAATTCATTAAAAAAAAAAAAACGAAACTTCATTCCACATGTTGCAGAGTATTTTGTGTTTTAGCAGCAAACGTTTTCTTTAACTTAGTTATAAATACACGCTTGAACCACCAGAGTAGAGGACACATGTCATTCACGGCAAATGCACACTTAAAGATATCTGCATCACTGTTTTATGCAATCAGCTGAGAGAAAGACCTCAAAAAGGTCCAGGCAAACGTTATTCAGGGGTTTTTGTTCTCACACTAATCAGTTGTCGAGCATTAGACGGATACCCCGACGGGAAACGAATTTGGGTCAATTCAGATTGAAGAGAACACCTTTTATTATAAGACAAGGTAGTCCTGAGGTAAATCCGAGTGTTCTGATTGGTTCTTACTCGGCCGGATGGTGGCGGAGAAGTGAAACACGAGGGACGATTGGATCGGGACGCGTGACCCAAACTTCCTTCCTTTTTTCGACCCGACCCGAGCCTCTCTCTGAATATGGAAACGAGATCTTATCGGGAAGCATCTAGGTCGACACCGTAACACTGTTTGGTCGTTGAGTGCATGGCAGAAAGTTGGTTGTACGTGGTTTGATCCGTTTCAAGACTTTTCTTTGTCTGGTTCTCGTGCCCTTTCAGGAATCCACCGCCTGAGTACAACTTCCTGCAAATAATGAACAAAGAGGTGCACAGGTACTTTGTTTTCACACTTTAAAAACGTTGATTGAGGTAAATGGATTAAAAATGAAAGCACACACAAGTAAGAGAATCAAATCTTTCCCGAGTTTTCAATAACTTGTTTTCATAGGCGGCTACCGATGATGCAATAGGAAAAATACTGCTAAGACATCATGTTATTACTTTTTACAACAAGGTTAGCAATTACCTGTATTTTAAATCTTGAAATACATTTTGGGGAGGAAAGTTCTTCATTTTTCATGTCTAAAGACAAATACATTCTTGAATGAATGAGCAAGTAAAGAAAAGTAAAATGAACAAACAAACAAATGACAAAAAAGCAGCCGTAAATCAGAATGAATTAATAAAAATGCTACTTTCGAACCTGATGGTTTGATGACGTAACAAATCATCAATTCCTAAAAAAGGAAGGGCACATACGTAAACTTTGTGCTGGGTATAATAATTGTAACAATTGACTACTGTTATAACTTGTTAAAACAAACAAGAGAGAATAAATTTTTATCGCCCTTGTATTACGGAGCTTAACGATTAACTTTCGTCCAATCAAAAGCAAAAAAATTAAACTTTTATCGTCCTTGTATTAGGGAGCCTAACGATTAACTTTCGTCCAATCAAAAGCAAAAAAATTAAACTTTTATCGTCCTTGTATTAGGGAGCTTAACGATTAACTTTCGTCCAATCAAAAGCAAAAAAATTAAACTTTTATCGTCCTTGTATTAGGGAGCTTAACGATTAACTTTCGTCCAATCAAAAGCAAAAAAATTAAACTTTTATCGTCCTTGTATCAGGGAGCTTAACGATTAACTTTCGTCCCACCAAAAGCAAAAATCATCACTCTCACGTAGGCTTCGTCAAAGAAAACCAGGATTGCATTTAGGGAGGGGAGGGAAGAGGAAGGGGTGGAGACTCAGTCAATCAGATACAGAACTAAAACAAAGCGTGACATGGTCACTTGCGTTTTCCCGGGCTTTAGGTAGTTTGCTTGTTTTCAGTGAGTTCTCATTGGCCCCTTAAGACATTCTCATTGTTTTGATTGGCCGTCAATTGGTTTTTGTTTAATGCAACTCAGTCGTAAAAAGGTTGCCATCTGATTGGTTCAGAGGTTGGCGCGTGTTTTCCAGACCAATCGTGGTGCGTAGTTAAGTTAGGGAGAACCAATTTGAGTAGTCAGATTAATTTTGTCACGTTGAAAGACGCGCTGACACTCATACGCTATTCCTGATGCCACCTTCAATCGCGCTCTGTTAACGTGCAACAGCGGCCGTCGGTCGAAAATCGCGGGTTACAGTGCACTGTTACCCGCTGACGTCATAAATTAGCCAATGCTACCCGCTAGGAGACTGTTGACCCGAAAAAGCTTTACCGTTCAATATCATGTGACCCCAAAGTATTCAATTAGAGCATGCGCTAAATAAAGCTACTAAAACAATTACATTTGTATGCTTTAGAATAAAAAAGGACAATACCTTAGCTGCATGTTCATTGACACGCCCTACTCCACACAGCTGACGCCAACTGAGCTCTCTACCTGAGATGGTTTTAGCACTTTTTTCTGTATCCTCGCATTGGTGATCAACCATTTGTACAATCACAGAATAGCTGAAAAATGATAAAAAAGAAAAAATACCAAATTGCAAGCCTTGTATTGAACCTTTCGAGGAAAATGTTATCTTGACAAGTCTGGCGCAAGATACTGGTGATAAAAAATTTCTCCACAGCTCGAAACTTATTTTCTTTGTTTCACCGGCAGCTTTTCAGTTTGTGCTTAAAAAAATCGAACACGATGCGCAGAAAAATAAATACTCGTGAGAGATGAAAAAAGAATAATTACGTATTAATACAGTACACTGCGTAAACATTTAATTGCGTTGTCTGATCGTCCGGACAGGGGCAGTCCTGAGAAGGTCAATAGAAGTAACTGACGTTAGGACAACTAGAGCAGTTCGGGCCCTTAAGAGACTCTGTTGTTTTTCGGAGAAAAATTTTCTTTAAGAGTACGTCCCTTCACCTAAAAGGGATTGTCATGGAAATTTGGAAACCAGTGGGGTAACCTCTGATGAAAAAGTATAGAGGAAACCAATGGGAAGTCACCCTCTTGACCAATCAAATGCACGACTAAAACCAATCCCGACTTAGTTTTGACTTAGTTACTTGAATGTGTTTTCTTATGCTTCAAGCTGGTTGCATGAGCTCTAATTGGCTCCATGGGATATACAATCAGGCAATGCACATGATTTTTAATGGAAAACCAGCCTTAAACCTTATCCAAAAAATTCCTCAGTGAAATATCACTTGCAACATACCTTGAATGATAAAACGGCATACCCTCCTTATAAAGAACTGCAAGTCAAACATAAGTGACATAAAACCAAATGAATAAGCTGACAAGGAATTTAATCCTAATAGTGAACTTAACCCTTCAACTCCCAGATTAAATTTGTAATTCTTCTTACTGTCAGTCATACAATTTTTATTATGTTAGTTCAGAGAATTAAGTATTGGATCAATTAATTATCCCCAAATTGATATTTGTCTTTATTCTTATCACTTATCTGGTTGATATTGTATTGATATTGTAAGGAGAAATTGTGTCTTGGTCATTTATGGGAGTTAAAGGATTAAAATAGTCTCCTTTTACCCAGGAGGTTTGAATAAGTGGAATTTAACCATGCTGCTTTTAATTCACATCAGACTTTTCATTTTATTCACACAAATTGAGTTGACCGAACTTAACCATTTTAAATCAAGAACCCTTAAGCTGTAGCAGTAAAAATTTTCTAATTTCATCCACAGACATGCAAACAATAGTATATGGAACGTTACCCAGGTCTGTTCCATATTTGATTCCCATTTTTGGAACCCATCCCTTGGATCTGAAGTAATGATATGATACATAACTTGGGATGAATTCTTGTTTTGCTTCACAAAAAGCACACCATGTTTGACCCAAGGACAGGGGTTTCTAGATTGAAAAATGAGCAAATTGTAGATTGTGAAGAGTGAGTACAAGACTTACAATAATGGGAGAAAAAGATTGACACAGAGTCTCTACATCCAGAGAATACTTCTACAATAAGAGGCCTTTGTAAAAAAGCCTAAAGATAAAACTGTAACAAATTCTGAGGTTACTGAGGCAGACAAATTCCAAATCAAAAGGGCAAAGGATGGAAATCACTGATGAAGATAAGTTAATATGGATTAACAATATTCAGTGTGGCTTGCAAATTAATAAATTGAAACATCTAGGCTAGCAAAGTTTTGGCTAAATTGAGGACTTGTTACAGTTTCCAAAAAAAATTGAGAGAAAGTCAGTTTAATTAAAAATAAGGAGATAAAGATTTTAAATTCTTGTGCATTCCTACCTTATCCTTGTCCAATACAGACAGACAACCAAGTCCATATGAAAGGAAAAATGCCTGCAAGAAGAAAAGAAATCTAGAATTTCAAGTATCTGATGGATGACATGTACTCTACAACTTAATGAGAAGAATTTTATGAAAACAATGAATGAACTCATATTATCGACCATTTTCTAGTTGAATCTGTAAAATGATAGGTAATAAGCTCTACAAACCTCTTCTAAACTCAACTGTAAATGCTCGTAGACTTTGTAAGGATCATCTTGTCTTGTGGAGCATGCTTTGTGATTTGTTCCTTTTGCTTTTGCGATGGCTCTATCAGATTTCTTTTGATTCCTTTCAAGACTTGGACATACCAAAAAAGAAAAAATATATATGAATTACACTTATTCAAGTTAGATTAATGTTTTTGGTTTTCATTATTAATTACCAGGGGAAATACATTGATCATTACTTTGCACCTCTGATTAGTTAAAAATGTGATCTTGCACTTATATATCAATGCGAGATATATGGCTGGTACATATTAAATGTTTGAAAATACTGTTATGTTCATGACTGTGTTGTGAACTGGTCCAGATTTTCAGCGACAAATTATGCTTTGGATCCAGTGCATGTTTTCACTTTGCTTTGCAAAACTTCTCTGATCTGAGTTTCTTTCTCAGTGGCATATCATGTCATACTCTGTGTAGGACCATAAATGTATGTTATAAATTGTAGCGAGGACTGTTTAGACCCAGCAAAAGAGTCTTACTGATGTCTTACCGACTTGCACTCGAAGATCCACTCTTATTTCTCACAACATCTTGCATTACTTCATCCAGGTCCCTGTTAGTTATGCTCGCCTCGCCATCTCCGTTGGAATTACTAAGCACATTTCTATCATCATCATCATCATCATCATCGTAATCTAAATCATCATCATCCTCCTCTTCTTTGTTGTTGTCATCATCATCATCATCATCATCATCATCATCATCATCATCATCATCATCATTGGATTGTGTTTCAGTTTCTATTGTACCATTACAAAATTCTAATTGATTGACAGATGTGACATCTTTCAGCTTAGCAGTCTCCACCTAACACAAAACATCAAACTTGAGATTTCTGCAGATTTGTACTCAGGCTTCTACTCAGTTCTTTTAAAACACAGCTTGTCACTGGGCATCAGGGTTGTTAATGTTGTTGGGATTTTTATTAATTCAAACAAACAGGTTCGGCCAATAAGCTGTCTGAATACACACCATTTAACTTACATGCATTCTTTTTCTCTTTTTAGGGGAAGGACTAATTATTCCTTTCTTATTGACAATTTTATCTCCCAGTGATTCATATGTCTTTTCATCCTGTTTACATGTTGTGCCAGTAGCTTGCTGCCACCACTGCTTGTGATTTTTAAATCTGAAAAAGAGAGAGAAAAAATTCACACTACTTCACCCAACTGAGCATGCAATAAATTGAAAAACAACAAAATTCATAGCCTTGTTGAATCTTAAAATTTTACCAAAAAATAATTTAAAAAATTTAGGTAGCAATATCATAAGTGACTGCTTTGCTCCACTGTAACAGTACTTGTACAAAGTAATTTTTACCTCTCCTTCCTTACAATACGAAACTTTGACTGTCTAATTTCTCTCTCCCTTGGAGGTACTATAAAATATTGCAAATACATTGCAGTGAAATACAGATAGCATAAGTAACATAACTGTGTAAGAAATAAATATAATTTTATAAGCTGGTACTTAAATATAGGGTTATGAAATTAACTCTTAATATGTCTAAACCTAAATATTAAAATTTAAGGCAATGTATGATTGGGAAGCAGTCCAATACAGGCATGACAATTGTTCCTAAGCTGTGTTCACTAAGGAACTGTAAAAAGTCTTACAGGTGAGGAAAGGTGGCAGGCATCTTTTGCTCTTTTCTCTATTCAGTGGAACTGCCCATTCTTATTTGGATAACCTGATCCTATCTACTTGTCACTAAGATCCCCCACCCTCTCCCCCCCCCCACCACAATCCCAGTTACATGCAGTAACATCAGTAGCTCTTCTAACAGTTGACAATCTAATAGTATTCAATACTTACATCTTCTTAGCTTTTCTGATTTTGAAAATGCTTTCTGAGAAATATTTGAAATAGTTTCATATTCAGGTTTGCTTCTTGACAGAAATCCTTTCCCAAAAAAACCCTACAAAGAAAACAGAAATGAATTTTTGAAGATACTACATATAAACGTGATGATTTTCCATTAGTCTGCTGAGGTTTAGAAATTGAAAATGCATTTGGACAGGAGGAAAGTTGGTAAAATGAAGATGTAGCCATAATCAAAAAGTTGAAATTACATCAGAATCCTACTTGCTCAGAGTGCCAACCTCCATGTAGAAAATCTCTTTCATTTTTAAATTTCAAATTACGATTTTTCTCTTCCCTCCCCCTTTTTATTTTTTTTGCATTCACACACAGCACACATGATATCACAAATTAGCCAGACACATCAAAGAATGCTAACCTTGACATTAGAAAGCTGACGTAAAAATTTTTCACACACTTTTGTTGATTTGTTTTAACAGAGTTAAGTTCAACTTAGTTGTTTTTGAGCTTTCATTCACGCAAATTTGTCACCCCTTAGTTTGAAATTTTCATGCAACAAGTTTAATACATATCTTTTACGGAATTTGGATTCTAGCCTCTCTTTATGTAAATAATTTTTTAACACTCCATGTCATGTTGTCATCATCGAGGTTTTTTTCTGTGGTTGACTTCCTTATACCTTCGGTGAAATGGGAAAACACTTCTTAAAATAAAGGAAAATAAAGCTGAATACAGACGTGTGGGTCTTATGCCCAGTGCTGCTATTCACATGCCGATTGTGCAAAAAATGAGCTCTAGCTCAAGAAATTCGTCAACCAAGAAACAACCGCACTTATTTTAATCAAAAATTTAACATTTTCTGCAAGCTTGGTTGAATGAGATTCCAGCCAAATTTGGCCGGAATTTGAGACTACCGAGTACCAAGTATTTTGCAAACAACAATTACTGAATGTACCGCTACACAGAGTCTGTAAAGGGCACTACTTTAAAAAAAGTGAATTTAATCCATAACTATGATCCAACGAAAAAGCAGAAGATTTAAATCGATGTACCAAAAGTATAAAATTTCAGGGGAAGGATGGGGAGAGTCGCCACACCTGACGATGACATCCACGACAGGCATGGACATTCTCTGTAACTCACCATCTTGTAAAGAAAAGTAAGGTCCCCTGAATCTTCAATTACAACGCAATTATCTCTGAAATGACCAGTGTAATAATACCATCTATCAGTGGAAGATTGTTTCCCTGAAATACTTTGAATGGGAATGGGAAATGGAGCTTCTTTAGGATGGAATCTAGCGCCTTTCTTACGCCTAGGAATCCGTCCTACGTCCGCCATATTTATTCTGGTTTATATTGGGTTCTTCATATACGACGTATACTTCTTCGTTCCTGAACCCGCTGCAATGTATTGCTTGCGCATAAATATTAGGGCGGCTGCTAAGTCAGTTTGAAAAATGGCGGTTAAACCGACGGTTATCCAATGGGAATGAGTACAGATACTCACTTAAAAATTGTTGTAGAATCTGTGCGGCTGCTATCATGACTACAGGAGACCTAAAAAATAACCTTCGAAAGCTAATATCTGAACTGAAGCAAATTAATTATCCGCAAACTGAGCTCAACCTCAAAGGAATCGCCCAGGGGATTCCAAAAGCATTTCTTCCAATCGTTCATCATGTGTTCCTTGATTATTCTATCTCACTGGCACAGTACTTTGCATCCAAAGAATACGAATTTTACGGAAAAACGGATTCACGGTTTATGGAAACCGTATACAAAGTTCTTCGTGACGAGTTTGGCTACAAACCACAGCTTACAAGGGAGCAATTTCTAACGATTGGATTTGCTGAGAGAAAGATTATTTTTCTGTGCGCCATCTTAAAACTCCTGAGAGAGAAACATAATGAGCTCAAACCTAAAGGCGGAAAATTGATCAAGAAGAAAGCGAATCAAACTTCACAGATGAATGGCACCAACGTCAACGGAATAAGCAAGGAAACACATTTAAAGAAAGATGTTTCGGCTCGCTCTGATCATTTTGCAGGACCTCTTCCTCCTGACACGGACATGAAGAGGTTTCGGAGTAACGGAGAGGCTATGAAAGCTGGTTTGGGATTGAAAGAACCCCTCATAACTCGTGAATTTATTGAGAGTGAGCACGAGAACCATTATATGTCGAAAGCTGAAGGAGTAGATGTAAACATTGGTAAATCAGGAGAAGTCCTAGCTGCTAAAACTAATCCATTTCCGTCAAATTTGATTGTCAAATCCAGTGACCAATCGCTCTTTGGTAAGAAATTTCCAGTTTCTCAAAATGTTGAGACTCGTTCATATTTGTTTGATCGGCCTCAAGTTAAATCGGTGACATGGGAAGATCAAGGTACAGACTCCCAGAGATTTCCCACTGAACGACCTGAAAAAATTTTAGGCAAACCTCAACCAAATCCAATATCAGTACCAGTGAGTATCCATGAAATTCCTTATTCAGTGTCATCGCCAGAATATTATCCATCATCCTTTGAAGACACAGCCAACAGAGGAATGAATCCACATTTGGCTCCAGCCCCAGTTACCAGGACAGCAGTGCCAGAACCAAGCCCAGATCTGATGCTCACGCCAACTGTCAAGAGCACTTGTTATGAAGCCATTCCCATTTCCAGCTCTGATTCACAAGTTTATTTGCATTCAGATGACAAAATTTCACATGCAAGAGTAGTGAGGCACCCAAAAGCCAGTGAAGGCAATACTTTCAATGGCTTTGTATTCAATCCAGGTTCTTCTATAGAAAACCAAGTTCTCAAACAACAGTTACAAGAGCTACAGGAGAAATTTGATGGTGTGGTATTGCTGAACAATGACATGTCTGCAAGAGTTGCACTCTTGGAGAGTAAAGTGAAGTTACTAGAGGAAGCATGCCAAAGAAAGTCTGACTGTTATTGCAAAAATCCCTTGGCTGCAATACCTGCCAAGGAAAAAACAATGAAACAAGATGATGCACATGTGGTTGTGTCTGGTTTTAATATTCACGATGAAACAAGATCAACTGAACAATCTCACATGACTAGCCTGAGCATACCACCTAAAATAGTCGGGGGGATAAACAGTGCAGTGCACAAATCAACTAGCCAAAAACTGTTCAAAGAAACAACAACTTCTCTTGGCAATAATGATGCAGTTATTGAATCATCTTCTCATTCAGAAGTGTCTGATGATGATCATGGCAAAGATGATGATGATGATGATGATGATGGGAATAGTACTGGCAAAGTTAACAGCATTCCATCGGATCAGAAAGATGCAGATATCATCATAAGTCCCTTTCCTTCATCTTCAAAACTTTCAGCTGTATTTTCTGACCCTTCAACAAAGAATTCTGTAGTAAATGTCCACAAACGGCTCCAGGAAACCAGGGAGCTTCTCAGAAGGACAAACAGAGACTTTGCAACAAAGTTTTGTCATTACCAAGTTGAATAAAATTTATCTTCTAAATAACTGCTTTAAGTACTGTGTTTGTTTAAGACAGCACCAGTTGGATTTACCTTCAAGTGTAAACATGTACAGGTGCATTAATATGGAGCTCTGTCATCCATATTGTGTCTGGACATTGTACTCTAAGCTTTTTTTGACTATGATGAATGTAAAATTTTTTCTAAGGAGATTTTCTGGTGAAATCTGAAAAGCTCTCCTTCTTACTAAGTTGGTGTTATTATGTAGAGTGTTCAAGTGTGGGTGAATATAAGTTAAAACTGAAACATGATTAAAAATCCGATGCCTCTTTTTGTCTCATTTTCCTTATGCTAATACCAGCATACATCAGTGAGAGGTTACATCAGTGAAGTGCTAAAAAAGAATGACCAAGTTGGTTTGATATTCAGAAACCACCTCCAATCAACTCTCTTATTTGATTTTGAAACCTTCCTTTAGACATTACCATCACTACTGACTAGTTACATTTTGTTAAATCTCTTTGTTCATGTTGTAATAGTGCATCCTCATTAAAATTGTTGCGTGACTCACCTTCTGGCTTCTTCCTGTAGGGCTGTCTTTAAACATTTTGTGTAACATTGAGCCAGTCTCTGCTTGTTAATACTACATGTGTCAATTGTCTATTTAACAGTGAATTTTGGAGGATTTACATGGTACAGGTTGTTTCAGGCAGAACAGATCATGGAGTATCAATAAGGGATTCAGAGAATTGCCACATAGCAAGTTGCAAGATGGAAAATAAGCTGCGGTAACGACATCCTTAAGGTAAATTAATACCATTGATAAGTACCTGCATCTTCATTTGATAACCATCACTTAATTACTATATCAGATATTACTTCAATACAAAGCAATTGTTTTGTTTCAACTGTGATAGTATCCTTTTTTTTGCATTGCTTGTTGTCTGACCACTTGCTATGTTGAAAAGAAGCCATTTTAGCTAGATTAGCTACTCTTAGGAGTAGTAACCCTAGAAATGGATAACTTGCCAAAATGGCCTCCTTGCAACAATGTACAGTACCACTTGCGCAGACATTAACTGCACAGATGAATTTTGTATGCTCCAATACAGGGTAGTCAGACGCATATATACTATTTTTTTGCACGCATGGTTGAAAAAAATGCGCGATTCATGTGCCTTTGTCATTCAGTGCTATGTTTCCTTTGTATTTCATTGTTGTATGAAACAAAGGACTTCTAGGTTTGAAAAAGCGGCAAGTAGACAGTCACAAAGCAAGCAATGCACTGTGAAAGTAAGGTGAGGTCTTTTATTGAGAATTTGATTGTATTTTTTTTAATCCTAAGAGCAGTCATAAATATTCCCATACCAACTCTTATAATTATTTTCACCCCGAATCTTACTATGCAAGATGATCATCTCAAAGCGGGAACTTGGGCTGCCTGTGAGGAAACTAATAATGCACACATAACTACGGGCATAAAGGATAAAACCTTTATTTTGAGAAATGAAATTGCACTCTTTCTTGCAATAACAGAACATAGCACATAATGCAAATAGAAATTAAATTAGTTTGGCAGGAAATAAATGCATGAAATACAACTTTTGAATGCAGTACCTACATAACAAACCTACAGAACAAGCCATATTGCAGAGGTACATGTAGCAGTTAAATGATGCCCTCTCTTCTGTTGAATTCCTAACCCCAAAGAGAATGACTTGTAACGTCTTCCAACAATTTAATTCCATTAACCAGTAAACAGTTTAGGGGAATACACATACTAATCAGCTTCCTATGCCATCTATGAGAGGCAAGATTGAAATTACATATTATATATGTTTTGTGCTAGAATGTAATGGATGTTTTTATTTATTGGTGATTTGTAAAACATCATTACATGAATGTAAATAACTATAAATAATTTTGATGTTTTTTCTTTATTTTTTTCTTTTTTTTCATAACCCTTTAACCCATTAAACCCTGAGAGTGATCAGCATCTAATTTCTCCTAACAGTAACATGGCTGAATCATTTGTTAAGATCATGAGAATAAAGGAAATGATCATCATCCAAAGAAGCTTTGATTGTAAAACAAATTCTCCTCATCAGTACTAAAGGAAACATAAAGAAAGGAGACTAGAGAATGTAGATACTGATGTTAGGATGTCAAGGGTTAATTGGCAAAATAGTCTCACTCATACACCTGAATTTTTCAAAGAGGAGCAGGTACTTTCTTATTACAAACCTTTGGTAATGCCCACACTAAAATGTTACATGGTTACATGTACCCATAACCTGTGATCAGGAATTATTGTTGCAGGTGGGGGGGATAGCCTATCCCATCTTTCATCTTTCAATAATGGTCCGTTTTATAGTTGCAAGCTTGGTTGCCAAGCCTTTGAACAGGAGTGAGGCTAAGGAAGGGGGGGGGGTTGTTAGGATACAAAACTTGCTGCTTTTCAAATGTAAATTACTTTGTTATCATGCTATCCAGATACTGGTCTCTACCACAGCAAGGTCACCTTCAGCCACACTCCAAATCAAAGGCTTGGCAACTAAGTACACAACTGTAGAATAGCCTATTAACTGTTACACTATTGCCATCCCCTGACAAGGGAAAACTTCATTGCAAAATACAGTGATCACCCCAGACTTGCCATTTTTTTTCTAGAGTCTGTTATGAAACCATATTAAAGTAATAAATTAATTCAGCCGCTTTAAGAGAACATTTTTAAAGTATATCCTGTACACCTACTTGGATATTCAGCATGCATGTTATATGAAAAAATATAAAATATGTTATGAATTGTTTGATTTCATAACTTAAATAGTAAATATATATCTATTTTCTGTATTTATTTACACAGTAATGTCAAAACTTGGTCTGCTGTATTCTATTGTTGAGTGTAAATTTGTTATCAACTAGGATTTTCTTGAGGAGTCAATTCAGAGATACTCTTCAGTTTAAGTGGCTCTTCATTATCTTGTTTAGGAGCTGGAGCTTTCACAGCTGAACCCTGTCCTTGAATTGCTTCACTCATCTTCATAATAGCATCCATTTGTACCTCTGGTATGGCAGGGTACAATACAGCTGGACTAAAGAGAAAAAAACAAAACAAAGAAAACATTGAATCAAATTTGAGCCAAACAGACTAGCTTCAGAAATGTTCTGTGTTTAGGACTGTGTACCAATCAATGACTCCTTTTATAAAATGTAACAGAGCTCTCAAGTCAGTTTGCAAGCGAAGAGTGAGATTTTGCCTTTGATTGTAATGCCATAGGCATCTCCTTCCTACGGGGGTGGGGGTCCTGGCCAACATTCATGTTTTAGTGTATTTACCTTCATGTGAATGAATCTTATAAATGGTTAATTTTTTTTATCACATTTTGGTCTTTCAATCTGGAACAAGAAATACTAACAATTTAGTCTGTACTTACGCTACTCTGTTCTTTTTCATCCTTCTAATTATTTTGTAGTGACTTAATTCTGGATGCCTATTTTTCCGTGTTATTCTGAAAGAGTTGGGTAAAACAAATCAGTTGTTGGTGCAATTTAACTGTTACCAAATGAACATGTAAGTGTAATCAGAAAAAGCACAAAAAAACCACAGCTATATACTGGCTACTCAATTCATTATAATTCAGTGCGAGATTTGAATTGAGTGCAATAATTGGAGAATTCTCCCATCCCTGATGTGCAGCAAACACTCTATATTACCTGCGCCACAATTTCTGCCAGGTCTGTAATGTATTCGATGTCCAAGTCCAACTACTCATGGCAATTCCTGTGCCAAAGAGGGAGGCTAATTCCAGTTCAATGATGCTGAGATCAGGACGTGTACCCACAGAACATGTTGCTTTCCATGTTTGCCCACGTGCAACCTTCTCTGCAATGCATCTTGGAAGAAATAAAATAGTTTGCAAATATGGTTACCTTCATCATATTCAACTAGTCTGATATCATAAATTTTTAGTTTAGGTGACCATTCAGTTGTGTCTAAGTATCACATAAAGGCAGTTTTTTTTTCCTCAACCCTTTAACTCCCAGATCAAATTCATAATTCTCCTTACTGTCAACCATACAATTATAATGTTAGTTCAGAGAATTTAGCTTTGGATCACCTAATTATCCCCAAATTGATATTTTTTCTTTATCCTCATCCCTTATCTGGTTGATATTGTGTTGATATTGTAAGGAGAGATTATGTCTTGGTCACTCATGGGATTTAAAGGGTTGATTTATTCATTTTTCAAAAAAAGCATTACTTCCTTATAAATTTATTGAAAATAATTACAGAAATTTACTTGATGCACTTGAGCTTTTTAAGGCAGAATTGGAAGTTTTAAGAAGTGAAATGTCATTCAATACTCTTGCAACATATTTCAAGAGTAGAACTATGAGCCACATTTGCCATGCTTCAGGGACATAAACCCAACTAATGTGAAATATCACCTTATGTGGTTAGATGTACAATGACTGTTTCTGGATATTTTTTTAATATATTTTTTAATTTGCCAAATCAGTCTGACTTTTATTGTACTTGGTTTTATTACAAAATTTAGTAAAAATGAGAAGAAAAAAAAGAGGGAGAATGAAAGTTAACAAATTAAAACAAAATAACCGAAAAAAGATACTGTGACAGTTCTTGAAAACACATAGTTGATTACCAGAGCACCAATTAACTTTCTACAGAACAGAAACATTTATCAAAGTTTAAAATCACCTCCCTAAAAATCAGTAGAACTAGGTACTAATACTTACCTTACAAAATCTCTGTAGCTCTCCTCCCAAATTTTTTGGTTGTGATATTCATACACATGGCAGGCAAAGGTTGTAAATACCGTCAAAAATGAAATAAAAGAAAATACACCTGTGGAGTTTTACCATAACATAATTTTTATCAATATAACATGGCTTAAGCTCAGGGTCACTTAAATCAGCAGGAATCAAAGAATCCTAATCAAAGGAAAGACCAACAAGGGTAGGGTAGCAAAGGGTTACACAAGAGATACCTGATTAGGATCTCCTTTCCCCCCCTTCCCCTCTTTGCTACCCTCATTAACCAAGTTACATTTTGAGTTGGAAGTTTAGATCAATGTCAATGTCAATGTCTGAGAAACTGTGCACCTGCCCCTTCCCTAACCCAACAACAATTATCTAATAACAAGTTAGGGTTAATGTTGGGCTAGGAGAGGAGTAGGTGTGCAGTTGCTCCGATATTGATGATCTGAAAGTTCTTGATATAGTTTTTTTAATTCATATTACAAAGGTTTTGGTTATTGTTGGTAGTTCTTTTGTTTGAATTGGAATATTTTCAGAGAAAGTGCCTATGTGATAAGATTACCCTTCACTCACCAACTCTCATGATAGTTTCTTTGATTTTATGAGCAGCTCTGTGGCTCAGAAAATTAGGATTTGCCCTGCGAAGCTTACACAGAGTTGCAAGACCTAAGATCAAGAAATGAAATTAGTATAAATACAGTTATGGGAGCTAAGAAGTAGAACACAGTGGATGTATGGTACAAAAGTTACAAGATATGTGACCATAATAATAGTAAATACAAAGAGAACTTAGACAAGTAGGCCATGCTTGGTATCAAAATATCACATACTTTGATTCAGTGAGTTGATGACCAACCTTGTGTTAAAAAGCTCCCTCCTATAAGCAGATCAAGACCTAATGGCACCAATAGGAAGATGGCTCTCATATTGGGATTCTTGTAACCAACAAAACAGATTCCACTCAAAGAGTTTGCATCAACCTTTAATTTCAATGCAACAAGAAATTACTTGCTATCAAAAGTAACCAGACATCTGCTTAAAAAATTTGTTCAGAAAATGTATTGTCATGAAAAAAAAAGAACACTTGGCCAGTATGTGATATCGCTCTGATTCCTACCCAATTTCAAAATTCCATTTTAAGATTCATAAATCATATGAGTTCTTACAGTATCAGACTTGAAAAATGAACTTTTAAGTTGAAGTGATTTATTTGTTACAGCCTCACAGTAACATTGTTGGTTTTAACTGCAATTTTAAAATTTTGATGAGATTTTGCTCCACTCCCAGTCTGTGAATCGAGGGTTGAGAGACTAGGATGCTTGACTGTCATTTCTTTATTTTTCAAATCAATTATTTAGACATTTTTTTCAACCAAGCCTTATCAGCAATGTCATTTCTAACATTTTGTCTGCCAAATTGTTACCTGTTTCATAGCAAGAGTACCGATTGCCAAAGTAAGAGGAATTAACCAAGCTATTGCATGAAAATAAACCACTTTCCCAGCAAAGTTATCTCTGGTGCTTCCCAGAGACTTAAAACAGATGGACCAGGAAAATGCCAAGATGACAAACCACAGGGCTCCCACCAATGAAAAGTAGTACACAAGAACAAAGGTTAGAATGCACAGGAAACAGTCATTCTCACTGAAAAAAAAGATTAAAAAAAAAAAAAAAAACCAGGTATTGTTTGTGGAAGCAATTTTAAAACATTACTGTGATGTTTTCAATTTTTAGAGAACTTATACAAGGTTCTGAACAATGATAGGGTACTTGGAGTCAATCAAAGATCTTACTGTCCAATAATATCAGTGTGAATCTTGCTGCATTATGTCATGACCTAGACCTTAATATTTCCCCGCATGGCCCTCCTATATAATGGACAAGCATCCCATCCTAAGGACATAGCGATACTCCTTATTATTCCAAGCAAAAGAAAGTGGGATAAACTCCAGCTGGATGGGCCCATTAAGCTCAACCACAGACTTCACCCTTTGTCTGATCTCCGACTCAGTTAAGAAATCTTACCACCTTATCACAATGTAAAGAGTTACCCTGGTTCCTGAAGCCTCATAGTATCATCCTCCCGACATACTGTGCGGTTTCTGGCCCCATCAGCAAATTGGATGAGAAAACCCATAGATGCTGCACAGAAGCAAGTGTTCATATAAAAGAGAATAACTGATGGATATCGATTCTGTGACTTCCAGCCAATAAGAAATGTAATCTGTGGAATAGGGGAGATTGATGTACAGTTGTAATTAAAAGATAAACTTGCATGAATTTAACAGAACAAAATTCAAGAAAATAGAGAAGAACTAAGGTACCATTGTGAAAAGGCTGCATGTAAATGACAAACTTCCAAATGCTCCCACAAATCTGTGAATTCTTGTGTGCTCTTCAGTGGTAAATATAGGGTTTTCACACTGGATACCACACCCCTCAATTCCCTCATACCAACTGGACTCGTGCTTTGTTGCCACTAAGGGCCTCTTGCAAGCTGACTCATTTAGCTGAAGTTCAGTTACCTGATAGATATAAATAATGAACAATGTTAACTGCAATTTAAGTATCTCTTTATCTTTTTTATATCATTTATAATCTTGATTCAATTTTGGAGTTTAGGTTCATTGGATACTTCCAATGGGGCAGACTCCTTTACTTGGCCTTTGAGTGGTTCTTGCTTCATGTAAATGTGCTAAAAGGCAGACTCAGAATGAATGCAAGGGGTTGGGTAACGAAAAGACAACTACAATCACCAATTACCCCTTTACCAGATCCTTCCCTATCTCCACCGACTGGGAGTCAGGAACAGGCTATCTTTTGTAGAGTAATGGTGGGCCGCACAGAAGTTTGTACTGAGCTCCAGCACATCTCCTGCTGCCACTTACCTGATACCCTAAGAACCAGGATAAGGGAATGCTTTAGTCAGAGTCAGAGTCAGAACATCAGAGTCAGAACCAAATTTTCACTAAGCCTATAAAACCAGTTCACATGTATTTTGGCCTAAACTACAGTGTTATATGTAAAGCTTTTTTAATTTCAGCACTGGTATTTGTTTCTATTAATACCCAGTATTTGTATTAAAGGCAGCTTTTCAATCTTTACCAAGCAACAAAAAGAAAATTACATGTTAGCTTAAAAATATGAATTTTATTATCCCCTGGCATGAATAATATCTCTCTCATTTGCTGCGCTCTCTCTTATGAGATATTGTCTTTCCCACTTAAACACAAAATTCATATATCTTCTCACCCTGGAGTAATATCTTTGTGTTTTCTTAATAGAATTTGCAATGTGTTTTCTCAGGCCATTGAAAGAGCAATTGACCTTGGACACAAGACATAGAGACATTTGGTCAGACCACCAACAGTGTCAGTCAGATTCCATTAGTTCTTCATTTAAATTACAAGATATCAGTTTGTAATATATTCTAGAACTTTCAAGATCTCAGTGTTAGTGTTCTTCACATTGATACTCTTAGGTATATTAAGTTCAGGTGAACAACATTTATCTAAAGTGGTATATCGATTTTGAATAATCAGCTATAAAGCTAATAAGGTACAAATTTCCCCGTTGCAATATGGGTCAGCTCAGTTAAGTCCTTGAGAGGACGTTGAAAGTACTCAGATGAATGCTCGTATGCACTGAACTGTTGATAGTAAACACTTTATTTCGTCTTCCCTCCTTGATTCTGTTACCTCGCTATCGTTAATGGCAGATGATTTTTTAGGTGAAGCCCAGATTAGTACTAGCCTTAAGCCTGCTATCACTAACAATCCATCATGTGTACTCTTATTGAAAGTCGATTCAGTTGTTTTTAGATGACACATTTTCTTTTTAATCCAGAATGTTGTAACAATTCAGGGAAGAGGCTCGTCGGGGGCAAATTCCAAAACGGGACACGTATCATAATGCCCCCCTATGCTGACTGGGTTACATGAAATTGTAAAACAATTTTATATACATGACATCTGTCGTCTGTGCGTGTTAGACAATCAACTAAAATATCAACCGCATTTTTTTTAATACGAACATGGGCTGGATATCGGAAAAGTTATGTTTTACTGTACTATCATACTATTCAACTTACCGAACCGCCCTTGCAGTTTCCAACAGGGAAACGTTCACACTGTAAAAAATCTGGCCATTGTTCTTTGTAGCGTTCGACTACAGAACACGGCTTCCGAGTAGCAAGACACTGTTCCCTACAGGGCAATGTGACGTTATCATTGAAGCATTGCGGCTTGTAAACTTGACACAGAAGTGGCTGAAGAACCGACCAGCACTTGGATAAGAATTTCAATCCTTCCCATTTCTTTAAATTTTCCTCAACGTCCAGCTGAGTATCAGAATCTGTCACTAAATCTAACGTTGTGAAGTTGTAATCTAAACGTGATCCGAAGCACGTTTGATCCCTCAGTGGTTCACACTGAAAATGCCCACCGTCAGTTCCTTTCAGTGAGAAGTATAAAACCGAGAAAGCATAGAGACACAGAAAAGCCATGCAAAACGAAGATCGGTATAAATACGTACTTCAAACGCACACTAATCCTCGGGATTTCTCGACTATTGGACATTCCTTTACACCGACAAACAGGTTATTAGATTTCATGTAAAGTGATCTTTGTTTGATTTATGATTAACTTGTTAACTAATTAAACTGGATGTTATTGAACGTTGACCAAATAAATATAATTCACAAATCACGTATGAAATAGTCAGAGGCAGTACCCAGTAACATTTGACAATTGTAACGACTGTGAAATGTACGCTATCAAGAGAATAATGTTGTATTTTATGTTTTTTCGTTCTATTTTATCGTCATTTTCCTGGGGAACATTTTTTGTACCAAGTGATAATTGTAGTGTTAGTCAATTCCCACGAGATACACATAGAAATATATTAATTAACTAAAGTTGCCGACGTTCCAAAACGTGAAATTGGAAGTTATTGGTTTCTATGGGTTGGTACTTTCTAAAATTGAAAAATGATAAAACAAAAAAGAGGGAAAAATGATAACAACATCAACAACAAAAAAGTGGCTTTGAAAGAAAAACTGAACATTCGTGGCCCGTAAGTTCCAATTTTTTCGTGTTTTACATGGATAAGTTAGGCATAGTAACAAGGAAACATGTTTTCTCGGATGCGGAGGGCGGTTAATTTTCCAAGGAAAACCTTATTTTGAATTGGATGTGGCTTAACAGGGACTTGCATGAATTGCATCTTACACAGAGCCTTCAGTTTTACTACTAAGGCAGTTGATCTAATCGCGGACTGACGAACCGTGAGACAACTCGCCCCAAGAAGACAAATCGTAATAGCCTTATTTTGCAAAACCGTTTTACTCTTAAAATAACAAGATAACTAAGATACATTTTGAGTAATTTTAGCTTGGAGATTTTGGTGTTATACCATACGAAATCCTCCGGTTGATATTTCTATTTGTCTCATCAACTCTCTGCTTAAAACTAATGTTTTCAGGAAAAATTTGCTACAGAAGAATTTCCTTTTCCCGTTTGCGAGTACACACAACCTACAAGGAGACCGGAAGTAATCTGTTTACCGGAAGATCTACCTTACAGAGGATCATGGGTAACATGTCCGCCATGTTGTCGATGGAAAGTGATAGACCTGTGAGATGATTGATATATCGCAGACAATTTGTTCTATAGTTGTGTTAACTCTAGAAGTACGGCTTCACTCTGCAAGATGTAACACTATCGAAAGACTGTCTTTTGCAATTGGGGGGCTTGAGAGATCTAAATGATGAAGAAATTTTTCTCGTCGGGAGGTGGGAACGACCATCAAAGTGGTTTTGTTGGCAAGACTTTGGTGGTGGGACGATGTCAGTGCATCGTCGAAGAAGTCATCGCCGAAGGTATTTGTTTCAGTTTTCTCTTTTTTAGACATTTCTTGGCTGTTAAGTAAGTTGTGCAATGAGTTTTGGCAAAGTAGAGTCAGTTGCCAGGAGCGAGTCTATCCTTGAAGTATTTTAAACTATGACAGATTAGTGAGCTTAACTGCCTTTGTTTTGGATAATAATACTCACCTCGCAGCTCATTTTACGTACACTTTCATGAGCCGATCCATTAACTGTAAAACTTTAAAGAATTTTGCTCCAGGGAGAATTCGATCGAACTATTTTGTCATGAAAAAGTCGACGCAATTCTTTCATCTGAAAAAAAATTACTTCTCGTTTTTAAGTCGTTGGTTATTTAAGCTTGAAATGTAACATTCCACCATCACATCCAACAGGTTTTGAAAACGAAAAATTTCCACATCACATTACTTAAAATAGAACCACGCTCTGGATGTGTATGAAAATGTCAGGATGAAGATTTTTATAACTCTCCTCCAATACTCTCCTTCGCATGATTTATTTGATTTTCGCCACTTAATTGGTCCAGAATCACCGTTTACTACCTACCATTATATAATTATACTGACAGTAAACAATTGTGAAATCAGTTTAGCGGATAAGGGGAGGTCAACGATATAAAATTAGTCAAGATGGGTTTAACAATTTGGGGTTAGAACTTTGGAGATAAAATTGAGCAAAATGATATTCGAATGGCAAGATTTTGGGTACAAGATAAAAAATGTGTTGCACAGTGTAGAAAATGCAACGATAGAGCACAAACCCACAAAATAATTGGTGCTCCCATTAACATTGGAAAAGTGGAAAAAGTCTTCAGTGTGATCATGACTCGGATAGTGACAGCATAGTGATAATCATAGTTTATAAATTAACCCAGAGAACAATTTTTAATTTTGATTGCCATTTTGTTGGGAAAACAAAGAATAAATTGCTCATGTTTACTTATTGCCTTTTTCTTTTTTCTAGGAGGATTTTCCTTGGTGTTCCTTGTGAGAGTTCCCAGTGGAAAGAAACATGCTCTCAAACGGATCTCAGTCAACAATAAGCATGACTTAGCAATCTGCAAGCAAGAAATTGACATAATGGTTTGTTGAACCATCTTCCATACAAAGCTTTTGTGTTTAATCCTTTAATTCCCAGACGTGATTAACATAAAACTTCTCTCTACAATATCCATACATTCTTCGGTAAACAGGTAATGAGAATATTCAAACTAAATCAGATAGAAGCTGCTATCTTGATCTAGCACCAAGTTCTCATAACTAATTTAAAAGGAAATGTGTAGCAGCTACTGGGGAGAATTAACAATCAGATCTTGGGAGTTAAAGGGTTAACTGTGATCATTTGATGTTAAGTGAATCAATAGTCCCTACTTCATATTTCTCTTTGTTATCATCACTCATCTACCTGAAAATTTATGGATTTTTACAAGGAGATTCATTTTGGGTCTTTTTCAGGAAGTGAACATAGGTGATATAATTCTGTTCTGTGATTATCGCAGTTGAAGCTCCAGAATGCAGACATCTCTGCTGAGCATATATATTTCTGTGTTTTGTAACTGACTGTTTACAGGAATATATATCAAAGAAATCTGCTTGTAGCAAGTTTTCTTAAAACATAATTTTATCAGATTGGCTGTAAACAGAGTTACTTATAGCACGAGTCTCTTTAAGATTCACTTTGAATTGAAGAGATTGTTGAAAAGAAGTCTGAAAGATTTCAAGTTTCAACAGAAGTCATACCTATGCTTCCTACAGAGTAGTTTGGTGCCGCTAACAATTGAGCCATAAAGACACACGTTTATTTTATTTATTATTAATTTATTTGATTTGTTACAAAAATACATGACAATAGAAATAATAATATTAAGAGATAAATATTGTTTAGGTTGTTCTGTAAAGAGGAAAAAGAGTGGATTCCTTTAATGCTGAATGGTAACAATATCCAAGTTTTGCTGCCGTAATGAAATATGAAATATGATGTTAGGAGCATGACAAATTTTTAGATGGTTTTTTGTTGTAGTGGAAAATCTTGTCTAATTCACTTGTATTTCATTAGCAGGGAATGATTATAATTATAATTGATTGAATTCAATTTGAATAGTATGAAATATCTGAGGAATTATGACTATCCACTCTTATCATAGAAACTTATGTCTGGCCACAAGAATGCTATCACCTACCTTGCCTGCACCATCAATCAGATTTCTCCTGGCATTTATGAAGTGCTCATTTTGATGGAATATTGTAGAGGTATGCTCTGAATTAAAGTTTGCCCTCATGAAGTCATTAGTGGGTAGTTGTAGAGGAAAAAGTAATAACTGTGCTTAACTTGCTTTCTTTAATCCTTTAACTCCCAAGATTTCATTTGTAATTCTCTTTACTGTCTACCATACAGTTCTTGTGATGTTAGTTTTGAGAATTTTATATTGGATCAATATATAATTCCCTTGATATTTTTTTATTCTTATTACTTGTAAAGAGAAATTCTGTCTTGGTCACTCATGAGAGTTACAGGGTTTAAGAGCTTAGTTATTTAATGTATTGTGCTGTGGGCTTTGCTTACTTTTTTTATTTTTCCTAGCCCTGGGAATACATGCATAAAAACTTTTTGCACCCCAGTTTGGTGCTCAAAACAGGAGAGACCACTGTTTGTTATGATTTGCCCACCCTTGCCCACCCCTCTCACATGATCGCCAAAGCAGAGAAGCCCAAAATCCTGTAGATGTTTACCAAACATGTAGCAACATACATGGCTGTAAATAAACCTGCTTCTTGGATTTCTCTCTCTCTTTTTGTTCCCCTAGAGGGCCATGTTGTTCAGTTGATGAATGAACACATCAGCTCAGGCTTCAGTGAGTCATTAGTACTGAAGATCTTCTCAGATACGTGTGAAGCAGTTTCCAAGCTGCACCAAGCTGATCCACCAGTCATTCACAGAGACCTTAAGGTAATGTTTTAAATTGTATCTAATAGCCATTGGAAGAAAACAAACAAGCAAGCAGACAGAAAATCTTGAAGAAAATCTAAAGAATTCATAAACAAACTCTTTTATTAAGTCATCAAACTACACTGTGCTGGTGGTACTTGCATGTTTTATGTCTATTTTTGTTCAATTGAAGTATTTTAATAACATTTTTCATTGTCATAGTGCTTAATTTGTTTTTTATGGCATGTTATTAGAGAATATTTTGAATTTTGGGTTTAATTACACTCATATGTAGGTACATTTTACATGATGTGCCAATAGGACTTGCCCTGTTCCTTTCATGTTTCAATTTATGTTTGCTTTGTTTCTATGGAGTGCAATGTTAAACCCTTACATAAATATCTTTCTCTCATCCATGATTTTCAGGTTGAGAATATTTTATGCAGTAGTCGTGGTGACTTTGTTTTATGTGACTATGGTAGTGCAACCAGAAGAGTTGTCAACCCACAGGTTTGATGGAGCAATTTTTGCATTTCATATACTGCTAGTTTCTGTGGCCTTTAGCTTGTCTTTCTTGAGCTGCCTTGAGTGAAAGGAAAGCAAGTATTGGAGTCTCCATGTGAATCTATTGTCTTGTTTTTAACCAGATTTGTTTTACTTTTAGCCAATTTTTAATAGTGGAACAAGGCACCATCAAATTATTTTTTGTTTAAGAGGGAGTTTTACTGTTTTATTGTTTTTCCTTGGGAGACTGAGTATGTTCAAGATTTGAATATCACAATAAAATTTAAATGTAATTTGAATCTTAGCTAAGAGGATAGCAGCATTTCTTTTTACCTTAGAGTGGTCAAACATCTCACAAATTCAATTGAAATTTTATCTTTTTGTTCTTATCTACTCAGGAGGAAGGTGTCACTAAGGTGGAGGAGGAAATTCAAAAGTAAGTCATTAGTTATCATGGATATTTTAAAGTACTTGTAATCGCATTAACTAAGGAAGGAAGAAGAAAAAAAGGTCAATCTCCCAAGGACACTATTATCATTAACCCTCTACACCCTAACATCAGTATGCATATTCTCCTAGTGTTCTCTATACATTTCCTAAGATGCTGGCATGGAGAATTTGTCTAACAATCAACATCTTTGTGGTTGATCATTTCCTTTATTCTTGTGGCCTTAATATTTGATTCAGAGGTGGATAAATTAGATACTAGTCATTCTAAGGGGTCAGGGTTACATATTACACATGCTCCGGTGCAGGAGAGCAGGAGTCACTGGAAAGCAATATCTCCTCACGATATTAATTGTAATATTTTCAAGTGGAAGAGTGATGAAGGGAAAGTAAAATATCAACCAGGGAATATCAAATACCTAGAGCTGTAATTATATGAATTGTCTTGTAGAAGTGTGAATTCTTGGTGATGAATCTTGGGAGGGGAAGGGTTTATTTCTGGGTACCATCAGTTGAGAGGATGTCTTTCCATTCTGTAAACCAATCACAGAGCTCTGTTCTGCAAACTCAGTTAAAATCACTCACAATCAAGAAGTATTGATGTTTTGAGTACAAGCTTTACTAACAGTCTAAATTTGTGGAATTTTTTCCTTACACAGTTATATTGTTGTTTCAGAGCAGTTTTTTTTTTTTAATTATTGGACTAGATCTTTTAACCCTATGACGTTATGGCCATTTTTGTCTCTAGGTATACAACTTTATCTTACCGGGCACCTGAAATGATAGATTTATACAGTGGCAAAACAATTTCAACTAAAGCTGATATCTGGGTAGGTATTGTGTTTTTAAACAAGTTATACAGAGATTGTTATTATAAATGTTATAACCAACGCACCGGCGATAAATTTAAAAGGAGTTTATTTCCACGCCACTACCAGTGGTTTCTAAGGGAAGTTTTACGAACATAGTACATCAAGAACGGAACGACAAATTACAAAATCGGAAATAACATAAGAAATACAAATAACAAGAAACATGTATAACATTGGCGATAGTACTAACATAAGGAACACGGGACACTCGACGAAAGAGCAATTTACCTGACGATTTTTGAATTACGGCTGAAGAACGTACATGCGAATACCTTGACGCGAGCTCACACCTTATTTGCAAGATCCGCGCGAAAATTCTAAGTTAAATAGAAGGCCACGCGGAGTGGGGCTAGGAGGGAGATTGGTTTCTACAAATGTCGTGATTTGTTTTGCTTTGTATCTCTTTGTAGAACTGTAATTTGTTTGTCTGTTTGTTTCTTGCTGTTGTTTATTGAGGTGTATCAATCCCATTTTAAGATTGCATCGGGTTACCAATTGTCATTTTTTGTTTTTGTTCTTCTGTCAGGCTCTCGGATGTCTTCTTTACAAGTTGTGTTTTTTTACTTTACCGTTTGGTGAAAGTCCTCTGGCCATACAAAGTGGTCAGTTCACCTTTCCTGAAAACTCGCGCCATTCGCCTGAACTTCACAGACTAATCAGTACGTTTGTTTCCATAATTTATTCCTTTGTTCATTTTGTTGTGCCCTTGTTCCTTGCTAAGTAGCGTATTTTTTGCGACTTACACCTGATTTCCTTTATGTTTTCAATTTGATTTTTTAGGTTACATTCTTAACCCGGACCCAGACAGTAGACCCGATATCTTCCAAGTGTCCCATGTAGCATTTAAACTCAGAGGACTTGAGTGCCCTGTTACCAATACTAAGGTTTGTCTTGTTATTTCTTATTTTCTTGCATCAGCGCTAGTGGTTTTTAGTTGTAGCAAACTTGGATGCAAAAGTTACTTCGTTTTACTTTCTTTCCAAGACCTAGATACAATTAGTCTCCTTCGCTGCCGTTGTTTGGTCTCGTTACTCAACGTGCTCTCTCCCCCACCAGAGAGCGTGTTGCGTGACGAAACCAAAAAAACAGCTACGAAGGAGACCAGGAGACAACACACCATTTAATCCATGGGCTTCAAGCTCAACTCCATTTAAATTCGCCATTATGCAACCCAAAATCGTTTAACCCTTTACACCCTGAAATCAGTCTGCATATTCTCCATACTGTTCTCTACATGTTTCCAAAGTTGCTGACAAGGAGAATTTTTTTAACAATCAAGAGTTTCTTTAGTTGGTGATCATTTACTTTATTCTCGTTACCTTGTTTGACACAGGGGTGATATGGTTGGGAGAAACAAGATGCCAATCACTTTTAGGGGTCAGAGGGTGAAAGGGCTGCCCGAAATGAATTTAAAAAAAAGGAAAAAAAAAGAGAGCGATTCCCCTCAAAACTGCACTCGTTTGATAACGACTTGTTCTTTTTGTCTGTTACAGAATGTAAGAATACCTGACTCTCTGCCTGAGATATCATCCGAGGGACCGCAGAAGACAGAAAACATTGGTCGTGTTACTCCAAAATTAAGGTGAGAATTGAGCTCGTATTTATACAGTTAATGGAATTATGAGCTGTTACAATATGCACAGTTCATATGGATGGTAGGTGACCTGTTCTTATCTGGAGTCAGTTGACAGCTGATCTAGACGCAAGTGATATTTACGTGTGATCATTTTTCCAGCTGTTTACCGTTGTCTATGCCGTTGATTTAAGATTATACTTCGCTAACACCTGGAATTTATTCTTTGTTGTAGACGGCCTGAAGGTCCCGTTACCACTTCTCTCGCTCCTCGCCAGCGCCCACGAGCAGGTCAGGGTGCTCAGCAGTTGGCTTCTTCCCAGGCATCATCGCATTTAAGCCACATCGCCAGTCCTCAGCTAAGCCGCAAGCAATTCACGCAGGCGCAGAGAGGAACTCTGGATGTTCAACATGGTCATGGCCTGAGTCACATGGCCAGTCCTAGACAAAACAGAAGGAACATCTCACAGAATCATACAAGGGAACAAGAGAATTATGGACCTCATCTGCAAGCTCAAGGAAATGTGGGTCAAGTACAGGACCCTAGAAATATAGCTCATGGGGGGCCAGATATGGTTGCTGGGCAGCTTAGGGGTGTCCCCCAGGCTTCAACAGTCTTTCATCAAGGTCGTCAAGCCCAACAGGGTGTAAATGTGGGCTACCCACAGCAAATGACAAGGGAGCAATATCTACAGCAACAGTACCTGCAGCAACAGCAGTTAGCTCAGCAGCAGTACTTGCAACAACAGCAGCATCAGCAGCAGATGTTACTTCGGCAGCAGGAACATCAAAGACTGCTCCAACAGCAGCAACAACAGCAGCTTCTACAACAGCAGCAGCAACAGCAGCTGGGGCAACAACAGTTGAACTACCAGAGAGAAGTACAACCAGGGCAACCCTACCATCCTGGTTCACAACAACAGCGACAGCAAAATGTCACCCAGCAAATGTATCACGATTCTGACCAGTGTCAGCTCAATCCATTCTACGAATACCAGCAGTATCCAGTTGAGACGGCTTACCAGTGTGACGTTCACGACCATGGTGCCGTTCAGCCTCAAATGTCTATTCAATCTTCTCAAGGCTCAGATCAGGGTTCATCACTTCATGCCAGACCTGGCAACGGCGATGCCAGATTGTTACGCCCACGTTACATGTCACACAACCGCTCCAGGTCTGATCCTAATTTTGCCATTGGCAGCCAGTCTAAGGTGCAAGTTCAAGCAGCACCCTCAGTTCCTCTCCCAAACGAGATAAATTCGCACTATCGAAGTCCCAGTGACCCATCTCTGAACCTCGCCAAAGAGAATGATCAGTCAGACATGCCTTTAGTAGATATTGAGTCCAACGAGGAATCCACACCCCACTGGAACCCGTTTAGTCCATTCTACCAATCAAATGAGCAGGATTTTGTGGCCCCTCCAAGTGATGTGACTGATGACGACTTCGCCTCACTCCGGGAGAGTGATGTGAAGAAATCTCCCTTGGGTGTTAATATCACTTATCATCAACCCTACACAGCTAGTCCACATGCGTCTGAATTGCAACAAGGAACGGATTTGTTCGGAGCAACTGCATTTGGTAGCCACATGCCGGAGTCCTACCCTCAGAGAGCTACCGGCGAATTTGCAGATGGGGAAAATTCCGCTGCCCATTTTACGGACGACACCAGTGCTGGCACTGATCCACAGCAATACGTTACACACGTTGTCCAAGATGGTAATAACCCTTTTCTCCAAGGCTACCGCAGTTCTGAGATTGAACAACCCCTGAATTTTATGGATCAGGCTTCAAGTGATAGTGAACCGGAGGAGAGCACCGAGTTGGCTGAGTGCTCACCCCTCTCTCCGGGATTTTCTGATCCCTTCGGTGCGGCACCCTTCGTACTTCAGAAAGGTAAACAAGGTCCGCCGGCTTCTCCAGATGCTTTTGGGGCTGCTCCATTTTCCCCTCGGGCCCCTTCACAACCGAAAGGCAACAGTGAACAGTTGCTTAAAAAACCTGAAGATCGCAGCCAGCCTAATGCTGACTCATTTGGTTTGTCAATCCAGTTTGCTTCGATGCAAGTAGGGACTGTTGCAGGAGGTTCTGTAAATAGTGTAGTTTCCACTCCTTTTCATGATCTAAATGAAGGCTTTGGAAAGCCTGCGCCATTCGGGGGAAATGTTGAGCGCGATAGCTCTCAAGGAGCCGCTTTTGAGGATCAATCGGGCTTAGTAAACCCTGCCGCAGATGTTATGGACAATCTGGATGACCCATTTGGTGGGGTTTCATTCAACGCGAACCCTGCCGTTAGAAGAAGAAACGCTAGGAAACAGCAGGCATTGATGAAGGAAGCTCCCGTTTCCGCAGCGAGGAGTGGTGATCAAGTCCCTCGGGCTCGCCCCAGGCGACTTTTACCACAGACTCCAGACAAGCCTCCTGGAGGAACACGTTCAGTTCAACAGGCCAGGATGCAAGGCCCTGTAGTTATTTCTGTAGGCCAACCATCACAAGGCCCTAAAAAAATCTGATCCAAATTCGACAAGAGATAGCTCGGCGTATGCTGCAACATGATCATTTACACCTACTGTGCATAGGGCTGATGAGAGAACACACTAAAACGAGCATTGAGCTAATGGGATTGTTTGAAGTACTTGAGGTGTAACACTGTATGATGTACTGTGCGTTTCAGTGGAAAGGGATGACTTATTTTCGTCGGACAAACCAGTTGTTTTCAGGAAGTGAAATTAGAATTTACGATTGTGCAATTCACGTCCATCACTTATAAGTTTCAAACAGGGTTTAGAGATATTAGATTGGCGGCAGTTAAAATAAGTTTTATACATGCAAGTTGGACCAATGTGCTCTAAATCTTGCATTTTATTGTTGTAGCGTTTGCTTTCTTCTACGCGCTTTTCATGTGCTAGCGGATTTTGATTCTTATAAAGCAAACCAGGAATAACAAAAAGACGAGCCGTTTACAACGAGATTGTTGTCAAGGTACACATTGCATTCATGTGATGTTCTGCCAGCTTTTACCAAAATTTTATCAATTTTTCCAGTTAGAGCGAATTTCGATCGAGGTTCGTAGAACCAAAACTGAAGTAATCACTAAGGCCAATCAGAAGAGAGGTAACGATCTCGAGGCGCCTAAAAGAACTAAAATGGAAACAAGCCATCCTCCGAAGCGCGTGAAATCGCAAGCGAATAAGTTGTGATTGGGTTTAGTTTTGAGTTGAATCATTCGAGAGGATGGCGAAAATTTTGAGACCAATCACAGACTAGAGAAAGGAAAAACCTATGCAATCCCGGATCGCTTTCCACACGTGTTTGAAAATTGCTCTGAGTGCTATTTCATCGTTTTAAAGAACGTACGGGAAGTATAGACTGTTTTGGTACAACTTGAGGTCGACTGAACTGATATTTTATGTGATTCGGTTGTTTCAGAATAGGCTAGCTTTAAGTTGAAACAGTCTGTTCCTGTGCCGGCCCACAGTGTCTGCATTGTCTTCCACTAACAGGAATGAAACCTTATTTTCGTGTACGTGGGAATTGTAGCAGCCGTTGTTTGATCGCGGGACCCGTCGCGTGGCAAAGAAATATGCTTCTTGAAGTGACTAAGCAACGGCTGCAAAGATGAGTAAAGTGCTTGAATCCTTGCCGTTACACCAAGGTCACGTTTCTCTTTTTGGACGTGTTAATTCGGCATTTGAAGTACGTTAGGCGTTTTGTAAATAGATGTTAGAAGATATACCAGGGTGGAGATGAAATTGCAAGGCGCTATCAATAAATCTTCTTTTAATTTTCTTACTTGAATCTTGCAAAAATTAATCCAGAAAAAGTGGCGTAATATATTAAACTAATTTTTCCGATGTCTTATGTCTACTGTTTGTAACCTTGCAAGCCAGGGGTCTACTGAAACGAATTTTTGAATAGATGTTGCCAGCATTATTCTTGCTAGTGAAATATCGAAAACCTGCAGAGCTCTAAGCGGAAAACCAATAACTTGATTTCTCCATGTCTACGACAAGCTAAAATTGGCTCGCAACCAAAAGCAACGGGAAACGAAAAATAGCAATCGTCAGTTGGAGTTCATAATTTCCTAGTTGCTTAACCTTACACCTTAACATCTGTATGGATATATGCATACAGTATCGAAACTGTTTTCAGTAGGTTTCCGAAAATTATGACATGGAGAATTAGTTTGATAATCAAGAGTTTCTTTAGCTATCATTTTCTATGTTCTGGTGACTGTAATGTGAGATTCAAGGTTGATATTTTAAGGAAAATTTAGATGCTCGTTACTCTTAGGAATCAAAGGGTTGAAAGAAAAAATACACACCTGAACAGCCGTACTGATTTAAAATTGTTAATTATCATAATCAGTGCTGACCCTGACTGTTGTGCGTAGCTTTCGAAGCATTCTCGGTCTTTACCGGCTCTAGATGTTTTATGGATTATCTTAGATTTGTTACCGGTTCTTCATTGCTAGAGCGACTCACTTTCGACCTTAGTTATCCTCAATCTATCTAAGTTAAGGACTTCATTTTAAACTTTTTTTACTCGGCCTCTTTTGTTTGGTTTTGTCTAGATTCTTAGCTGTGTTTTGCTTGTTTGAAATTGTCTTAAACTGGAACGAAACCTTCAAAGAAAAGTTGTGAGGCTATAGATAAACCTTGTTGAAAATACGGGAGATTAACGCGTTTTGCTAAGGAAAAGATATACCAAAAGAAGACAGGGATGGTTGGGTAGGGACGAAATTGAAACAAATTGAAAATAATGAACTTTAAAGATCTAGGGTGAGGTTCTTAAGATGCTCGAATCGTGGTGCACCTCCTTTGATGAAAAAAGTTTACATCTGTCATGAGAAATCGCTAACTGCATCCGGGTTTTGTAACCAACATCAGTTCTTGTGAGTCTGATAGAACACTTCCACCTCATGGGGCTGGAAATTGTAAGTGCCTGCCAACAGGCTTCTCGTGTCACTCGCAGAGTATTTGTACCCAGCCGGAGGAACATACGTGTGACCCAAGTTGGTATAAGAATTCGTGTTAGAGCCTGCAGAGTTCGCGATGTAAATGTCGTGTCCACCACCGAATGTTGGTCCATAACCGCTTTTTCCATACATGGCATTGCCAGAGTTTTTCACGTGGAGCTTGAATGGTTCCAGTCCATAACCATTTTTAAACGAGAAAATGAAACTCCAAGTCGAGTCTGTGTAAGAACTACCGGAATCTAAACATGGAAAAAAGCTGGAATGAGTATGAGTCGCATACAATCCTTTACACCCAAACATTAGCATGCGTAATTCTCCATACTGTTATATACCTTTCCAAAAGTGCTGACAAAGAGAATTTGTTTAACAATCAACAGCTTCTTAGTTGGGGATCATTTTCTTTATTCTCGTGAACTCTGTGTTTGATTAAGGGGTGTTGTTAAGGAGAAATTAGATGCCGGTCACTCTGAGGGTATTAAAGGTTAACGGTATTCCTTTAGGCAAATTCACTTTTAGCCTCTTACGGCAAGTCTTCCGGTGTCTGTAAATTTTATAAATGATTTTTTTTACTTACGCCAGTTTTGGTTGGTGTATGCCCCAAATGTGTACTTTCCCACTCTACTTCTACATTCTAGTCAAGTCCTGGTTATATCAATACTTACGCCAGTTCCTATCGGTGCATGCCCCAAATATGTACTTTCCCACTCTACTTCTACATTCTAGTTAGGTCCTGATTATATCAGTACTTACGCCAGTTCCTGTCGGTGTATGCCCCAAATATGTACTCTCCAACTCTGATAAACGTCACCGAAGGTCCTAAGCTGTTACACTGCGAGTGGAATGTACTTGAACTCCATCCATGATCAGTAGCTCGGTAGCACAGACTCCACTTGGCTGGCAATGTAGACACAGGACCCAGCCACCCTTTAAGGAGCTCCCAATATTTTGTATTGTTTAGTAGGATTTCTGAGTGCTCGAACACTGGCCCTGAAAGTTTTAGATTGGACGGTGAGGATCAAGATTGAATAACAGCCAAAGCTGTCAAGAAAGAATTTGCAGTGATAGGTGTCTTTCAAAGGTTTGTATGTGCTATTTACTGGAAAAACTGTTTTTCTGATCTGTGTATTTCAATTGAATAAATTGCAGAGCCAGTCAAATTCTTAACAGCCTAGTGGTTGTGCGTCATGCGCGAAATCCAGAAGTTTGAAACTCGATTCTTCGAAGTCTAATTAGCCGACAGATGCCTAAGAGCGGCCAGCATTGACTTCCTTTACAGTTGTGCCATGGAAAGATAGACGATTTGGTTCACTGATTCATAAGCAAAGCCACTCCATAATCTCGGCGACCACTGACAATGTTGATACATGTGCTGACCCGGTAATCTCACCTTCACAAGTTGGATCTTCTCCCGTCCAGTTTCCATTCTTATCGCAAACTCTGACGTGTGGTCCACGAAGATGGTATCCTTCGTTACACTTGTATGTGACCTTTTTTTCTTCCCAAAATTCATTTCCTATTCTGTAACCATTCTCGAGAGGAGCAGGTTCATCGCATAAACAATTGCCTGATGAAAGAAATAAAACATGCCGTTTTAGTTTAAGCCTACGACCGAACTTTTACAGCAAAATTAATTTTTTTTTCTTACATGTCGGCACCACGTTACTCCAGGTGCCATTTTCCAAGCAAAGTCTGTTTGTAGGCCCTTCCAAGTGGTATCCTGTGTCACAGGCGAAAATAACCATCTCTCCTGCCCAGTAATTCTTTCCAACCTTGTATCCGTTCATGGGAACATGAGGTTCGCCGCATCCCACAAGCTCTGGAAATTTAGACCGAATGAGCACATGATTAAAATTGCAGACAAAAACGATCATTGCCTTCACAGAGGCTGGTGATATAGGTTACACGTAGGAACCATCAAAGATGATAACCTACTCACCCACAGTGGTACTGATCTCTGCAGTACCGTTGTCGAAGTTTTTAAAGAAACACTTGTACACCCCCTGGTCAGAGGGGCCAAAACTTGAAATAACAAGTTTTCCTTTCACTTCGTCCTCGGTTTTCACAGTGGTGTTGGTTGAAATAATCACTCCATCTTTGCTCCACTCTAGACTGGGCACAGGAGACCCACGTGCAGCACACTGCAAAGTAAAACTGTTATGGACCTTTGTTACCTTAACAACCGAAGATGGTGCAGTGGTGATTGCTGGAGGAACTGTTGACAAAAAACAATCAAAACGATGGGGAAATCGCCTGAATCCAAATTTAGCTTACAAAGTTGAAGTTGGTGGTAGATTTTTGTGCCCAGAGTAAGGAGGTATATGCAAGGGTTAGTCTTTGGTGCAAGTACAATGGAACCTGCATAAAGTGTGCACCCACGGAACCCTCTTCGTGCGCCCGCCTTATGTTAGGTGTTAGGTGTCAGAAGGTTTAGTATTTTGCGCAATAATAACTGATAAACGTTTAATCGCGGTGGTATCTGTCTCTTCACAGTTTCTTTGACCTTTGAACTAGCTAAAATGTGCAAAAAAATATATAATTTCCGTTGGGGTTTTATCACAGATTTAGGCAGTAAATGAAAATGCTCAGAATCTCATTTGACTTATGTTTTTTTATTTGCCATGTTAGTATTGGTTTTTCTCTAAAACACTTCGTCCACTTACCGACGGGTTTCACAACAAGCACAATAAGTGCATATACATGACCCAGGTGGTTTTCCCCTCGGCACATGAACGGCCCTCTGTCCTCCAGCCTAATGTCTTTGATCACCAAATCGTTACCCGCCACCACGTGACGATCAACAGTTACTGGCTTTTTGAATGAGCGAGTCCACTGTATCTTTGGTGGGGGGAAGCCGAAGATGTTGCATGACAGAGTCGTCTCCCATGTTTCGTACGCTGTGTGGTAGGTCTCAGGCTTCTCAACAAATCTTGGAGTAACTGAAAAAAAATTTACTCAGCTTACTAATTTTTTTTGAGGTCTTGCGTTAAATGTGTGAAGCCTAGAGCGACCAGGGTCTACTGATCAGAAATCTTTGAGTAGATGGCCCGGGTGCCAGCGTTATTCTCGCTGGTGAAGAAACGAAAACCCGCAAATCTCTAAACGGCGAACCATTAATTCATGTTTATTCCATGTCTTCGACATGCTAAAATTGGCCAGCTACTAAAAGCAACGGGTAGGAGTTTATGATTTCCTGGTTGCTCTGGAAGCTTGAAGATTTTCAATCATGATGATTAGTGCTTAACCTGACTTTTGTCTGTAGCCTCTTAAAATGAATTTTAGCTCTTAAAGCATTTTTAACCACTGCCCTAGATGTTTTTTTGAATCATTTTAGATTTTAACCTAAAGTGATGAATCAAAAGACGAAAACCTGGAAAGGGAAATCTGATACCTGCCTCTCCTGATTTCTAACCATCTTCTACAAACGGCATTTATGCCAAAGCAAACTTCTCTCCAACTACGAGACACTTGAACCTTTTGTTATTATTACTATTATTACTATTATTATTATTATTATTATTATTATTATTATTGTTCATTCCTTAAGAAAATGAGGGCTCGACACACAGCTGCTTTTCGAGAAATGAGCCCAGAATCTTAGCCTGAAAGAGTAAGACGGGCAGATGAAACATCACATCACCTGGTCACTACATTGTCAAAAGTATCTCAGTGACACCATGACATCGGGTAAATCATTAACAGCACATTCACTACATGCAACAAGTTTTAAAGACATGAATAAAACCTTTCTTACTTTCGACAACAACTTTTACAGTCGCCGACTCGACGCCCAGGAAATTCCTGGCTTCACATTTATACAAGCCTCGATCGCTGAATTGAATACTGGAAAACGTCAACTCTCCCGTCTCTTTGTTGTAAAGTCTACTGTCCATCTTTTGCCCATCCTTGTACCACGTGATCTCTGGTTTTGGATAACCATTGGGGGAACAGGGCAAGGAGACTTTGCGTCCCTCTTTCGCCGTTAAACTGGGTGGTGGCTTCTTTTCAATCCCTGGGATATCTGAAAGCAAATATTAATGAAACAAATAACCTCCATTTTATCTGAGGTGAGGGGGAGTGGGGTGAGGTTAGACGATTTTTGGGATATCGCATGACTTCCGGGTGGAATGGAGGGAGATCAGTCGTTACTAACATAATATGGAGACAGGACTATTGACTGCCAATGAGGAAGGGTCATTAGGATACCATAGTGCTTTTTAATTGTGACACAACCAAAATCTTCCGATCCCCCTCCCCTCCCCCTCAAATTAAAAATTTCGTTACTTTACAATGAGCAAAAGGATTGCCTTCTTATTGTGACTCTCTCCGCGATTTTCATTGTATCATGTGAGTCCAGCTCAAAGTTTCGGATTTAACAGAAGCTTAGAAAGGACAAAAACAACATTAAGAATGGACTGCGTTGCAATCGAACCAGCTGCGTTTAATCTGTGCATCTTGCCCTCTAAGATATTGACTGTCTACGCAGCTGGCAGACAGTATGCCGGGAACGTTACAAACATACCTTGTAGTTATTAATGAGAGGAAGTGTATTACTAATCCTTTCTTACCAATATCCTCAAGAAATTTTGAGTTATTCCCTGGAAAAGCGTTCCCAGGTCTCCCTCTGGGTCCCGGTGGTCCTCGTTCTCCATGAGGGCCCTTTTTTCCTGCCTTTCCGATGTACCCTGGGCGACCCCGTCGTCCTCTTCGCCCCTCCTTGCCCTTGGGCCCACGAGCGCCTGAATAAAATTTTTTCAACATGATCAGGAAACTCCGATGCAGACAAAAAGTAAATAAAGCAATAAATGAAATAGAATATACCACATCTGTGTATCGTGGCAAGATGATCCTCACATGTCAATGTATACAACCGCAAACATTAAAGCACGGATAACAAAACTCGCGTTTCAGGGGCGAAATACCAATTTTTTTCCCATTTAGGATATTTTCGTCATACAGCGTTGTCCAAATGTTGCTCAGGCGTTCTCAAATAAAGTCTCGGAGAACTGACCCGAATTTTGGCCACTTCATTTCAATTCGGTTTTATATTGGTAGCCATTTGTGCTAAAAATATCAATCGCTGACGATAAAATACAATTATTGGTGCTTAAATATCAACTGTTAATGGTACAACTCAATTTAAAGTGCTAGCAACAAATCGTAATTGTAAATCAGTTTAGTTTCCGTTCTAAAATGGTCAATCGTCAGTGCTGAGCCCTAATCGCACCTAATTGCACCAAACGCTGTTGTAAGACTTATAAATCGCTGGTGTTCTTAGGTAGATCGATAGCGCTAGATATCAATCATAGGTTTTAGTGTCAATAGATAGTGTTAAACCTGTAAGGCTTGTGCTATTTGTGATACAAAATTATCTCGAGCGGTTGAAATTTTAGCACTGACTATTGAGTTTATCGCCAGCGATTTATATTTTAGCGCTAACGATTGAGTTTTATTACCAGCGATTGATATTCTTGTCATGACCAAATTATGGAGATAAAATCAGGTGGTCAGTTCAACCCATTTTTACTCCTACATTCTGTTAACCTTTTAACTCCCAAGATCTGACTGTTAATTCTCTCCTCTTCCTGCTACACAATTCATTGTAACTTGGCTACGAGAATTTGGTGTAAGATCAAGATAAACCCTTCTTCCTGATAAGTTTTAGTATTCTCATAAACCGTTTGCTAGAAAACATCTTGATATCATAGAGAGAAGTTTAATGTTGGTCACCTATTGGAGTTAAAGGGTTGAACGAACGTACTCATGAAGCATTTACGTAGAGCAGGCCCTGTGAGCATTATGATGCTTGAGAATAAGTTGTATTGTTTCCATGGTAAGAATCCTCATAGTGCTTAAGAATCTAATGAATTCCTGTTGAATTTCAGCCGTGTACAGATAAAATAAAGATAATTTAAATATTAACTACTCCCTCACCTCGTAAGCAGATAACCTCCTGATCTGTGTCATTGCTAATTTTAGTAGTAACCTAAATATGGCAGGAAGAAAATGCAGAGAAACCGAAAACTGTCAATACGTTGATGTGGTAAAGACCTCGATGATCGTAAAGATATGAATTAATTTGCTGAGAACGATGTTACGACATTTATGCCATGAAACAATTATGTATTGAAGGTCTCGAGAAAAAGACTTTATCACATACATTTGTCTTCTCAAAAGTATGGTTTATTAGGTTCGCGAAAAAACTCCAAATTTCAAAGGTATTTTACCTTTTTTTGAGCAAGAAACCCTGAAAACGCTAGCATTAACCATGCAACTTTACGCTTAGCGAGAAAGAGCATGGTAGTACCTTTGCAGAAGCTCCGAGTCCAAATAAGTGAACGCAAGCATCGTGGCAACTGCTGCAGCTTTTTGGCATTCCAAGAGACTCAACAGCTCTCTTGTTTCGATGCGTTAAATCTGCCCGTTCATTTTCTTTAGTTGCCTCAGCGTGATATCTCTGGTCGTCCTGAAGCTGTAAAACGTGCTCCTCTAACACTCGAACTTTGTAAATGAGGAACGCGATGGAAACAGCACTGAACAAAATGTTCAAAGTCACGGCAACAGTTAAGAAACTGTTCCGTCGAGGAGTCTTCACTGCCTCCATTTTTGCAGTTTCGATCTTCAGGATTCCCGAGGGGATATTTGTTCGATGTTCGAGGCATAAATGACAGTGATAGCTGAGACGTGCCTCTGTCATTGATTCTGGCAGGAAACAGATCTCTGCGTAACAGGCTGAAACACATCTCTCTCGAGATAAAACTATCCAGGATCACGTTAATGATCATAGTGTATCCGTGACGAAGAACATTTTACTGTTTTTATCAGTCAGCACTTGGTAATACTTTGTATGCTAGGGTTATGTGATAAAAAACTTCACAATAAAATTAAGGTATCCTTGCATGACAAGAAAAAATCCACTTTAGCATCACGTCCGCCTTACGTGATAACTAAACCGCGACCTTTCCAAGGATAAATTTTAAAGTACTGCTAATCCACCTCTCAAGGTTGGAAATTCTTTGTCGTTTAAAGTTGCTTGACAATGCTGAGCATGTAACGTATGCTGCATAAACAGGCCTGAGATGAATAATACTAAGAACAAAGTATGAAAATAGAAAAAATCTAATCATGCTAAGCGATGTCGGTCATGGTTTCGTAGACTGGCTGCGTTATGTTATCGTATGAGGAATTAAAAAAAAACCAATTTGTTCCTGTTGGTGACATAATTAGAAATAATTCTTCCGTTTTCATCCAGAAGCGGAACAGCTGAACATGTCCTCTGATAAAGATCAGCATTCCGTGCTGTCCAAATTCTGCGTCATTAACCCTTTAACTCCCATGAGTGACCAAGAGAGAATTTCTCCTCACAATATCAAGACAATATCAAGTAGACAAGTGATGAGAATAAAGAAAAATGTTAATTAAGGGATTATTTTTTGATCCAATAACAAATTCTCCAAACTAACATAATGAGAATCGTATGGCAGACAGTTAGGAGAATTACTAATGAGATCTTAGGAGTTAAAAAGGGTTAACAATATTACTTCCAAGTTCGAAACATCAATCATTTTTCTTATCTTTCATACTTTTCTCTTGATTTTTGTTTGGGAAACTTGATGTTAAATCAAGCAAAATCCTTTGAATGATATTTTTCCTTTTTATCATCACCGTTCTACTTAAAAATGCATCGATCTTGCAAGGCCGGAGAAATTCCCCTTTAGTCACTCGGGAGTTAAAAGGGCAGTATATGTCATCATCACTAAACCATTGGATTAGGCAGTGATGGGTTGAAGCGGCGAGATTTTTCTCCGTTTAGTTTCTTGTCTCTTTTATCAGTCGATTTTCGCCATTAAATTCTAGAATAAACGCAACAAAGACTAGATTTGTATATCAGGTATTGTCATCGTTAAAGCCACACAAACAGTGTTTTTTCTGTCCTCTATATTTTGCATAAGCGAAATTTCAATGCTGACATCAGATCATCAACGACTTCTTCCACATAACTTCAATGCCAAGCAGCTTCAACAAGAAATGTTTGAGCTAGATTTTACTGTCTCTCAAACATCAGGCCGGGAGTGAGGGAAGTTTACACGATGCGAGTTAAAGCGAGTACGAAGTGCGAGAGGAGGGTTGTTTTTAATTCAATTTGCCTGAAAGTAAATCAAGTCACAGAACAATTGACAGGCTGGAAAAGAATTTGGAAAGGACGAAAAACGGACTGATTAATAATTCTACGCCGCTGAACAGACTAAAGTATAACCCTTTAAACCCTAAAAGTGACCAGCATCTAATTTCTCCTTACTGTAATGCTGCCGAATCTTTAAAAAGATCGTGACAATAAAGGAAATGATTGTCAACTTGAGAAACTCTGATGGTTAAATGATTTCTCCTTGTCAGTAACAAAATAAATGTGCAGAAAAGAGTATGGAGATTATGGATATTGATGTTAGGGCGTAAAGGATTAAGGATGTTAGTGCAAGCGAAAGTCGGTTACACTTCTATGATGCATTTTCTTGGTTAGACTGATGAATATGGCGGGTATCCATCAGTGAAGCGGTCAATCGACGTTTTAACCCTTTAAAGTGACTCACATCTAATTCCTTTTTACAAGACCACCCTTGAATCAAACATTGACTTCACGATAAGAAATGAAATGATCCCGATCGAAGAAACTTTTTATGATAAAAAAATTCTCCTTGCCAGTATCATTGGAAATGTATGGAGACGTAAATAAAGAATGCCGACGTTATGAACAAGAGAAATGAACGAGTCGGAAGAGGAATACATGGAAAGCATCAGAAGATGAATGTTATTGCCTCAACATGCGCATAACTGTGCGCGAGCAAATAGTAAACTGGGCTCTTAGCCGTGTTTGTCTTTTCAAATCCCGTATTCACAGGGCACTCCCATAGGAAATCGCAATGAAATAACTTATGACATAGAAATTTTCCTCAAGAGGTTTCCAGTTCGATCTCTAGACCGCGCTTTAAACTTCCCCGCACATCCTAACGGTAAATTAAACAAGCGCTAAGCATTTTCAAATAAACACTTTCGTTTGAAAGTACCCTTGCAGAATTGGTACCATATTTCTTTCTAATCTGATTATCATTTGTTCGCTCTGTCTTTTACCTGTGATTTTCAACACCTTAAATGTACGGTACTCGCTCGAGAGTCAGTAAATTAAATGCATTCTTTAATTTGATGGAGATTTTTGCAACACCACATTAAATTTTATAAAAATTTCTATAACCATTATAAATTGACGTTGAAATTTGTTTTTCGCGTTCTACTGTCTTTTTTTTTGTTTGTGTTTTTTTTTTTGCTATGTTCTGCGAGTTTTCCTCTCACTGGGGAGGACGAAGGGGCGGGCTGGGTGACCGAGACGAATTCATTACTAAAAAATATCTTAATGAGGTAACAGGGGAGTTTGTCAGAAGGGTCGATGCTTGAGGCTAAGATATTTTAATGTTGTAAATGAAATGAAATACATCAAGCGTCAGTAATTGTTTTTGCAAAGGTTTTCTGTAGACAAAATGGTGTTGAAGAAATGATGTCTCTTTGCTAACACTTCTATCCTACAAAATCAACTTACCATTTTTGCATTCCGTTTTGCTCTAATATTTTGGTCGAAGCGACATACGCGAAATGTTAGGGCTATTATGCTAAACATGCCGGTATTGCTTCTAGATTTTCTTTTGATTAAATCATTCCTAAGAGAATTAACCACCTAAAATTCTTAGAGTCGTGGCATGTTCAATAAACATTAATCTTCGTGAGCCTGATAAAACACTTCTACTGCATGAGGCTGGAATTTGCAGAAAATATGTGCACCTATAGACGTGATGTTCAGACAATTTTTTCAAATCGAACGCTAGTTCATTAATCTCATCACGGTTTTTTCTCAATTCAATGCCATATTTCAACAGTTGAAAGTTCCCCTTCGCCAAGAATGAAAGGGAGCACGGCTGAATGAAGATCGTAATAAAATGATATTATAAATATTATTATTTCATTTAATCATTAGCCTAAAGTTTGGATAGGGAAACATTTGTAGGCATGTTTATCGTGAGAGGTAGCGAAAATTGTCATTTCATGTAAAGCAATGCTTGTAGTTAGAAGATATTTCAGAATTTTTTGAGAATCAAAACATATAGACATGAGAAATTTGTTGCAAAGGTTTATTGGGAATTTAGACAGACGGTGATAGCGTACAAATTCTGTCCATTATCCTCATGTCTTACAATTCTCTAATCAAACTATAATCATTTGTGAGTTAGACAGTCTCTGTTACTCTATTGCCTTTACATTCTCTTTTAATTAACTGCTTCAACCATATGTATTTCTTCCCTAGAGGATTTAGCCCCTAAAATCCTCAGAGAAATATTAGCCCTTGTGAGTCTGATAAAACACTTCAACTTCATGAGGCTGGAATTTGTAACTTCCGGCCAACAGACTTTTCGCGTCACTCGAACCCTGCCGGTAACCGGCCAACTGCACATAACCGTCGCCCAAGTTGCTGTAGGAATTTGTGTTGTAGCCTGCAGAGTTTGCGATGTAAATATCGTGTCCACTGCCGAATGTTGGGCCGTAACCGCTGTTGCCGTATATGGCATGCTGACTATTCTTAACATGAAGCTTAAATGGTTCCAGTCCATAGTGGTTTTTAAAAGAGAATATGAAGCTATACAACGAATCTGTGTACGAGCCGCTCGAATCTGGAAAAAAACAGGAATTAATCAGGAATATGCTATAAAGTACACACGTAAATGCTTCACCGAAGAAAGAAATTAAAAACAAAGTCTATGTTTTGAATGAGCATGTGAACTCGGCTGTAGTTGTGTCCTTTGCAATGTTTGTTCTGTGCGCTTGAAACTGGCATAAGTTTGTTTCCTTGTTTGCTGCTACCTCAGAGAAATTATGGCATTCCAGTGTTAGTTGAGTTGATCCTCATGAATACGGAACGAAATATATACATGACAACGTACTACAAAAATATCCAATGAATGCTTGCATTACATCGACTCGCAAGTGGGGATCAAAACAATTGCGTCAAAAATGATCACGAGCTTTACCAAATGTCGGTGAAAGGTTCACTGAATAACAGCAAAAAATGGCATTCTAAGTCGTTTTAATACTAACTATCACGATGCCGTGTACCCTCTGTTTAGGAATATCACTCCTCATCAAGAACTTTTCCTTGAAGGATTAAGTCAAGTCCTACTTTTCTCAAATAGATTAGCGTTGTAAGAAAGCTGTCTGTTCATACAAAACTGGTAGAGAAAAATTGTACTCGTGAACAAACCGTAAATTAAAACCGCAAAAATTTGACCAATGTTAAACTGATTTTACATTGAGCAGAATATCAACGAGGTGTGGCAGTTGTGTAAATAAATTAGTGCTCTGCTGTCAACCCATCAAATGTCAGAGTAAAGTTGTTAACCAAAAATGTGTTAAGACATGAAAACAGGTGATGAGGTTGTGACAAAATTATTACTTTAAGAGTAGTTCTTTCGTCTTCCAAAACATTTCCTTTTTCCTTTTTTTTGACTTGTAAGAAATCATATGATGGCTCTCATTTGAAATTTTTCTACGCAGGTTATTTCTACATTCTAGTAAGATCCTCGTTATGTCATTACTTACGCCAGTTCCTGTCCGTGTATGCACCAAACATGTACTCTCCCACTCTAATAAACGTCACTGTTGGTCCTAAGCTGTTGCACTGCGAGTGGAATGTACTGGAGCTCCACCCATGATCAGTAGCTCTGTAGCAAAGCTTCCACTTGGCTGGCAGTGTAGACACAGGACCCAGCCAGCCTTTAAGGAGCTCCCAGTATTCAGTTTTGTTCAGAAGGATTTCTGAATGCTCGAATTCCGGGCCTGGTGTAATAAAGTCACATAGATTTATTCAATGGTGATTACGTACCAGAGTAATCTCTTTCAATCCATATATGTACTTGAGGAGAGATATAATTTTGATCTTAGGCCTAGTCTGATCCGTGTAATTCCAAGATTTTCTTGAAACCTTTCTTTGCAAAGATCTTTGATGAAACTTTAAAATGTTTTCAATCCTCATAAGCGTTACCTTCACATGATGGTCCTTCTTCTGTCCAGTTTCCATTTTCTTTACAAACCCTGACATGTGGTCCTCTAAGCTGGTATCCTTTGTTGCACTCGTAGGTAACATTTTTCCCTTCCCAAAATTCATTTCCTATTCTATAACCATTCTCTAGAGGAGGAGGTTCCTCGCAAAGATGATGGCCTAAGGAAACAATGAGATTAATTTGTTAATTTACCCTTCGTTGTATGCTTAATTTACGGTTATCTCTTTCTTACATGTCGGTTCTACGTTACTCCAGTTGCCATTTTCCAAGCACAGTCTGTTTGTAGGTCCTTCCAATTGGTATCCTGCGTCACACGCAAAAGTCACTATCTCTCCTGCCCAATAATTCTCTCCAACCTTGAAGCCGTTCTCTGGAACATGAGGCTCGCCGCATCCAACCAGCTCTGAAGTAGATTATAACAAAAATATAGAATTAAGCATATGGACCTTTAGGTAAAAAAAAATTCTGCCGCGGAAATTGGTATTAGTGTGGTCAAGATGCAACTAAACTATATTATGTATTATGATCCATCAAATGTTTTTGCTCGAGCGCGATAGCAAGGCATCACGTGAACGAATATTCCCCTGCTAATACTGGGGGATATACGATAAGTCTTCGTTTAAAAATCAATTCAAGATGAGAAAGCGTTTCGAGGTTTTTAAAGAAGAGGAAAGATATTTTTTGTTCTTCGATCAAACTAGAGAACACTCAAAGGACACAAAACCACACAGCGAACAGTAAGATGCTCGTAAACATTTTTTCAGACGCGTTGAAAAATTTGTGAACGATTCTGAACACAACATCCTCTAAAGTCAGACGTGTAAATCAAGTGAGGCCAGGTATGCTACGATAATTTAGTAATATCTGGTCTCACTTGATTTACACGTCTGACTTTATAATACTATGCTAATCAAGGAAAACATCCAACGCTTGACAACATCCTCTATTTTGCACGAAAACAATGCCGTATATTTGTCCGCGGATATTATCTGTTCCTCAAAGCTCACAGTTTTCTTCGAGCTTTGCTCTCGGAAAACTGTTCGCATCTTTGAACAGACAATGGACGACTATCCGTGCATAATTTTGCGCCAAGTATAGAATATTGTTTATTTGAACATAAGTCAAAGTTGCCTTATCAAGTACTCTTGTGCATCCCTATTATTCTTTATCTTACGTGTACAAATCTAGTAATGCCTCTCTATCTCTTTAAAGAAACCTGTTCAAATTTTCTCCTAACCTGCAGCGGTGGTGATCTCCGCAGTTCCGTTGTCGTAGTTTTTAAAGAAGCATTTGTACACTCCCTGGTCAGATGGGCCAAAGGTTGGAATAAAGTCGGAGCTCCCCTTTCATCTCTTCATCATTCTTTGTGGTTGAGTTGGTTGAAATAACCACTCCATCCTTACTCCACTCTAGACTGGGCACGGGTGACCCGCGGGCAGCACACTGCAGTCTAACGCTGCCGTCGACCTTCGTCACCTTGACAACGGTTGATGGAGCTGAAGTGATCACAGGCGGGACTTTGAAAACAGATTTGAAAAGACGTTGAACTTGACCTCTTAAAACAAAGTTAGCTTCTGATCCAGAGCATTAATAACTATTAATAAAATATTAACCAAAAATATTTGATATAAAGTACTTGCTATCTATGTATATATAAACTGTCATTACAGCTTTTACACCAAAATGATACAACGCTGTCCATGAGATTATCTTTTCCCTATATTTAAATAGATTTGTGTGCTCACACTGTCTTTTTAAAATTCATACACGGTTGAGCGACAACAACGCACGCAATCTCCTGAGCTTGATGGACAGACATCAATTTCAACAATAAAGGGGGTAAGTTTCTAAAGAAACTGTGGTGCTGCGTCGGTGGTAGAGTATAACAGGTATTTGGTGTTAATGACTGAGTTGAAAACGTAAATTGGCCACGGTAAAGAGTTAAAAGGCTGATGTCTCGAGCGTTAGCCCTTCGACAAAGCGATAATAGTAACAATCGCTCTGACTGAGGGTTAACGCTGGAAACGTCAGCATTTTAACCCTTTATGGTGGCAAATTTACGTTTTGAACTCAATTGTTAACACCAAATAACTGTTATACTTTCCCAATTTCTCTTCCGTTTTCAACTTAGTTGTTAACACCAAATTATCAATTTCAACAGTGACGGTCTCGCAGTAATCAAGCAGAAACTACTGGTATCACTAGGATTGAGCAACAATTGCCGAACAGAAGGTAAGAAACTTACTATAGATAACAGCAGGTTATTTGCACTTTCGACATTTTTTAATTATTTACTTACTGACAGGTTTAACAACAAGCACAATAAGTGCATAAACATGACCCAGATGATTTTCCCCGCGACACATGAAGGGTCCTCTATCCTCCTTCCGAGTTTCCTTGATCACCAAATCTTTACCAACCACCGCGTGACGATCAATGGGCAACGGCCGGAATGATCGGGTCCATTGTATCTTTGGCGGAGGGAAGGCGAAGATGTTGCAAGTCAGAGTTGTATCCCAAGTTTCATAACCCAGATGGTAGGTCTCTGGTGCCTGAACAAATCTGGGAGGGACTGCAAAAATAGTTCATAGGAAATTACAACACATAAAAAAAAAACCACTAAAACAAAACAAAACAAAAAAGCGAAGCAAATAAATACTCCTCGAAAACTCTTCACCATTTTTAAAAAAAAAAAATTATTGAGCAACCTTTTCTACAAATCGAACAAGCGAAGAGCAAAGCCAAACTTCAAAAAGACTGAGATCAAAACGACTTACCTCTTATCTTCCTTTAGTCACGCCTGAAAAATCTGAAAATGTGACTCTTTGTACCTGATTATCTCATTACAGCCCATAACGTTTTCCATTTTTGATAAATGAATAACATTTGACGACCTGAGCCAAATTGATGGGAATATGCCCAGTAATGCTTGCAGTAAAGTGAATTGATGGCGCGTCCTTGGTAACGACATGAATTAGGATATAGGAAGCAGATTAACGATAGAAATAATAATAATAATAATAATAATAGTAGTAGTAATAATGATCATAACAATAATAATTATAAAAATAATAATTATAATAACAATAATAATGATAATAATGATAACGATAATAATAATGATAATAACAGTGATAAAAATAATAACGATGGTGATGAGAAAGAGAATAACACTAAGAAAATTACGAAAACTTATATCAAGAACAATTTCAGCATTGATAACATCATCTAAGATCTAAGATCTAAGCAACATTGCATAACCACAATAGAATAACAGACACAAAGTAATAATAATACTAGTAATAATAAGGATAATAATAAAGAGAAGAATCTTTAGAAGAAGATAACGATGCCGGAGTAAATAAGCAACAAATTTTAAGATTACAACGATTACATTGCATATCAAATTTCCTGTACCTTCCACAACAATTTTCACAGTCGCAGACTCGACACCTATGAAATTCCTCGCTTCGCATCTATACAAGCCTCGATCGCTGAATTGAATGCTGGGAAACGTTAACATTCCTGTATCCCTGTTATACTTCCCAGAGTTTAACTTTTGGCCATTTTTATACCACGTGACCTCTGGGTTTGGAAAGCCTTTTGAGTAGCAGGGTAAGGAGACATTGCTTCCCTCTTTGACAGTCATGCTGGATGGTGGCTTCTTTCTTATTCTTGGGATATCTTGGGCGCAAAAGTGCAGATAAAAGTGCTTAAAAATGTGGTTTACTTTGGTCAAAGTGGCTATTGTAGTTTACTATAACTCCCAGAAATGATTAACATATAACTTCTCCCTATAACGTCCCTACATTATCCAGCGAACATGCAATGCAAGAGAACATAGGATGTTCTCTCGGGTAATGAGAATACACTAATTTATCAGGCAGAATTTGTCATCTTGATCTGACAACAAATTCTCGTAACTGATTAACAAGGAAATGCTTAGCAGCTAGAGGGGAGAGTTAGCAGTAAGATCTTGGAATTTAAAGGGTTGAGAACACTGTATCAATCCTTCAAAGAGAAAGTCTTTACGGCTATTACAAACGCAGGCAAACTTCACCGGGCATAAGTATTATGCTCCGGTGTCACGCAGGTCGTAGTTCATCTATGTCATGACTATTAGTTTTCTGATAAGGGATCCAACCGCTCTTGAGACCGATCGATTTCTAAAAAGCATCCCTCCATCACCCCCCTTTTTTCCAATAAACATTGGTGTTGTCAGTGAGCCAATAAAAACTTGTGTCACAGAATTTTCAAGGCTCCCAAATCTACAAATGCAACTCTGGTATTTCAGATACTGGAATCTCACGTAAATTTTGAGAGTGATGCAGCGTTTGCCACCAGACGTTTTCTTAATTGGATATTTTCATTCCTAATTCAGAGTGAAAAGTGACTGATATTGGCGGAAGATAAATTTAACGATGCACTCATCCAGGAACTTCTCTCATACAGTTTAAACAGATCTTAAAACGTGGTGGAGACAACAAAATAATTCCATGTTACCTATATCCTGGAATAGTCTGAGGTATTTCCTGCTAAAGCGCTTCCAGGTCTCCCTCTGGGTCCTTGGCGACCTCGTGCACCTGGAGGACCCGTTTTTCCTGGCTTTCCAATGTAACCTGGGCGACCCTGACGTCCTCGGGGCCCATCACGACCTTGCGGGCCCTCGAGCTCCTGAAGGGAAATTTCAAATTGAGTTCATTTGTTGGTTTGAAAATGGCAAATCGTCAGCAACACTGTAAAAGTTCCGGATTTCCGCTACAAAGGCGAATTTATTTGCAAGACATAATCAAAAATAATTAAAATATGCCCCCTGTGACGGGGAGGGGGGAGGAATATTTCCCAGCTTTCAGGGGGAATATTAATTCAAAATTTGATATAAAAAGCTCATTTGGATAACCGCTAAAAATATGAGCTAAGTAAACTCACGCTTTTTACATAATAATTGTTTCATCGATATCAGACGGCAATGACGAGGAGGTAATTAAGAAGACTCATATTGATGAGTTTCAGCTGATACTCACCTCTCAAACAGATGACGTCTTGATCTGTGACATTGTTAATCTTTGTAGTGACCTAAAAACCAAAAAATAAACCATCCAAAACATCGAAAAAAAAAAAAAATTATAATTATTCGAGGTAGGATTTGTTGTTTAAGTGATAGATTTGGTAAGCGCGATGGAAAGTTTGATAAAGAATTATTACCCAGGTACGAAACACTGAAAAAACCCGGTGCTTCCAACCATTGCACTACAAGAAGAAAATAATTTATTTACAAATCGATCAGATAATTTCATCTGTGGCATCTCGAAAAAGAGCAGCCGCCGTGCGGACAGGCAAAGCGTAGGATCTGTATGTAGTCTGGCTCGTCAGTTGTTCAGGTGTCAGAGATCGAGATGATGAATTTATAATCAAAGAACAATGAAATATGTTATCAAAAACTATAATAGACAACATATGTAGCTTTGATATCTTAATAAATACCTTCGCAGAAGCTCCAAGTCCAAATAACTGAACGCAAGCATTGTGGCAACTGGTGCAGGGTTTTGAATCTCCGTGATACTTAGCAGCTCTCTTATTCCGATTCATCAAATCTGCATCTTCACTTTCCCTCGCTTTTGCTTGGTTCTTCAGGTCGCTCCGCAATTGTAACACTTCTCCCTCTAACACGTCGACTTTGTAGATAAAGAACCCGACGGAGATCACACTGAATAAAATGTTTTAAAATCACGGCAATAGTCCAGAAACTATTGCCTCGCGACTTCTTCACAGCTTCCATTGTCGAGCTTCAGTTGATTAGTGGAGTGAATGTTGCTTTGCCCAAGTTTGCTCGGCTAAGTAGCAGTGGAAAACCAGACAGGAATAAGCTCTTTTCGAGCTCACTTTCCTCACTTGCTCAATTATACAGGAACACATGTCTGCAGTTTGCTGATGTTGTTTATTTAAAGTTTTTTGTCATGAAATCACGGTCTAAAATTTCTTTCATTTACAAGTACCTCATTGCACCTTTTCCTTAAGTAACTGCCGACAAGGGAATCATTTTCAGGCTGGAAGTGGAGGGAGAAGTTGAAGTTAATGCAATCTTACGCTGCAAAACACATGAATATCGAAAACTTTTGGTAAAAAAACTATTTTAGTTTCACTTCCCCTTGTACTGGAAGCCTGATCCATCTCCTGATAATATCAAATGTCTGATCGAGCGGTCATATGACTTAGCAACTATACAGTTGTAAACAGTCAGGCAATCATTATCTTTTTCCTTTTATTATTTGTTCTTGCTACTTAAGATGGCAAATATAACCAAGAACAAAAGCATAAAAGAAAGCAATTCTCTTGGTCTCTGAGTACGCTGGAGATATCGATTTTGATCTAGGGAAAGGATACGCGATGAACACGCATTTTCAATTTGTTCCCGTATGACAAACGTATTGTAACACAACATCCTGTTTTCGTGAGTCGAAGCCAAAGCGGAACCTTCATACAGCTTAGCCAGGAATATGGATCAGCTTTTTGTTTATCGAAAGAGTTTTGTGTTACTAAGGTAGAGTAACGCAATACTCTGTTTTGTGAGTCGCAGCAAAGGCGGAACGTTCATGTAGCTTCCTCAGGCGCAAGAACTGGTATTTTGTTTATTAAAGTAGCTCTGTGACGCTAAATTAAAGTGGGATCAGAAAACCCTTGTCCAAGTTATTCTATGATAGGGAACAAAATTGATAGAACCCAGTGGTAAAATTAAAGATCACGTAAGATTGACTCATTCGGATTCGTACTGAACACATGTTAAAGATGTAACGAGTCGGAAAAGTGATTACCCAGTTTGTGTGCAGAAGTAAAGCCATGGTTATTGCTCGCAGGCAAAGCGGTGAATGAAATCGAATGAAGAGTGTTGTTAATTGAATGCCTCAGTAGAAAACCATTTTTTCAACCCAAACAAAATAGTTTTTCTACTTTTTGAGTGAGATTAATTTCTTTCCAACCCTGGACCTTTGCTTGACATCATTTTCCAATTATGTTTAATTTTGCTCGACCCTTTTACTTCTAGACCAAGTTGTTCGAGGCACCACTAGTTCTACTTCGTTGAGTTAGCCGGAAGAAGAGTCATATATGTCAAGAGGGTCCAGCGAGGTTTGTACTAATTTCAATTTGAAGAGAAGATGGAGGCGCAAGGTAAGTTTACTTATAGGTGCATCAGCTGTTGATTTAGGAGGGATAATGTTGGTGTCATTTTCTCTCGCACTAAAAGCTTAGTTAACTTCTCATTCGATATCAAATGCCATTTCATCCGTTAATCATGTACGGGGTTTTATATAGAGGTTTCTCTAAAAAATACTACCTTTTCATCTATTTGACAAATCTCTCCCTATCACACTGGTTAAATGACCTCAAGAACAATTTGTTGCAGCTCCTAAAAGCGAAAAATGATGAAGTTGATATCTTAGTAAACTTGATTCACGGTGGGTGATCAGGATCTTTGTTCAAACTCGGCTGATGTAACGCAACATCCTATTTTGCCATCCAGAGCAAAAGCGCAACTCTCATGAAGTTTTCTTCGGTGAAACTACTAAAATTTTATCTCTGAAACAGCCACACGGCATCACAAGATCATAAATTTGACCGAGAAAATCGCTCTTATTCAGGTAAAAAATTTCCAAGTTTAAGATTTACATGTATCAAATAAAATGGATTCGGCACATAGCATAATTCTGCATAGTTTAATAATGATACATAACAATATTCCAGCTTTTAGCGGGCAGCATTTGAATTAGATACCGTTATGAAATTCCTAAGATACATTCTTAATGGCGACCGACTAATTAACGAATGGAGGTTTAACTTCCCTTCTCCAGCCGCTCGATGTATCTTTGAACAAACCGTTTGAAGATAGAGTCCGAAAGCAGTGGATGGCTGATGGAATTCACGAATTTACCGCCACTGAACGACAAAAGAAGGCTTCGGAGGAACCGATCTGTTCGTGGATTTCGCAAGCGTGGAAAGCCATTCCGTCAGAAATGATCGCTGCCTCTTTCCTTAAGTGTGGGATCATAAACAATTCGGATGGATCAAAATACAATTTGGTTTACAACCGAGATCACTGATGAACTTGATGATTCAGTCATCGAAAACCTATTTGAATCAAACTGCGAGTTGGAATTTGAAGGTTTCGTTGTTTAAAGACACTAAACATTTTACTTAAATCGTACGCAATGCAGTGATGATATTCAAGCTAGCTACCAGCAGTGCTGTGAGTAGAAATAATGTTTATGAATTGCTGTTATGATAATAATTCAAGTTGTGAATTTAGGTATATTAATAAGGACTTCAAGTAAACGAGAAAGTTATTGAATTAAAACTAAAAACTACCTGCTTCTTAAAAGGTTGCTCAGTGCTAAAACGCCTCTAGTTCAATTAAAAAATACGTGCTCCTTGTGAAAATCGAGGGGAAATTAATTGCATATATTAAAGTCGAATCAATTCTTGTGCTCTCGTCGATACGAAAGGTCTGCGAGGGGTCTCCATGGTTTCTTGCTAGTACCAGATCCTTCAAAGACCTCTCAAAGAATGACCTCACTTGAAGGCTCAGGCTTTTCTGCTCTTGCTGTGTCGCGCATTAATGAGCACCTGCTCGCAGACCAATCCAAATCTAGCGAAAGCATAAAAAACAAACAAACAAACAAACAACACCCCACTTGCATTTCAAGGGGGAAAAATGAGAAAAATGGACTTGCAAACAAAATAGTGAAAATTCAAGTAACAGATGGCAGAAACGTTATGATTTATTAATTGCACACCATATATATATATATATATATACCAAACCCTTTCACCTTAGGTTTTACCAAGCAAATCTTTAAATACTGATATGACTTCAGTGCTCTATAGATAGAGCACATTTTAACTTAGCATCTTAAAACAAAAGCTAAACTTGCAAAGAAAGTCCAGTCAAAGCAAAAAAAATATGTAAGGAAGATAACGAAAGCTTAAGTAAAAATAAGCAAGCTGTCGGAAGCGTGGGAAAGTTTGACTAACTAGATGGTTATTGACTTTGAGTTTTTTTTCCGGTTTGGTTGATTGCTGAAAGAGAATATAGCTTTCCCTTTCATGTTTTTCTAGGACAACTACAAAATGATGCTAATCCACTTCTTAAAAATTCGTTCTGATTTTGGACTTGAGACTCAAAAAAGAGTTGTATCAGCCATTTTGAAGAAGGTTACGTTGGAGGTAAGGCGTTAAAGGAACAAGGGGAGGGGGAGGGGGGCGGGGGGCGGGGGACCATCTGTTCGTTGGTGTATTTTTTGGCCGGTAACTCACACTCTCTGTGCCACCATAGAAAATATGTGCACCTATAAACATGATGTTCTGAAAAAATTTTTCTAATCGAACGCTGATTCATTAATCTTAATGCGGTTTTTTCTCAATTCAATGCCTTATTTCATCATTTGAAAGCTCCTCTTCGCCGGGAATGAAAGAGTTCACGGCTGAATAAAGATCATAATGAAAACAATATTATAAATATTATTGTTTTTTATTAAATCTTTCGCCTAAATTTTTGAGGGAAACATTTGTAGGAATGTTTATTTTTTATGGTAACGTAAATTGCCATTTGATATAAGGCAATGCATCAAGTATATTTCAGAATTTTCAGAGAATCAAAACACATAAAACACGAGAAATTTGTTTCAAAGGTTTATTAGTAATTTAGACAGACGGCGATAACGTAAAAATTCTGTCCACCATCAGTCATGGCTTACAGTTCTCTAATCAAACTATAATCATTTGCGAGTTACACAGTCTAGTTCACCATCTCGCCTTTACATTCTCTTTTATTTAACTACTTCAACCATTTGTATTTCTTCCTTAGAGGATTTAACACCCAAAATCCTCAAAGAAATATTAGCCTTTGTAAGTCTGATAAAACACTTCAACTTCATGAGGCTGGAAATTGTAACTTCCGGCCAACAAACTTCCCGTGTCACCCGAGCCGTACCGGTAGCCGGCTAACTGCACATAACTGTGACCCAAGTTGGTGTAGGAATTCGTGTTGTAGCCTGCAGAGTTTGCGATGTAAATGTCGTGTCCACCACCAAATGTTGGGCCGTAACTGCTTTTGCCGTACATGGCACGATCACTCTTCTTAACATGAACCTTAAATGGTTCCAGTCCATAATGGTTTTTAAAAGAGAATATGAAGCTATTGACTGAATCTGTGTATGAGCCGCCCGAATCTGGAAGAAAACAGGAATTAATCAGGAATGTGCTGTAAAGTGCATGCATGAATGCTTCACCGAAGAAAGAATTTAAAAACAAAGAAACAAAATCATGCTTTAAATGGTCATGTGGAATCGGCAGTAGTTGTGTCCATTGCAATGTTTGTTTTGTGCGCTTGAAACTTATGGTATTCCAGTGTTGGTTAAGCTGATCCTTACCAATACGGAACGAAACATATACATTAAAATGTATTTAAAAAATATCTATTAAATGCATACATTGCATTTACTCGCAAGTGGAGATCAAAACAATTGTGTCAAAAAATGATCATGAGCTGAAACAAATGACGGTGAAAGGTTCAAATAACAGCAAATATGGCATTCTAAGTTGTTTAAATACTAACTATCGTGATGACGTGTATCCTCTGTTTAAGGAATATCTCTACTGTTCAAGAACTTTTCCTTGAAAGGATTAAGTCAAGTCCCTATTTTTTCAAATAGATTAGCATTGTAAGAAAGCTGTCTGTTCATAGAAGACTGGAAGAGAAAAATGTGCTCGTGAACAAATCATAAATTAAAACCGCAAAAATTTGATCAATCGATATTAAACTGATTTTATATTAATTTTTTCCTTTTTTTGCGTTGAACAGAATATCAACGAGGTGTGGCAATCGTGTAAATATATTATTTTTGTGCTGTCAACCAATCAAATGTCAGAGTAAAGTTACTAACCAAAAATGTGTAAAGACATGAAAGGTTATGACAAAGTTATTACTTTACGAGTAGTCGTTTCGTCTTCCGTTTCTTTTTTTTGACAAGTCATAAATCATATGATGGCTCTCAGTGCTTTTTCCCATTGAAGGTTTGAAATTTTTCTACGCAGCTTATTTCTACATTCTAGTAAGGTCCTGGCTATCTAATTACTTACGCCAGTTCCTGTCGGTGTATCCACCAAATATGTACTCTCCCACTCTAATAAACGTCACTGTTGGTCCTAAGCCATTGCACTGCGAGTGGAATGTACTGGAGCTCCATCCATGATCAGTAGCTCTGTAACATAGCTTCCACTTGGCTGGCAATGTAGACACAGAACCCAGCCAGCCTTTAAGGAGCTCCCAGTATTCAGTTTTGTTCAGAAGGATTTCTGAGTGCTCGAATTCCGGACCTGGTGTTATAAAGTCACATAGATTTATTCAATGGGGATTACCAGAGAAATGTCTAAATCTATATATGCACTTGAGGAGAGATATAATTTTGATCCGTGTAATTCCAAGATTTTTCAATAACCTTTCTTTGTACACATCTTGGATAAAATTTAAATGCTTTCAATACTCATAAGCGTTACCTTCACATGATGGTCCTTCTTCTGTCCAGTTTCCATTTTCTTTACAAACCCTGACATGTGGTCCTCTAAGCTGGTATCCTTTGTTGCACTCGTAAGTGACATTTTTCCCTTCCCAAAATTCATTTCCTATTCTATAGCCATTCTCTAGAGGAGGAGGTTCATCGCAAAGATGATGGCCTAAGAAAACAATGAGATTAATTTGTTAATTTATCCTACGTTGTATGCTTAATTACAGTTATCTCCTTCTTACATGTCGGCATCACGTTACTCCAGTTGCCATTTTCCAAGCACAGTCTGTTTGTAGGTCCTTCCAAGTGGTATCCTACGTCACACGCAAAAGTCACCATCTCTCCTGCCCAGTAATTCTCTCCAACCTTGAAGCCGTTCACTGGAACATGAGGCTCACCGCATCCAACCAGCTCTGATGTAGATTATGACAAAAATATAGAATTAGGAATATGGACCTCTTGGTAAAAAAAAAAAAAAAAAAAAATTCGTTTAAAAATTAATTCGAGATGAGAGAACGTTTTGGGGTTTCTATAGAAGAGGGAAATATTTCTTTGTTCATTAAGTCGAACCAGAGGACACTCAAAGGACACCATACTACGCGACAAACAGTAAGATGTTTGTAAATATCTTTTCAAGCGCGTTGAAAAATATGTGAACGATATTTACCACAATATCCTTCATTATGTGCGAAAACATGCTCGTATATATGTCCTTGGACATTATCAGTTCCTCGAAGCTCACGGTTTTCTTCGAGCTTCGCTCTCGGAAAACTGCTCGCATCTTGGAATGGACAATGTCCGCGGACAATTATCCGTGCATATTTTTGCGCCAAATAGAAGATATTGTTTATTCGAACATGAGTCAAGGCTGCCTTATCAAGTACTCTTTTGCATCAGTACTATTTTTTATCTTACGTATACAAATCTAGTAATGCCTCCTTATCTCTTCTAAGATACTTGTTCAATTTTCTCCTAACCTGCAGCAGTAGTGATCTCCGCAGTTCCGTTGTCGTAGTTTTTAAAGAAGCATTTGTACACTCCCTGGTCAGATGGGCCAAAGGTTGGAATGATGAGCTCCCCTTTCACTTCTTCATCATTCTTTGTGGTCGAGTTGGTTGAAATAACCACTCCATCCTTACTCCACTCTAGACTGGGCACGGGTGACCCGCGGGCAGCACACTGCAGTCTAACACTACCGTCGACCTTCGTCACCTTGACAACGGTTGATGGGGCTGAAGTGATCACGGGTGGGACTTTGAAAACAGATTTGAAAAGAAAAGCTTAGGTTGATCTCGAGCTCTTGAAACAAAATTAGCTTCTGCGCCATGGGATAAATAACTAGTATTAGCTAATAAATATTTGATATAAAATGCTTGATATGTATGTATCAAAAGTAACGGTCATTACAGCGTTTATACCAAAATGAAACAACGCCGTCCATGAGATTATCTTTTCCCTTTTTTTTAAAACAGATTTGGGGTTCTCAGCCTGGGTCGGAGTTCATACGATATATAGCGGCAAGAAATGCACACCATTTCCAGAGCTAATTGAGCAGAAAGCAATTTCAACGGTTGCGGTCACGCACCAATCAAGCAGAAACTACTCGGATCACTAGGATTGAGCAACAATTACCGGACAGAAGAAATAAGCTTACTGTAGATAACAGCGGGTTTTTTGCACTTTCGACATTTTTGAATCATTCACTTACTGACAGGTTTCACAACGAGCACAATAAGTGCATATACATGACCCAGGTGATTTTCCCCGCGGCACATGAAGGGTCCTCTGTCCTCCTTCCGAGTTTCCTTGATCACCAAATCTTTACCAACCACCGCGTGACGATCAATGGGCAACGGCCGGAATGATCGGGTCCATTGTATCTTTGGTGGAGGGAAGGCGAAGATGTTGCAAGTCAGAGTCGTATCCCAAGTTTCATAACCCAGATGGTAGGTCTCTGGTGCCTGAACAAATCTGGGAGGGACTGCAAAAATAGTTCATAGGAAATTACAACACAAAAAAAAAAACACTAAAACAAAACAAAACAAAAAAACGAAGCAAATAAGTACTCCTCGAACACTCTTCACCATTTTTTAAAAAAAAATTATTGAGCAACCTTTGCTGCAAATCGAACAAGCAAAGAGCAAAGCCAAACTTCAAAAAGACAGAGATCAAAACGACTTACCTCTTATCTTCCTTTAGTCACGCCTGAAAAATCTGAAAGTGTGACTCTTTGTACCTGATTATCTCATTACAGCCCATAACGTTTTCCATTATTGATAAATGAATAACATTTGACGACCTGAGCCAAATTGACGGGAATATGCCCAGTAATGCATGCAGTAAAGGGAATTGATGGCGCGTCGTTGGTAACGACATGAATTAGGATATGCGAAGCAGATTAACGATAGAAATAATAATAATAATAATAATAAAAATAATAATGATCATAACAATAATAATTATAATAATGATAATTATAATAACAATAATAATTATAATAATGATAACAATGATAACGATAATAATAATGATAATAACAGTAATAAAAATAATAACAATGGTTATGAGAAAGAGAATAACACTAAGAAAATAACGATGACTTAGATCAACAACAATTTCAGCATTGATAACATCATCTAAGATCTAAGATCTAAGCAACATTGCATGACCACAATAGAATAACAGACACAAAGTAATAATAATACTAGTAATAATAAGGATAATAATAAAGAGAAGAATCTTTAGAAGAAGATAACGATGCCGGAGTAAATAAGCAACAAATTTTAAGATTACAACGATTACATTGCATATCAAATTTCCTGTACCTTCCACAACAATTTTCACAGTCGCAGACTCGACACCTATGAAATTCCTCGCTTCGCATCTATACAAGCCTCGATCGCTGAATTGAATGCTGGGAAACGTTAACATTCCTGTATCCCTGTTATACTTCCCAGAGTTTAACTTTTGGCCATTTTTATACCACGTGACCTCTGGGTTTGGAAAGCCTTTTGAGTAGCAGGGTAAGGAGACATTGCTTCCCTCTTTGACAGTCATGCTGGATGGTGGCTTCTTTCTTATTCTTGGGATATCTTGGGCGCAAAAGTGCAGATAAAAGTGCTTAAAATGTGGTTTACTTTGGTCAAAGTGGCTATTGTAGTTTACTATAACTCCCAGAAATGATTAACATATAACTTCTCCTATAACGTCCCTACATTATCCAGCGAACATGCAATGCAAGAGAACATAGGATGTTCTCTCGGGTAATGAGAATACACTAATTTATCAGGCAGAATTTGTCATCTTGATCTGACAACAAATTCTCGTAACTGATTAACAAGGAAATGCTTAGCAGCTAGAGGGGAGAGTTAGCAGTAAGATCTTGGAATTTAAAGGGTTGAGAACACTGTATCAATCCTTCAAAGAGAAAGTCTTTACGGCTATTACAAACGCAGGCAAACTTCACCGGGCATAAGTATTATGCTCCGGTGTCACGCAGGTCGTAGTTCATCTATGTCATGACTATTAGTTTTCTGATAAGGGATCCAACCGCTCTTGAGACCGATCGATTTCTAAAAAGCATCCCTCCATCACCCCCCTTTTTTCCAATAAACATTGGTGTTGTCAGTGAGCCAATAAAAACTTGTGTCACAGAATTTTCAAGGCTCCCAAATCTACAAATGCAACTCTGGTATTTCAGATACTGGAATCTCACGTAAATTTTGAGAGTCATGCAGCGTTTGCCACCAGACGTTTTCTTAATTGGATATTTTCATTCCTAATTCAGAGTGAAAAGTGACTGATATTGGCGGAAGATGAATTTAACGATGCACTCATCCAGGAACTTCTCTCATACAGTTTAAACAGATCTTAAAACGTGGTGGAGACAACAAAATAATTCCATGTTACCTATATCCTGGAATAGTCTGGAGGTATTTCCTGCTAAAGCGCTTCCAGGTCTCCCTCTGGGTCCTTGGCGACCTCGTGCACCTGGAGGACCCGTTTTTCCTGGCTTTCCAATGTAACCTGGGCGACCCCGACGTCCTCGGGGCCCATCACGACCTTGCGGCCCTCGAGCTCCTGAAGGGAAATTTCAAATTGAGTTCATTTGTTGGTTTGAAAATGGCAAATCGTCAGCAACACTGTAAAAGTTCCGGATTTCCGCTACAAAGGCGAATTTATTTGCAAGACATAATCAAAAATAATTAAAATATGCCCCCCTGTGACGGGGGGGAGGGGGGGAGGAATATTTCCCAGCTTTCAGGGGGGAATATTAATTCAAAATTTGATATAAAAAAGCTCATTTGGATAACCGCTAAAAATATGAGCTAAGTAAACTCACGCTTTTTACATAATAATTGTTTCATCGATATCAGACGGCAATGACGAGGAGGTAATTAAGAAGACTCATATTGATGAGTTTCAGCTGATACTCACCTCTCAAACAGATGACGTCTTGATCTGTGACATTGTTAATCTTTGTAGTGACCTAAAAACCAAAAAATAAACCATCCAAAACATCGGAAAAAAAAATTATAATTATTCGAGGTAGGATTTGTTGTTTAAGTGATAGATTTGGTAAGCGCGATGGAAAGTTTGATAAAGAATTATTACCCAGGTACGAAACACTGAAAAAACCCGGTGCTTCCAACCATTGCACTACAAGAAGAAAATAATTTATTTACAAATCGATCAGATAATTTCATCTGTGGCATCTCGAAAAAAGAGCAGCCGCCGTGCGGACAGGCAAAGCGTAGGATCTGTATGTAGTCTGGCTCGTCAGTTGTTCAGGTGTCAGAGATCGAGATGATGAATTTATAATCAAAGAACAATGAAATATGTTATCAAAAACTATAATAGACAACATATGTAGCTTTGATATCTTAATAAATACCTTCGCAGAAGCTCCAAGTCCAAATAACTGAACGCAAGCATTGTGGCAACTGGTGCAGGGTTTTGAATCTCCGTGATACTTAGCAGCTCTCTTATTCCGATTCATCAAATCTGCATCTTCACTTTCCCTCGCTTTTGCTTGGTTCTTCAGGTCGCTCCGCAATTGTAACACTTCTCCCTCTAACACGTCGACTTTGTAGATAAAGAACCCGACGGAGATCACACTGAATAAAATGTTTAAAATCACGGCAATAGTCCAGAAACTATTGCCTCGCGACTTCTTCACAGCTTCCATTGTCGAGCTTCAGTTGATTAGTGGAGTGAATGTTGCTTTGCCCAAGTTTGCTCGGCTAAGTAGCATTGGAAAACCAGACAGGAATAAGCTCTTTTCGAGCTCACTTTCCTCACTTGCTCAATTATACAGGAACACATGTCTGCAGTTTGCTGATGTTGTTTATTTAAAGTTTTTTGTCATGAAATCACGGTCTAAAATTTCTTTCATTTACAAGTACCTCATTGCACCTTTTCCTTAAGTAACTGCCGACAAGGGAATCATTTTCAGGCTGGAAGTGGAGGGAGAAGTTGAAGTTAATGCAATCTTACGCTGCAAAACACATGAATATCGAAAACTTTTGGTAAAAAAACTATTTTAGTTTCACTTCCCCTTGTACTGGAAGCCTGATCCATCTCCTGATAATATCAAATGTCTGATCGAGCGGTCATATGACTTAGCAACTATACAGTTGTAAACAGTCAGGCAATCATTATCTTTTTCCTTTTATTATTTGTTCTTGCTACTTAAGATGGCAAATATAACCAAGAACAAAAGCATAAAAGAAAGCAATTCTCTTGGTCTCTGAGTACGCTGGAGATATCGATTTTGATCTAGGGAAAGGATACGCGATGAACACGCATTTTCAATTTGTTCCCGTATGACAAACGTATTGTAACACAACATCCTGTTTTCGTGAGTCGAAGCCAAAGCGGAACCTTCATACAGCTTAGCCAGGAATATGGATCAGCTTTTTGTTTATCGAAAGAGTTTTGTGTTACTAAGGTAGAGTAACGCAATACTCTGTTTTGTGAGTCGCAGCAAAGGCGGAACGTTCATGTAGCTTCCTCAGGCGCAAGAACTGGTATTTTGTTTATTAAAGTAGCTCTGTGACGCTAAATTAAAGTGGGATCAGAAAACCCTTGTCCAAGTTATTCTATGATAGGGAACAAAATTGATAGAACCCAGTGGTAAAATTAAAGATCACGTAAGATTGACTCATTCGGATTCGTACTGAACACATGTTAAAGATGTAACGAGTCGGAAAAGTGATTACCCAGTTTGTGTGCAGAAGTAAAGCCATGGTTATTGCTCGCAGGCAAAGCGGTGAATGAAATCGAATGAAGAGTGTTGTTAATTGAATGCCTCAGTAGAAAACCATTTTTTCAACCCAAACAAAATAGTTTTTCTACTTTTTGAGTGAGATTAATTTCTTTCCAACCCTGGACCTTTGCTTGACATAATTTTCCAATTATGTTTAATTTTGCTCGACCCTTTTACTTCTAGACCAAGTTGTTCGAAGCACCACTAGTTCTACTTCGTTGAGTTAGCCGGAAGAAGAGTCATATATGTCAAGAGGGTCAAGCGAGGTTTGTACTAATTTCAATTTGAAGAGAAGATGGAAGCGCAAGGTAAGTTTACTTATAGGTGCATCAGCTGTTGATTTAGGAGGGATAATGTTGGTGTCATTTTCTCTCGCACTTAAAGCTTAGTTAATTTCACATGCGATATCAAATGCCATTTCATCCGTTAATCATGTACGGGGTTTTATATAGAGGTTTCTCTAAAAAAAAATACTACCTTTTCATCTATTTGACAAATCTCTCCCTATCACACTGGTTAAATGACCCCAAGAACAATTTGTTGCAGCTCCTAAAAGCGAAAAATGATGAAGTTGATATCTTAGTAAACTTGATTCACGGTGGATGATCAGGATCTTTGTTCAAACTCGGCTGATGTAACGCAACATCCTATTTTGCCATCCAGGGCAAAAGCGGAATTCTCATGAAGTCTTCTTCGGTGAAACTACTAGAATTTTATCTCTGAAACAGCCACACGGCATCACAAGATCATAAATTTGACCGAGAAAATCGCTCTTATTTAGGTAAAAAATTTCCAAGTTTAAGATTTACATGCATCAAATAAAATGGATTCGGCACATAGCATAATTCTGCATAGTTTAATAATGATACATAACAATATTCCAGCTTTTAGCGGGCAGCATTTGAATAAGATATCGTCATGAAATTCCTAAGATACATTCTTAATGGCGACCGACTAATTAACGAATGGAGGGAACGATAAAACAAAAGAGGAAAAGGGTAGTCATAGATGGACCTAATTGACGAGAAGCCCTTGCACGGTTCCCTCAAACTCGCTTCCCCTAGCCGCCCACTGTGCCAGTCTGCAGACTTCGTGATTAACCCGCAAGGTTCTCCTTCAGCAGCGCCAGTGCAGCCTTCTCGTGGGGAGTCTCTCGTAGGCCAATCGCTTAAGGTCAACGCGAGTGTATTATTGGGAATTCTTTTTTATTCCACGCTTTTGAACAAGTGACCAACTACAAGCGAATTAAACAGTGCTTCAGTTGTACAAATGATTTTTACTTGACATCATCGATATCATAATCTTCGCCCACACTCGCCCAAAGACTCCTGTTCGGTGCTATGACAACGTCAAGCTAACCAGCCAATGATTAAATTTAGTGAATACACCTGAAAGCCGTTATCTACCTCAAAGAAAGCAGCGATGAAAGTCAATCTTATTTGATCATAACAGCATAAAGAGAGGTAAGAAATTGTTTGTTAATTACTACCGTATTTACCCGTGTATAATTCACACTTTTTTTCTATAAAAATAACCATCAAAATCGCGGTGCGTATTATACACGGATGGTATTGTTTGTTAAGCACGTCCTAAGTTGCATACGTTAAAAACACACTTCAAAGAAAGTAAAAGTGCGTGGATCGGTGGCCCGGGGAGGAGAAAGAACTTGCTTGTTTACGACTCATTTGAAGCTACGTGACAGATACTGTGAAAGCGTCCTTCAAACGCGAGATCACTGAACTTGCTGTGATTCCTAGCGGATTAACTTCCCTTCTCCAGCTGCTCGATGTATCTTTGAACAAACCGTTTGAAGATGGAGTCCGAAAGCAGTGAATGGCTTAATGCGGTTTTTTCTCAATTCAATGCCTTATTTCATCATTTGAAAGCTCCTCTTCGCCGGGAATGAAAGAGTTCACGGCTGAATAAAGATCATAATGAAAACAATATTACAAATATTATTATTTTATTAAATCTTTCGCCTAAATTTTTGAGGGAAACATTTGTAGGAATGTTTATTGTTTGTGGTAACGTAAATTGCCATTTGATATAAGGCAATACATCAAGTATATTTCAGAATTTTCAGAGAATCAAAACACATAAAACACGAGAAATTTGCTTCGAAGGTTTATTAGTAATTTAGACAGACGGCGATAACGTAAAAATTCTGTCCACCATCAGTCATGGCTTACAGTTCTCTAATCAAACTATAATCATTTGCGAGTTACACAGTCTAGTTCACCATCTCGCCTTTATTCAATTTAGTTCTCTTTTATTTAACTACTTCAACCATTTGTATTTCTTCCTTAGAGGATTTAGCACCCAAAATCCTCAAAGAAATATTAGCCTTTGTAAGTCTGATAAAACACTTCAACTTCATGAGGCTGGAAATTGTAACTTCCGGCCAACAAACTTCTCGCGTCACCCGAGCCGTACCGGTAGCCGGCTAACTGCACATAACTGTGACCCAAGTTGGTGTAGGAATTCGTGTTGTAGCCTGCAGAGTTTGCGATGTAAATGTCGTGTCCACCACCAAATGTTGGGCCGTAACTGCTTTTGCCGTACATGGCATGATCACTCGTCTTAATATGAACCTTAAATGGTTCCAGTCCATAATGGTTTTTAAAAGAGAATATGAAGCTATTGACTGAATCTCTGTGTGAGCCGCCCGAATCTGGAAGAAAACAGGAATTAATCAGGAATGTGCTGTAAAGTACATGCATGAATGCTTCACCGAAGAAAGAATTTAAAAACAAAGAAACAAAATCATGCTTTAAATGGTCATGTGGAATCGGCAGTAGTTGTGTCCATTGCAATGTTTGTTTTGTGCGCTTGAAACTGGCATTAAGTTTGTTTCCTTGCTTGCAAGTGGAGATCAAAACAATTGTGTCAAAAAATGATCATGAGCTGAAACTAATGACGGTGAAAGGTTCAAATAAATATATGTTATTTGCCGGCTGGGAGGTCCGTATGGTGAAAAACTGTGACCGAGGTCTTGAAAATACTGCCCGAGGCCGTAGGCCGAGGGCAGCGTTTTCAAGACCGAGGTCACAGTTTCTCACCGTGCGGACCGACCCTTAGCCGGCAAATAACATATTTATTGTTTTTAAACTTGACGAAATTCTTTCCGAAAAAACCCGAATGATTTAGGGCTGTAAATACGGCAAGATCTTCCATAAACTGAACAATTTTTGAGTGAGTAAATGGTAGTTAAAATAGAGGTGATGCAAATTTAAGAGAGATGCCTCAGCGAAACATTTTCATTTCCGTAACGATAAAGGTGATTTAAAAGGCTTCCAAACAAACTTTGAAAAATTATTTTTACAAGTATCTGTCACAATATGACACCTGTCAATTAGAGAGCGCGTAAGAAAAAAAAATCGTAGGAACATTTGAAAACCAACAGAACTAGTTTGGCAAGGGCTGTCACGACAATGTTTTCTTCAAAATCAGTCAATAATCTAACGGAAAGTATTATTCACTCTCATCGACCATTCATTCATGTACGAATATTTACCTCTGTTCATTAAGTAAACGGCGAGGAAAGTAATTGTGAGTAAATTCAATTTTTTTACTTTGAAGTTGTGAGAGTTTGCTCGTTTGTTTGCTGCAATGGCGTGTGTGACTCTGATCTTTCCTTCACAAAAACTAAATTCGAACGGCACACTCCAACGAGACACAAGGGAATTTAATGCGGCCTTTTCTCAAAAAATTCCTTCAATTTCTGTTGTGCAATTTAAGGTACAAATGTCTAAATTGAACGGAATTGGAAAGACTCACCGGGAGCGTATATTTGTTGTAGAACTTAAATTAAAACTTCGCTCGCTCTTTCACTACGAACGAATTGCTCGAGAAAATTCAGATATTAAATGAATGAAAGTTCCATTGTTCAGTTTAACTGTAACCAAATACTTCACGTTTCAACTTTCTGGGTACTTTTTGTGAACGATTAAAATTAATTGCAGACGGTTTTTAGGCCGCTTGTCAACCAACGTAATGACACTATTGTTTATTCAAATTCATTCTGAAACCAATATTTTTCTGTCAACCAAAGTGATTTGATAGAGAGAAAAGGGAGGATTCATAAGTTATTTATCGGCTTGAGATAGTGACCGACGTGTTTGCTTAAAAATACTGCCCAGCCGGAAAACGAGGTATATTTATGAAAAAATGACAACGAAAGTTGGGATGTACTCGGCGACTCACGAAAGCGTTACCGTGGCCCGTGGGCAGAGATAGGAAAATACTGACCGGGTAAAGAACCAATCAGATTGCAAGATTCGTTACTGTGCCCTCTAAAAAAACAATAACAGCAAATATGGCATTCTAAGTTGTGTAAATACTAACTATCGTGATGCCGTGTATCCTCTGTTTAAGGAATATCTCTACTGTTCAAGAACTGTTCCTTGAAAGGATTAAGTCAAGTCCCTACTTTTTCAAAGAGATTAGCATTGTAAGAAAGCTGTCTGTTCATAGACGACTGGAAGAGAAAAATGTGCCCGTGAACAAATCATAAATTAAAACCGCAAAAATTTGATCAATCGATATTAAACTGATTTTATATTAATTTTTCCCTTTTTTGCCTTGAACAGAATATCAACGAGGTGTGGCAATCGTGTAAATATATTATTTTTGTGCTGTCAACCAATCAAATGTCAGAGTAAAGTTACTAACCAAAAATGTGTTAATAGATGAAAGGTTATGACAAAGTTATTACTTTACGAGTAGTCGTTTCGTCTTCCGTTTCTTTTTTTTGACAAGTCATAAATCATATGATGGCTCTCAGTGCTTTTTCCCATTGAAGGTTTGAAATTTTTCTACGCAGCTTATTTCTACATTCTAGTAAGGTCCTGGCTATCTAATTACTTACGCCAGTTCCTGTCGGTGTATCCACCAAATATGTACTCTCCCACTCTAATAAACGTCACTGTTGGTCCTAAGCCATTGCACTGCGAGTGGAATGTACTGGAACTCCATCCGTGATCAGTAGCTCTGTAGCAAAGCTTCCACTTGGCTGGCAGTGTAGACACAGGACCCAGCCAGCCTTTAAGGAGCTCCCAGTATTCAGTTTTGTTCAGAAGGATTTCTGAATGCTCGAATTCCGGGCCTGGTGTAATAAAGTCACATAGATTTATTCAATGGTGATTACCTACCAGAGTAATCTCTTTCAATCCATATATGTACTTGAGGAGAGATATAATTTTGATCTTAAGCCCAGCGCGATCCGTGTAATTCCAAGATTTTCTTGAAACCTTTCTTTGCAAAGATCTTTGATGAAACTTTAAAATGTTTTCAATCCTCATAAGCGTTACCTTCACATGATGGTCCTTCTTCTGTCCAGTTTCCATTCTCTTTACAAACCCTGACATGTGGTCCTCTAAGCTGGTATCCTTTGTTGCACTCATAGGTGACATTTTTCCCTTCCCAAAATTCATTTCCTACTCTATAACCCTTCTCTAGAGGAGGAGGTTCATCGCAAAGACGATGGCCTAAGAAAACAATGAGATTAATTTGTTAATTTATCCTTCGTTGCATACTTAATTTACGGTTTTCTCCTTCTTACATGTCGGCACTATGTTACTCCAGTTGCCATTTTCCAAGCACAGTCTGTTTGTAGGTCCTTCTAGGTGGTATCCTGCGTCACACGCAAAAGTCACCATCTCTCCTGCCCAGTAATTCTCTCCAACCTTGAAGCCATTCACTGGAACATGAGGCTCGCCGCATCCAACCAGCTCTGAAGTAGATTATGACAAAAATATAAAATTAAGCATATGGACCTCTGGGTAAAAAAAAAAAAAATTTTTGCTGCGCAAATTGGTATCAAGATGCGACTAAAGTATATTATGTATTTCGATCCATCGAAGATTTTTGCTCGTGAACGAACATTACCCAACTAAAACTGGGGATATACGAGGATATTACCTTAGTGAAATTCCCCAATTTTCGAACCTTACGGCCACTACGATAAGTCTTCGTTTTAGAATGAGTTCAAGATGAGAGAGCGTTCTGGGATTTCTACAGAAGAGGGGGAATATTTTTTGTTCATCAAATCGAAGCAGAGAACACTCAAAGGACACCATACCACGTAGCGAACAGTAAGATGTTTGTAAACATTTTTTTTAAGCGCGTTGAAAAATATGTGAACGATACAACACACAATATCCTCTACTTTGCGCTGAAACATGCTAGTATATTTGTCCTTGGAGATTATCTGTTCCTCGAAGCTCACAGTTTTCTTCGAGCTTCGCTCTCGGAAAACTGTTCGCATCTTGGAACAGACAATAGACAATTATCCGTGCATAGTTTCGCGCCAAATACAGGATATTGTTTATTTGAACATGAGGCAAGGCTGCTTTATCAAGTACTCTTGTGCATCCCTAGTATTTTCTATCTAACCCATATTAATCTAGTAATGCCTCTCTATATCTCTTTACAGAGACTTGTCCAAATTTTCTCTCAACCTGCAGCGGTAGTGATCTCTGCAGTTCCGTTGTCGTAGTTTTTAAAGAAGCATTTGTACACTCCCTGGTCAGATGGGCCAAAGGTTGGAATGAAGAGCTCCCCTTTCACTTCTTCATCATTCCTTGTGGTTGAGTTGGTTGAAATAACCACTCCATCCTTACTCCACTCTAGACTGGGCACGGGTGACCCGCGGGCAGCACACTGCAGTCTAACGCTGCCGTCGACCTTCGTCACCTTGACAACGGTTGATGGGGCTGAAGTGATCACTGGTGGGACTTTGAAAACAGATTTGAAAAGAAAAGCTTAGGTTGATCTCGAGCTCTTGAAACAAAATTAGCTTCTGCGCCATGGGATAAATAACTAGTATTAGCTAATAAATATTTGATATAAAATGCTTGATATGTATGTATCAAAAGTAACGGTCATTACAGCGTTTACACCAAAATGAAACAACGCCGTCCATGAGATTATCTTTTCCCTTTTTTTTAAAATAGATTTGGGGTTCTCAGCCTGGGTCGGAGTTCATACGATATATAGCGGCAAGAAATGCACACCATTTCCAGAGCTAATTGAACAGAAAGCAATTTCAACGGTTGCGGTCACGCACCAATCAAGCAGAAACTACTCGGATCACTAGGATTGAGCAACAATTACCGGACAGAAGAAATAAGCTTACTGTAGATAACAGCGGGTTTTTTGCAATTTCGACATTTTTGAATCATTCACTTACTGACAGGTTTCACAACGAGCACAATAAGTGCATATACATGACCCAGGTGATTTTCCCCGCGGCACATGAAGGGTCCTCTGTCCTCCTTCCGAGTTTCCTTGATCACCAAATCTTTACCAACCACCGCGTGACGATCAATGGGCAACGGCCGGAATGATCGGGTCCATTGTATCTTTGGTGGAGGGAAGGCGAAGATGTTGCAAGTCAGAGTCGTATCCCAAGTTTCATAACCCAGATGGTAGGTCTCTGGTGCCTGAACAAATCTGGGAGGGACTGCAAAAATAGTTCATAGGAAATTACAACAAAAAAAAAACACTAAAACAAAACAAAACAAAAAGCGAAGCAAATAAGTACTCCTCGAACACTCTTCACCATTTTAAAAAAAAAAAAATTATTGAGCAACCTTTGCTGCAAATCGAACAAGCAAAGAGCAAAGCCAAACTTCAAAAAGACAGAGATCAAAACGACTTACCTCTTATCTTCCTTTAGTCACGCCTGAAAAATCTGAAAGTGTGACTCTTTGTACCTGATTATCTCATTACAGCCCATAACGTTTTCCATTATTGATAAATGAATAACATTTGAAGACCTGAGCCAAATTGACGGGAATATGCCCAGTAATGCATGCAGTAAAGGGAATTGATGGTGCGTCGTTGGTAACGACATGAATTAGGATATAGGAAGCAGATTAACGATAGAAATAATAATAATAATAATAATAATAATAATAATAATAATAATAATGATCATAACAATAATAATTATAATAATGATAATTATAATAACAATAATAATTATAATAATGATAATAATGATAACGATAATAATAATGATAATAACAGTAATAAAAATAATAACGATGGTTATGAGAAAGAGAATAACACTAAGAAAATAACGATGACTTATATCAAGAACAATTTCAGCATTGATAACATCATCTAAGATCTAAGATCTAAGATCAACATTGCATAACCACAATAGAATAACAGACACAAAGTAATAATAATACTAGTAATAATAAGGATAATAATAAAGAGAAGAATCTTAAGAAGAAGATAACGATGCCGGAGTAAATCAGCTACAATTTTTAAGATTACAACGATTACATTGCATATCAAATTTCCTGTACCTTCCACAACAATTTTCACAGTCGCGGACTCGACACCTATGAAATTCCTCGCTTCGCATCTGTACAAGCCTCGATCGCTGAATTGAATGCTGGGAAACGTTAACATTCCTGTATCTCTGTTATACTTCCCAGAGTTTAACTTCTGGCCATTTTTATACCACGTGACCTCTGGGTTTGGAAAGCCTTTTGAGTAGCAGGGTAAGGAGACATTGCTTCCCTCTTTGACAGTCATGCTGGATGGTGGCTTCTTTCTTATTCTTGGGATATCTTGGGCGCAAAAGTGCAGATAAAAGTACTTATAATATGGTTTACTTTGGTCAAAGTGGCTATTGTGGTTTACCATAACTCCCAGAAATGATTAACACATAACTTCTCCCTATAACGTCCCTACATTATCCAGCGAACATGCAATGCAAGAGAACATAGAATGTTCTCTTGGGTAATGAGAATACACTAACTTATCAGGTAGAATTTGTCATCTTGAACTGACAACAAATTCTCGTTACTGATTAACAAGGAAATGCTTAGCAGCTAGAGGGGAGAGTTAGCAGTAAGATCTTGGAATTTAAAGGGTTAAGAGCATTGTATCATTCTTTCAAAGAGAAAGTATTCACGGCTATTACAAACGCAGGCAAACTTCACTGGGCATAAGTATTATGCTCTGCTGTCAAGCTGGTCCTAGTTCATCTATGACATGACTATTAGTTTTCTGATAAGGGACCCAGCCGCTCTTGAGACCGATCGATTTCTAAAAAGCATCCCTCCATCACCCCCCTTTTTTCCAATAAACATTGATGTTGTCAGTGAGGCAATAAAAACTTGTGCCGCAGAATTTTCAAGGCTCCCAAATCTACAAATGCAACTCTGATATTTCAGATACTGGAATCTCACCTAAACTTTAAGAGTGATGCAGCGTTTGCCACTAGACGTTTTCTTATTTGGATATTTTCATTCCTAATTCAGAGTGAAAAGTGACTGATATTGGCGGAAGATGAATCTAACGATGCACTCATCCAGGAACTTCTATCATACAGTTTAAACAGATCTTAGAACGTGATGGAGACAACAAAATAATTCCATGTTACCTATATCCTGGAATAGTCTGGAAGTATTTCCTGCTAAAGCGCTTCCAGGTCTCCCTCTGGGTCCTTGGCGACCACGTGCACCTGGAGGACCCGTTTTTCCTGGCTTTCCAATGTAACCTGGGCGACCCCGACGTCCTCGGGGCCCATCACGACCTTGCGGCCCTCGAGCTCCTGAAGGGAAATTTCGAATTGAGTTCATTTGTCGTTTGAAAATGGCAAATCGTCAGCAGCACCGTAAAAGTTCCGGATTTCCGCAACAAAGGCGAATTTATTTACAAGACATAATAAAAAATAGTTAAAATATCCCCCCCCTGAGATCAAAAGAAATAAACGCAAATATTAATTCAAAATTTGATCTAAAAAAGATCATTTGGATAACTGCTAAAAATATGTGCTAAGTAAACTCACGCTTTTTGCATAATAATTTTTCTTATCGATATCAGATCGCAATGACGAGGAGGTAATTATGAAGACTCTTATTGATGAGTTTCAGCGGACACTTACCTCTCAAACAGATGACGTCTTGATCTGTAACATTGTTCATCTTTGTAGTGACCTAAAAACCAAAAAATAAATTAAATCATCCAAAACATCGAAAAAGAAAGTTTTTCGAGGTATGATTCGTCGTTTAAGTAACAGATTTAGTAAGAGCGATGGAAAATTTGATAAAGAAGAGTCATTACCCATGTACGAAACACTGAAAAAGAAGAAAACAATTTCTTTACAAATCGATCAGGTAATTTCATCTGTGGCATCCCGAAAAAAGAGTGACTGCCGTGCGGACAGGCAAAGCGTAGGATCTGTATGTAGTCTGGCTCGTCAGTTGTTCAGGTGTCAGAGATCGAGATGATGGATTTATAATCAAAGAACAATGAACTATGTTGTCAAAAACTATAAAAAGACAATATATGTAGCTTTGATATCTTAATAAATACCTTCGCAGAAGCTCCAAGTCCAAATAACTGAACGCAAGCATTGTGACAGCTGGTGCAGGTTTTTGATTCTCCATGATATTCAGCAGCTCTCTTATTTCGATTCATCAAATTTGCCTTTTCACTTTCTCTCGCTTTTGCCTGGTTCTTCAGGTCGCTCCGCAACTGGAACACTTCTCCCTCTAACACGTGCACTTTGTAGATAAAGAACCCGACGGAAATCACACTGAATAAAATGTTTAAAATCACGGCAATAGTCCAGAAACTATTGCCTCGCGACTTCTTTACTGCTTCCATTGTCGAGCTTCAGTTGATTAGTGGAGTGAATGTTGCTTTGCCCAAGTTTGCTCGGCTAAGTAGCATTGGAAAACCAGACAGGAATAAGCTCTTTTCGAGCTCGCTTCCCTCACTTGCTCAATCATACAGGAACACATGTCTGCAGTTTGCTGTCTTGTTTATTTAAAGCTTTTTGTCATGAAATCACGGCCTGAAATTTCTTTCATTTACAAGTACCTCATTGCACCTTTTTCCTTAAGTAACTGCCGACAAGGGAATCATTTTCGGGCTGGAAGTGGAGGGAGAAGTTGAAGCAAATAGAATATTATGCTGCAAAACACAAAAATATCGAAAACTTTTTGTAAAAAACTATTTTAGGATCACTTCCCCTCACACTGGAAGCCTGATCCATATCCTGATAATATCAAATGTCTGATCGAGCGGTCATGTGAATTAGCAACTATACAGTTGTAACAGTCAGGCAATCATTATCTTTTTTTCTTTTATTATTTGTTCCGGCTACTTAAGATGGCAAATATAACCAAGAGCAAAAGCATAAAGAGGTAATCAAGAAACGCTCCCAAAGAGAAAGCAATTCTCCTGGTCTCTGAGTACGTCTGAGATATCGATTTTGATCTACGGCCAGGTTGCGCGATGAACGCGTATTTTTAATTTGTTCCCGGTGACAAACATATTGTAACACAACATCCTGTTTTTGTGAGTCGAAGCCAAAGCGGAACCTTCTTAAAACTTACCCAGGAGCATGAATCAACTTTTTGTTTATCGAAAAGGTTTTGTGTTACCAAAGTAGAGTAACGCAATGCTCTGTTTTGGGAGTCGCAGCAAAGGCGGAACGTTCATGTTGCTTCCTCGGGCGCAAGAACTGGTGTTTTGTTCATTAAAGTAGCTCTGTCACACAAAATCAAAGTTGGATCAGAAAACCTTTTCCAAGTCATTTTATGATAGGGAACATATTTGATAAAACCCCAGTGGTAAAAGATCACTTAAGATTAACTCACTCGGATTCGTAATAGACACATTTCAAAGATGCACGGGTCGCAAAAGCGATTACCCACTTTGCTTGCGAGAAGCAAAGCTATGGTTATTGCTGGTATGCTAAGCTGTTAATAAATTCGAATAAAGAGTGTTGTCAATGAATTGCCTCAGTAGCAAACCATTATTTCAGTCTAAATAAAAATGTTCATCTACTTTTTAAGTGAGAAGAAGTTCTTTCCCATCCTGGACTTTTGCTTGACAACTAGAATCAGTGAGTCACTAATTCTGATCATTTTCCAATGATGTTTAATTTTGCTTGACCCTTTTACTACTCGGCCAGGTTGTTCGAAACACCATTAGTTACACTTTACTGAGTTAGCTACAAGAAGAGTCATAGAAATCAAGAGAGTCAAGCGAGGCTTGTACTAATTTTAAATTGGTAATTTAATTCTCAAGGGAAGAGGAGTTGGAGGCGTGAGGTAACTTTGTTGTAGGTGAATCAGCTGCTGATTTGTGAGGGATAGTGTTGGTGTCACTTCCTCTCGCACTAGACGCTCAGTTTACTTCTCATGCGATATCAAATGCCGTCTTATCGGTTAATCGATTATCATGAACTGAGTTTTATGTAGAGTTGTCTAACAGTATCTCGTTTTCATCTACTTAACTTTATTTCTCGCACCGGTTAACATTACAGCAACTCCTAAAAGCGAAAAATAGTAAAGTTGATATCTTGGTAAACTTGACTATGGTGAAGAGCATGCATGGTGGGTGATCAAGATCTTTGCTCCAACTCGGCTGATATAACGCAACATCTTATTTTGCCATCCTTAGCAAGGTTCTCGTTTAGCAGCGCCAGTGAAAACCTTCTCGTGAGGGGTCTTTTGTAAATTAGTCGCCTAAGGTCAGCCCGAGTGTATTATTGGGAACTTTTTTAATTCCGCGGTTGAGTAATGAGAGGCAAATTAAGCAGTGCATCAGTGGTACAAATGATTTTTACTTGACATCATTGATATCATCATCTTTGCCCATTATCGCCCAAAGGTTCCTGTTCGGTGCTATGACAACGTCAAGGTAACCAGCCAATGATTAAATTTAGTGACTAAACCCAAAAGCCGTTATCTACCTCAAAGAAAGTAGCGATACATATCAATCTTGTCTTGATCATTACAGCGTGAAGAGAGGTAAGAAATTATTTGTTAAATACTAATAAACACGATGAGACTGCTTTCAGTTTCTCGCGATAAACTTAATTAAAACGAAAAACTGCCTGCTTCTTAGATTGCTCAGAGTTAAAACACCTCTAGTTCGATTAAAAACGACGTGCTCATTGTGGCATGCTTTGCTTTCGGACAATGCCCGTAAACGAAAGCTCGCTCGTTGGCCATTGTCCCAAATAGGGCTTCAACAGACGCTGAACGCATTCGCATGTACCAAAGAATCAAATCGCCCTGAAAATCTAGGGCAAATTAATTACAAGTATTAAAGTCAAATTAATTCCTGTGCTCTTTTCATGAGCTGGTGAGCAATGCGAAAAATTTTAAGAGGGGTCTCCAAGGTGTCTTGCAAGTGCCAGATCCTTCAAAGACCTCTCAAAGAATGGCCTCGCTTTATGGCTCTTGCTTTCCTCATCGTGCTGTATCGCGCGCTAATAAGCACCTGCTCGCAGGCCAATCACAACCCCAAAAAAGCACACACGAAAAAAAAAAAAAAAAAAGCACCCCACTTTTATTCCAAAGGGGAAAAAAGAAGATAATAAACTTGCAAACAGAATACTGAAAATTCAAACACCAGACGGCAGAAACGTCATGATTTATTAATTGCACACCATATATATTCCACAAACCCATTCATCGTAGGAATAACAAGAAGACAGCCGTTTACAACGAGTTTGTTGTTAAGGTACACACTGCATTCATGTGGTGTTCTGCTAGCTTTTATCCAAATTGGATTAATTTATTCAGTTAGAGCGAATTTCGATCGAGGTTCGTAGAATCAAAACTTAAGTAATCAGTAAGTCCAATCAGAAGAAAGGTAACGATCTCGAGGCGCCCATGAGAACTCAAGTAGAAACAAGCCATCCTTTGAAGCGCAGGGAAATCGCCAGCGAACAAGTTGTGATTGGGTTTAGCTTTTATTTGGATCGGTCGAGAGGATGGCGAAAATTCATAGGCCAATTGCAGAGCAGATCAGAATAAGGAAAAAACCTAAGCAATCCCGGATCGCTTTTCACGCGTGTTTAAAAATTGCTCTTGGTAACATTTCGTCACTTTAAAGAAAGCACGGGAAGTATAGACTGTTTTGGTCTAACTTTAGGTCAACTGAACTGCTGTTTAATGCGATTCGATTGTTTTAGCATAAGCTAGTTTTAAGCCGAAGCAGTCTGTACTTGTGCTGGCCCACAGTGTCTGCATTGTCTTTCACTGACAGAAATGAAACATTATTTTCATGTATTTGGGAATTGCAGCAGCCGTTGTTTGACCGCAGTGCCCGTCGCGTGACAAAGAATATGCTTCTTGAAGTGACGAAACAACGGCTGTATAGACGAGTAACATGCCTGAATAATTGGAAGGAGAATTTAGATGCTCGTCACTCTTAGGAATCAAAGGGTTGAAAAAAATTCACACGTGGCCAGCCGTAGTGATTTAAAATTGTTAATCATCACTATTAGTGCTGACCCTGACCGTTGTTTGTAAGATCTTAACGAATCGAATTTAGCTTTCAAAACATTCTCAATCACCACAAGCTCCAGATGTTTGTTGGATTATCTTAGATAGATAGAGAGGGAGAGATAAACTAAAAGAACACAAAGATGGTTAAAAATACGAGAGATTAACGCGTTTCGCTAAGGAAAAGATATACCAAAAGTAGACAGGGATGGTTAGGTAGGGACGAAATCGAAACAAATTGAAAATAACAAACTTTAAAGATCTCGGCTGAGGTTCTTAAGATGCTTGAATTGTGATGCACCTCCTTTGATGAAAAAAGTTTACATCAATTATGAGAAATCGCTAACTTCATCCGGGTTTTGTAACCAACATCAGTTCTTGTGAGTCTGATAGAACACTTCCACCTCATGGGGCTGGAAATTGTAAGTGCCTGCCAACAGGCTTCTCGTGTCACTCGCAGAGTATTTGTACCCAGCCGGAGTCACATAACTGTGACCCAAGTTGGTGTAGGAATTCGTGTTGGAACCTGCAGAGTTCGCGATGTAAATGTCGTGTCCACCACCGAATGTAGGTCCATAACCATTATTTCCGTACATGGCATTGGCAGAGTTTTTCACGTGGAGCTTAAATGGTTCTAGTCCATAATTATTTTTAAGAGAGAATATGAAACTCCAGGTCGAGTCTGTGTAAGAACTACTGGAATCTATATAGGGAAAAAAGCCAGGAGGAGTATGAGTCGCATACGATCCTTTATACCCAAACATTAGCATGCATATTCTGCATACTTTTATCTACAAATTTCCAAAAGTGCTGACGAAGAGAAATTGTTTAACAATCAACAGCTTTTGAGTTGGTGTTGGTTTCCTTTATTCTCGTGAACTTTATGTTTGATTCAAGGATGTTGTTGTAAGGAGAAATTAGATGCCAATCACTCTCAGGGTACAAAAGGTTAAAGGTACTTCTTTAGGCTAATTCACTTTAAGCCTCTTAGACCAAGTCTTTAGGTGACGATAAATTGTAAATTATTTCTTTACTTACGCCAGTTCCTGTCGGTGTATGCACCAAATATGTACTCTCCCACTCTAATAAACGTCACCGTTGGTCCTAAGCCGTTGCACCGCGAGTGGAATGTACTGGAGCTCCATCCATGATCAGTAGCTCTGTAGCAAAGCTTCCACTTGGCTGGCAGTGTAGACACAGGACCCAGCCAGCCTTTAAGGAGCTCCCAGTATTCAGTTTTGTTCAGAAGGATTTCTGAATGCTCGAACACTGGACCTAAAAATGACAGATATCACAATGCTATCAAGTTTGGATAACTTGGAGTCTTTTATTGATCGGAGGGGTTTGCCGATACTTGAAAGAAAAAACAAAGGAAATTTTGTCTCTAAATACCGCACTCTATTATCTTCTCCTTATAGTCTTACGAGCACTAAATCAAAAACGAAGACAAAATTAATTTTTTGTAACTCAAAACTGGGAGGACAATTTCACCTTCACATGTTGGTTGTTCTTCGGTCCATTCTCCATTCTCTTTACAAATTCTGACTTGTGGTCCTCGGAGGTGGTATCCTTTGTTACACTTGTAAGTGATATTTCTGCCTTTCAAGAACTTATTTCCTATCCTGTAACCATTTTCAATAGGAGCAGGTTCTTCGCACAGACGATGGCCTAGAAAAAGAGTAGAGAATATCCATAAACTGTGTACAGCATCCTCCTGATAAAGCAATATCATTTTAGTCATTTTGTGTGTCGAAAATGAAGTATTCCAAAAAAGGGCAGAACTTGTCAACTTTGAACAGAATTGAATATGCAACTCTCGTATTCCTTCTTTTGGAACCTTTAGTAGCCTATTCATCATTTATTGGCTAGGTCTTACGGGAAAGTTGGTAATTTTTCGGGCTTTAAAGACACAAAATGGTATTTGATAGCAAGTATGAAAAGTAGAAATAAGGAACTATTTTTATAATTCATGTTATGAATAGTAAAATAGAGAGATAACTAAATCAATTTTAAATGTGTCGGCTAGACTGAGGACGATTGGGGGCAAAAATAGCTTGCTCTAACATGTCGGCATCACGTTACTCCAGTTGCCATTTTCCAAGCACAGTCTGTTTGTAGGTCCTTCCAAGTGGTATCCTGCGTCACACGCAAAAGTCACCATCTCTCCTCCCCAATAATTCTCTCCAGCCTTGTATCCGTTAACAGGGACACCAGGGTCTCCACATCCAACGAGCTCTGAAAATCAATCAATCGATCATTCAATCGATCAGTTAATAAATCTTATTCATCAGTTTGGTGATGATGACTGGCACTTAAGCCATTATTTTAAAAGAGCCGGAAAATGCACACACTGTCATGGAACTGGTGCCACATATGGTACGGCATACTGCCTTAGACATTTAAATAAGGTTTATTAGAATGAATAATTATAACTTTCTTTATCATGACATAATTTTGAAAGTTTTAGTTAATTGATAGGAATACCCTTTTTAGACAAGACGCCGCAGAATAATTGTAGCCTGCAGAACAGACTTAAAAGTCTTGCTTACTTCCGTCAAACGGAGGCAAGCGTAAGGTGATCGCGAAGTTTGAAGTGCGAAGTGTGAGGCCCGAGGTGCAAAGTTTGAAGTGTGAAGATTGAAGTGTGAAATTTGAAGGTGAAATATGAAGTGTGAAGTTTGAAGTGTTAATTGTGAGGTTCTAAGTGAAAAGTGCGTTACTCGCACTTCGTGCTTGCCTCGCGTTTACCTCCAGGCACCCGAAAAACGCAAAAAAAAAAAAAAATGAAAGGCGCAAAATTACGCCTGTTATGGAGGCGACATGCTTGTGAACCATATTTCCCTGTGCTGTTTTAAATGTGTGCATCGTATTGATCATGATTTGAGATATATGTCCTCGTTACTCTACCGACATCTTTCCCTTTTTTTATGTACTTCAAGAAAACAGTTCTTCAAAAAGACTGATTTGAAACTATATTAACTTTTAAATTTAACCCGATTTAACCCGTTTTATATTACCCAGTGTAGTTGTAGTTTCTGCAGTTCCATTGTCGTAGTTTTTCAGGAAACACTTGTAAACTCCTTGGTCAGAAGGACTAAAGCGCCGAATGACGAGTTCTCCTTTAACTTCTTCGTCAGTCTTTGAAGTTCTATTAGTTGAAATAACCACTCCATCCTTGCTCCATTCTAGACTGGGCACAGGAGAACCACGGGCAGCACATTGCAGAGTTACTTTCTCAAAGATGTTTCTTACCTTAAGAATGGAAGATGGTGCAGTGGTGATCACCGGGGGAGCTTTGAGAGAAAAAAGGAGAGGAACAAAACCGTTGGTTTATCTTATGCCAAAGACAACGTTACTTTGGGATGCTGGTTAAAAAGAGCTCGTAATAGGCGTTACCTTCCAGGGCTTTATTTGATAAACTCAACCTTGTAGCTACAATGCGCATGGCGTCAAAAATTCGAGAGGAGAGCACGAACTGTTCCTAAAGAATGCAAAAATCAACCAATCCGAACGGTCAGTTGAACTGCATGAATTATCATAGATTATCATAGATATAACACTGCTGCACTATAGCCAACAATTATTTCTTTCTATGATGATCAAATATGAACGTGGCTGAGATGACTCAAAAGATGCAAAACGCTATCCCTATTTCGATAGAACTAAAGCGCGATTATGTTTACTTGCCAGGCTCTACGTAATTTGCTCGGAGTCAGCTTTGCTAGATCGCTGTCCAGTTTCTTATATTAACCTCCCTCATAACCAAGGTTTGACCTTAAACGGTTACAGACTCGTGCGCCAAGGAGAGATAGGATAATTCAGAAGTCATGAAGAAGCTTACGATGATGCCCGATATTGACGAGATAGTGGAAGGAGATGGTAAAGGGTTGAAGTTCTCACCACTTAGCCGAATGATATTTATTGAGAAAAACTACGAGGTAGTTCTAAGGAGCCTTTGATTGCTGTAACTGTCCAACCTCAAACAGGGAGTTAGGTATCTGTTATCTTAAATCTTATTAGTCACGCCAAATGCATATTTACTAATTTTTTAGCTTGCGAATACATCAGCACATTAATCACTTACTGACAGGTTTCACGACGAGCACAATAAGTGCATACACGTGACCAAGGTGATTTTCTCCGCGACACATGTAGGGTCCTCTGTCTTCCTGCCGAGTGTCTTTGATCACCAAATCTTTTCCAATCACCACGTGACGCTCGACAGGTAAAGGCCGAAATGAGCGAGTCCATTGTATCCTTGGCGGAGGAGAACCAAAGATGTTACATGATAGAGTCGTCTCCCAAGTTTCGTAGCCCGGGTGGTATATCTCGGGCCTCTGAACAAATCTTGGTCGAACTGAAAGAAATTATCTGAAAAAATCTTAGGAAACATTTTATTTGTCAAAAAAAAAAAAAAATGTAATACCCTCCATGTATCCAAATAAACCGATGGAAAATTAAATAAAAAAGCAAATCAAACCCATTTGAGTTTTAGCATTGACAAAATCTACCGCCTAAGAAGTTTGCATACCTTCGACAGCAACCTCTATAGTCACAGAATCGACGCCCAAGAAATTCCTTGCCTCGCACCTATAGGAGCCTCGATCGCTGAACTGAACACTAGAAAAAGTGATCTCCCCTTTCTCCTTGTTAAAATGTCTACTGTTCATCCTTTCGTTATCCTTGTACCAGGTGATATCTGGTTTGGGAAAACCCACAGATTCGCAGGAAAAGGACACTCTGCTTCCTTCGTTCGCTGTGAAGCTGGATGGTGGTTTCCTTGTTATCTTGGGTACATCTAAATGAATAAATGATCAAGAGAACGTGGTTAGAAAAACAGAACGTGAATATCTTCCATCCGTTTTCAATTCATTTGCAGCTCTTCTTCACTGGACCCCACTGAAAAATCAGTGCGACAAATTATGATTCCATGGGCTTATCACATTCAAAATACGTTTTCACTGGGAAACGATAGTAGCTGTGTGGCTCTCTATCTGCCCGAGATTGTGTCGCAAAATTTTTGTTTTCCTGCGAGCAGTTTATCACCTATTTCGGCCTCCCCAACTCTGTTTGTAAGTTTCCACCGTCTTTAATAGAAGTGCATATCAGGGTAGGAGCGGCAGCTGTATTAGCAAGCTTGAGATACTGAAGATCAGGTAAAAGTCTATGAGCGTGCGAGAGCACCATCCTCGATTGAGAAATAACGAGATGCTTTCTTCTTACCTAAACTCTCTATCAACTGTGACGTATTTCCAGAGAAAGCTTTTCCAGGTCTTCCTTTGGGGCCTGGAAGGCCTCGCTCTCCAGGAGGGCCTCTTTTCCCGGCCTTTCCAATGTACCCTGGGCGACCCCGACGTCCCCGGGGCCCATCCTTACCCTGCGGTCCTTGAGCTCCTGCAATAAAATATAAAAAAACGAACGTGTTGATAATTTCTTGTTTCCAAATTGAGAAATCTTTGAGCTCTTCGGGTTCTTTATAGGTACGATTCATAGGGTAAGTCCACAATTTCCCTTTTTATCTATAATTAATATTTGTGAATTGTATGAAAATATGTTTGATTTTTCCGGCGACTTGTGCCGCACGAGTATCACGAAGCTTGACGAGATCATAGATATTATTTTGTCCTCCTGTTATGCAGAGAAGCGTTTATCCAATCATTAGGTAAGATGAGCAGCAATTTGTGTTGCAGTAAATTTTTCTATCTTTTCGGATTCTGCTGGTCTTTTTTTTTTCAGTTACATTATTATCAAATAATAATATGATTTCTCTTTCAATTTGGTATTATAAGCACTTCTAAATTATTCCAAATTTAGAAAAATTTATTCGTATTTATTAACACCGAATTTAACTCGAAATCATGTTAATAACTATACAAAAGGCCTTTTATCGTATTCTGAGGGCTCATAAATATCTACATGAGTACTTATTCTCATACAAGGGCTGTCCAGATTGCGAAATCTCGGCGGATAAGTTACTTGTTTAACCTACGTGACAGCATTCTCGGCCGCCATTTTAGTAACGCGTCACGCAAAGTTGTTACTTTCTCCACACCTGTTCACCTTGTTAATGCTTTCGCGACTTACCTGTCAGTCAATTTACTTTCAACTTTCTGAACTCAGTGTCAACCTTCTACTCTATTTGGGATTAATTGATGTGTTATCAGCCAAGAAGCATGCTGAAAATTTTGCATGCGTATTAATAGGGCCAAAATTAATATGTGACGCGTGAATTCTCTTCGGAAAGGCAAGCGTGATTAGTGAATTCCGTGAACCGGCGTGAGACGTGATTTGCTTCCTGAAATGTACGTGACCCGTGCAAACCTCAAGATTTCCACCTATGATTTTCAACATCGCCTCGCAAAGATTTCTAAGCAACAGGAAGCACGACGATACGGTAAAAGGATTTACAATTGCTTTGACTAGGGATGAATGTCATACTCACCTCTCATGCAGATGACCTGCTGATCTGTGTTGTTGCCTATTTTAGTAGTAACCTAAAAAAGGTACAAACGACGCGGGAGTTACATAAAAATGAAAGGTTTACTGTCTCATTTATCCTACTGATTTAAAAAATAATTATAATAAAGATAAAGATTTTTCCTCTGAATAATGCTCCGTTAAGTTTCCGCGTCAACCTTTACTTTAACTTACTCGACCTTACAGCTTAAAATTCAACTGACAATGGATTTCCAGGAAAGAGCAATGTCCATCATCTTAGCTATCATGAAACTTTTGTTATTATGAACTTTAAGGAACTAGCAACCCACCATGACGAAATACGTGAGACATTTTTGACACAATTGTAAATGACAACAATCGCCGCCTTTATAAGTTATTACCTGCACCGCACGAAACTACTTATTCATTAAGACGTACGCGACCTTTTGACATGCCACGTTTTAAAACCGACCGTTTCAACAATTGCTTTATTATCTCTTCATTTCTCAAAGCAGCTAATTTATAAAGGGGGTAAGTTTCTAAAGAAACAGTGGTGCTGCGTCGGTGGGAGAGTATAGCAGGTAATTTAGGGTTAACAACTGAGTTGAAAACGTAAATTGGTCACCGTAAAGAGTGATGGCCAATTTACGTTTTCAACGCAGTTGTTAACACTAAATTACTAACTAATTTATAGTTTAGGGTTTCGAATTTTGCAGCTTGTATTTAGATACCTTTTTAGCAGCTTATCTCCTGTTAGCTTTTTTTCATCCTTTTACTTAAGATAGATAAGTTAATGATTAGATTTGTATAATTTTATTTTTGTTATGTAAATTCGAACTGCTATGCATTTACGAATTAATAAACTTCAAACAAACTTCAAACAAAAGACCAATAATAGGTCCAAAAATAGCTTGCCGAGGTCTTTTGATTTATGAAGCCAAAAGCAAAATAACATGCACTTCAGAGATTTAATCATTTCGATTGCTGTCAAGGCCGAGCTGTTATATTGACTTTGGCAAGCGTCGCACTCGAGGATGATGGTAAAGTTTTAGCCAAGATAGTTTTATAGCACTTACCTTTGCTGAAGCTCCCAGGCCAAATAATTTGACACAAGCGTTGTGGCAAGTAGTACAGCTTTTTGTTTCTCCTAGAGACTCAGCAGCTCTTTTTCTTCGATGTGCTAAGTCATCCCAGGCTTTATTTTGTCGTTCTCTTGTCTGGCCTGTCTTTGATGAGTCTTTTTGAAGCTGAAACACCTGTTCCTCTAACGATCGTACTTTGTAAATAAGGAACCCGATAGAGACGACACTAAATAAAATGTTAACGGTCACAGCAATAGTCAAGAAAATTTTACCCCTATTTTTCTTTTCTTTCTCCATGCTGGATATAAAATGAATTTTCGAGCAAGTTTTCTGCGTTAAATAACTGCCAAAACGTGCTTCAGCAGTTTTTCTTGGTATGCGGAATTGGATCTTTATCACTGTCCCCCGTGCTACTACTAGGTTGCAGTGTCACAATCAAACCATGCTTTTGTAACACTTGCGTCTTGAATGAGTAGATATTGAAATTATCCATTAGGCGTCAGTTAAATTTTCATCGATTTTAGGCTGTTAAACCATATAGAGGATGAAAATAATGATATGTGAGTTGTTTCAGTACAATTAACTCTTGGCTTGTTTCTTTTGAATTTATATCCATGAAACAACAACGTCGACAAATATATATATGTGTGTTAAACAACGAGTCCCAAAATGGATGCTACGGTGTTTGGGTAAGCTCGAAAAAGTTAACTCGAGCTGAGGCACGTGGGACATGTTTATCATGTTCCCTTATGGCTGTCTCGACACGATATTCAGTATAGAAGGAAGTGACCTTTTAATGAACCCACGTCAACCTTCACAGCAAAATTATAAGCCCATCATCAGACTCTCTGTTATAAAAGTATTTACCGAAATTCTGGTGATTCTTCATTCGTTTAATATTTTTTATTGGTAGAAAATACCACCAATCTAATGCAACAGTTTCTTGTGGAACTTGTTGTCATGTAAAGCTTTCAATATGTTCCCTTAATCATCTGACGGAGCCAAACACGATACTTGACTTTAAAGAGTCAATTGTATCTCGGTCAGGATACATTTGAATTTGATCAGGGGCACGTGACCAAGAATCAACCAATCACGGTGCTCGTTTTGTTGAGTTAACGGCTTAGGCTTTCCTTCTCGTTCTGTATCGCGCGCTAATAAGCACCTGCCCGCAGGCCATTCACAACCCAACGAAAACACACCGAAAAAAGAGAGAAAAGAATCACTTGCATTTCAAGGGGGAAAAAGGAGAAATTAAGACTTTCAAAAAAAATTCTGAAAATTATAATCTGAGACGGCAGTAACGTTATGATTTATTCATTGCACACCATAATACATGTGTATACCACAAACCCTTTCACCGTAGGTTTTTATCAAACGAATCTTTAAATGCTGATATGATTGTAGGGCTCAATAGATAGAGCACATTTCAACTGAGCATCTTGAAAACAAAAACCAAAATTGCAAAAACAGTCCAATCAGAGCAAAAAGAAATATGTAAAGAAGATAACGAAAGCTTATATAAAAACAAGCAAACTATCGGAAGCGCGGGAAAATTTGACTAACTAGATGGTTATTGAGTTTGATTTTGTTTCTGATTGGTAGATTACTTAGCGCGAATATAGTTTTTCCTTTTATGTTTCTGTAGGAAAAATTACGAATTGAAGCTAATCACAATTTTTTAGCGAACCCAGATTTCTCGCGAAGTTCAAATGAAAAATGCTTCATATGTTCCCAGTGGCGTTCAATTGATTATTAAGCATCTTGTGAGTGCGATGATTTGCCATGACTAACATACAGCGCAGCTTTCCTTGCAGTTGATAAGCATATACGATGGGTTTGAATTACAGTAACCTGCCGAAGCCCAGGCAGAGCAGTCTCCATCTTTCACCCAATTCTTACATCCTGTCAAAAAATGGAAAAGGCTGTGATAAGAGATGGAAGTTAACATATTTAAAACTCAGTCAACAAAGGCAACTTTCAATTCAAATATTCCTTTGGCTATAGGTAGTTCTTGCTTGATAAACTCTATTTGGAATAAATTATATTGGCGAGTAGATTATTATGAAGGATACATGAACCATCAATGTCAGTGAATTTGGTTTTTTAGAAAAGGAAGGTATGTTGCTAACACACATAAAAATAAAGAAAATGAAAGTTAACTTTCACTTACGGCACGATCGGCAGCAGTTATCAAGCATATAAGTTGGATTTTTGCCACACTCGCCCTGTTCAGCCCACGATGGACAGCTAGGACTAAGGTCTTTACAAGCTGACCAATAAAAAGGAAAAAAAAGCATTAACTATTGCTCAGAAATAGATTTTACTTAAGTATTTTGAAAAGAAACGAAAATGGGGTCAAGATTATTGTCCAAGTGATCCAAACTGTTAGAAAGAAATAGCAAGTAATCCATGAAATGAATTATTAATTTTTTCAAGAATTGTCAAGTGCAGTTTACCTGTGGCGATTATCCATCTACTTTCATCCACACAACTTAAAAAAAAGCTTTATTTCATACTTTCAACATAGGCCACGCGGCTTCACCGCTTACACCAGCCCGCTCCTAGCCGGTATCTGGGGGGGAACTGGAAATCAGGCCTTTAGCCATTATTCAATTGCAGCTACATTTGAGGATAAAATGGCCATAACTGCTTGAAGTGACCACTGCTTTCTCTTCAGTCAGATGAATGGTGTTTTGACTGGAAATCACTGTTTATTGACTGAGGATTCTAAATACATGCAGAATCGAATTCGTGTCTACGATAAAGTCTCCTCTACGGAAAGTAAAAGTAGGATTTAGCTTTGTAATCGTCGATTGCTGGGTACTTTTAATATGTTTATTTGCGGCGCCTTTAAAAAAAATATTTGATATCGGAAGAGGAGCCATTAATTCGTCATAAAAGCTTCAGTCAATCATTTTCCTTAATTTTGTTTGATTGTTTGCTTGATTTTGGATTCCTTTTTTTCCGAGATCTAGTTAACAGAAATGTTTGAAAGATATATCTACAATACCTACCACACACTTTGCAGCTCAAAGCACAGGTTGCCAACATGTAATCAGAGTTCGTTTCACAATAAGCACGTGATGACCAGGTTGGACAACTGTTAGATTCATCTTTACATCCTAGAATTTTCAATTGATAAAATACTGCATGCTTTTACACGTTATGTATCAGGTAATGTGTGATGTGACAGTTGAAGGTCTTTCGAAATTTTTAACCTAAGAAATGGCTACTGAGGCTTCAAACCTTGGGAATTCTTTGTATTATTGTGGTTATGTTTGGTAAACTGATCGGTAAGTTTGTGATTTTAGAAACCTATTATGGTTTTTTTTACCTGTAAGAGGGTAACTAGAACCGTGAGGGAGGTTCGAAAATATCATCTTAATGACTCATATCACGATTGGCTCGGATTGGTATTTTCCTCTATCAACTCTTTAACTTAACTTAATTTTGATCACGTGATTGACATAACCGAACACCTTTGATTTATTCATGGTTCATGGAACAATGTTGATCATTAACATCAGCCCAAGTTTCCTAAGCAAAACTCCAGGCAGGGTCGTGTTCTCAACCAGGTGTGTGGAGGAGATGAAATCAAACACTGCTCACGTGTTTTTGATATTACTGCATGTGTTGAGCGAGACAACAGAGACTCGGGGGAGGGAGGGGGGGGGGGCGTTGAGAGGGCAATGATAGATACTTTAGGGCATTAATAAATGAAAACGAGAGCAAAATCAGTGGAGGGCAATAATTTCCATACTTACCGCAGACTCCACAGCTTTTCTTACAGTTATCCTTCATCCATGGATTGGTGTCACATTCACCTTGAATAGCCCATCTGGGGCAGTTGGCAACGTCGGAGTCCAGACAGCTAATCGCTGATAGAATCAAACACAACTGCATTTAGAATATATGAAACTGTTATTGTTACGTTTTCCTTAAATTTGACCTGTTTAATTGTACATCCGACACGTAATATATATAATACATACGACATGAGTTACAGCTCTTTTTGCAAAAGTCCTTCATCCATTTTTCGTTGCTCTTACAGTCTCCTGCAGCGGCCCATTTAGGGCAGCCGCTATAATAGGTATCCTGACAACCTGGGAAAAAACAAGGTAAGATGTGCATTACAGCGCCAAAATGATAAAAGATAACACCAACTTCCCCATTTTCACGAATATTTGTAGCTCTTAACCCCACCCCTCACAAACAAGCTGAGTGCCTTTAGCACATTACAGTTACGGCATTTTGTCTAGAGACCCGTATGGGCCCACACGGGCTTCTATTTAGAAGAAAGTTAAATAAAAAGGAACCAAGGAGACGACGAAGTGATTTTTTCTATGTACTCTCTTTGTAAACGTGTCTACCAACCGCAGTGTCCAGGGTCGATGAACACATCATCAATGGCAGTATCAGAGTAACCAGTTCCACCAATACGAGCCTCAATTGTCAGCTGAAGAAAAGACAATAATTAATTTGCTATGATCGTATGGTCAAGTCATGGGGTCACTATTGTTATGATAATTTTTGGGGGACAGTCGAGGAGGTCGAATGACTACGCGTCGTTACAATTTTGGGTACCTTGTCATAGGTGCATTTTAATGTACATCCATGTTGAAACATCATTTTTTAAAGACAGTCCCCAAAACAGCAATATTCATGACAATGTGAAAGTGTTGTCGTCACCATGAGGTCTTATAAATTTAAAGAATGAAAAGTGCTGCGAAATACTTACCTAGACTTGAAAGCCAGTATGACTTAAAAACGCCAGTGAAGGAGGGGGAAGGAGAGGGGAGGGAGGGGGGGAGGGGGGGGGTGTCAAAGGACCTGTAGAGATGATGGGAGTGGCTTTCCGTTTTTCTCAGGAGGCTTCTGATGACGTGGTTCCAGAAGCTATTCAAATTATAGTGGGATTTGCTACGTGATCGGATCACGCCCGAAAAGAGATTATTAGAAATAGAGAACAGATTCCTTTGTACAAGACACAACTTACCCTGTATCTCACACCTGCTTCTATGTCTTTCGTTACACCTTTCCAGCCCATTCCTTTATTGCCTTTTTCATAAAACAGGAGATACGACTTCTTGCCTTCCGGCTCAATACGCACCATCAACTCACCCGTTGCGCTCCCATACATGTTATAATAGAATTTCAGACACTGGCCTCCAGACACTGGGTTCAGCCATGGACTTATCAGTTTAGCGTTGTCATTTGATTGAGCAGGAGCAGATGATTCGACATAGAGGTAAACGCCTCTGGACGTTCCTTTTCAATGAAAATAGAAAGATTGGTAATATTTGATATACCACCTCATAATCGTACTTGGTAATGCGGCCTTTTTGATTTGGCCAATTGCACGGTCATGAGAAAATGGATTGCTGGTTCCCAAGCTTACAGTTTTAAGTGTAACCCCTTTGCATTCACAATAATTATATTCAGCCAAATAGATATCATTTCTTCGTCATCCGAAGATTTAAGAATTCCCACGTTTTGTTAATTGATCATGGAAAATATGAGATTAATTCACTGATGCTGTTTCGCCTTTACTGTCTTTATCTAGCCTGCACTTGGCTTTAGGTCAATGGAGAAGAGCAAAAAGCGCGCGAAAGATGGCCTCTCCATTGGAGACCGCAACTGCTACACGCCCGCCGGCTCTTTTCTTCGTCTTCACTTACATAGCTACTTCTCTTACTAAGAAGTGGCTTATATTTACCAAGTGTGTGATCAGAGCTTGGTCCAGTGTTCAGTGTCTGAGTGTAGCCACTATGTCTCTGCCAGTTTAGTTTATCGTCATATGCATTTGTCCACATACCCAAATTTGATTCGAAGTCAGTATCATCAAACTCTGTGAAACGGTGGTAAGAAACATTTTCAGCAGAAGTATTACGGTTTTGAATTGCTTTAATGAAAATACACTGCATTGTGACCTCTGATCTCGGTACTAAAATATTCACGGAAAGTATCTTCCTGATTTGACGACGTTGGCTAAAGTATTAAATGACTCGTGGCTAACGATCAGACTGTCGATGGTCTGATAAGTTAGTGGCCACACGTAGATACGAATTTTATCTTCGCATGTTGATAATGTCATTGCTGGTTCTATCGTTCTCTCTAGAAGAAACGTTTCCTCAAGTGAACATTCAATCTTTTCATTTCTATAGACATAAAAATGAAGCAACGTCTGGTGAAGTAGTGTGTCCAACTACGTAATGTTAGTAGCATAAAGAAACTGGTTACGATAGGCAAGACGACCACGTTGATAAACATATAACTACATAAGCTTATATCGGCATGTATTAAACAAAGTCAATAATCTTTACCGAGAGTACATCTCCTCATGACGCACCCATCTGCCTCAGTTGACGATCCTGGGCAGTTTAGACCTCCCTGCACAGGCGCTGGATTATCACACTTTCGGTACCTCTTTCTATAACCGTCACCGCAGGTTACGCTGCAGCTTGACCAGTCTGACCATCGACCCCAATGACCATCGATAGCTGTTCGAGATGCAGGAAAAATTTTACAGAGAGAATTGCTTTCCTGTAATGATTGAGACACAGGTAATGTCTGTAATAGGTAAATTCTGTACGAGAGCCAAGTGCCCCGGGAGCTTCACTCGATTTCCATCGTGTGAAGCGACTAGGAGTACTAATCCTCCTCCTTGGATGGGGATGCCAGTTCATCGCAAGGTTTCCCCAAGCAATTCGTCAGGCTTCCCTGACAATTCGCAAGTACTCACTTATGTCCCTGGGCGGAGAGATGCATTGTGAAAGTAAAGTGTTCTGCCAAAGAACATAACGCAATGACCAGGTCAGGTCTTGAGCCCAGACCTCTCGACTCGTATTCCTAGCACTATTCATTCGACCTCAGCGACCCACATTCAAAACAAGGGATACTAAGAAAGAATTTATATGCAAAACACCGTACGATGCCTTTAAGAATACTATCAAGTAAAAGACAAATCATTTGTAAATATGTGTTAAAAAGTAGCACTGGAGATGGATAAAATTTAGTCGGCAAAATTGGGAAATATGAGCTTTAGATTTTGTACATCCATACCATAACATTCTTTATCTGAGCATTTAGTGGTCTGCTTTTCGATGCCATAGATATTAGGTGATCCTTGACAGGACTGAAGGTTTCCGTTGTTATAGCAATATCGCTCCCTGCTCTTGTAACAGTTCTCATCGCATGGTGTATAGGTCGACCAGGACGACCAGCCTGGGTGGGTAGCTGAAATTCACAAGCTCAGTTATTTCTAAAACTCAAAAGCTTGTACTTTAGAAGATTCACTAGGACTGTTTGATACTTGTCAAAGGGTAGGAGTGGAGAATTGTGATAAAAGGTCAAAACAAGAGATTATAAACCGCAGTGTATAATATCTTGGTTAAAGATAATATGCATCTATCGTCATTAGGCATTAAGAAAATTCGTAATTCAAATATAATTCTTTCGGTGATTTCCGCCAGTTACTTGACGTTCCTATAGTAATGTCAGCTCGAAATAAAAGTCATGCATATTTTTTAAAACGTAAAGGGATTTACAGATCTGGGGAAGGGAGCTTTACTAAAATTTTGTTAAAATATAGGCTAGGAAATGAGAAACCCATGATATTGGACTCATGACCCTAATGAGGGTTCATGATTACGACTCACGCAGCCCAGAAAATGTTCTACCAGCAGGTTCATAAAGTGAACAGCTGTGAGAAAACTGACAACTGTGATGATGTTTATCACTTACTCGTGTGGCAGTCGTACAAAGTGTTTATTTCGATGATGTCTCTTTGACTCAGTCGTTTTTCCTTATTACCAAACTCCATCGCCTCATTGTATATGTTGACAATGGTTGGTGACCCATTCTTTGTAAATGCCCTTCGATCGTAGTGCATAATTGATTCAAAGTCGTAGTCCTTGCCAAGATCATCAATAGTCCTCCAACTATACTTGTCAAATTGTTCAGAAAAACCTAGAAAAGCACGGAAGAATTCTCATCAGATTCTGAGATTCAAAATTAAATTAAAATGATCGAACATCAGGCAGAAAAACACTCGGACAGGCAAACGGACGGAAAGAGAGACAGACAGAAAGAAGGCCAGACGGACAGATAGACAGACAGAAGCGCTGAAGAGTAAAAACAAGAAAGATCGCTAAAACTTTGAGGTTAGCAATATACACTATGAACGGGTCTCGAGTAACAGATGCCTCGTGAATCGGATACTTTATTACCAATGTTTAAAGAAAAAGAAAATGAAATAAACAGCAACTACAGAAAAAAAAAATTAATTCAAAACAAGTTAAGATCCTGAAATGAACAGAAAGCTTTTAATGAAATTTACACGAATGGAAATGCTTTCTTTGACGTGGAATAAAAAGCCAACACACCGTCATTTTAACTGTGATTTAACTTGACATTTACGACGACTGCTATTCCAAAACTATTTCTATTAATACCTTGAAGAATATTCTCCCAATAGATTTTTACAAATTTATCTCTATCTGGGCGGGCTTGTTCGTGGAAAAAACCTGAAAGAAACCATACACATTAAAAAGGCTTAAATTCATCAATGGCAAAGTTAGTGGAGTCCAAGAACGTAAGTGTTTTAAATGGTCTGGAAAGGAAGATTCACACAGGAAAATATTGTTCCTCGAAAAAGCTGTTCTTCCAGCACACCTTAGTAAGAGCAAAGGGAATAGATTCTCTTTAAGACCTTTACAATATTACTCAGTGATAAGTGTCATTGTCAGATTATTGCACATGCACCACCGAATGTAATACTTATGACGTTTTTCTCTTAAAATTCTACTTCTTCAAAGCTCAGCTCATCGGGTTTAGGTTGAGAGGACATTTTAAGAAGATACTACCGAGGATTGTTTTTCAAGCGATTGACCGCCAGTCAAGATGTGGCTCACTCTTGGGTGAAGTCAGGGAGAAAAGTACACCAGGCCTGACAAAATTCTATTTTTCTTTACCAATGGCATGCATCAACTCGTGTATTATGGTTCCCACAAAATCGCATCCCTCCCCCAGGGAAAGAGCCTGTGGGCCACTTGAATGATACCGCATACCAACCATACTGGAACACCTGATGGGGCAATCAACAGTAGTACTGGGTAAGTCTGCATGCTTATTCCAGTAAAGAGCTGAAGTACATTTCTACCTGTCTTTTTTCGGGTAAGAGTCTAAATTGTTTCATAATTAATTGGTTAATATCCTTGTCGGTCAATAAAGCAACGTGATAAGATAGGCGGATCAATAATAAATTTTGCTTATCACTAACCAATAAAGAAACTCTTAATAATAATAATAATAATAATAATAATAAAGGTATTCAAGAAAGGCATAAAAACTGTAAATTTAAAAACAAGCAAAATAGAAGGGAATACTTCAATGCTCGATGGCTGAATAAGTGAGGGCTCTATGTAATTTATTTCCTGATGCTACTCGTGTGATGTAACTTTTCTAAAGCCTGTGTTTCACAGTTCATTAATTAGCCACTTGTTATTGTTATCTCAGTATTTGACTTAACGTAATCCGACCGAATACAATGACTTATGTCCCTGCAGCTATTCTTGAGATTTTCACTTTACATTAACGAAGGGCGTGTGGGGCGTTCGAATCATCAATTTCTTGGACAAAATTATGCATTTTCACTGCGGGTAGTGTTCTGTTACTTACCCATCTTTGTTGCCGAACAAGATGTAGTTGCGTTGTGTATAGTCGTATGGAACAAATCTTAAACATGTATATTTGTGAAAGCTTTTGATCGCCTCATTAAGGTTTGGAATTATGTGACCTGAAGAGTAAAAATAATAAAATAACAAATAACCTAGAAAACTATTCGCATCATTTATTTCTTATTTCCATCAGAATTCATAAACCATCATCTCTTCAGTACGGTAGCTTTGTACTCTAAAACGTCTTTACAGATATTTCATTCAATACGAATTCCTTTTAACTTTAGGATAATCAAGATTCCTAAATTTGAAGATTTCTCTACATGAAAAGCCGAGGAAAATACTTCTTCCGAGTTACTTTGCTTTGATCTAATTTGCATGTGGTTAAAGGCCTATTTTAAGAGGAAAGGTTTGACTTAAGGCTAAACGGTAAGGGAAAAAATCTACATGAAAAAAGTATTTGGGTTTCCAAGAATTTTTCTCTGATTAATTAATTTTCACCTACTCATTTCACTGGGGACAAAATAAGGAATCATCCTTGTATTCCAAAGCCTCTTTTTTTCTCTTATTGCGTTCCTCTTGACCTTTTCCTTTTTGATACGAAGGAGTTGTTCCAATTCCGGATCAAGCTGTATGTCACCTTGGTATAGCTTGAGGTGTTTCTCTAAAAAAGGAATCGTTTACAAAAATGATTTGAAGTTTAATTGATCCTCAGACTTACATGCTTACTGAAAATTTTGCTGACTGTTACAATTTGTAAGACAATCATGAAAAAAAACTCGAGCCAAATTACTTATTCAACCGGAGCTAATCTCGTTTTCCGAAGAATAAACGACCTAGAGTACTTATATCTCCCCATAGGGCAGGACAAAACCAACTCTTTCGATCAATTACTTGAAAGGGACCTTTTGAGACTTATGATTGTTTTCGGTGTTTTTGCTGATAATAGTCCGTTTTTACAGGGATGTGTTCAATAATTCTTGTACCCTGAATAAATTGTTTTTTTTTGGTTTACCTTCGTTATTAGTTTCAATTTCCTTGAAGACACTCTCTCGTTTCATCCTTGCTGCCTGTCGTTTCAAGTGGGCCATGTTAACAGCGATAATACGCCCGTGCTCTGTCTCGTATTCTTTGAAGTAAAGATGCCATTATCAACAGTTTGATCATTTATTAAAATCCTATGCTATAAGCAGAGATTCTAGGATTCGTGAAAAAATCCTATTAAGGATTCAGTGGGGAAGATTGATCGATGGAAATTTCGTGAGCGTTCAACTAGAGCGCTCTGTTTCATGCGGCTGATGGACAATCCTTAGTAAAGACACTTACAGAGGCGTGACGAGCTCTGTTCTGGCCTTTATTTTAACTTGCTAAATTCCTTTCAATTACGCGAAATCAAACTTTTACCTCCTTCCTTTTAATATTTAGAATTATGAAAGAGAAAGGAAAACACATTCTGCATGATAACCTTCACAATAATGGTCAGTTTGTTTGATCAGCTTTTCGTTTTACAATTTCTCTCATCGTTAGTGAAAATATACGATAAAGTATGGTTTACCTGTCAACTATTTGACCTTAGTTTTTAAGAAGGAAATTTTTATCTTCATTAAAAAGGTCTTCAAAGATTTCTAAATGTTCTAATTAGTAGAAATGAACACTAGGAACAATGTCTTTGAGAAATCACTTTAACGCCAATGAAAAGTTAACGCTCATGTATGTACTTGCAAAGCATAACAAACGGAATTATTTACAGCAAAGGAAGCAAATAAAAAAACTGAGGTCTATGACTCTATAGAAATGGGGAGTTGACGAACGGCAAGAATTTTACAGAGCATGTGAAATGTGCCTTGAAGAAGTAAATGAGAACAGTGTTCATCTGAACTGAACAGCACTGCGAAGCGCTGTGAAACGGTATAATGTAGGTACTTTTTACGCCTTTGCTCTGTATTGGCTGATAAAAAAGCATCCTTTTTGCCTGAAAATCATGTACTTCTATCGCATTTTACTCTGAAAATTTACGTCAATCAGATCTGGACCATTTTTATGTACGGTGAAAAAAACTAGTAGGAACAAATATGATTTCAGATTTATCTGCCGGCCCGAGATTTGGACCCAGCTGAAATGTTTTGAAGAACCAAGACTACTGGAAAAAAACAATGTTTTAATACTACCTCTGTTCGCGATTTCGTCGATATTTTCTGTCTCAGGTTTATCATCCTGCTTCAAAGGATCTGCCATTGATTGGAGAAGTTAAGATCATTGGTAAATGATATTGATTACTTAGACATGAACTTCGTGTATACTTATACCATTATTTGCAATCCATATAAAGATAAGTTTCCATGGTAAAATGGATTTCATAACCAAGCTGCATGCAAAATTCATAAAATTTGTTGAAAACGAATTTCCCTTGTTTGCTTTCAATTTTGTCAACATATCCTGACGTTGTCAAGAAAGAGACATTTCAATTTACCAACATCATTTACAGGAGAAAATTGCCAAACTAATGAATTAAATATGAAATTGCTACGTTAAAACTCACGATGAAATGAAATTCAATCATTTAATGAACCTCTGATGGTCTAGTTCTTTGGGATACTCAAAAAACCCTGGGCAATACTCTGCTAAATTTGCGGAGATTTTCATCTCCCATCGAGATGATCCCTTTTGAAAGGATTAACTTTGCATCAGAAATCTCGATCTCTGAGATGGTAAGCGACTGGTTCTTCTCTTTTCAACAGCACGCTTGAAGACGAGAACTTCCGTCTTCCTTGAATAAGAAGAATTACGCAAGTACTGGATGAAGACCATGTGATTGCGAGAGTAAAGCATACCCCTGCGAAACAAGCTTCGATACGCGCAAGATACCAAGGCTACTTATGTACAAAACCGCCCCTGATGGAGATTGTAATCAGGTCGTCCAGTTACATGTAAAAGTAATTTACCATGGCAGTATACCTTTTTCTCCATTTTCTTTCTTCAAGACAAAAGAATTAACCCAGGGAAGAATGAGTAGGAGTACGATCGCCAACATTGGTCTTTTTTCCATCTCGTCGATTCAAAGAAAAATGTGACTCGGTATGTCCTATTCAATCTTGTGACAAGTTTATAATGAGCCGTCGTTAATGAAACACCTAGATAATATCTTCATTTGAAAGGAGAGCGATGTAAACTTGGCAGTCTTATACGTAGAGGGATTAAATATTACAAAAGCTTTTTTTTTTTTATTGACAAATGTCTTTTTATTTGCAAATGGTATTGTTTATTCCCTTCAAAGTTTACAAATGGAAAATAAAACTCTTTTGTCGAAAGGTTATCATCATTGCTTTGATATATTTTCTAGACACACAAAAGCCTGCACGTTTTTTGACACTCTGAAAAAAATTCAAATATATCTTTTTAATCTTCTGGTTTCCACTCTTCAAATAGATTACCATACGGTTTCAAAGTTCTTAGCTGTGTTAATTACGTCCTTTCAAAAACAGATGTTTTCTTCAACAATTCTTGGAGGTCAAATTGTGTGTAAACACTAACCTTCTTCAAATGATGCATTTTATCAACTTAAACTAGCGTCTTTTTGTTTTGTTTTTTTTTGATTGTGCAAACTTGTCTCTAGTACAACGAGGGTCTGTAAATTTTCCTGACGAGGACTTCTTGTCGTTGGCTTCTTGTTCGCGTCAAGACTGCTTCTACCTCATTACGTATGCTATACCAGAATGCTCACCCTTAGTAATGCATAAGCATTGGATTTGCTCACTTTTAAGGTAATTTTACCTATCTAAGAGACCAGCAATCAAATAAACAAACAAAAACGCAAAACAAAACGTACGGAAAAATTCATCTTTTTAAATGGGAAAATCAAAAGTCTTTTCTCAGCCCTTGCAACTCGATCCTTACAATAAATATGTATAACTTTTTGGCGATATGCTCTGTACTATTGAGATTTCTCTCTTTCATGCGACTTTCTAGTTTAATATTTTCATGGCAATTTCCTCGCAGGAAGATTGAAAACATGAAATAATGTAAACAGGAACATTACCAAGATAACGTCGTCACAATATGTTTCTCGGGGATGTTTGAAACTTACGTTCAGAATTTCCGAAGCTATCGTCTGAGAGTTAATTCCAGGTACTTGCAATTGAGATCTAATACAAAACGCAGTCAGTCGTTGCCTCTTGCATCAATGGCTTTACTATTTACTCAACTCAACCGAATGTGCATGATCACCCCAAAAAAGGAAAACCTATTCAATTTAACCTATGAACTGTTGGGATATAAAAGCTAAACTGCTTTTCATCCGTGAGAACACCTTGTACCTTGCACACCTTGCACTGTTTATCAGTACCAGATTAGTTTTTAGCTAGATCTTTTTATGTCGGAAATCCCAGATGATGAAGCATTTCTTTTAATCTAACAACAATCGCAATCGCAGAAGTAGCTCTCCTCGCAATTTGCAACGCACATTTCATTGTTTTGACAATGCCATTCAATGCATGGAGACTAGAAAGAAAGATGAAAACTGAGAAAAAGAAAAAAAAAAGAAGAGAAAAGGAAAAATATGGCGTTAGCTCAAGTGATTCAAGTTAGCAACAATAGCATTTGCTGCCATCAAGAACATCCAGGCAGCATTGAACGCGTCGATTTAAATATGCCTTAACATTCTCCATTAATCATAGGCGCTCTTTTGAGGCCCTTTCACCTTAGTTTCCCTGACCCTAAAACACAGTGCAAAGTTCCAAGACTATAACAAATGGCTAATCATAAATTGTCATTAATTCGGACCGAGACCTGTCTCATTTTTACTTATACTTTTATCGAAAGCTTTCATTAATTATTGTTAATTAAAGCATCCATAGAGGCTGAGCGAAAGCCTCTCTTATTAGCTGCTCCTTTACGGGAACCTTAGAAATTAATAAGAACCTTTGGGTAAGAACACTGCGATGATGGTGTTGTTCTCCATGATACTGCGAACACCAAACAATGGAGGGAAAACTATCGTGTCTTTACGTAGCCGTCATTTACCGTTAGTTCAAAGCCTAGTTCATGGGAAGGGTTCTTTAATTGAACCACACCTAATGATCGGACCGAGGGTGGAAAACAGACTCAGACGCTTACACAGGGCACTGATATCATGAATCATGGTTATCTGGACTGGTGTAAAAAAAAAACCACACAAACAAACAAACAAGAAATGAAGTTCAAACACTCTAATTAGTAATATTATTACGGTGCTTAGAAATTGCTTCGGTGAAGTTATTAATGTTACAAGCTGCATTAAACCGTCTCTGCGGGTAAGACTGCACGGCTTTTTTCTACTTGGGTCTAAAAGCCACCAACAAATTTTTCACCTACTGTAATACTAAAGTTATGGTAACTCTGACTGATGATAAACTTGTCCGAGTTGTTGAACCTATCCGATGGGAGTAATTCACAAAATAATTTGCCACTACCATCATGAAAAGCAGCCAGGTTAAAAGAGAGACATGAGGGATTACTGACACAGGCAAATCCACACTCACTGCCATTTAGAACATGCTCTGAGCCAATACTAGTTATGTTGGGATAAGAAAACGCGTGAGCCATGAAAACCATTTTCTCATCAGTTCGTCTGCTGAGAGAGCTTCCGCCTGCATCGACGACTGCTGCCTCTATTAATGAAGAGAGGTAATATTTATAATGGCTTTATAGATAACCTCAGCCGATGTTCAACAACAAAGTAATTTGGTATTATCAACTGAGTTGATAACGTAAACTGGCTACCTTTAAGAGTTTCAAAGCTGATGTTTCGATTGTTAGCCCTTCGTTAAAGCAAAGTACCCTCTGACGAAGGTTTAAAGCTCGAAATGTCAGCCTTCAAATTCTTAACGGTGGCCAATTAACGTTACCAACTCAGTTGATAAAACTGAATTATATTGTTATACTCTCCCACCGACGCAGCACCTTAGTTTCTCTAGAAACTTAACCCTTATCGATTTCCAATAACTCAGGTCATTTTCTATAATTTGTTTTTTGTTTTAGATAACTCGAGTCATACTTAAATTTTTTACGTCACTAAAAATTAATTTAATATGATATTGACTCCATTGTGAAGCATTTTTGGATTCTGTTTTCAAAAAGCTTTGTTTCTTTACTCTTTCTTCAAAACGTTCTTTTTTTGCTCGAGCCTTTTATGCTGCAGAAAAATTTTAGGCAGAGAAGTAATGTAGACAGTAAAGTAGTTATTCTCAACTTCCAAAAGGTTGAACCTCTTTATGATTATCCTTTAGAGTTAGAGTTATCAGCCAACTGCTTTATAAGAATCATAATATGCACATTATTGAGAATCATTCTGACCCTTTTTTTCCAGTACATATCGTTGGAAGCTCTTGTAATAGAAAATATCATTGCGAGCACATTAAAATAGTTCCTGAGTATTTCTGGAACTCCATGCTCCATTTAAAATCTCTTTTATATGCTGCCACCGGACTGCACAATGCGACTGAGGAGAAATCCCAGGTTCCCTAATTTGTAATTTCCATTTTTTTAGCTAATTTAGTACAATATAGGTGATTACCTGCAATAACTACATGTACTCTACACCTTTTGTATTATGTCCCTCATGTTCTTAAGCATATTTTAGGGGAAAAATTTTATTAGCTTTAAATTATTAATATGTGAAAAGGGGAGATATGTTTATTGAATTTGTTTTAAGTTCTCTTAATTTTTCCGACTTTAAATATCTTTTTTTTAACGCCAAAAGTTGGAATTCTCTTTAACTGGCTTTCAACTAGAAGAGGAAAACCTTGATACATTCACTTTGAGCCTCGATAGATCTCAATTTCCTCAAAACTCCTCAAAAATATTTATTAACAACCAGTAGTTCAAATTGTCTGGTTAATAAGAAAGCTATGTAAACGAAAAAAAAAAAAAAAAAAAAGAACAAAAAATCCAGCGATGTGGATGCCATCATTTATGTAAGTGAAACATATTTATATTTCAATTATTTTTCGATGATTGGTGAAGTTATTGCTCTTGCTGCATTCAATTATTTACCAGCTCTTCGAAATTTATTGTTAAGGCCAAACTTAGGCATTTGAAGATTATTTTAAATTTTTATTGATGCAATTACATTTTTACAAATCCACTTTAGAGTGCCTTTTGTATCTATCAACTTACCACATTTCCTTCAGAAAACCTGTTCAAATGGTATTTAACATAACAATAACACCCTGCTGTCTTTAATTTATTTCTTTGATAATTACTTTAAGTCGTTGTTTTCTAATTTTTCGAGGGAGGGGGGGTGGGAAGCTTTTCAATTGATACGAATTATAAGCAGGTGGTTTATAACATTCGTAATTTAATGATTACTAGGGAAAGGAATTGTGCAGTTAGGCGTATGAATAGCCACAATGCCTTTTGCCACGTAATTCCTGTTGCGTGAAATTTGATAAGGGCGAGACCCAAATAGTGCTTTCAAGCAATTTTTATGATAATAATGATGATGATGATCATCTTCATCGCCACCATAGTAACGACCCTGACACCGGTAAAATTATGAAATGACAGTTGATAAGGGAGATTTGGTATTTTGGCCGGGTGTATATCGAAATTTTAGCGAAATTTGTCGCCAACGGAACAAGATTACACTAAATATAAGAATGCTAGGAAAAATATCCCAAGGATATATCGTTTTAAAACTATTTCGTTTCCGAACTGAGATTTCGAGGATGGGAGACGAGAGAATCAGAGTCTAAGGTTAATTAAAAGCGAGAAATGTCATGATTCAAGAGAGAAAGCTGTTCATCTAACCAGCAAGGTTCCTCGCATAAGATAACGAAGATTATGGTTTGTAAGAAGGGAAATTTTAAGATTTAATGAGGTAGGTTTTATAGAAACTATAGACTGAGGTAGAATCCTTTAATACCATCTCAAGAGTTTTACCCTGAACTTCAATCTTCTTTTATTGCCATATTTGAACGGCAACAGCTTGTAGTTTATATTAGTTTGTTTGAAAGCGTGCAATAAAAGAAGAAACTGCCACGCAGATCTGTAGCAAGATTACATAGCTGTAATCTGTCAGGTTGCCATGTAACATAAGACAATTAACGATTATCAAAATGTAATCTAAAATGTAACGCAAGAGAGTCAGCTTTGCCTTTTTATATCAACATATCCAAAACCCTGTTTTACAGCATTTAAGAGGATGTTTAATGTTCTGAACACGCAGGTTGGTGTATGATATATTTCAATGCGTTTGATCGGAGTTTAATAGCCAATATTTTATGTCCTAGTAAAACAATAAATATATTTGACACCCATGCATTCACAGGTTTCCAGCTATGTTTGTTCAAACGACTATTTGAAAAAGTAAAATAGGATACTTTAAGCCTTAAAGATTAGAATTGTCTTGGCTCTAAGGCAGTGATCAGAGATATACCTCGGTCCTGTACAAAGATGTGGCTCATTGCACCGTTCCTTGTCATTGCAACAGCTTTTGGAAATCCAGAAGGTTTGCTTTTAAATTATCATGAACAGTGTGTAGTATTTTCTTTTTGTATACTTGCCTTTTTTAACAGTATGGAAGCCAGTTCTATTGTAAATGGATATAGAGCATTTCCTAATTTTTCAAACTGGACTGTTTTCCCCAATATATGTCAATTTGTCTTTCTCGTTGCATAAAATGTCTTCTTTTCAAACATGTTTGATATGTTCCACTCTGAAATCCGTCTAATGTTACTGGATAGAGGTTGAAAGTCAAGTTCCCACATCAGATATAAGAGGTTCGCTATTCCATCGAACGAGATGGAATTGAAAAATCAACGGTGTAAAGGATGAAAAAAGTGCAAAACAAGAAAGAAACCATCCTTCGAAAGCCAAGAGTTCGTGTCTGATGTACTTTTACAAAACTTCAATGTCTTTGTTTTGTCCCCGGTTGCAACCGTCAGATAATTTTCTTGTCTCCTATGATGACGATTTTGGTTCAAATAGCGAGTTTGAAACGAAAAACGAAGACAGAGAAATATACAAAAGTTATGGCACAGTCATGTAGGACGCAAATCAGTCTCACACAATGTACCTCATGTTTCATTTTAAAATAAGGGTAAACAAGTGGAAAATTTTGACGATTTTCACCTTCACCGTAGTTTCAGTGATCTCAAAGTAGTAGTAGGACATGCTGATATGAAATGGTTAGAGAGATTTATCTAATTCTGAACAACACGGGAGCAAAACGGAAAAAAAAAAAAAAAAAAAAAAAAAAACAGAAAAACCATTTCAACGAGTGCCAAAAGGTGTTCATGTTTTTTTTTTTAAACTTTACTTGGAACCCTCTACTTTTAACTGTCGTTTCATTTTCTCATTTTTTATTTCAATAAATATTTGAACAGTGTATATCCATCAATATATGAGCTACTTAAAGTACAGCTCTGTCGTATAAGGTTACCTTTTTCACAATCAGAAATGTAAAGCACAAGTCACTCAGTTTTATGTAACCTGCAAGGGGAAGGGGGATATTGGAGAGCTTAAACACCGCCTTTTCCTGGAACATGAACGGCAGGAGTGACCACGTGACCAAGATTTTCCCGGTTACACTTTGCCGTTTCAACATAAAAGTGAACTGTTTCGCGTTTGCTGTGTATGAGGAAATTTTCTTCACTCTTTTTCGCAGAGAGTAAAAAAAAAAAATAATAATAATAAAGAACCGGAAAAAATGCTCCAAAACTATACCTGACAAGTCATACTTAAGCAGATGAAGTTTCATGTCGAAAATTCTTCAAATTCCGCGATTTCCTTCAGAAGAGATGCAAGATCTCACGTTGACTTACGAAACGGCCTCCAGTCCATTTCGAGGTGAAGTGAGTTCACGCGAAGCTAAAGCAATAAAAATTCATGCTATTTTGCGCGAACGTGAAAAGGCAATGCAAGGCGACGTTCACCGTTTCATGTAAACGCGGTGCTTAATCTCTCTATTGTAATCTTATGCCACCGGAAGTCGATTATTCATTGGCTTTGGCATTCATAATGTCACTTGTTTTTTTTCTTTCTCAGAAAACATTGGTATAAAAAATGCCAAACTGTTTGAAGGAGATATGATTTTAAGCACAGCTCAGCGGTTAGCTGCCATGAAAGGATTAGATGTAGATAGAGCGAGGGGAAACGCAAGAGGCTCAGTCATGAATATGCAATGGCCAGGAGGGGTAATGATCTATGATATTGCAACGAAGATAGGTGAGGACAAATGGAGTAAGGACAGATATGAAAAACGTGTAAAATAGGGTTATTTATATTGCCGTTCTACAAGTCTCATAATTTGATTGATCAAATAAGACTTGGAAAGAGATTGCCTTGGTTATTTCCAAGTATCCTCCGATCCGATCTTTCTTCTCTAGAATCCCTTGAAGGTAACTCCAAGAGGTCTAAGTTTAAAATTTCAACTCAGTTCGATCGCAAATCGCTGTCAAAGCTCCAAAGTGCATGCATCAGTGCATGTTTTTCGTATGAGACTTCAAGAAATAATTTGGTAGGATTTTCTACTGATGAGTTTTAATGAGAAAGTATTCTCAAAACGCCGAAAAGAAAACGGACACCCACATAAAAACAACAAAGATCAATGAAAGTTTTGTGAAAAGAATAAGAAAGATGGTAATTCTTTTGCTCGGTGGAACAAAGAAAAAATTCTGAAGCCCTCGTGAAGAATCGAACCTCAGACCTTCGGATTCCGCGCTCCGGTGCTCTACTACTGAGCCACAGAGACTCTATGGTGAGCGAGGCCCACTACGAAGTTTAAATATGACACACGTCCTGCATATTTCCAGAATCAATGTTGATAGCGCCATGTTTTGTAAATATGATTCCGAGATTCGATTTCTCAAGTGGACTCAGATTCTTTTTCTTTGTCCCGCGCTCGTGACAAGACGAATAAACATATTTCTCTATCAACGAAAGTTGTAATAGAAACGAGGCTTGAAGATGAAAATTCACTTAATGACATCGGGTATTAAGAGGCATTCCTCCTTTGTAGCGAGGGACGCTAAAATGATGTCCATTCTCAACAAAGCCATGAAACAATGGACCAGTAAGACCTGCATACGATTCCAAAAGCGCCAACAAGAGCATGGGTACGCCTATTTCCACGTAGGCCAAGGGTAAGAGTGAAATTAATTCTCTTACTGATTACACGTGAGGACAAAGCTAATTACTTTCGACCTACAGGTTTCCCTTCGTCAATGAGAACTTAAACCTTGTAATGTTCTTTATCTTACAGTTGTTCCTCTGAGGTAGGTTATCAGAGGAGACTCCAATACATTTCACTTGGCAATGGCTGTTGGAGCGTGGGAACAGCAGCACACGAGATTGGTGGGTTCATCAAACTTTAATTTTTTTCTCAGCGGGCAACTGTGTGCTTTAACAGCCCGCTTCTTTTGGCACGCAACCACTCTTATACCGCTGGGTTCACCCACCAGCTGAGCCTAACGGCTGGTTATGCAGAAAATGAGCGTGATTTAAGCACAGCACAATACACATTTAAGTATACTACAACAAAAATTAACAGTTTGACGATATGCAGTCTTTTCATTTGCTTAAGAAAAAGCCGGATTCACCAGCCTAGACAATATATATATATATATATATATATAAATGCATTCTGTAAAACCAGCTACTCTTTCACTTGCTTCTAGGGCACGCTCTAGGATTTTACCACGAGCAATCTCGTCCAGATCGAGACAACTACGTAACCATATACAAACAAAATATAATGCAAGGTAGGGAATTATCATATGACGCATATCTGAAAATAGAGTTGACTCAGGCGTCTTTTCCAACGAGAAATTAACCCCTTTTAATTTCTCTAAATTTCCTTTTTTCCTCTTTTATTTAAGCCTACCTGACTAACGTGATATTTCATATTCACAAACGCAATTCTTGAAAACAATACAATAATGAACTATTAATACAAATCGTAATAAAAAGGCATCATTCAATTACAGACACACTGCTACATAAAGACTTATGACTCGAGTGTATCCTCACTTGGGGCAATGATGTCACATCGAGACGAAAAAGATGAGTTCAGTTGTTAAGCACTAAATTATTTTTAATTTCGTTATCTTATCGCGCTAGGCATGGCCTACAACTTCAATAAGTACGGAAGAGATACCATTGACTCACTGGGTACACCGTATGATTACGCAAGTGTGATGCATTATGACTCATATGCATTCAGTGCCAATAGAAGACCAACGATCTTGCCTAATAAGCAAGGGGTAACGAATTGATACATTAACATTAGAGGAAATTTAACTTTGTCTCGATAGCGCAATCAACTTGGTTAAACGTTTTACAGGGTTCCCTTGCAATTGTAGAATACCCTGAATATTCGGTAGGATCACTTGTGCCACCTCATTCTTGATCTTACCATACTCTGGATATCATCTGTGATCCAGCCTGAACAGACGCACGACAACATGGGGTCTATTTTTTTTTCAAAGAATGATCAATTTTACTGACAGGTGACTATTGGTCAACGTAATGGAATAAGTAGCATGGATGCAAAGCAGATGAACCTTCTGTACAAATGCCAGGGTGCTGGCGGAAACGGCGGAAATGGTGGAGCCGGCGAGACTGGCGGTGGAAACAGCGGTGAGTTTTACGCTTGTTTCTCTGCCATTGAAAACAAAGCAAATAAAAAAAAAAACTATTTCCTGAAAAACAATTGAGCTATCTAAATTGAAATCAGTATTATTGTAAAATAGCGAGTTTGCCAACATACGATTCTTGTCATTTTAGTTTAACTGCTGATTTGAATCAGGAATAGTTATTGAGGCTGGGTTGAGAAGAAGAGTTTCACTTTCAATAAATATTAGAGATAAATTTCAGAAAGGGTGGAAAAGAGTAATTTGATTGTACACTAGCCATTGTATATTGCAGTTCCTAAATTTTGATTGGTTCACAGGCCATGGAATTATCGTACTTGGAGCACAAATACAGAAATTACGTAGCATTTTTTGCCGCATCCTACCGTCTCATTTGTGGCGCGCTCTCAGTGGAATAGTTCTCAAAAACTTATGTTGGTTTTAGTTAGTTTATGTTTTAATCCCTTCCTATTCTACTTAAGGTTGTCAAGATGGTCACAAAAACTGTCGATACTGGGCATCAATCGGAGAATGCCAAAAGAACCCAAACTATATGCTTAAGACTTGCTGCAAGAGTTGCAAAGGTAGGCATATGTAATCTTAATGTTGAATTGGTGATTCAAACCTCTTATTTCACGTATTCGATTACCATATGAATTTTACAGAAACTCAGCAAACCTGTACATGGTTTGAGAACACAGAACATTGGAAAACTAAAAGGGGAACACAAAGTTCTCTTAAATTTGAAAGATAAAACATGATAATATTTCTCGCAATTTCAGTGTAATATTTTCAATTCACGGAGCACGCACCTGGTAGTCCTTATATTTTTGTCTCGTCGGTCGGATGTTTCATATCGCTGAATAAAAACCCCACTGTAATTTTTATCAGTCCGATTGAGCCATTGCCATTAAGAAGGGAACTTTGATCCTTCTTCAAGCTTTTAGTAATGAGTAAGAATATTTGATGAACACAACTCAAAGTACATAAATCGCACCTCCTCATTTACGTGCAAGTTTTATCTTCTGTGTTGCTTAACTATGATTTCTCTTTTGCTTTGTTCAGTTTGTTCCTTTGTATGTTTGTTCTCTTACTCGTTTGTTGCTTAACTATGATTTCTCTTTTGCTTTGTTCAGTTTGTTCCTTTGTATGTTTGTTCTCTTACTCGATATCATGATAGATAATGCTTTGAAAGCAGAGGTGTTCCCAAGGAATTGCTCAAACTGATGTTTTTTAATCACCTTATTACTTTACAGCTGTAACAGGGTGTAATGATACGGACAAGAATTGCGCTTACTGGGCATCCATCGGTGAGTGCAAGAATAACGCTAATTGGATGTTGAGCCACTGCAAGAAAAGCTGCCGCAACTGCTGAAAATGTAGCACTTATAGTGACGTGTGAGCAACTGAAATAAACGTGAGCGGTTAAAAACGAGTGGAAAAGTGTTTTATTAGTGTGTTCTTTTTTATAGGTGCAACATCTATGAAAATTCTTCTGTTTGAGGTATAGTGTAGAAACTGCGCGTCAAGTTGTAGAGCGGTACTGGACGCAAAAACAACTAACGACAGGACAAAAAGCTGGCAGTGCTGTGGGGGGCGGGTGGGTTTTAGGATAAGGCTCTTGTCATTGACATAATTTGATACTTCTCAACAAATCCTACTTTACATCTAAGACAAAGAGTCTATTGAAGACAAGATGAACTATTTATTGGTATTTTTCTGTGTGGAATGTCTACATATAGATTCCCTCTGACGAATACCTCAATGAACTACTCTATGAACATGCAAATAACTCAGTTAATTTTTTTTTCTTTTTATGCAGTGCAGCTAACATTTCTTGCAACTTTTCTTGCACTGTTCCGTCATGAACTTCTCATTCTTTCCGCATTCCCCCAGGTTGGCCCACAGTCCACACTTTGCATGGTTGTCGCCGCAAGCTTTAAGAAGAAAAATAGAATAAATAGAAATAAGTTTTTATCATCTTATATCTTTCATTTCTTCAGTGACACACTCGGCTGCACCTCGTGTTTCTCTTTATCTTCTTACCATATTTTAGTAGACTTCATCTGAGATCTAGAACTGAACAGAAGCACGGCGACATGGAATCTATCTTTTAACGATAAACTGCAAAGTTTGCATAACCTGATCAAGGCGACAACTTAAAACTACGTAAAAGTGGCCCTGAGAAAACAATATTTTACGGTGGAAATTTTTTTCTTTAGGGAAATTTCTTTCCGATTTTAATTCCAGCTAAGCTTGATTCTTGCAATGAATATGTGCAGTTTGCCAACTCTCCCTGAATTAGTTATTGTTTGATTCACGCATTTAAAAACTCCAAAGCCATAAATATTTGCATATATGTGAAGAATGCCTAGACCAAACCGAATCCTATTGACCTGTCGTCCATTTGTAGTTTTGTGCGTAGTGGCCAAACCTTTGCATACAAATGGAGGTGCGATTTTCAAGATCTTGCCGTCTTCTGCATGTAGGTGGTTCAGTTATCGTGTTTGTGCGTAGTGGCCAAACCTTTGCATACAAATGGAGGTGCGATTTTCAAGATCTTGCCGTCTTCTGCATGTAGGTGGTTCAGTTATCGTGTTGGCTAGTTTCTCGTCTATACCTCAAGATAGACATCTCACTCAAAATGGTAAAAGCGTTCAGTAATTTGATAAATAGAAACTATCGTTACTGATATTAGGCGGCTGTAGGAAATAAACATGTCAACTAACCACAAACATGGCAGCTCCTAAGACAGTGATCCAACATCCATTTCTTGTTTTTAAAACATTGCTCTTCCTGGGCCCATTGGGGACATTTAGAATACTTGTCTTCGCAAGCTGGAAGAAATCGTTTTTAGAAATATTACTTCTTTAAATTAATTTTGGTATGATTTCTCTCAGAAAAAAAAAGTCTTAGCATCATATTTTAAAGATCATTTACTTACTACATATTCCGCAGCTCAGAGCACAATTCACCGACATGAAAGACGGATTTTTTGAACATTCACCCATATTTTTCCAGGCGGGACATTGTGTTTCGTCGTTGTCCTTACACATGGGTGGTGGCCTGTTGCCTAAACAAAATAATGAGAGAGGGAAACTTTTCGATAGTCGATATGGAAACGCTTATCTCTCGGAAATATACAACTCCGGGAACTGAGTGATATTCATTTTGAAGAAAACCCCGTTTAGAACCTACTCTATCGTCTCATGAACGCATCTACGCTTAAAAAGCCCGCAGCTATCCCTAGAAATTGGTAATTATTGTTGTCATGATGATACGATAAATTTTAGGGTTTCCATGTTAAGATGGACCAAAAAAATTTGCTAATAAGTGCACGGTAACAATTGGAGGGCCCTTTTTTTCGTTCCTTTCAACTGGCATTGCAAACTCAATCTTTCAGCCAACAGCATTCTCAATCAAATATTCTATATACACGGCAGGATCAATAATCCGTTGCTGCCGAACTTCTCCACCATCGTGATCCAAAACAAACACTCCGATATGTAAAAATTGAAAGCAAAATTAATTTGACTTAGTTTGAGCTTACCTGCATGAGGTTGCGCCGGCAACGGGCCTTTAGGTGGATCTGATATGGGGGTAAAGTTGAAAATATTTCATCTCGATTTTGCGTTTCAGAGCCGAGCTACATTATAAAACCTTTACATACTAGAAGAATTCAAGATGTTTACCGGTTTAATTGCCCTCTAAGAACTTTGCATGTGAAGAGAATATTTTTTGGAGGGTACTGATGAGAAGTGATCAGTGGATCATATCCTAATTCAAGTATCTATTCAACCAAATCGATATGAAAAGAAAGATACTTGATGTACTTACGGCAAACTCTGCAACTCTTTTGGCAATGTGAACGCATGTAGTCAGAGTTTTTAGAACAACCGTTTGGCTGTGTAGCCCATGCTGGGCACATATAGTTGTCGTCTTTGCACTCTGGAAATGAATCGTAAGAAATGATTCCGAAGAAATTTATTGAGATACTTGATCAATTTATGGTGAGAGTTGCGATTAAAGAGGGCTTGACGCTTGACCTATTCTGGACTCCAAATAACTTTGAAAAAAAAATACTGATAGGTACCCATTTACTGGAGAAATAATTTTAAAAGAAAGGAATTCCATACTTCTTCCATTGATGAGGGTTATGTGGGGCTAAACATGAGATTTATCACAATGAAATTTATGTCAACTTGATATACAGAAAAAAGAACTGTGCCGACGGAACTCAGACTAACCGCAATCTAAACCATTACAGTTATTGGTTTAGACTGCATTTCATTGCAAACATTAAATATTAAAATTGCCATATACCTTCTTAATTTAGCTAACTTAAGATAGAATGTCTATCTTACCACATGTATCACAGCTTCTTGCACAATGTTTGCTCATAAACTGAACATTTTTCTCGCAATGTTTGGCAGCCTTCCACTTTGAACACGACACATAGTCGTCTTGACATGCTGTGGAAAAACAATGAATTTTACAAAGGCAAAAGGTAAAAAAAATAAAAATAAAAAGGCCTCGAGTCAATAACCGCACTTCTTGAACTCCAAACTTAACTGACCCAAGTGATTTTCATGGAAGTTCCTCCGTGGATTTCTTTCATGGCACGAAGTACAAAAACATACTGTACGAACAACTTCTCATTTTGAAGTGTTTTGAAAAATGTCATGACAGACCACGGCTCTGTTCTCCGAGCCGAACGATATTTGAGTGTTCTGTTTAACTACGTCTAAGGATCTATTCTGTAAAGCTATGCCAAGACTATCCATGAGATGGGATAATCTTCTCGTATGCCATTGGAACGTAAATAAATTTTCTGGCTTAACAATTTTTTTTGGAACAAATGTTGGCTAGAAAAGGTAAATACTGTTACTCACAACAAAGACCAGGATCGATGTATAAGTCGTCAATGGCAATGTCAGAGTATCCTGTGCCTCCAACTCGGGCGATGATTTTGAGCTAACGGAATAAACCAAAAAAACTCATAAAGCAATCAAGCAAATTATATAAACTGTGATTTCTCGCTCTATAGAGCATATAGGTAAGAGCATTCTCCAGGCGCGATAGATAACCCCTTCACTGAACATTGCTTAATTGACTTCAACGTATTACCTAAATAAATACGAAAGAAAGAATTGTTGATTGCATAAGTATTTTTTAAAACTGATGGGCTACACTTTTAATTAATTGGTATGACTGCCTAAAAAAACTGCCACATTCTAGTTGTGTCTCCTTTACTGTATTACCTTGTACTTTGTTCCCTCTGGAATATTGAGGCTGACCTTGGCTCCAATCCAATGAAGACCTTTATCGCCTGTCTTTGTGAAAATGTTCTTAGCTCGCTTACCAAACTCTTGCAATTTGACTATAAGCGAACCCATTGTTTTACCATACATGGTATAAAAGAACTTCATGCACTGGCCTCCTTTTGGAGCTGACAGCCATGGCTGGCTCTCAAGAATAGCCTGGCTACCTGGCCGGGCCGGAGCGGATGACTCCATGTACAGATAGTAGCCTAAAACCAAATGAGCTGACTCATTTAGATGAACACATGAGGCAAGGTTTCTTTATTCATCAATTTTATAGCAGTTCACTAGGCCTAAAAATTGAGGAAGGTCGACGATCAGAATTAATCAGGATTGATCGATTTGTTGATTGATATCGATTGCTATTTGCCAATCAATGGCCCTCGCAGGTCGATCGGTAGTTAGTTAAACACCCTGATAAAGAGGTCAGATCAGAAGTACGCTCGTAATGCCGTATATTGCTCCGGATGTATATCCATTGATTCTGACTATTAATGCCTAATTATTGATTTCATGTATTGGCCAGGCATAGAAGTTTAATAATTAATACCGCCAAAAAACTTTCATTTTCACGCTTAACTATTATTTTCATTGAAAAAAATCTCGAATCCAAAATTAGAGAACTCAAAGAATTAATAAAGGAGGTTACAATGATTTAGGACTACGGCTTCAATGGAGTTTCGATAAACTCAGTTTGGTCCAAAATTAAACGGTCGCGCAGCCAACAGTTTCAATCGACCACCGATTTCTTAGAGTAAAGCAGCTCGCACTCTTATCGTACCTTACTTAAATGGGATTTTTAAACCAAAGTTTATCAGGTGGAGTTAATTTCAATGTAACTTCTCCAAACCTTTTCCGGTTGTGTGGTCACGGCTGGGCCCAGTTTCCTTTGTCCCGGTGAAATATTTATTCCGCATCCATTTAATTTGTCCCTTGTTAACCCACATACCCAATAACTTGCCATCAAAATCAGTGTCTTGATATCCTAAGGAATGATTTCAAAATGAAATTAGTCATGCTTGGAAATGAAAGTAAGTTGATACTCTTGAGTCCAAACGAATGAAAACCCTAGCTAAAGGAATGGGACTCGATCTAGCGTATAATACCTAAAACGTTGTTAATGTAAGAACACGGAAAACAATTAAGCCGCCTTCCTTTCTCGCTTTTGAATTTAAAACAGAACGATCGACACATTTAGTATTTCAAAAATGTTTTAACATTACAGGTTTTCAAGTTCCATGATATAGAGGTAGGCTTAGGTAATTTCCAAACTGCTAACTATCAGTTGACCGTGTACGACTGGATATGTCGGGAGAACTTAAGATAAGTCCGTGTCCGTAAGTTTCACGGCAGCTTTTGTTTCACATAAAACTATAAATACGTGGACGAACAATCCACATCGCTGTACCACGAATTATCCGGGTAAAAATTTTGCGGCTTGTTGCCTAATTTTTTCTGACTTTCATTATGACAAAAAGATAAGTGGCCTCATCGAGAAAGTCACAGCTTAAAATTTATTCTCACTGAGTTGACATCTCTTCATTGTGCAGACTCCCTCTTCCACTGATTCCCCGGCACAATATTTCCCGCCATGTTTTGGTTCAGGGTTGTCACACTTTCTGAATCGTTTCCTTTTGCCGTCGTCACATGAAACATCGCATCTCGACCAATCAGACCAACGGCCCCAGTGCCCATTTATTCTAACTACAGATAAGATGCGATAAGTAAATAACTTATAAACATCTACAAATTTCATTTGAGTAGATCTGCAATCTCCTCTACTAATTACAAAGGTATTGTAAACGTTCTAAGTAATAATGCTTCAAAAGCAAAGCATGTGAGAAAATGTCATGGCTTGCATGAGGTTCATTTTTCTCCAAGACCATCGGAAGGCACAATTCTATTTCGAAAAATTATAACAAGGAAACTCCATTAAGTCACTTGGTAATGACATGCTCAATGACGGTGCTAAATTCAAACATGAACAATAGAAGAAGCGGACATGACTTCCTAAAGTCTGCTTACGCTTCGAAAAAAATATTCTGAAGAGAGGCGAGCGTTTCGTGTAAGAGCGGCGAAACTTTGGAACCGAACCCGCTTCTTATAAGGGCCTCACTAATTTTTTTGCATCTAAGTTTTTAGAGAAGTGTCATAGTGTAGACGGTATTAATCGATTTTTTCATTTTTCTAAAGACACTTAGTTCCCTTGGGTTGTTTCTAGACGCCTAACTTGTTTAATTTTTAACTTGGGGACCGCAAGTTTGTCAGTTTTTACTGGCTGCTGTCTCCTCCCATTGATAAATTGTTACATACACACATGCATAACGTTGCAAGGTCATCAAGTCTGATGTGAAGAAGAGAGGGGACGGTGAAACCCTTTTGACCCTGTCTCTGCGGAGTTCGCCACCGGTCACTATCATTCCTAATATTGGCAATCCTTAGCTTGAGTCTAAACACAATGACCTAGATCAGTGTTAAGATTGGTTAATCAGATGCAATAAATGATTATTTTATGCAAGTTCCCAACTATAACGTTACTGATTGCAAGGCAAAAAATTGGCGCGGAATGCAGTCTTAAATCAGTCAATTAACAGCCTTTGAGTAATCTCTGCGATTACTAATTTGTGAGAGATGTTTACCTGGGCACTCGTAGCTTCCACATTTCACTCTTTCCGTTTCGATACCATATACGTTCACATTGCCACCACAGGCCTTAGGGTTACCTGCATTGTAACAATAACGTTGGCGCTCTTTCATACAATCTTTATCACAAGGCGTGAATCCCGACCACTGCGTCCAACCGTAGTTTTTTGCTGCATTGAAAGGAAGGAAATAATGAATTAAAGCTAACATAAAAAAAAACTCATAACTTATCCTTAGATGTTACGATTCCTGCACATCACTTCCCGTGAATAAATAATACGTCTCCATTACGCAAATCTAGGTTTTTCTATGCCTACTCTCGATCAATTTTGCAGTAGATGGATAAGAAGTGTTGCTTTTAGCGCTCTTCTGTGAGAGATGCCTTGGTTGTAAAAACGCATTTTATACAAAGCGTAATGTAATGGTTTCACAATCACAATATACGGTAGTTATTCACAGCTACAAAGTGATAAGTCAACGTAACAATATTGAATTTATGGAGTTTCATAGGACTAGGATAGGACGAAAACAGTCTTGCTCTGAACGAAAATATGAACACTGAATTGAGTAGTAACGCTACCAAAAATGATTTCAGTTTCAGCGGCACAAATCAATTATGCATATTACACTTCCCTTTGTTGGGATGATTGCTATCCAACATTTTCAACAGGTTCTCTTAATTGTTCACGAGTACCCAGGTATACCTTTTTGTCATCCAACTGCACAAAGAGAGTACAAATAACGCGCTAATAGGGTACAAATATCCTGCGATATTGTACGGTCAAATGGACAGTTGGTTATTTTATACTGTTAAAAAAACTGTTTTCTTCTCTATTCGCTTTTCTTTTCCCGCCTTGTGACAAATGAGTAGAGAGGATAGCAGAAAAAAAAAGCAGTCCGATAATAAATAACTTATTTGAAGTTTTGGTGTGTGGTATCGCTGAGCGATACAACAGGTTCGTCAAAATACGGCACAACTCGTAAAAATTACTCAGTGATTCTGCACACCAAAACATCCGATAATATATATATATATATAGAATAAGAACAAAACATTACGTCCCCGTCCATGGTTAGACTCCCAACCCTTCTCATGGGGAGTTCGGCGGGCTACTTATCCTATTTCTCGCTTTCTGTTTCCCAGGAGTAAAACTACTCATAAATCTGTGCCTATAAGTCTGCCTGTGTCTATAACATTTATGTTACAGACACAGTCTTGCTCATGAATTACTTACTTTCGCAATCATACAAGGCGTTGAGTTCAACTATATCCTGAGGACTCATCGTTTTCTGAGGCGTTCCAAAGTCCTTCCATCCGACTGGCTTATCAAACCTGATGATCGTGTCCAGTCCATTCTTCGTAAAAGCTCTCCTGTCATAGTGCATGATGGATTGAAAATCGTAATTTTTTCCAATTTTGTCTATAGTTTTGTAGCTATACTTGTCAAACTGGTCTGAAAATCCTGTAAAATAAAGTGTCACATTACAATTGTTATGGTTTTTCAAGGTTTACCAGAGGCACGTTCATAACATCACGAATTTATGATCGGTCGAGACAAAAATTTTCGAAACCGTTTACCTCCTTGAGGTAGCGACATGAACAAGTACTAATCACACTTTATGATTCAAGTACTAATCACACTTTATGATTTCACTTCTTTACGAGGCCGAGGCATAAGAGAGGGGATTTTTTTAAAGGAGATACTGAAGCTTTTATGTGGGTGTGGTTGCCGATATCGGTGTAAACTCACCGTCGAGGATATTTCCCCATTTGATTTCAATATATCTGTCTCCGTCATCTCTTGCTTGCTCGTGAAAGAAGCGTAAGAGAGAGGATTTTTTTAAGGAGATACTGAAGCTTTTATGGATATCTAGTTGCCGATATCGGTGTAAACTCACCGTCGAGAATATTTTCCCATTTGATTTCAATATATTTGTCCCTGTCATCTCTTGCTTGCTCGTGAAAGAATCCTACAAATAGAGAGAGGCCAAAAGGGTAGATTACAAAGTCAATTGTTAAACTTAGGGAACAAGTTTTCAAAGCAAGGGTCAAATTATGCTATCTTATTTATCTCTGGCTAAATAGAGAATTCAAAGATTAGGTATGGTAAAGAGTACTTTCTCTTTTTCTCTAGAGTATCGTCCGTTACGTGATCCGAATAAAGGACTGATTGAAAGAGAAGGGAACTGCGGGCAGTTTGAATTTTAAGACATCATTTTTCAGAAAACAATAGCATGAGGCTCTTTTATACGAGCAAATCGAGTAAATACTGTTACGATGACAACCAAAGCAACTGACTTTATCCTCGTATTTTACTTTTCACTCACCAAGAGTATGTAGTAATTCGTGTATGATGGTGCCTTCGAAGTCACATCCTTGCCCCAGGGAAAGTTTCTGAGCTCCAGCCACAGCATAACTCTTCCCTACTTTAGATGAGCACCTACAAGCAAACGACAGAAGTTCAGATGAAAGCGTAATGTGATCGTCCGGTTGACTGTAGTCCTAAGGAGGACGGTTGACGTTAGTTGTGATTGACGTTTCGACAACCTGAGCGGAAGTCATTAGAGTCAAGGGAAATTAAAATTAGGACAACTGCCAACATTATCACATGGTAACATGTGGTAAGCTTACCATTGAAGTAGACATGCAATGAAAGAGTTTGAAAAATGGGAAAAAAGATTGGAAACCAACAAAACGCTTGTACCCTTCTTGTGGGGCGCAAAATCAAGTAAACACCGTAGCGAAGAAAAACACAACAACAGACATTTATCTGAGTAGTTTTCCTATCTGTTTTTGAAATAAACACAAAATGAGAACTTCTTAACATAATTTAGTTTCTCATATATGATGTTCATATATTAACAGCCATTCAAAATTTAGTTCATAACTGATAACAGTCTAGTAACAATTTTCAACGAAAAGCTTGGAAATGAAGCAGGTATTGATTAATGGGATTTAATGTAATTGTAAAACATCAATTCGCTCTAATGAAGACACAGACGACAAAAAGGAAACTATACAAGCCTCTTTCAGTTTTATATTGTACCCGAATGATTTTTCATTATCGTCTTCATCATCATCGTCGTTTTTGTTATAATCAATAGAAAATCTCAATTAACTTACCTGCGGATATATAATGCCAGCATGTTTTCAAAGCGAACTTGATTTAACTTACAATTACATCATAGACACTATATCACGATAAAGTTATGCTGCGGAAGACTTTACCCGTCATCATTATCGAAGAAGATGTAATTCTTCTGGCCGCGGTATGGCACAAATCGTATGCACGATACTCTATGAAACATCTGGATAACTTTGTTAAGATTTCCCACGATGTGTCCTGAAAAAGGGAGAATAGGACTATTAAGGAAAAAAAAACAGTAAATAACATATTTATCAAAAGTAACGTGGGCCAGATCTAGAAGTAAAAGTGTATTGGACAGTGTCCCATACAGACAAGGCGCGTTACGCTGATCAATACTTTCAAGCACACTTTTGGATCTCTTGCAGATTCTATTAACCCGTCGGAGCCAATTGCTTGTTACGAGTGTGAGCGTTGTTCCAGAAGATTGGTGTTCATTATGAAAGACTCTGACTCTTCTTCTAAATTGCAAACAGTAGAGATTCATTGTTCTTGGCGAGTGCGTAAACTTTGGTTCTGCGATGTATCAGAATTGCCAGGTGCTTTTCAGCATTCATCATAACGACGTAGTTGTTTTATGATGCAGCTACATTTCAATTTTTTCGTGAATTTCAATTCTATTATTTGGAAATGCCATAGCACTTACTCATGTACGATGGAATTTTATACGGAATCACCCTTGACGTCCAAAGTCGTTTGCGAGTTCTGAGAGCATTTCTCTTCGTTCTCGCCTGGCCGGTTTTACAAGTCTTTCCAGGATGTAGTTCTTCGTAAAGGTCACAATCGAGTATCATGTCTCCTTGATCAAAGAAGAAACCTTCCGCTACAAGAAACAAACGAGAAATCAAGTTGGTGTAAATTTTCATACAAGTTTAATTTTTTTTTTTAATCAAAGTTGTATCGTTTCTCTAAATTATTTCCCCCTGACAAACCATGGCGACCAAGGATCCATTTTTTTTCTCTGTGGCTCCTTGGAGGTGAATAATACTCGGCTATTCTCATGCAAGATAACCAATCAGCACGCGGAAAGGCACTATTCATATAAGTAGTATTTAACATTAACGAGTATTTCACTGTGACACAAACGATCAGAAAAAGGGGGAAACTTTTCAAACTTACCTTCATTCGTCGTTTCGATCATTTCTTGTACATTGCCTTGATACTCTCGTTTTTCTTGAAGTTGCCTTTTCTCTTGGCGCTTTCTCCAGTGGGCAAGATTGACGGCGATTATCCGTTCCATCGCATTATCATAGTCTGTAGGTTCGCAGAGTAAATAAATTAACCATAGGTGAAGGTCAATAGCAACTTTTAAGTCCATCTTTATTAAAAAAAAAAAGGGTCCCTTCCAAGGGGAAATTTTTAATCAACTTACTCTCCTAGCCCTCCCTCATCCTGGCAAGATTTAGATTTGATCAATAATCACCAAACCAGACAAAGTTCTTTGAACAAGATATCTACAAAGCGAAGTGGTATTTTCTTACTGCTCGTTGAAGAAAATTCCTTAATAAATTTGTGAGGTGTGAAGCTCAGCTGCAAAATGTGCGTGCATTTCCCATCCGACGGGTATTCCTGTCTTTTTTTTAGATATCAATAGTTAGTCGTTTGAATCTCAAGAATGTTAGAATTGACGACATACATACATACCGAGCTTTTTTGCGATGGTGCAAATACATCCAAGCGTAGGACTGCGCGGTGCGACTGATTCAACATTCAAATAATTTTTTTAATATTTTTCCCGAGTGTCCGCCACACAAACCTACAGTTTTTTTTTTTTTTTTTTTTTTTTTTTCCAGCACAGATATTTCTCAGTGATGTCGTTACTAACCTTTGTTGGCTACTTCTGTTATCTCAGGGTCATTCTCTATGGCTTTGTCGTCTGGGTACCGCCCTGCAAAGCAACATTAAATTTAGCATAATAAAAGAAAGAAAATTTAAAAATAATTTTTCGCGGCTGGAGACTATTCAGCTCCATACGTTTCACATCATGTACATTCGCATACATTGGAATTTCTATCATTCAACGACGCGCGTTTGCATGCCATAAAATGGTCTCATATAGTCGTTTTTCTGGTATTTTGTGAAAAAGCAGGTGGATGTGAGAGCAATTTGATTCAGAAAAGGTAAATTTATGTTTAAAAAATCATTTCTCATGAGAAAATAAAGAAAGACTCATAAGAGAAGGAAATATTGAGTAGAACTTCAAGCCAAGAAAAATATACTGCTACCATCTTCTAAGTGGGAGTATTTCTCATGGTTTATTCCTTTAGAATCAACGGATTCAGTGGGGTCTTTAACCATCTTACACTGTAGTTAAATACCTGCATTGTATCTTTACGATCCCCGCGAATATTAAAATAGGTAACCAGAATTTACATGAATAATAAATATTAACCTTGATTTTTTTTCAAAGTAGAAAATTTATATTGTTTATTTTTATGAGTAACTTTAAGTCACACCGTTCATCATGTAAACCGCCTGAGAGAAATATTTGTCCTTTTACCATGTTTAGTATACATTATTTGCTTGTTTTGATTACACTGGTGTTCAGCTGTAAACTCATCAAGGTCTCTGGGTTGAAGATAACACCGCGGAATCAGAGCGAGGCGTTAAGAAATCAGTCACTGGAAAACCATTTTACGGCGTGGATACATAAAAACAGTGCCATAAGCTTAAATAATCGTCCGACCAAGCGACACTCTTTTGAGCGATTAAATGTGGACGATAACGTTGAATCCAATTATGAGACCTCATACGACAAACAAGATATGGACGATTTTGATGTGAACAATGCAGGAGAGAAGCTACAGACAAGCTACAGACAAGTGATTTTAGATCCAAACGAGGCGAATGCTTTACGAGTACCTCATCCATATCCTTTCCAGCCAATTCATGTACGCCGTGACTGGCATCCCCAAATAGAACCGCTAGAGATATTCCCAAATCCCATTCAAGTTCATCATTACAGGAAAGTTCCAGTTGCAGTTCAGGTGCCGAGATATGAAATTGTTCCAAAACCTTTTTATGTTCCTTTAAGAGCATCGCCAGATTACAGTGTGCTGCACGTAGATGTTTATCACCCAGGTTGGTTTTGAGATTTTAAGGGCACCATATTTTAATAGTATTATCATTTAACAATATTCAAATCTTCCCATCACTCAAAAACCGATATATTCGAGTGGCCAGCTTCCATCTCATCATCGATTGACCTAAAATTTTTTTAATGAGTTGCTGCGTAGTCAGCGAATTAAGTGTAACTACAGAAAGCAAATGGTTCATAGCTATATAGCTTCTTGATTTGTAAGTTTCGCAACTATGTCAGAGCCAATTATTTACCTATTTGCATACAGCTTCGCTTGGTTAGATGTTGGTGCCCAAGCTAACTTATTACTAATGGGAGAAAGACATCTCTCACGGAAGTTCCATTGACTATTTCATTACCACAGCTAATCCTTGCAGAAATGGCGGCCTTTGGCTATCCAGTCGCTTTGGCTATCATTGCTTGTGTTCAAAGGATTACAAAGGAAGGTTTTGCGATGGTATGTATACTACGCTTAAAGCTTTTTTTATTTATTGAAGAAAAAATTTACGACATCAATTTAATTGATTTCTCAATCACAACGTTCGGTTAACATTGGTTTCTAGTTCATGAAAACTCATCAAAGTTATTTTTCACTAAAATTTATTAAATATAATACTATTTTTTAAAATTTTTAAAATTTTTTTCCAGTTTATCTGTTTGATATTTTTGCTTGTTCATCGATAGCCAAGTTATACTGCTCTTCGAGCCCATGTGAACATGGTGGAAAGTGCGAGGAAATAGAGAACAATTACCAATGTCAGTGTCCAACAGGATACATGGGTTACAACTGCGAAGGTAGATTATTAGCTTATAGGCATTGTTACATTTTTAAAGCAAAGACTTTGAAATGTCTATTTTTATACAAATCTGTGAAGAATAAAGATGTTATTGTTGGCATTAGTACCTGTTGTAAAGAAATCCCCTATCGTTCAGCCACAGAGGTGTTGAAAAACGATTGAGCTTAGGTTTCAAACACAACGAGACTCTCATTTCCATGTTGCTGTCGTTTTTTTTTTTTTTTTTCTTGAAATCGTTACCGCGCCCACGTATTATTCTCTATTTAATACTGCTGTATAACATATACATGCGTTGATTTACTCGGTTTTAGAGAAGAACTTTTGTAGACCAAACCCGTGTAAAAACGACGGACAGTGTGTTGAGACTATTAGCAATTACAAGTGTTACTGCAGATCTGGATTCACAGGGAAGCATTGCGAAGGTAATCTGTAAATCAACAATTTCATAGAAATGGAATGGGCTTGCATCTTTTAATAAACTTACGACAGAAACATCGATGCTGCATTTACCTGACCTTCCTAGTACTCAAATATGTCAAACGTTTGCACTTTTACCACGTTGTGGGGAAGATTATGAAAATATTACCCTGAAAGCTAAGATGACATTATTTAGCTGACGTTATGAATTTTAAAGTTATAACTGTTTTCTTACAGACTTAGATTACTGTGATCCAAACCCATGTCAACATGGCGGCACATGTCAACAGAGACACGCCTCTCACGAATGCATCTGCAGAGAAGAATTCAAAGGAAAGCTGTGCGAAAGTGAGGCGAATTTACTGATCCCCTCTTATGACTGCCCAGTCATTTGAATCATTCAACACCAGTTTATTTATACTGACTGGGAGAATTGGCCCAATTGAAATACGTTGTGTGCGTTTTTTTCCTATTCAATCGGTTTGCCAATTTTTACATTTACACAGAGAAACGAGTGTGCCTTGCTAATCCGTGCAAAAACGGCGGCGAATGCGTTGAGGATAACTCCAATTATCCTTGCATATGTCCGATGGGATATAGTCCGCCATATTGCAGAGGTGAGCACGTTTTCTAACGACCTGACATACAAAGATACACCCCTTTACTTCTCTGCTTTCAAAATTTCCAAATGCATAAAAATATTTAAACGTAGTTCTTGAAGTTTTTTGTTAAGTCACGATGTACTCTGTGCCTAGTAAAAATTTCTTTCTGAAAGCTTAAGTTGAAGATTTATTTCACCTTTATGCTGACTCAAGCGACCTTTTCTTTGCAGTCCATGTTTGTGACTCCAACCCCTGCCTTAATGACGGTAAATGCGTTCCGAAGAATGCAGGAGGGCACTGGAAATACCAATGCATTTGCTCTCTCCTTTATAAAGGAGAAAATTGTGAAAGTAAGGAAACACTATTAAAAAAAAGAAAAAAAATGAAATGAAATGAAAATCTTACGAGGAATTCTTTTCAGAATTGTTACAGGCCTCGTGAACCATATCAGCCAAATTAATTCACATCTTTCTACTTTATTAGTTCCCAATCCTTGTGTAACAAATCCGTGTTTACATGGTGGAAGATGTATTGATACTTTTAGCAAGTACACAAACTTTCCAAAGGACTGGGACATAGGCTTTTTACATTACTACTGCGCATGTCCACCGGATTATACAGGGCAGAAATGTGAAGGTACGTCATCCAGTTCTCACCGCCAATACATGACAAAGTTCAAAAAATAGAATGCTCATATAATGCATCAAATGGAAAGGTTATTAATTCGAGATAGATGCAATACACGGAACTGATCCAAGCAATATCTTTTCCATCATCACAAAAAACAGAAAATTTGTGTCTAAGGTGCGACGTAAATGCAACTTGCCAAAGTGGACAGTGCATCTGTAAGGATGGATTCAGAGGAGATGGCTTCAAATGTACTGGTGAGAAGTTTTTTTTATATATCCTTTCGTCGTTTTGAAATACAATAAAAGCCCTATATATTTCGTAGCTGAGGATAACTTTAATTGCTTTTATTTTTTGGTCTTTATCATTTCATTTTGTTCATATTCTGCTCTGGAAGCCATCAAGGATCCATGCGTTCCAAACCCATGTCGAAATAACGGGACATGTAGCAAGGGACCTGATGAAAGCTTCGACTGCACCTGTCCAGAGGGATTTTTCCCCCCTCTTTGCACAAGTAAGTGACATATCTTTCCAAATTCGTAGAAATAACAACGGCAGGCTTGAGATAAGTGTTATAAAAACTATCACAGGTCTCCTTTTTGGAAAATAGAAAGTCAAAACTTAAAATTGTTGTCCGAAGTCAAATCCTAAGAGTGAGTAACACTAGCTATTTTCTTTTCAATTAGTGAAGCTTGGTCGACGGCTCCATCTAAAAGCTTTAAATGCGCAGTGAATCCTACATGTAAAATAAATAAAAGTACCATCTATCCTAAAATCAAAGATCAGAGATTCTGTCCGAGAAAAGAAATGATTTCACTGACATCTTGTATGGGTAGATTCTTTTGGTCAGTCAAAGTTGTTGCGAAATATAGTGATTATGATTATATGATCATTATTATATTTATCATTACTATTATCGTCATTGTCATTATTATTACCGTTATTGTGATTGATTTATCAATATTACTATCATAATCACTATATTCATTATTGTTTTAGCTATTATTATTATTATTATTATTATTATTATCATCGTAAGTAATAAGTTATCGTGGCAGTATTACCTTCAAACTCCATCCGTTCGTCCTCATCCATTTCTTCAAGCCACTCTGTCGAAAAAAAGGCAATAAATAGATAAATCACGCGTTGTAAGTCGATTTCCATAAAAATTAAACCAACGAAATCAAGGAAAGGGTCGAAGAATTAAATTACTCGATTCTAGGTTTTCTTCATAACCAACCATTTTCATAATGGACTTTTTAAGGTTTAAGATAGAAATATTTTACCATTGGTTTCCTCCAAAACTTTTTCCATGTTTTCATCCTCGGATAGAGAGCCAATTTCGGATAGAGAGCCAATTTCTGATAGCAAATGTAGAAAAAAGGAAAAACGCGATCAGAGATGAAATAAGAAAGTACATACCGTAAAGTTAAAGAAAAACTTAAAGGGCAATGAAAGAGGGCAGGTGGGGAATTGGAAAGATATGAAAAGACGAATGAACCAGGAACAAAAGGATATGGGGAATCTCAACCTGTTTGATGAGAATGCAAATAAAGGCAAAAATGATTAGAGATGAATTTCTTTAAGTTCTTGTCACTAAATTGGGAAATTCTCAACTCGCAAAATGATGTCTATCATATGAATATAGATACTTATGTTGATTATCATATTAATTATACATCATTTTGTCCTATTTTTTTAGTTAACCTAGAACTCCATTTCCACTTTTTCCAGATTTCATAGGAAGTGATGTTTGTCTGTAGCCGGTTTTCAGTTCCTTTACAAACACAACCAAAGACTGAATCATCATGCCGAAAGTTAGAGCGAAACATGTGTCACGCAAATTTGTCACAAAATACCAAGTCTATTATCTGAACCTGTAATGAGACTGTAATCAAGTACCCCTAAAAAGATTAATTACAATTGAGAGTTAATTTTCTCAAAAAAGTCAAATTTTCTGAGACTCGATTCCTTCCTGAGGGAAGATGGGGTCCTCCAAAATTTTTGCTTTCAGTAAACTGCATGCATTTGGCATAAATGTTTAACGTTATGCCCCGGAGACTCGTCCTTTGTGTCAAATGTCAATATTTACGTCGGCGAGGCGCTCTATGAATTAGCCACATACTTGAGAAGTCATTCAGAAATGAGTTATTTAATTTGTCATTTATTTTCGTCGTAGTTAGAATTCAAGAACGTAAATTAATTCTAGTTCGGCTCGATTAAACCGGACTTCTATCTTAATTATTCATTAGTTTTCTTCCCATGAACATTTGACAAAGACGAATGAATTAGTCAGTTATATTGTCTCTTTTGGTTTCAATGTGTCGTTCAGTTTCAGTTTTTCCTCGAAACGGACACCTTTTCTTTCACGTAAGGGCCTTTAAACTAACAAGAGTAAAGCCAGTCTCTCTGCTTAACATCACAGGATGGGATTTGGCATTATGTCGCAGTGATCTGTACTGGTCATGCAGTCATGGTTTATAAAACCTCTTTATGCGTAACAGAATTAACCTAATCCTGCTTTTAGCGACAGCCGCTCCATCGCAGTGTACTTTCATAACGCAAAGTTCAAACGTGAATTAATGAATCTTCGAGACGTGACAAACAACGTTTCTGCCTAAAAAAAAAAGGTGCTGTCAACATACCTGAATATAAATCCTCGATTTCGTTGGCAATATTTTTTGCTCTTGCGACGCTAACGGAGTGAAGGAGTATCAAAATAACTGCAAAACTCACGAGGTGCATTTTAACGGACGATTCTAGCTGCAGCAACTAGCCAGCAGATCATTCAAATGTTTCCCAACTTCAAATTTCCAGTTTAAAAGCGCTAGTCTCTCACCAGGATGCCTTGATTCGTTATCGATGCTAAATAAATAAGCAGCTCATTAGACCATGGCAATATATAACCGTTTTTTTTCTCTCCTTTTGTTTACGTCGTATCCAATTTAAATTTGTTGATATGGCGGGCTGGAATTTTGCGCTACAGTCAGGAGACCGTTAACGGCCAGCACGCAACGGCGAAAAATCATCTTAGAAACAAAAATATGCTCAAATTCACTTTGTTTTTCATTGTTTATTCACCAAGACTCATTTTGTGAACACTTGAAAAGTATGTCAGATGTGAAAGTGTGTATAATTTGCAAAATCAATGAAGCGGATAAATATTTATGCTCAGTGTGAAAGGAAGGTATCAACCGTGACCTGAGCGTCGGTTGGGGACTCTCGAGGAGCCGTTGCAAGTCTGGAGAAGCTTTTTCAACACCAAAGTCAGTGCGGTGAATGGCTCAAGAAGAAGAAACCTTAATGCCTCCAGGATATAATTTATTTTAAATACCCCTCCTTAGTAAGTAACTAGTCCTTAAGTATTACTGGCATGCTCGCGACCCTTTCAAGTCAACGAAGAAGAGGATTTGTTTTGAAACACCTATAGTGGCGAGCATAAAACCGTTCGCAATGCGGTATATCTAATTTCATGTGCAAATCAAACGGGCTCTTGATTAAACATCCTTAATTGACAGTTGAGCAAACATTTTACTAGATATTCTAGATAGTTTTAAATTTACCAGTATTATTATATTTTTTATTCAATTTTAACTAAATAGTTAAAGGAATTGCTGATCCTATTCAATGCCCTCTCGTATAATCGTTTTTGGACCTGAGTACCGGCCTATTCCTATAATCAAGGGGAGTTATCCGCGTGTTTTTAATTGATCACGAACTAGTTACTAATCATTCGTCTACGTAATAGAAATCGAAAGCTTTTCATTGAAAATGCCACCGTTCAGAGTTTTTCCCATGGTCATTCAGCTCTGGCTGAGAAACGTAGCTGCGCAAAACATCTTTCCAATATTATACAGGCTTACCACGAAAATAAAGTAACTGTTAAATTACTTGCAGGCATTTTTACAGATGAGTCTTCATATTCGGCTTCAATGTAATTTAAAATTCATGTTTTGTTTAGTTGAAATAGGAGCTAAGTTGATTTGGAAGGGATTTAAGAGATTACCTACAAAACCTAGTAAAATGATACTTCGCAGAAATAAAACTTTTACTGATTTGATTCAAAAACCTGAAGTTACCAGGTGGCTAAGAACGATTTACGATGTACGTAACAAGTGTTTGAAAATAACTAAATTGGTTGATATGATCGAGGAAGGTCCCCTTCCCCCCACTTTAAAGCGAGAACATTTCTATGGAATAGAACAAGCTTTTTTTGAATAATTGAATATGATAACTGTTATTAACCTACTTAATTTTTCTATTGATGTATTTCAAATATCAGTTTTGTTTTTGTTTCTACAGCGGTAGATGTTTGTATCCCTAATCCTTGTAAGAATCAAGGGATTTGCACAAAGGATGGCGTCGATCAATACCATTGCATCTGCCCGGCGGGCTTTTTACCTCCTAATTGTGTAAACAGTAAGTTATAACAAACTAAACTGTTTTTGAGGGAGTTCTTCTGCTTCTTGACTCCTCGTTGGTTATCTGGAGGAACCAAAAGTTTTATCGTTGTGTCACGCTGTACTTTTAACCCTTTACACAATTACTACACACTTACATCAGTGTGCCTAGTCCATTCTGATCTCCATACACTTCATAGGATGCTGACAAAGACAACTTATCTAACAATTAAGAGCATTTTTGGTCATTAATCGATCTCTTTTTTCTCTTGGCCTTTAAGTCTTATTCGGGAGTGATATTGTGAGGAGAACTCAGATTGACAGTTGAATCCGACCATAAGTTATCACCGTTACTTACTGAGCAGCTGGGAAATAACTGCTCTCTGCTATGCTTGCTTCTTAGAGACTGTTGATCCTTGCGTCCCTAATCCATGTCTAAACAGGGCAACTTGTCAGGCGTCACAAGATAAAAAGAGATTTACCTGCAACTGCAGAGGAAGTTTTAAGCCTCCTCTTTGTGGTAAGTAGAGTAAAATGGTAATGATAATGATGATGATAATCATAATTACGACGATAATTAACGAGTCAAATTAAGGGCTCACATTAATTACATACTAATATACAATGAATCTATATATACAATGAAATGAATTTTCTTTATATATTATATATATATATATATATATATATATATATATATAACGCGATATATAAAATTCATTTCCTAAGGGCACAAACAATGCCATTAAGTCTGATTGAATTCTATAGACGTATCAAATTCTAGTAGAAACTGACTCTTTATCGCGAGACGAGTAATAAGAACAGCCGAAACAAAGAGAATATGTTGATATTCTCTTGTTACAACAGAATTGTTTTAACATCAAAACGGATTTTTATTAAGGAATCCGAAAGCATCTAAGTAATTACACTAAAATAATCATTCGTCTATGGCTCAGTGGATATTGTTAAATAATCCCCGATGCTATATATATATATATATATATATTCACACCTCTAATATTCAATTTATATACATATTTTTTTTTTTTGTTTTTTTTTTTTTTTGTTTTTTTTTTGTGCAGTTATCATTTAAACTTAACAAACGAATAAAGGAAAACTACTCCGTACAACTATAGAAACCTCATTCCACTAATTTTATTCCTCATCAACTGAACAGACACATATCTTAAAGAAATGGAGAACATCCTCGGTAATCATAATTTATTATTTAGTGATTACTGATTTTATCAATAATATATTTTTTTTGGCGCTCAGCATGTGACTGTCCAAAAGGAGATCCTTTGTGGGTTCCTCCCATTCTCGCTCAACAGTGCAAAGAAGATGGAGAGTGTTACTGCCCAAGTTACAACGGTAAAACGCACTCTAAGACAGAGAGAGGCTGCGTGGAGTCAAGTAAGCAAGACATTTTATCTAACCTACATTATAGTTTTCCAGATGCCTCCCCTCTAGTAGTTATTTGAAGGATTCCTTATGTTAAAATCACACGCAAATTTTGCTCTTTAGATGTAAATAGGTCCACGTCAGTTTCGATCCTACCAAGCTTAACTATGGCCAGAAGCACATACCTTATGCTCAACTTATGCTCAATGATCTTGCTTAGAACCGTTTGCAGCCAATAAAAATCACGAGAAACCCTCATATTTATATACTCCATTTATCTATTATATATATATTTTTTTAACAAAATTGTTGCTAATTTTATTTTGCCTTCGCCCACGAAGTTGCGAGGCCTCAGTCCTAATCTAAATTATTCAAAGTCTTCAGTTGTAGACCATTCTTTGTGCAAAATTAACTTATAGTACGGGAGCAGAGAAAAGTAATGTTTTTTCCCTATAGTCTATCAACCGTTTTCGACGGTAAACTGCTTCTCCACGTTCTGTCTCGGGTTCTACAAGTAAAAGATAATAAACACAATACAAGGAATTTGACTCACACGTATTTATTATTTTTTTTACCTTGATATCATTTGTTCCGCGAAGCTCAAAAACCTTCTCTATTCTCGGAACAGATTAAGTTCTCGGACAAATTTCCCAACATTACCATTGCTCGAGGCAATGTTTTATAACAAAACTAGTCGTTCATGTTGCTCAATCTCATAGGCCACTTTTTTTTATTTATCCAGGACAGGATCCCTGCGATAGTAATCCGTGTCAAAATGGTGGTGTGTGTTCTGCTAACCCTGACAATTTGTCCTTCACTTGTCAATGTCCTGAGCCATGCACGGGAGATCGCTGTCAAAATTGTAACAGTAAGTCTGTTTTTAGCCCATTAGTTAAAGTTAGAATTTGTTTTTGGCTGTTCCTTTCAATCGCCATTACGCGGTTTTCCATTCCGTCGATATTCAACTACTGTTATTTAATGTAAACAAACAAACAAACAAACAAAACACTCACAAACAAAAAAACAAAACAAAACAAAACAAAGAAACGAAGGCAACAGACTCAAGAATGCTCCCTAAATATTTAAATGCATTTTAGTCCGTGAATTACTAATCTTTTTGTGTTAATGTGTTTTCAGTTTGGTTTTGTTTTGGTACTTTGTTTTGTTTTGTTTGTTTGTTTTTTCTGTTTCGATTGCTTGTTTGGTTTAAAGAATGATTCCTTCCTTTTATGTTAACAAGTTGACGAGATTTGTACTCCTGGATATTGCAAGAACGGTGGAACCTGTATAGTTGTGGGAACGAAGCCTTTCTGCAAGTGTCCTCCAAGTTACCTTCCCCCTCTATGCCTGATGCACGTTAACACAACAGGTAAAGGTTTTCTAGATCTTTTACAACTGGTTTGTTTCATTTTATTTGTCTAATCATCTTTTTAAAAATGTTTCGCTCCAGAGTTTTCACGTCCTACTGCAGATTTTCTGTAAATCATCTACTCGCCTAATCTGCTTGATCTAGCAAGAGTAAAGCCAATGGGTCAAATACGGCTTTAAAAGGTTGCCCATTCGTTGCCCACCTTCTCCCCTCTTCCCCTCGCCTTAAACCTTAAATCGTTCAACAGAAAACCTCGCGTACTACTTATCTTTCCATTGTGAGACAGAAAAATAGATGTAACATTAGTCGTATGACTTAGTATATATTTGTTGTTTAATGTTTACTGTTTTATGAAACTGATCAGATAACCGAAGTCTTTGTCATCCCAACCCATGCCAAAATGGTGGAAAATGCAGGCAAGTGAGACCGAACAGCCTTGAATGTAGCTGCTCCAAGCAGTACCATGGAAGATACTGTGAGCGTAAGTAAGCAATAAATACTCTACGTTTATGAAGCCAAGAACACTTAAATTTACTGCACAAAGTTTATACTACTTAAATTTGTGCAAAAAAAAAAACCAAAAATGTCTCGATCCATTTAATAAAAACATGTTCAATGAACCTAGGTGCATGTGAAGGCTGTTATAGAGATAGGAGTTTTTACGAATTTTTGGATATGCAGTGCAATTGAAAAATTGACAAAAAATCGAGTTTTTTTAAATCTTTAGTCAAGCTGAAAAGTTCAATAACACTCGTGATTTAAATGGTATGGAACAGGATGTTCTAAATGGTTTGATTTGGCTTTTTTATACCCCTCCCCTTACCCAACACCAACCTATTTTTTTGGGTTGGGGCAGGAGTAGGTTTGTAATTACTCAGATACTGACATTGATGCTTTACTTTTTTCTTGCTTTAGGTGACAAATGCATGGATTGTGATGTCCATGCTATATGCTACAATGGCCGTTGTAAATGCAGACCGGGCTACAAAGGAAGCGGATTTCATGGAGATTGTAAACCAGGTAAAGTAATACCAAATTATTATTTTTAAATGATCCTTTTTGATGTGAAACCCGCACCATGAACATCTAGAGTATGAATGGAATGTTCATCGCGTTCTAACAAATTGGTCACAAGAGAATTCTCTCTAATGGGTACTTTGTTTACCTCCAACACAAAGCATTTCAGAAAATAATCTCTGGTGTTCAAGATTTCTAGAGTTTCATTGTAAAATAAGCTGTATTTTTAACCCTTAGTTATCAACCTGTAAGCATGTTATTTACAATTAGCTCCCTGTCGTTAAAGACACAACACAATCAAAATGCGCACATATATATGTATATCTCTAGATTCTTCCTACAAATGTTGCCTGAAGACTTTAATCAGTGCAATATCTACAAAAAATCCTACTGAGATTGAAGAAATAATGTGATAGAGTTTAACTCTGATCATATCAGAAATCATCTCAGAGCATTAATTTAACTTTGGAGCTGCCATAAGTGATGTCCGCGATACAATGAGCGAAAAAAATTTATAAGTAACTGTTAGTGGTCAAAATTAGCGTTAAGGTTCTTTATCCACTCATAAAAAAAGGCATTGTTGCATTTTAAGTTTATTTTATTGTTTTCAGTGTCTTTCTGTAACACCTGTCCGCTAAACGCCGTCTGTGTTGGCGGAGAATGCGCTTGTATCGCGGGATTTTACTTTATTGATAACACTTGTCAGAAAATAGGTGAGTCGATGTATGTTTTTTGTAATTATCTAAATTGATTTAGTCATTTTGTTATATATCTCTCGTTCATTTGCTTATTTATTCATTTTTTCATTTTCCTGCTCTAGTTGGAGACTAATTCAGTTTGGTACCGTATGCATGACTAAAGCAGTTGCTGAGGACAAGGACTTCGAAAGCACGCTCATTAGGTCGAGTCAGATCCGAATAGTTATCCAGCCCAACCCTTTCCTAAAATCCTAATTCTTATTCTGATTCTCACGGTTTGAAGGGTGTGACATCCTTCAAAAATTTTAGGATTAATGAATCGACTTCTTCCAACGTTAAGTAGAGATACGTGTAAATTAACGTTTTTGATGTTTCCAAAAACAGTTCCTTGCGTGCACTTTCGCACTTAGCACACGGCTTTATTGTCTTTATAAAGCAACATAGCTATTTACAATAAACTAAACATAAAGCTATCACTACTCAAGGTTACGTTACAATTTATAATTTACTTAGATACTTGAAATCAAGTAAATATTAATTTTATGCCACATGCTGCATACGAAGAAAAAAAAAAGATGCCGCCATGGAAGCCAAACCTGGTCCAAGTTATCGATAATGTGGCCTGTGTGTATGCCATTAGATTACCTACAAATGTTTTTTTTTCTCTCTCTTTTTCTGTTTTTTCTTTGTTTGTTTGTTTCAATGGATTTGCTTATTTTTTGAAATCATATATTACAGTTAAGTTTCGTCATCATAACTGCGTCATGTTAGTAATCTCTGAGGTTTCAAACATTCGATAGAATAATTTCCAAAACTGAATACGTTATGAAGCGTCTCTAACGCCCGCTATCTGCAATTGGAAAGAATGGGACAAAAAAATTGATTAGTATAAAAAGAAGTCAAGCCAGTTGAAAGGAACCAACTTCCTATTGGTTCAGAGAAATGGGGTAATGAATTTCGTATGCCCATCTAAACGAAATGAAATAGTAATGATAGGATTATTCTGTCAAGAGCCAGAATATTTTGCCAAGTAGGAAAACTAAAGTTTTCCCGAAGAAAAAAACACGAGTGCATAAACTCGAGCCATTAAACGATGAAGAAAAAACACTGTATACGATGCAACTCAAAGTAGCATGGAAATTCCAGTGGCATGAATATTGCCTTTACCTTGACAAATGAACCCTGGAATACAAATACAGACTCCCTGGGCACAGTGATGATGAACAGGACAGATGCCACATTCTTTTTCCTTATCTGCTTATGTAATACAAGACAATAAAATCAGTATTAGCCTGATAAGTTGTCAACAACTGTCGCATATTTAAAAGTATCATTGATATTAGATTCTTTACTAAACTCTATCTGAAATAAAGTATTTGAAACTGCGACTCGATCGTTACAGGTAAACTGACCTTTCTCGCAAACGTATCCAGTTCCAACGTATCCTTCTCTACATCGACAACGTCCATATACACATTCTGCCTCCTCGTGACAATTAGCGCACTTGTCAACTGAGCAAGAGTAATAATTTTCATGAACAATTGTCTTTGGGCATAGCCTTCAGACATAGGCAGCCTTAAAATTCACATCATTTTTTTCAGCAACCATCAATTGCCATATTTTGGAGAGTAAAAAAATTGAAGAACTCTCCTCCCTTTAAATCTCGGTTGCACATTTTTTCCTTGATCTGAGAGATCAATCGGGACCTATTCATATTTCAAAAAGTGGCGATTACCTCCACAATGTGGTCCTGTGTACTGTGGTGTGCAGATACAATCGTATCCATTTGGACGCTCTACACAAGTGCCTCCATGTAGGCAAGTGACATTTATACAACGCTTTTCTGTTGGTGTCACTGGGGCTGTAAATGCAAAAGAGACGCAGAATCTCTCACTGTAAGGTATTATTTTTATTTGCCCTACGTTAAATAGCATAAGGGGAGTGGAATGGACATTCTCTCCTAATCTATAATTGCCAAACAGGGCATCACGTTATTTGTGACTCAATTAATTCATTAGTGTATAATACCAATTTCATGGCTGAAATGCAGTTCAATCCGTACGTACATGTGTATTTATATATGGAGATATACTTAATCGACCACTTCCCCAATAGGGCTTTTTAGGGCCTAAACGAACGAGGGAATAAATGAGGAAATAAATGGATGAATGAATGTATACACAGTGTTTAAAAATCCCAAAAGACAGTGGGCAGACCAGTTGACTATATACATGCAAGGTGCAGCCAAGGTGTTAAACTCGGGGCAACTGGAAGAAAATCCAGCGAGCAGTTGTGTGGAGGACTGAAACCCGGGACCACTAGATCACAAGCCAACTGCCCTCGCCACTCAGCCACAATGTGCACACAAGGCAGTGTAGGCACGTAAGGAAAAAGGAATATTACAACAATTAGGTTTTTTTTTTAATCACCGCTGAGTTAAGGGTATTGATTGCAATCCTTAAAAACTCACGTCATCTAAATGTGAGCTACTTCAATTCATTTCGATGGCTAAACATTTACTCAGAGAAATATCTCTGTTGCGACTGGAAGTTGACTTTTTGTTTAGTTTTTATTTATTTTTTATTTTGTTTGCACGAATTGTGTCCCATTGCATTAGTGACTTTTATGTCAAGTGATTTACGCGACCTCGTGGTCGAAAAATGTAAAAATGAATGGTTCTATTCTGGAAAACAGTCGTTAATTTTGTGGTTGAAACGATTTATACGACAATCTCCCTGCATATTCTGGTTGGATTAACAACTGAAAGCTTAACTATTTAATGACTAACATACCTGAACAGTCAGGACCTTGGTAACCAGGGGGACAAGTACATTGGTATTGTTTTGTTGCAATGTCAACACAGGTAGCACCATTCTTACACGGTTTCTCACATATACAGGAAGTGCCTGGAGGAAAAGATTGAGTATACGTCTGAGTGGATAATGTAGGGTCACTCTATTGACGCAGCTTCGAAGTGATTTCAATGAGACGTTATTATTTATCAAGAAAGATATGAAATATGACTTGAAACCCTCTTTGCTAGCCGTATATATCTCATTGGTATAAAATAATCGCGTTAACCTAGGCCAAGTAACTATTTGTCGTAGCCTGCTAAAAACATGAAGATCATTGCTGGTGGTAACAGTAGGACTTACATTCACAGAAAGTTCCGTAATATGGAGGAGGGCATTCACATATGAATCCATTTAAAATATTCACGCATGTTCCTCCGTTCCTGCATGGGTCACTAAAGCAAAGGCTTTGGCCTGAATTTCAAGAACAAAAGCTTTCAGTAAGTCTTGTTTCTTGTTTGTTTTTAATCTTTATGCATACATGTATATATTTGTATTTACGATATTTAGAGAAGCTGGCCCAGTTCGGCTCCAAGCTAGTTTAAATGGTGACCCACATAAAAATTGATAAGGCCAGAATAGTGAGTGAATATCCACCAATTCCATCTACACTTCGGTGAATCATTATTTCAGTGTATAACACACAGAAACCCAAAAAAGTCAGTTTATTTCAGTCAGTATAGCGAAAAAATGGTTGAGAATGAAATTACGCGCGATTTTGTTTCTTCAGATGCTTGGAGGTAAATATTAATTGATAAACTTGCAATTACATTTAGGATTTACTACGTAGATACCATACTAACAAAATTTTTCTTTCTCATTCTTGCTACTCATCACATACTCGTTTACTTACTATTCAAAATATTGACTGCGCAATCATAATTGCAGCTCTTCGCCTATCAATTTACAATCACTCACGTTCTTAACAAAGCCTACAACTTTTGCAGGGCTCTGCCGAGGAATCTCGCAGAATGTATGATGTTATGCACATCAAAGCTTTACTTTACCAAGTAACCCAAAGTAACGATTGCGCAGACATGATTTTGTTTGCTAAATTTAAAGGATTAAAACTTAACATTCTTGTAACCTACGGTCAAGAACGCAGCCGCCGTCCGTAAATGTGACTTTAGGAACACCAGAAACAAGTGGACAAAAACATTCCCCAATTGCGTCGCATTCAGAGTCAATTACTTCTTTCCCATCTGGTCGTGGTTTGGCCTTAGGGCAGTCGCAATCTGTAAGAAAGAACATTTATTAAACAATCAAACACAGACTGCTGTCTATATGTCATTTCTTAATTTTTTTTTTTTTTTAGTTTTGTTTCGTATAATTGACTTGGTAAAATAGAGAATCCTTAGGCAATCGATGATGAAAATCATCTCAATGTAGAGTTGAGCCAATATAGAATCAGGAAGTACAGTCATGGAATTTTCTAATACGAACCCACTTGAAATCGGATAATAAGAAGTTGTTGTATAGCAAGGTAGCCCTGAGGTAAATCCGAGCGTTCTGATTGGTTCATACTTTGTTTGGATTTTGCCATACGGACCGTTTCCACGAAAACGGTCATAAGCCCTGTATTTATGTCCTCGAAAGCCGGTAAATTCAAAATAAACAGGTTTGGTCTGGGTGCCTTATAATAAACTACTAACCTCACTTGTGCGAGCCGTACAGGCGAGTGTTAGCCCTCGTCCGTTTTTGTACGGACCTCGCTGCGCTCGGTCCGTACTGCCACGCGTTCAGGCCAATATTCCCCAGTATGGCCCTAGCACTTGGTCAGTAGGAAGGTATTATTTGCAATTCCTAGGCGTGTTGCACGTACTCCGTAGCTTAAGGTGCTCTAATAAATTTTATGATATGCAGTATGCGCCGAAGTGGTCATGAAAAGGAAAGGTCTGCGTTATTTCTGGTATTACGGTGTTAATGTGCTTGATCATTTCTTTACGTGTGTGGTTGAAGAAATAATGACAAAACCTTACTCACTAGCGCAATCCTTTCCAGAGAATTTACCGACGCAGTCGCAAATGTAGTCATCTTTCTCTGGCAAAGACCTACACGTACCACCATTTTTGCAAGGATTTGGAATACATCGATTAACAGCGGTCTCTGAAAAGAAGCAAGCTAACGTTATACCGAGCTTTGTTAAATCAACAGGAGAAGCCAGCTTAAGAGATATATCTATTAATTCACTGACTTATATATAATATCCCAAAATGGAACGCTCGTTGATTTCCAAAAATAAGCCACAACATAAGCAACTAAAACTTTTAGTCACAATTTTCAATAAGCACCCATAATTACGAGAAGAAAATGAATTGATTCTATGGATTTAAGCTCCACAAATGTGCACACGAGCATTCATACTCTTCTAGGTGGGGTGCTTGGAGTAAATGACTTTGCGAATAGATAGACGAGAGGTACACTTTAGTTTATAGCATAAATTTCCCGAGTCATTGAATATCATTTCTACTTACCATTACAGTCAGGTTGAAGGTAAGGCGGTTTGCAAATACAGATACGTTCCTCACCCTTTGGGATACATTCTCCTCCATTAAAGCATGGCCGTAACAAACATGGTTCACAAATATCTGTTGAAAAGTAAATTTCTTTTTAAACCCAATGCCTTCCCTGGATCAATATCAGTATCTGGGCAACTGCCCACCTACCCCTCCCTAACCCAACAACAGTCAATTGATGACAAGTTAGGGTTAATGTTGGGTTAGGGGAGGGGTAGGTGGGCAGTTTCCCAGATACTGATATTGATTCCCTTTCCACTAGAATATAATAATTTGCGCCTATCCTATTCATATTGAGTAGTTAAGCAATAGAACATTTCCAAAATGATGGATGAAGGTAAAAGAAGTCCAGTATTTAATTGCACAGGAAAAGTAAGCGAACACCAAACAAAGGATCCTTTATATACCAATAAAAAGGTTCTTCATAACTCTCTTATTTTATTTCGTCGATTTCAATTATATTTTTCTCTTTATAAAATTCAGTTGACGGAATTTTGATTGCCAAGTAAACGTGCTATAACCTAGCCATATATAATAACCGAGATCAGCGAAGCAGCATCCTATCTTAATATTTTTTATTAAAATGACTTCTTGAAATGTCGCGAAACGACTTTTTCACGAAACGAATGTAAACTGCCTCAAAGAGGTGCCAACAATTCTAGGAGCCATGATTAATTTGCCACTTCTCGAGTTTAGACTTGACTTGAATACTTCTTGTCTTATTTCTCTCTTCAAGAAAAATTAAGATACCTTTGCAATGAAGACCACAATATCCTGGGACACATTCACAGTCGTAACTGCCATCCTGCCGTTCAGAGCACGTTCCCTGATTAAGGCAGGGATTGGGATGACACCTATTTGTTGGCTCTGCAAGAAATTTAACATAGTTATCGTTATCTAGCAAATCATTTACTCGAATCTACAATTTTATTTGTGACTTTGTGACTGGAAAGTTCCACAGTGGTATGAACAGCGGTTTCTGGGCAATATTTGAAGGATAGTACACGTAATTAAAATAAACGCATTCTGATTCCATTTTATGAAATGGAAGGAACTTACAGGGTCATCTCAGCTATTTTTTTCGCCTCCTCCTTTTTTTCCATTTCAAAATGTTTTCGTGTTTGCCTTAGCTTGAGGTATTTTCCAATGTAGAATAAAGCGCACGAAATATGTAGTATGCACTGCCATGAGAGAAATAAGCTGTCCCAGGCCCTCACGACTGCCGAACCAAATACACCTTGTCTGTTTACTATATGCGAAGATAGCTTTTTCCATGTCGCACTTACTTTTACAATAATTTCCGTTTCCAACGTAGCCACGCTTGCAAACACAATGATGGTCAATACATTCAGCCAAACGATGACACAACGAACAAACATCAGCTGAAACGATAATTTGAGTGATTTTAGAACAAAAAAAATTATCAATTATTTTCAAGTCGCTCACAAAATGTTTTTTCTTTTATAGACATGATTTATTGGATTCATCTCTATCTCTATCTTTTTTTAATTGAAAGAGAATTCTCACTCTTTTTTTAATGGGACCATGGCGACTTCGAAACTGATATTTAGTCAAAATGCTCTTGTTGCAACTCGTTAAAAGACTGAAAGAAAAAACAAATGGATAAAAGCAAAGGATAAAAAAAATTGCAATGGAATTTTTTTTGTTTTTTGCAATTTCTCAACTGCAATCACCACGAAATTTTCAGAAATATAACAAAAGGGTATTCTCTAACCAACAAGAATCTCATTATCAAAGGTTTCGAGTTGGCAACGCTCTAGAACGGGTCAACATGATTATTACAAGTACCGCAGTGAATGAATTAACTTTCTGTGGACTTACTTTCGCACCTGGATCCCTTAAAACCAGGAGGACACTGGCAATGGAAGTGCAAGTGTGTCCAAGGGAGCGCTAGGTCATAAACAGGTTGCTCCTCGTTTTCCTCTTTGGAAGTGAAGGCATCCATGCAAGTCCCACCGTTTAGGCAAGGTTGACGAATGCACGGATGAGGAACTTAAGATAACAGGCGATAAATAGAGCACTTCATTAAAATATTGTTAGACGAATAACCTGAAAATGCTTTGATACATAGTGACAACAGACCGTGATGACAGGCGTTAAACAGAGCACTTCACTCAAATGTTGTTAACGAATAACCTAAAATGCTTTAATACACAGTGCTATCTTTTTCTTTTTATCTATACTTACTATGACAAATATGCCCTCGATACCATTCCGGACATGTGCAGCGATAATTCCATCTCTTGTTCCTGGACCCCGATGGATGGTCTACTACTTTGCAAGTGCCTTTGTGCAGGCATGGATTTGGTCGACACACGTGATCTTAGTAAAAAAAGGATGTGTATAAAATTAGCATGTTTTTTCCTTTGAGATATAAGGTATAGTATATGATCACTGTAACAGAAAAAAATTCTTACCAATGCAGTATTTTCCTACGTATCCATTTGGACAAAGACAAGGGGCCAAAGGATTTTCTACGCATATCCCTCCATTATGACAAGGATTCATGAAGCAGATATATCTCTCTGAGAAACAAATAATACAAGATCGATACTGATGAATTTCTAAGGCAGGAAAGCAGCAGAGAACCAAGTGATAAAGTTGTTGACTGCAAGCCAAGGTAGACAAATCAAAAGTGTATAATTAAAACACATCGAAGTGTTTTACAGTGGGTAAAAATGGTATTTGACCGCTTTACGGCTTGCACAGATCGAACTGGACATGCACAGCGACCATGCGGCCGTGAACTCCAATGCCGTCGGTACAATAGGCATACAAACGCCTAAAATCCTTTGGAAATTTTATTAACCTCGTTTATATTAAACGAACTGACCGTTCTGGTTGATGAGATTGCTTCAAAGAATATCTAAAATAAACTAAAAACATGTTTCTTGAGCTGTCCATGTCTGGTAGTTTGCTTCAATTTAGGTTTAATCTTTATCCCGTAATGAATAAGCTAGAAAACGCCATTCTGCAATATTTAGCTATCACTGAGCTACAGTTGCGCGTTCATAGCGCTCACTTACCATGACAGTAAGTTCCATGATATTGCGGTTGACACAGACAGCGTGGGGAACCATTTATGGTTTCACAGCTTCCGCCATGTTGGCAAGGGTTAGGCCAACAAGCATCAGTATCTATTCCGATAAAACATTGTCTAAATTTGAGAATTTATCATGTTCATTCAGCTTTCATGGACTTAAAACTAAGCTTTTCTTCAACGGTTTACTTTTCAAAAAGAAGCTTCCCTGAGAATGTTTGATTTCAGCCAAACATAATTTTGTTTGACTCATCCAGACTTAATTGGCGTACAGCTAAAATGGTGTGCGACCTCGTTTGTATTTAGTACAATGCTTTGCACATTAAACGGAAGGAACCGATTGAAATCTTTATAATTGGAATATCTTGCACCCAATCCATCATCAATGCGTGCTAACACAATGTGTGGTGACCAACGAATTCAAACATGCTTCTAGTTTGTCCAGACGTGTATCTTCAACTAAATTTCAAATGAAACCCCCACAAAAATCTACCGTGAATGGTCAAGGTTTTTCCTCTTACCTTTACAGTTATCCCCCTTGTAACCGTCTTGACACACGCATTTATAGCCTTGAAGAGTCTCAACGCATGTACCTCCATGTTCACAAGGGTTAGGGGAGCAAAAGGCTCTGTCTGAAACAATTGCCATATTGTGAGGAATCATCAAAACCTCATTTGGGTTGAAAACAAAACGCAAGAATTTGTATATAATACATTAAACATTGCCATTATTCTCATTAATTAATTGATTTTTTACCTTCACAGTCATTGCCAGTGAAACCAGCGAGGCATGTGCATTTATAACCATTGCTAATCTCTAGGCACTTTCCTCCATTCTTGCATGGTTCAGAAAAACAGTACTGTTGTACTTAAGAAAATGAATAAAATCAGAATCAAGACATTATTAAATAACAAAAAGTTACAACTTGAAACAATGTTGTTCTAGGTCAGAGTGTTAATCAGCCATTAAACGCAATGTCAAGTAATATGGTCAATAATATTTTCTTAAGATTCACACCTACGAGAGAACTCAAACAGCTAACACGGTACTTGAACTAAGTATTTGCCTGTTTGACTTAGTGTGTCTGTTGGTGAGTTAACGATACGAAAGTTACTGACTCTCTCCTTGACTGCACGAAAGTGTCAACGATTCACAGTTCTAATTTCACTACGTCATGTCCAACTTGTTAGCATTGATTATCTCTAAACATGCCGTCCTTCTTTTTAGGGAAAACCTACTTTCACAAGTGGATCCAACGTACTGAGGTGGGCAAATACAGCGATAATTTCCTGATTCTTCTCCCGAAAGTACTCCGCCATTTTTGCAAGGATTTTCTGAAAAGATAACAAGCTATACATGATCGCGTTTAAAGAATTTTGGAATGGTTAGGTGCATTTGAAACTTTGCAAGACAAAAAGGTTGAATAAATATCCACGAGATTTATTCTAGGAACCAGTTGCTTAACAAAACAATGGGATATTGAATGAAAGAGATTGCACTTACTCGATCAAAAAGCATACAAAGTACATGTTTGAAAAACGAGAGCCTGATTCAATCTCATCTGACTCTGAACCGGTTTTGTGCGCGATGTATGAAGACAGTACATTTTAAGTTTGCGCTTCGTTCAAAGCACAAACTAAGGGTCTCAACACAAATTTCAATCCTAAAGTAAGTGGTCCTATTGAGTCCTTTTGTTCTTCTTTAATTTTCCGTCTTTTATCTAAATATTGAATTGTTTTCATGTTCTACACAAAGAGGCGTCAAGTTATTTCTTTGTCTATGAACATTAACCCAAAGTGTTTTGAAATTGGTTTCAAAAATCTAATATGAGAAAACAAACTCACTGTCATGAATGTGCACATGTAAAATGTGTTCAGCAGTTTCCTTCTTGACTGGAACAGCAACCGGGTAATCTTTGATATGCTCGATGTGAATTGGTAACGGAGCTTCGGAGAAGTGTGGTCCTTCGTAACTAGAAACTAGAGGGTTGAGAAGATTCTTTCGTGTTCCTTTCACCGTTACACCTGTTTCCTTAGACTTCTTGGACAGGTTCGGAGACCTCGAGGATTTAAATCTTCTTGGAGTACTGTTTCTAACTTTGTCTGTGCTATGCTTGCGAGATACTTTCTCAGCTGTAAATTTTCCGTAGCTTAAAGAGGGTAAACAAATGAGACAAAGCACAGCCAACTGTTGGGCCAAACAACGCATTTTGACTCCCTTTTGAAGATTGCCAAATTGAAAGTCCACTCTTTTCGTGAAGTTATTAGTTGAAAGTCATCTGGTTCATGATTTATTGATGCTAATTCCTTGCTTCAGAACCTCCTTTCATGAAGACAGCAATCGAGTGACCTGTTTTATAAACAATGCGAAACAAGACAAGAAAACCTTTTTTGGGACAGTCACCAGTTTAATTTCCCAAACGGCTGGTTATAAGTGTTCCTTTTTTTCCGGGTCAAGTTAGCTTTTTCTTCCAAGATAAGAAGTTCCACAAATACCCTTCTTGTCCCGTTGAATCCTTAGAGAAAATATTGAAGAAAGATTCATTTAAATTCCTTCCAATTTGATGCACTCTCTCGAGGGGGGTAACATTTGTTGTTTCTTGGTAGAATAGATAGTTTAGACTTATCTCCTTTCCTCTGCTCGACAGCATTTTGATATTCTTTAGCAGGATAATTGTTTCATTTATATACCGAGAACGGTGAGATAAATTTTAAAGAATAATTTCAGAAGGTTATCTTGATAATCTCAAGTTGATTAAGTGGAAAGAGAAAGATACTTTTAAGATACATAGGAGACGCTGCCTTTCTAAATCATTTTTAATATGATCCTTTGTTTAAAAAAAATATTTTTTCGATTTTGCCATTTATTCTTTCAGTCTAATAGTTTTCTTAAGTCGTAGCCCAAGGGTTAAAAGGCTTATAAACTGAAGGAATATCATAGTCTATTCGAATTTGTAAGAAAACAGTTTTCGCAACAGAGGAATGAAAAAGAGAGATGTTCAGTAAGAAAAAAAGGCAATTGCATAATTACAACGTATGCACTGGTCTCTCTCTCGTGATCTGACCCGCTGATAAGCGACACTAGACTAGTAAGCCTCTTTACTGATATATCGCCCGCATTTCAAAATGACGTTGCAGACCGGATTTTGTTTGTTTATAACAGTTCTTGTTGAATGAGGACAGGTGGCGTGCTTTTGCTGTCGGGCTAGGCGTTATAACGCACCTTTTGGTTAAAATGACCCTGTTAGTGCTTTTATCAACCGCCCAATGACCATCCGTTTTGCATTTTTAGTGAGCACGGACCTGTTGCAGACTGACATTATTTCTTTTCTGTTCGTTTGGTTACCGTTGCGTGTTTTAACAATACCACTAAGTTTCGAATTTACCGTAAGTTACTAACATTCAAACGCGGCCTCCATATTTGAAGTTAACATATATTTGAGGCCATGTATTTTTATTGAAATCCACGCCGACGATTCGACAGAAGAAAGGATTCAAAGCCGAATTACAGTATCAACAATCCCACGCAATATAATCTCAAAGATGTCAACAAATAGTTCTTTATTAAAGAAGACTTTATAATTTAGATGACACTCTTTGCTTGTTTGTTTCTTTTTTTCATTTACACTATTTACTAATTTCGAATTATATCTGACCAAGCTTTTTATCTATATTGTTGTGTGAATAATGAATTGTGCTATCAAAATAAATCTTTCGGTTAATTCCTTCTTATTTTCTATCACATCAGCTCGGAATTTACTTGATGAAATTTGTGTTGATTCTTCTTTCAGTCCTTTTTATCCTGAAAATCAATCACGTACAAAGGAAATAGTAAGAATATGAAATAGTAAAACGAAATTTTCAATCAAGAAAAATAGTTTCCTCGAATGCAACTATTCTTTTCAACATGTTAATAACCATACAGAGCCCTGTAATATGGTCTGTAATTCGACCTGTAATATGGTCTGTAATTCGACCTGTAATATGGTGGGTAACGATAGTTTACAGGATAGTCAGAATACTGAGGATAATCCATGGAAGGCGGCCCATAAGATGTCGGAGAGGGTGGAGCAGCAGCAGATGGACTGCTGATTGGAGGTGGTGGACCGGGTGCCGGTGGAAGAGCAGGTGCGACCGGCGGTGGAGCCGCGGAAGGCTGGGGAACAGGTGGTGGTGCAGATGGTACTGGTGGAGGAACGGGGGGAGGAGAGGATGGTTGTGGTGGTGGGACAGGGGGAGGTGGGGATGGCTGCGGGAGAGGAACGGGAGGAGGTGGCGATGGTTGCGGTGGAGGAACAGGGGGAGGTGGGGATGGTTGCGGTGGAGGAACAGGGGGTGGTGGCGATGGTTGCGGTGGAGGAATAGGGGGAGGTGGGGATGGTTGCGGTGGTAGTGGAACTGGAGTTGTGGCAGGCGGCTGTGGTGATGGTACCGGAACTGGCGCTGAGGATGGTTGTGTCGGGTTAATTGTACTAGGAATTGGAGGAGTAGGTTCGACTTCCTCTCCTTCTTCTTCCTCCTCCTCCTCCTCTTCCTCTTCATTTTCACCGTTGTGTATAGCGTAAACTGTCACACCTGTACGTCACAGTTAAAAACAAAACAAAACAGAACAAACAAACAAAAAAAAAAAATAGAGAGTAGATGTTGTGGCTACGTTTTTCATCGTCAGTGATAACACCCATGTGTTGTTAGTGTTTCAACATGTCAAGGAGCCCTGTTGGGATGTGTGTGTTATGTATACCTATTCATTTTATGTTTTTATGTCGCAGTCCGTGTAACCTTCCTCCAATCACCTCCACCACTGCTTAGTAAAAGGGATTACTGAGTTGTTGAGGGTTAAATGAGTTTAAGAAAGAGCAGAGCAGCCCCGAACAAACATTGATATCAGCCCCTCCTTTTTAACGGACATTAAGACGTAAAGCAAGCGGCCTTTGCAATATTCATATTATTAAATGTTAAGCATCTTAAACTTACAATTAGCAGATTGAGACAGTCGTGCAGAATATTTAGTATTTCATTTTCCCATCAGTTTTACTTCGTTTGTATGGTGCATAGTACATTGTAGGGAGACCATACTGATGAGAAGACACTGGAGGGGCTGGAGGCGGCGGTATTGGTGATGGCACTGGTTGTATTGGAGGAGGTGGTGGGTGTGGAGGCAACGGAGCTGAAAGAACCTTTGGAATTACTCGAATTTGTGGAACTTAGTAAAATTTTCATTAAATCCAAAATGATACCGGTATGACGAATCTAGCAATCTAGTGAGCAAAGTAAAGGTCTTTCTTAGGTAATTTCTAAGCTTTTTCACGTTCAAATTTCAAGCCATCACAAATAAAATCTATATCCCAAGCACTTTTTACTTTGGAGATAGAAGAAATTAAGTAAATCCAAATGTTTACTTATTACTCTTTGATTAAGGAAGGTGAAAGTTTAGTCTGAAACCATATTTCTTACGTATGCAGGTGTTTCCTTGCATCTGATAGCCCGGTAGACATTGACAAGCTCCTTGTAAACACGTTGAATAGACTGGACATATTGTCGGGCAGCGCTTGTGACGAGCTATAAAGCAAATTAAAATCAATGGTTTATTTTTAGCCTACTATTCAATCTTAACTGCTTTATCAAATGAAGTCAGCGACGTCACTTGCACCTTTCAGACGGTTATATAAACCGGGGATATATTGGTAGAATTTCAACTCTTAGTCTGCAATGAGTTGAACCTAATCCCTATTTTCACCATAAAGTGTTCCTACACTGTACCATCTATACAGTATGCGGATTTAGTCTTGAGAAACAGGTAAGTTAATTGCAAAAATGGAAGGAAAACGTACTGTAGACTGTTTGGATGGTTAAAATAACTTAAACTGGCGAGTAAATACTGGATCGTGCAGGTTGTTAGCATTGAATTAAAATTTGACTTTTATCTTGCCTTTTACACATTGATACCCTGTTCCTATGTAACCAGGCATACACTTGCAACGGCCTCTGACGCACAAGGCGTGCACATCACACTTGGCGCACTTATCAACTGTAAAATGAAGGAGCACAAACATTATAAAGTGCTCAATTTACTATTTTTGATTTTGAAGATGGCATTTTGAGCTTAAAACTATCTTAACTGCTGACAGACACGAGATTCTCTCACAAGGATACCAGAGATTGTTCTAAGTTTATGTGGCAAAGAGCCACTCCTATATGAGTATATCAATTATTTCTGTATGTCATTCTTTGGCAAGTAAGCCCCGGAACTTCGTCCAGTTTCAAAAGGGTTAAACTGCCCCTCTTTTTAAATGTCCACAAATTAAGGTAAAATTAGCGTGTATAACAACTGGTGAAGCTTAGCACCTTCAGAAGACAAAAAAAAAGGAGACAAACAGTTTCGGTTTCGTACCTTCACAATGGGCCCCTGTATATTGCTCATCGCAGTGACAGTCATATCCTCCGACAACCTGAACACAACTACCGCTGTTTAAGCAGGGATTAGGGTGACAGTAGTCCTTGGGCTTGATAGCTGTTACAAAGTCGGTGAGACAAACGTGTGAGATGTACAAGAAAGAAAGCACTACTTTAAAGTCCATTTGATGGGTAAAAATATGACATCAGACCATAACACCTGTCGAGTTTTAAGAACGAGATTTTATTTAGCTGTTTGCTTCCCATAATACCTGTCAACAACCGGTTAGGTACTTCATGAAACACTCAGTACTTAAGGCTATCATTGGGTCGAAGCCTTTGGGTGTCAAAAATATCTTTGAATATTTTGCATTGTCGTCAACCTGTGACGAGTTTTTTAATTCAAAAGGGAGAGTGTTTCTGAAACCTAAAGAATGCTTGTCATCACCAGTTTAAAGTATACAAACAAATTGAACGTTTTTTAAGAGCCCACTCATTAATCTACTCTTTCGAAAACTGCCTTTAAATGTGCTAAAAATAGTCTGCGAAGGCTGCCATCTTAATTAATCCAACAGAATCCAACATGCTTGCAAGAACTTAGGCTTCGACAGGATTCAAAGCCGTGCCTTCCTGACTGCAATCGCGCCTGAGTCATTTCAAGCGCATCTTGCTTTAAATTTCTCACAGATTTTAAGCTGCAAATCGAAATTAAGTGGTGATATAGGTAAAAGGACAAGCAAACAAACAAAAAAACAGTACGTGGTGTTTTTTCACATCTTAGTCCCGTGTAGCCAGGCTGACAAATACAGGTTGGCGTATTCCCAACAGGTTTGCAGATTCCACCATTCAGACAATAACCGGGTGAGCAAATCGCTGTCGAAAAGAACATAAAAAACGAAAAAGATTGATCAGACTCATTTTAAGGAGCTCAAGTAAATCTCTTTAATGTACTTGTTCATTGAGATAGGCTCAATCCTTCTCGCAAGGGTAAAGTTAGTAGCTTTATATATGTCTGACTGATTCACATCTTGGTCATTTCCACAATTTCGTTTCCTTGCCGACTCATTTTTGTTTGGTTTTTTTTCCAATCCACCGTATGGTAGCCCAAAAGGCCGCTATTTGCTTAAACTTGAAATTGCTGCGTTATCCAAGAACATGTGTTCAAGGTTTTAATTTAGACAAAGGTCGTTTATACCCAGTTTTCTAATATGCATATCACATCGTGAAAGTTTAAGACATTTTGACTGGCGTCCAGGCTTTTCCAGCGCTCATGAAGTCAGTTCCCCTTTCTCTTTTCTTTCCTTCGTTGTTATTTCTTTTCGTGTGAGACGAGGTGATGGGAAACGAAACATTTTATGCACATACCTCGGGTGAAGATGAGACATTTACGTCGTTTGTTGTTATAACTGCTTTTAAAGTGGATAGTTATGGCATAATTTCTCACCCTTTTCACAATTGGTTCCTGTGTATCCCTCTGGACAGTGACATTTGTATGCTGTGTTACTATTGATATCCTCACAAGTTCCTCCATTCTGACAGGGGTTGGATAGGCAGGGATTATTTGTTCCTGTGCGAGTTGAATGAGTTGAGTATGATTTTCCACTTAAGTAAAAGAAAAATTACATTTGACAGCCATGATAAACAGAAAATGCTTCATTACTTACTTCCTTTAGCGCATCCGTCGTCTCTCAGATCCAACCCATCTTCACAGTAGCAATCACCTTCGGCGTCACATTTCTGTGCGAAAAGAGGAGGATTTGCCGAGGGGTTTCCTTTTGGACATCCACATTCTTAAAAGCAAACAAAAATCTTAGAATTCGTAGCATAAAAATGCAGTTTAGTATCGATGGTACTCGTGGAGACAATCAGCAAGTGATCATCACTTAAGATGATTTTGGAAAGAATTAGAAGCCTAGTCTCTGACCGCAGCAAAGTTTTCCTTTACAAAAATTACCTAAGACGTTGCATTTTTTTAGCGCATAGAATTGAGCAGTATCACATTCTCTCACCTTGACAAGTTGGTCCAGTAAACTTGCCTTTACACTTGCAAACCACCTTTCCGTTTTCACTTTGACAAGTTCCTCCGTTCTGACACGGATCACTTTGGCACCCATCAATAGCTAAAAATATGTATCACAGATTTTTATGAACCAGTGAAAAAATAACTTTAGTGAACGGATTTACCATTTGTCAGGTAAAACGAGAATTTATCGGAGCTTGTTTTGTCGTGACCACAAATGCATAAAAGCTGACCAGAAGCACAATATTAGACAACATATAAAGTAAGCAAGGATGCAGGTTAATACTGCTTGGCTCGATTGTTCAGCTATACTTTCAAAGGGCAAGAAGCGTTTCTTGAATCTTAAGAAAGATTTGTTTAGAGAGTTCCCAAAACCACCAAGTTTGCAATTTGACAGCTAGAGAAAACCACGAACCTTTCGAAAACTACAATAGCGATTAAATGCAACAATTCAGATGCTGAATTCATACCACATTACTGAGCACCTTTAATCAATTGTCACGTGAACATTATGAATTTTTACTAGATTCCGGAAGATGTCTTATTAAAATCATGCTTATCAGTATCTCAGTCTAAGGAAATGTATACATACTCCAGTTCCTATCATAGACCTTGATATACATTTTTGTGATCAGTTTTGTGCATACACCAGTTGAGAAATGATAGAAATTAGGTGACACTTTATGGTTAAATATATCGCTTTTTTGACATACGCAGGCGTCCCTAAAATATTCAAATGTCACCCACACAAATTGAATTTGGCATGACAAAAGGTTTACTTACGAAGTTCGCAGTTTGTACCAGTGTATCCATTCTCGCAAACGCATTTGAAGCCGCCTTCTTGAGTTTGAATACATTTGCCATTATTTTTGCAAGGATTGGGGGTACAGGCATCCTTTTCTAAGGTATGATAAAATCAAGACAAAATGGTTGCTTATTAATCAAAAAGGACACCCGTTACACAGAAGTGTGATATAATATATACATTTGACAGGGGAAAAAATTCGCATATACAGGTAAAAGGAAGTATACAGTTACCTTCGCAGTGCTTGCCACTTGTTCCTGGAGGACACTCGCAGTCATATTCTCCAGCACCAAGCTCTTTGCATTTAGCTTCATTTTTACAAGGATTTGGATGACAAGGATGCGGAATTTCTGAATGAACAGAAAGAGACAGAAGAAACAAAGGAAGAAAAACAGTTCTGTAAAGTCTTCACATTGCGCTCCTTAGCCTATTAGTAACTCTTCATTTTGGCGTTGCGGCACGTTCCTTCGCCTACGAAGTTCTTAAGAGTGCAGGCTATGCATTCGTCTTATGGTTGTTTTCGTTGGCGTTTGAGTGGAATTATTCCTCCAGTAAATAGTAATTTTGTTTAGAAAAATAACGTGCTATTCCTTTGATATCGCGGATATCGTAAATGCGAATCCGACATTTATTCATGAAAAATAATGGTAGTGTAATGATTATCCACGAGTATGGTCGCCTAAAAATTGATTTTGTATAAAAATGAGGATGCTGATTCCAATCCTTTTAAAACAATGATAAAAAAAGATGCAAATGACTATGGAGACTTACTTTTGCAGGTAAAGCCATCGCCATAATATCCTTCGACGCAAAGACAAGTCTGATTTATACATTTTGCGTTTATGTCGCAATGCTTACAGATGTCCACTGAAACAATTTGAAAAGTAGAGAAACACTTTAGATTCACCAAATTCAATTTCGATTTCCTTCGACTTAAGTTATCAAATTTTACACTTTGATAGACTAATTCGCTCAGTTATGATTTTTCACTACATATCAATCTGTTTGTGATGTGTTTTGTTTTGTTTTATTTGGTTTTGTTTTTTTTCATCTAACGGGGCATTCAACATTTTCGGAATTGATCAAATTTTCGGTGCACTCTGACGGGTGAGTGTAAGCGTTTCTAAGACAGCCATAGGCCTCTACTTTTTATGATTTCTAAGGGACGGTTATTGACCTTTGATAGATAAAAGCGTTACGGTACATTTCCCATACGCCTCTATATATAATTAACAATTTAAAACATTTTCTTGTGAATGTGTCTGTTTTTTCGGCCGGTGTAGATTCTTGGGTTCCTATGTCGTGTGACTGCCTCCTACCTTCACAGTTTGACCCAGTATAGCCCGAGCGACAAACACATAGGTAATGTAGGTGGCCATGATTCCAATTTTCAGGATACGTGTTGTAACCGCTATAAGAGTCGATGCAGATACCGTCATTTAAACACGGTCGAGTATAACATGGATGAGGAACTGAAAAAGTATTGAAAGAAGAACCGTTTCAAGAAGTGGGCAAAATTTTCATATCATCCGTGCGTTGCCAAAAACACTGTCTGCGACAAAATTCAATACCACACGCTATTTACGTCACTATTTTTAGGGAATTTTTAAGAATAAAGTATAGAAAGGACTGCATTTTGCTATAATACCCTTTCCCACTGCACAATCAGAGAATAAAGTGGGATATTGTACTGGGATGGAGGGGTAAAACTGATCTGGCGCGAAGAAAAAGTAGGTTATCTTCATATCTAGAATTGCTTAGCAACTGGAAACGTTTAAATACGAGAAAAAAAAAATATATATATATATATATCTACGTACTTTCACACTTATTTCCTTTAAACAGAGGAGGACAAAAACACTTGGAATGTCCAAAAGATACCCTGCAGTGACCACCATGCAAGCAAGGGTTGGGGTGACACACGTGACCTGTCAATCATGAAAAGGGAAATCATTCCATAACTATTGCATGATGAATGTTAGTATCAATCTCCTAGCATTCTATCCCAAACGCTGCAGTCTGATTTGCCACTTTACTAAGTATTCTATATCATGATAAACGATAATTAAAGTTGGTAGCCTAACGTTGTGTAGTTTAAAACAGTACAAGATAGAGACGTGAGCCTGTTTTGTTGTTATGTATGGAAGGACAAGTAGATCTGAATAATAGACTAATTCGGTTATTCGCTCCCGATTTCTGTACATGATAACTGATTCGGACTTCACTCTCGCCAGCCATCACGCCAGAAAAGTCTCCAGGCTATAAGCTAAGTCTTCCAGAAAAAAATAAACAAAAAGGAAGCCTTTTCTTTTCATTAAGCAAAAGCATAACCGTGGACATATTTCCTCGAGAGGCCAGGTTCAGATTCGGCTTATTGTTTGTTGTTATTATCTGTTTTATAGGGTGAAAACCTACTTTCACAGTTGCTTCCGGTGTATCCCAGTCTACAAGTGCAGTTATATCCAAACCCATCCTCGTGGCAGGTTCCGGCATTAAGACAAGGGTTGGTATAGCATTGCTTTGTTTCTATAAGGACAGAAAGACGTGGGGCATGAAAATGCTTCCTCTACGCCAAAAATCTGTAGAGTCGCTGTACCAAACATTTAAACAGTGAATCAAAGCAGTTGGTTTGATTAGAGAGGATCGATTACAATATTTTCATGGATGCAAAATGGTACATATATGCAAACATCTCGATGTCATATTCATACCCTAAAAATTTATGGTTGACCAAACAAACGTCATGATTATGAATTAATTTAATTACACCTGTGAGGCTATACAATCTAGTTTTAAGGTTTCAAGCCTATTTTACTTTAGAAGTCCAAAAATAAATTTTAATTCTTTTTTAAAGATCACTTAAAACCCGAAAAGGAATTTTGGCATAAGGTTTTTTGGATTTTAAATGCAGAAAATTTCAAACTTTTGCTTAGAATAATGAACTTTGCTATTATAAGCCTTACCTGTGCATAGAGTTCCTTTGAAAGATGGAGGACAAATACAGATGTAATTATCACCAGCAGTCTGCTGACAAGTTGCGCCATTTTTGCAAGGATTTGGGTCACACTTGTTTATGGCTGAGAAGAGAAGTCAATCAGAAAATTTATGCCCCAGGCCCACTCAAACAGATGTGCAATGTATAACCTCCATATCGCGAATTAGCTTGAAATTTATATTAGACAATTTTAAGTTAGTATGTCTGTTCTATCGACCGCTAATTAGCTACCTAGTTAGTTAGTCAGTCAGTCTGTCAATTAGTCTGTTAATCAATTAGCTGGTTAGCAACTTAGTAAGCTAGTCAGTCCAATGGCATCATTTAATCATTTATTTAGCATGTTAGTTAGTTAACTAGTCACAATCTACGTTTTAGTCTTGTGACTGTAAAAGGATTTAACCGAAAGTACACTATGAGCGAACCACAACAGTCATAGTTTCAAAGTGGTACTTACAGTCACAATGTATTCCTTTAAATCCTTCTTGACAGATACAGGAGAACTTTTCTTCAGAATCCGATCTAGTGCATACCCCCGAATTTTTACAAGGGTTTGGGTGACAAGGATTAGGCTCTGTAACATGAATCAAACGACAGGTAACCAGGGTGAAAAAAAAAATGGTTGATTGAGTCGTTTATCAAGTGACTCATCAAAACTTAAAAGCCGATGAGGAACTGAAACCAAGCTCTATCTCCAGCGCAATACTTTTAGTTGTACTTGAAGTTTCCCTTAAGAGCCTCCAATATATTTTTATATCGAGGTGTGATGTTAAGGTTGTGTTAAGAAACTGCCTTTCACATTACGATGGTAAAGAGCAAGATCGACTATTTCAACAAAGTTTAGCCATTATTTAAGAACACCGCGCTTGACCATCTTCAAACTTTTAGTCGCGTTTTTTTTCAAAACGTTACGTTGTCTTAATATAGCGAAGAATTCCTATGGCTAATAGTGAAAATAACTTCATGCACTGAAAAAAAAAACCCGTGGAGATATTTTGAGGTTTCAATGGTTATCTAGATGTTCGGCTTAAGTGATACTTCATTTCAGTATCAAGTTGAAGTGTTTTCATACCTTCACATACCACTCCGAGAAATCCATGAGGACAACTGCACTTAAATGCGCCAGAAATCTCAGTACATGTAGCTCCATTCTTACAAGGGCTTGAAGCGCAGTAATTTCTATCTAGAAGGAGACGGTTGGGAGAAAAACAGAAAAAAAAGACAGAAGATTTTTAGTTTCTCAAACTGGTGATACTGTATAAGGAAAAACAAATATTTACCTTAAACAGACGTAAAACATTTTACCTTCACAGTTCTTGCCCCGAAATTCTTTTTGACAAATACAAAAGTATTCATGAGGTAGCTTTACGAAAATCCCTCCATTTTGGCACGGATTTAGGTGGTCTGCAGAAATAAGAAAATTACAATATTAATTTTAAGAATTACATCGAAGGAATTTCTGTTTCCGTCCGGCGCAGTATGTTTGTTTTCCGCTTAATTTGCTGCTAAATGGAACATGGCAGACAGTAAAGGATTGCTTTTACTAGAATTATTCCACTTAGTTGCGATGTATTCACGTTCGTTATAACTAACTGAAATAATTGCATTTTAAGTTCTTGTTCTCTATTCACTCTTGAACTACCGCTGTGCTTTTCAACTAAAACTATAACAAAATGCGGGATTTGTTTCAGTAAATGATCTAGAAAGTCATCATTAAAACTTACACCTTGCGCTGTACGCCTAATTGAATGTGAAAACAGTAAATTTAATAGTTGAAACACCTTGAAACTGGTTGTAAGTTCAATAGTAAAGCAAAATGCGAAAAATAAATCACTCATCATTCGAGATATTATTTGAGCTCGAAGTCATCAAACACATTATTCAGTATTTATGGTACAAATTTGAAATTTCATCTTCAAGGAGGGATATCTGCCGGCCTGGACTAAATCATCTCTACTTAAAAGATGACGCCGAAACAGACGAATTTCGCGTGTAAAGGAACCTTCTCCGAACGAGCGAGTTTACCACCTGTTTACACCCAGTGAGAACTTTCACCTTCACCTCTTTTTCTTTACACGATGTTAAATAATCATTTTATACTTACATTTGGGGCGAAGATGAAGATGGGAGACGTGGACATGAGGCGCTACTGGGTATGGTACAGGATATGGCCTTGGGACGTACTGAACGGACACAACAGGGTACGGCTTTGGTACCAGGTGAATGTGATGATTTGCGAATGGCGGCGGTATTACATTCAAAGGGTGTGGGAAAAAATATCTCCGACTTCCACTCTCGTCTTTTACTTCCTTCGTTGATGTGGAATTTGCAATAATACTGTCTTCTTTAGCAGTAAAGCTGTCGTCATTTGTCCCTCCAACGTTGACTTTGTGGACTTTGCTTTCAACTTCATGGGCTTTAGTCTTCTTGAGGGTTACACTCTGCCGTTTACCAACAACAAGAAGGCTTGGATTGCAACAAAGGCAGAATAGTTGGTATACAGCTAGAAGTTTAAAGTAAAACATATTACATGTTATTTGTTCAGAGACGCAGAGACGGCATCAACGAAGACAAATCATTCCATTGTTAAAAAGACACTCTCCCGCTCGCCTAAACTAGTAAATTATTGATGGATCAACTGGTGCTCGGCTTCAGTGGTAGCGCTTGTAGACTTTCTTCAAATACGAACTTTAGGAAAATAATATCACATATCTTGATCTGATAACAAAGACTAATTATTCGAATTAATGGAAAAATTCTCTGAAAAGGGAGAGCTGATGAACATGTTCAAGGTAATGAAACTATCAGGATTAAACGAGGAACAAATAAAAAACTAAACTGGTTTTTTGTGATACTTCAATCAATGGATTAAACTCACTGGTGCTGCGGCCATCACCAGAAATTAGTAGAAAAGATGTTTCCTTCTTCAATTAGTCATGTTTGTGAGAATCTAAACCTTAGTTTGGCATTTAGGTTAGCATGTGACCAAAAAAGTGTTTACAGTGATTTAATATTTAGGTTCCGCCCAAAGACTCTTGCAAGGGAAAAATATCTCATTAAATCAATTTGAAAACCTCCTGTCATCCACGGTAGTAGTCAGATGAATGGAAACATGGCTAACTTTTGCAATCTTTAATTTTTACTCAATTGAATAAATTCATTACGAAAGAGTACGTTGCTACAAATCTAACAAATCCAAACATGTAATGCTCATCTTTGCCTCTGACTAAGTTGTGCAGTTTGCTCTTCCAAATTCGTGTAAAAGGCCGTTATAGCTGAATGCACTTACTGACATAACAGTTAAACATTAGAAAAGGTGAGATCTTATAATTTACCCTCGTTATTTGGAAGTCCCTTCGATATACACGGGGTAAGTGGATCTTGACGTGTGGGATAAGTGGGTCAACTTTTACAAAGAAAGTTAATACTAGTGAATAAATACGAGACATTTCTAGCCTATTCGTTGGCTAACTCATGATACTGATTCAAGTAGTTTTAAAGGAGTTGCATCGCTTGTTATTTACTGAAAATATCTTAAAAGACCTAATTTAAGGTACTAGTCAATGCCACCTGCCATAGCAATCAGGGGTGAAGATAAGATTAATTTATTGTTCATTATTTGCAACTGTGTTACTATTCACGGATGACAATGCGCTGTCAAACTCTATCGATTATTACCTCATTATGATTGTATTGTCTTTGAAATGTTTTAAAAGCAAGTTTTTAATTGAAATGAAAGAATTAAATTTAAATTCAAATTCTCCCGAAAACTAGCAAAATTCCGGTTCCTTCGCATATGATTTTAATCCAATGAAAACCTGAACCTCATTTCGATTAATTTTGTTTGCGAACTGAATACCATTCAGAACGTGACCGATGTTAAAACATCTGTGCATATATATGCAGGTGCCTTACGGTGTTTTATCCTCTTTGTTTGTCCAACACGACCAAAGCGTTTAGGAGGAATATTAGTGCTCGAGACTTTGCTGTTGTTGGTATAACTGACCAGAAAACGCTTTTAAATTTATTATTGCGTTCCATGAATCGACTTTGAAGACATAATAGGGCTGATGAATTTTGCTTTTTCTGCTCTCATTACTTACAACCGTGGCAGGTATCAAGTCCTTTACCAGCAATATTTATTGCTGCCGTATTTTGCTTGGTAAAGCATACTTTAGGCACAGCCAAGAAGAAAAGTAAGTAAGAACTTATTAGGAGAGAACTATGAGGCAAATATTGAAGCAAGTTTATGCAGATACGATTTTGAATCAACAAAACTCATATTTCAAATCGTATACTTTATTGTTTTACTTTAACAAGGATGTATTTCAGCGCGGCTATTTTGAGACCTCAATGATGGGATCTTGTTTTGAAGCCTTCAAATTGCCTTGGATCAATGTTTCTTTTATCATGATGGAGTTTCATCACTCGTTTTCTTTTTTTCTTTTTTTCGTTTTTTCCAAGATTTTTATTGATGGTAATGTCGCTGCAACCGTTTTCCTAACATTCGCAAGTTAGCCAATTAATTACTCGTCAATAACATCCAAAAGAAAAGGAACACGATCGCTATCTTGCACATGCTAACAACTATCTTTCCTTGTTACATATACAAAATACTTTTATAACACGATAAACAAATGGGCTATCCGAGTTTTGCAAACTATATTGATCTTTAAAAAGTTAATAAACAACTGATCAAAATTGATTTTCAAAGGTTGAATATCTGTGAAACATTGTCTCTCAGTCATGGTTCTCTCGATATCAACGATACTACAAATATACCGTCGTCAACGTCACATTACATTGTGTCTCCTTACATCACTAGATTTGTAACTACTTTCAGCAGCTTTAAAAGTCTTTACTACATCAAAACTACAGTCTTGATAGGTAGATGTCCCTAAAGGTAGGGGGGATCTTTTCCGTATCATCACTTCTGAAGTTAGCGCAATTATTTCTCGTCTTTACGTGTGTTTCTCTTTTAGATTCTTAACCAGTGATCTGTAAAGACAAGACAGGATATGACTCAGTGGGGAAACATCTTCAATAAGTCCAAGCTGTATCGTTTGATTGTTACGTCACTGACGTTTTTTGTCCACAGGTTCTTTTTCCTCTACCTTAGACTCCTGTGTAGACCATTCAAATGCAGAAGGTAAATCCATGAAAAATTCTCTAACTAACCAAATGAAAGTTGAAAGTCTTGAATTCTGGAAGAGATCTTAAACCTAAAAGTCTTACTTCCTCTAACAATCTCCTAGATAAAGTTTTTATTTCCAACTGTTGATTCGTAATTTGATGTTGTTTCCTCTTTCGAAGAGGCTTTCCTCTCTTTGTTTATTAATATTTAACCTCATGACATATCAATTCCATCTCCTATTTTCTTTCAATAATTCAAATGTTTCACATTTGTTTGTAAATCCAAAGAGGGCATGCATTGACGTTGTTATCCCACGTACAATCCTACTTTTTCCCAGCTGAAGGAGGCAGGCAGGTTCCTTGAACACACGTGCTCGGTAGAGGGCAGTTGTTGCACTGATTGACAGCTAAATCAAGAGTAGAGAAGGATAACAATTGTAACTAAAATTAGATGCAAAAATATTGATGAAATTTAAATCTGTGCAATGACCTAATGGAGTAGGCCGAAATATGTAATCTGTCGGTAGAAGATATATACACAACAGGGTCTGAGACCAGGTGAGGAGCATCAGGGTAGTATAATACATAGGTAATTAAGGCAGAGTATATCACGTGATGGTCATTGATCTGGGCTTATAAACCAACTGCGTTTTACTTCGCTAAGTTGGTGCACTTTAGATTGAGTATAGAAATTGTTGTTAATTTCAATAAACAGGAAACTATTCCCATTTATAGAAAAAAATTTGTCTTCTTGCATTGATAGTATCTCTTAGTCATTCGCTTAAGACCACTAATTTATTCTTACAAAATTTTTTTTTTAACTACAAGCACATTTTCTTTTGATTTTAGCACAGCCTTTATAGACCTAGTTTCCCCAAAATCACCGTCCTGAGGGCGAGCGACATGATGGACGCAAACCCCTTTGCCCGTCGACGCCTGAAGACGCCTTAAAAACTCAGAGTAAAATCGCTTTCATTATTTCTCGGTGTGTCACTAACCTCTACAATTATATCCATTCCCATGGTAGGGTTCAATGCAGACGCAAATGCCATTTTGGCATTGAGCGAATGGACTGCAGCCCTGACACTGAGTATCTTTTTCTGCAGCAAAAGAAGCAATAAACGTTGATGCAATATCTCAGGGAAAGAAAACAAACAAGGGAATATCAAATGGTGACGTTCTCTTTCAAAAAGCTATTTGTCTGGTAGCCTCAAATTGAGATAAAACCTAAAAATGCGTACTATGACGAGTCCTTTTCGCAAGTTCGAGAAAAGCACGATGAAGCAGCTCAAACACGATAAGTGCAGATTCTGTTGTACGAAATAAATCACAGCAGCAACTCATCGAGGGCCTGGGTCAGGAGTTTTCGCAATTAAGCTTGACCGAACTATACTAGCTTCTACTTTGTTCTTCCTTCATACATCGAAACGGCTTTCCGAACAGAATTCACCTCTGATTCTAAAAATGTACCTCGCTTTAATTTGTTCGTGGGTTATTTGTATTAGTGAGGTAGAAATGCCGCGTTGGTCATTAGATAACGATATATATTTTCTATATATTGGATAATGGAGACGAAAGCATATGACAAGTAAATAGGCATTCTTCTTACCTTTTTCGCATTGGTACCCATTGCCATAATATCCATGTTTGCATTTACAATGGCCATTAACGCAGATCGCGTCTACGTCACACTTTTCACATTCGTCAACTACAAATCAGTAACAAACAAAGAGACCATGTCAATGAATTAAAAACCCCTTGCCTTTACTAGAAAGACTAAAAGCTTCGAAGAATTTTCAATTTTCCGTACTCACGAAATTATGAGTAAGCACAGACGCATCATTTTGTTCTGAAAATTGTGTAAATGATTATGTAAAACTCCGCGACACCTTTTTGGTTATTTTAGACAACTGCTTTAGAGAAGTTTGTGGAGAAGGCTGTGACTATAATTTAATTTTTTTTTTTTAAGTCCGTTAATGACAAACGCATTCTCCCCACTTTTATGGTTACAGACATGAATGAAATGGTAGCTCTTTAAACAATTTATTATCTTAAACCTTGCGCTTCGACAAAGGAAGTCTCGCAGAGGTTTTGAGATTAAAAAATATCTATTAATGGTTCTTACTTTCACAATTAGGTCCGCTGTATTGAGTGACGCAGGCACAGTCATAACCACCTCCATTCTCCGTACACGTTCCTCCATTCATGCAAGGATTTGGGTGACAAGCAGACTTTATGCCGCCTGGTGTCCCAGGACCCCCAGGAACCACAGGATTACCACCTAAAGCAATTGTTCATTAGCTATCTCTTTAACGTCTTAACAACCAAGAGTAAGATCGATCAGGCCCGCTGGTGTGCACTCTATCCTTAAATCTACTGCTGAAATATTCTGATGACAAGATTTTTTGAAACTTAAAGAATGCTGTGTTTAAGCAAATCATAGACAGCTGCTAACGATATGCATAAATGAAATGTTATATTAAGAAGAATAAAAGAAAACAGGAAAAAATAAAAGGTAGATACTGATTATCGATGGTGACATGCCCCCATCGAATAGTTATGTTTGAGTATCAATCAATCTTTCTTAAAACAATGATTCTATAGGGAGACAATGTCTTCTTTAGCAATGTTCCTGAAAATTAATAATAGAAATTTACCTTTAGGCTTTTCGCAAAATTCTCCTTCAAACTCCTCAGGGCAAGTACAGACAGGTTTTCCGTCTACAGCTGTGCACTGTCCCCCATTTTGACATGGATTTGCATCACACGGGTTGTTCCTCAATCCTAACTCACAGTTTGTGCCTGAGAAGCCCTCTTGGCATAAACATTGATAAGAATTATCTTGGTCAACACACTGGCCGCCGTTTTGACAAGGATTCGGATCGCATGGATTGGAGCGTGAACCGGGTGCTGAAAGAAAACACCGCGTAAAAAAAAATAGTATGCAATAAAGCAGAAACTCGTCAGCTCAAGCTTGAGACAAAAAAAACAGTATAAGCAAGTTCAATGTTAAAATAAGATTCAAATCACGGGAATCTAGGATCGAGTAAATTGAAATAAACAACAATTATTATTCTAGAATTATACACCCTGACAATTTTCATCCTTTTTTATAGATGTCCAATTTGAAGGCAGCTATTATTTGTAATAACCAAAATCTCTGTCCTCTCTTGGAAATATCTCAGCCTCATTTATTTTTGTCGTTAGTTGCTTAGACCGCTTACGAACTATGCAATGTCAATCAGCATCGTTTCAAGTTGCAATTAGACTTCTAAATCATTCGATCAGTAGACTACCAAATTTCCACAATTATCTCTGTTATTGCTGAATTCTCGGTCATAAAATGTGTGACGTAAACTCACTACCGGTTATGAAAAGGTTTTTCATTGCATTAAATGTGTATTTGAGATATAAAATTGCGTCGATACTAGTTCTGTGGAAATAATTATTGGAAAATATCAAGTGAAAAGTTGAAGAATATTCTAAAGGATATTGCTATTAGGCTAAAGAAAAAGCGTGGTAGGGAACATGGCAATATCTTGTTACAGGCAAAGTGATAAATTATCAAGATCCAAACGATGTCCATGTCGTATGTGGAAGCTTCTTTATCTCAGCATTCATTAATTGTTGTTATATTCACTAGAAGCTCAATCAGGGGTTTAATTCCACATACGCGGCTACAAAAAAACTGAACGGTTGCGTCGAGTTAGCGTATCCGCAGCATACTTGCTTACGAGAAGAACGCAAACCCAATTGGATAGTTTGGTTATGACGTCATCTCTGCGTCTGTGTTCCAACAGATCATATGAAGGAATCAATTACTATGTATGTAAAATTCAGCTTCTTAGGTAAATGGCAAGTGGAAAGATAGGGAAGGTGTAGAATTGGAAGTGGAATGATAAGCCTTTTGCTGGTCCCTTTTAGAGCAGGCAAGGAGCGCTAGCACAAAGTGCACGTGCTATGACAAGGACTAGGAAAATCTTGTCGAGCGCGTGAGGTAGATACTGAAAAATTACAACTCCCACGTAAAGGAATGAGAACTGAATGATGTAGTGCTTCCTCTCATACTGTCATTTTGACAAAGAGCCAACTATCAAATGCAAATACAAGTTATTTTCATAGTAACTTACAAATAGAAGAGACGAGCAAAGGAAACATTCTTACCACGATATCTTAATATGATTTTTTTCTTTATATATCTAAGTAGTTGACCAGATATCCTCATGTCGTGTGCGTGTCCCTTTTTTTCCTAGATCAGGCCCGAACTTTAACTACCTTATCTGCTTAATTGAGAGTACCGGCCAAAAGGATACTATTTTCCTCTTCCAATATTACACCACAGTTATAATTGTAAGTGGAAGAAGTAATTTTGAAATAAGCGTTGCAAAACCACCGAAAATAACTTGCGCAGAGTTTTCGTTGGCTAATTTATTACTCTCATACCACTTCAAATATTAATCACCACAATGATAAGGAGATGCAAGCTATGTTTTTTTAAAATATTTCATAGTATCTATTTTTTGGAATCGTGTTCTATCCTATTTTGCATTCCATAACATGCGTCCATCAGATTGTCTCTAAGTGGTAATGTGGCGGCTGTGTCGTGCTCTCCGTCCAGTATTGTCCAGTCCTTTTCCTATTTACAAGTCGTGGTCACTTGACCGTACAGTTGTTGCTGTCATCAAGTTAACTCGGTTGCAAAGGCCATGGGAAATGATAGAACACAACATTCCCCCTAACGAACTCTCAAGGGTAGTCGGTGGAAGAAAATAGGAGGAAGATCTTCCTTAGCTAGTTTGAAGATCTTATGAACCAGGAGGACCGTAGCCACCTTGGCTACTTGAAGGGCTACTTGGTATCGGGCTAGAGGCAGGAGCACCAGGAGGGCTGCTTCCTGATATGCTTCCACTTCCTGGTGCTATTTTGGAAATAAACACGTTTTTAATGGTTCTTCATTGCTCTTGATATATTACGAGGTTAAGCATGAACTTTACTTTAAAAAACAAACAAATAAAACAAAACAAATCAGAAAAACACAAATGCAAAAGCAGCAAATATAGAACTTTTACCCTTGTGCTTTCAGCCTTTTTTACACTTAAACGATTTTCTATTGACCACGAACAGGAGACCTTTTTACATCATTTAGTGGGATTCATTTAATGTCTTTAGAAAAATTGATTTCATTTATGCTGATTTACTTTAAAAAAATTCCATTTTCTTTGAATTCAAAGCAAGACTAATATCAAAGTTGGTTTACTTACGGCCTCCTTTGGGTGTGCATGTTTGTCCATCACCAACCCATCCCTCCATGCAAACACAGTTGCCATTATCACAGCGAGCATGCGAGTCACATTTGGCACATTTGTCAACTGTAATGAGCAAAATTATTACATTATAGCGATTCGTGTCTTTACTCTGAAACTCAAAAGACACTGAATGGCAAAAATGTTTATGCAATTTTTTGTGTGGGGGTTCCACGGAAAAATGTAATCAGGAGCCAGAAAAATAAACCAACAGAAGTATCGGTAACTAGCGTGTGTCTGCTTTTTACTTTGGTGTGATTGGTCAGTACGCACTTTACAGTTTACTTTTCGCTTCCGATAAAAAAGTTTTTAAGGATTCCTGTGATTCATAACGAGGGGCAGTTATTTAGTTCACACTCGTTCATTTACAGGCGCGTTTGAGAATTAAACTCTCCAACAAGCTGACCATATAATCTACAAGTGAAAATCATGTGCTTAAGAAATAAGTAACAAAGACTTGTATGTGTCATGTTTTGAGCATGTATGTGCACTTACTATTGCAGAAATTCCCTTCGTATTGTGGAGTGCATTCACAAGTTGCCACCCCATTCATTTCTTTACATGTACCAGAGTTTTGGCATGGGTTCGGGGAGCAAGGATTTGCCTCTGTAAATATGATGATAATGAATTATGAACAATATGCAGACTTCAATTTATTCTGAAGATGAATAAAATTTTCAAGGAAAATCCCATGGAAGACGTGAGTAGAAAAAATACAACAAAATAAAACAGTTTTGATGTTTTTAGGCTGCATGAGAAATAATGTAGGTAATATTATACGACGCTAAATTGAAATGATTTCAACTCCATTGAGGAAAAATATCAAAATTGCAGTCGGAGAGCAATAAACTTGTCAACTCGAATCATTGGCTGTTCAAGGACAAAAATCTGCACCATTTTAGAAAAAGAAAGGTGAATGTAACAATCAAATGCTAAAAGAATTAAATCTAATGATTCATCGTTTATTTTCATGGGACAGCAGTAACAAGTTTAAGAAAATGAACGACACTTTTTGAAAACATGGAAGCGTGATCTAAGATGTTAAAACACTCATCAGAACAAAGAGTGCGACATTGAGGAGAATTATGAAGATGTCTCAAAATGTGAGAGGCTCTCACTGGAGATTTACTCAAGAATCATGTGATGATATTCACTTACTTTCGCAGTCATTTCCTTCAAAATTACTGAGGCAGCTGCACCTGTAACCATTTTCTTCAGGGATGCAGGTTCCACCGTTTTTGCAAGGATTTGGAACGCAGTATTGTCGAGCTAGAGTAAATACCGAAAAAACATTGTTTTATCACATAAGCTGCGGTGTTATACAGGGATTTCCGGCCTTGAGAGAGACCGTAACAGCACAAGTGAAAAATATCGTATTTTTTTTACGTGTGTTGATATAGCCAATCAGCTGCTGACACGTCACTCGCCTTTGGCGCCACTCGGTCAGGTTGATGAATGAACGGCAAAGCCTTCACAATTCTCAATACAAGTTGTTTGTCGGAGCTTTCTCGAATTATGGCGGCTAAAACACTAAAAATTCCGTATCGCTGACAGACAGTGAGGTTCAAACTTTCTTAGAAGGGGAAGAAAACCAATATACTAAAAGAAAAACCGAAAGTTACGTATTCAGTGGCTATGGTGTTAGCATTTCTGAAAAAATACTTTAAAAGTGCTTTATAGATAGTACTTTATAGCTTATAGAAGAAAATTGAATTCAGTGCAGAAGTATTGTTTTGTTATCCAAGAAAATTCCTACATTTCATTCCTCGCGGCGACAAGAGCACGTGTAGTTCGTTTTTAGTTTTGAATTGGCCTTGTACGTCAAACCCATTTCAGAAAACGATGACTGTAAAGTATGACGCTGATTTCTTCCACTTACTTTCACAGTGTGGTCCAGTCCATCCCAACGTGCATTCACAGTCATAAGATGAGTCAGTTGGAAGACAGGCTCCACCATTTTTACAAGGATTAGGATGACAAACATTTTCTATAAGCAAAGTGCATTATTTTTATACCCAATAATATAGATTTTAACACAAGTAACTACAAATTGCAAATTATTTATTTAAGGTAAGTACGAACAGTCTCTCCTCTGTGACTTTTTGCGTAAAATTGAATCATATAAGGATTCAACGGATCCTAATGGAAATTGCAAGCAACAGAGTTATCCTTTTACAACAGGCAAAAAATTCAAACACGCTTACTGTGAAAAGTAAACGTGTATAGATCTAATCTGCGATTTTAGAATTCAGTCCTGGAGTTTAAATAACGTAGAAAATCTGGATTCTACCTCGAGGATTCGAGCGATTTCGTGGTCGCCTTCTCCAACAACTGAACTACACAGCACTAGCTACTTATCCCAAATACAACCTATGTTCATTTATAGAAACCACAACTTCTAAGACAGAAACCGAGTTTTCTTCTCTGATACATACTCTTGCATGTTTTTCCGTCTCCATGATAACCCTCGCTGCAAACACAATGGCCCAAAATGCATTCTGCGTTTGGACTGCAATATCGACAACTATCATCTGCCAATGCAAAAGAAAATTATACCTGAAGATAATCAATTTTGTGAAGGAAAAAATGAATTGGTGTTTTATCAGTTTTTTAATTTATTTCTTATTTTTTGAAGCCAGTTTCCTCCTGAGGCTTATCAGTTTTAGCGCAACTTGATGGCTAGCTTGATAATAGGCTAAGTATGATGCCAAAAATTTTGATATTGTCTGGCACATACGAGAACCTTCCAACATCTCCAAAAGACATGCAACGACGAATCAATATCGTTTTGTTTTATCCGTACTGCGCCACTGCAACCGTCGATGCTGTTCTTTAGTGGGCCTGGAAAGTTCCACATGGTATTCACCGCAAAGCAAAAAAAGTAGCTCTAAACTTAATCTATTGTTTTCTTAATTGTATAGAACTGAGGAGATATCTCGCCGCGGGACTGGGGCTCACATGCACGCCTGGTGAAACTGAATAGGATCTGACAGCACCTTCTACATTACATAGCGATAAAAAGCCGACAACAATAAGGATATCCACCAAAGTTTAAGTGACATAAGCTATTCAAATATTATGAAAGGAATGGTTTATGTTTTACCTTCGCAGTTATGCCCAGAGAAAGGAGAAACACACTTGCAAATGTATGACATTCCATTCTGTGAATAGTCTGCGAAAGAGGGACCGGCGTACATATTTGATTCCCCATTGTTGTGTAGAAAATATGTATCCACGCAGGTTCCTCCGTGGAGACAAGGGTGTGATAAACAGGCACTCATTACTAGAAATGTAGGCAAAAGCCGAAAGTTAATCAATGTTGCAGAGCAGCATTAAACATAAGGATGACAGGAATCATGATAGAGTGTCAATGATCAAACTCTGAACGTGGTCAAAGTCGTTGCTAAACAGGAATTAATAGGTTACATTCATTTTCTATAACAAACGTACCTGAAACTAGTCAAATTAAATCGAAAAACGAGGAAATCAAACAGATAAACAAACTGGTGTTCATTAGGAACAGTTGCATTTTTTGCAAACTGTCATCGACTTTCAATAGTCGAGTTTCGTGCTTCCTTTTTTTCCCACATTTTTTCTTCTGAAAAATTTCCTATAATCCTCTTTATTTCTGTCTTTTTTAATTTGAATTTTTTGATCGTAATTATTTTAGGTCATCCCAATTCACTTACATTCACATCTGTCTCCATGGTTACCAACTTGACAAACGCATCGGTAAGAGGATCCCTCTTCCAAACAAGAACCGCCATTGTGACAAGGATTAGGTTTACAGACGTGATCTGATGAAATTTATAACTCATATTATATCCTCGCTCAGAATCTGAGTATTTACCATAGTGGAGGTGGCTAGTGGGGGATATTTACTAGGAAGCGAAGCGATGAAGTTAATATCCACCACTTTCCATCGACTCTAAGGGCAATATTATATTTTTGTAGTATAAACTAAAACAGTGTTATAGTATTGCAGAAGAAAGATGATTTTAACTCATATATTCCTGTAAAGTGTACGTTGCTCTAAGGTGAATAACAAAGGATATTCAGTGTGTGAGTAGCCTATAAGAGCGCGCCTTCACGCTGTCCTCTGTTTTAATATATATCAATACACGCTTCGCAAACACTCTATGTGAAAAAAAATGAGACCGTTATTTTGATCAAATCGAACTAAAGATAAGTGATTTGCAAACTCATTCAAGTTTTGAAACAAAACCAGAAACTAAAAAGATGAGACCATTTTACCGGAATAACAGCGATGACTGTAAAGAAAGCACTTAGTAGATTATGTTTTAAATATCCGTATATTTAGCTAACATTTGATTCTGGTTTAGATTAATGTCAAGATGTGTGTTCTAAGATCATTCAGGTTAAATACTTTGGCACTTAAATTCAGCTTCTGGCTAACTCACTAACACTTGAACATGCAACTTTCATGTACAGACTTTATGTCGATAACGACTGTTCTCATCGCTAAGTCATTTATTTGAATAATTGCACCCATTTAGTTTATTCTGTTTAACAGTAATTCAAAAAATGCAGTTTACACTTACGCTGACAGTTGATGCCACTGTAGCCGACCCTGCAACTGCACCTATATCCGTATGTCTCATCAAGACAGGTTCCTCCATTCATACAGGGATTGGAGAAACAAATGCTCCTTTCTGCAGTACAAATGAAAACAAAGAGACAGATAGTTTTTTCAGTCATTATCTTCATACAGGCTGCTACTTCAAAGAAATCATTCAGTTCCCTCTTTCTCTCTTTGACAAAAGAAGATCTGTTTCTATGAATGTTCAATTCCTTCTGAATTACTCTTTCTATCATGTGAAACCCAGAGGATAAAAGAATAGAAAAGAATCACAAACAAAATGAAATACTATTGAATCTAAAGAATCTTTCCAATAAATATTTGTAGGAGCTTGGCGCTGCCTTAATGTCTTTAAATAGTTTAAATATTTATCGGTATCAATACCTTCACACGTTACACCTTTGTATCCAATAGGACAAGTACATTCGTATCGCCCTCCAGTTCTTTCTGTGCATGTTGCACCATTTTTGCAGGGATTTGGAAGACAGAGATTGATTTCTGCAAAAATAAAAATTTAATTCATTGATGAATTTTCACCGGCTTTTAACTCATACACAGCTTACTTTCACTAACTTATATTTTCAAACACAAGCAATAGCCCTCGGAAAAAGATATGATAAAGATAATATAATATGATTGATATAATTTAAGTACAGTCAAAGAGTTTTTTTAAAAAAAGGAAAGGAAAACTCGACTTCTTGTCCGAAATGTTTTTCGCAACAATTTTATTTTTTGAGGCCAAAAAATTCATGGTATTTAAATTAATTGTTTTTCGTTCCACCCATTGTTTTCTTTAAGCAGTCATCTATGAAAGATAAGATCTGCACTCTCGGCGGTTTCTTCTCACGTTCTGGTTCACCCCGATAAGTGAATACCTTGGCACTGTTACACGAAAAGCACGAGTCGTAGGTCAACTAAACTGCGCATGTCCGACCCAACTCGGACTCAGGCCCTACGGTACTCAATAGCAACTATTGGCAGCTGGACGGTTACCCAGCGCAGACGCAGAGTCTGCAATTTAAAATCTAGTCAAATTAAAGCTGCGTTCTTCAACTGCACAATTACAGTCTGTTCATTCAATCGCATGATGATAAAGAGAATTATCCTGACGTTTTAATGATTAGCATACTGTTACAAGTATTTTAGCATGATACGTAACATACCTTCGCAGTTCTTTCCCTTGTAACCCTCTCTACATGTACATTCAAATCCTTCTCCTTCATTGATACCCGTACATGTGCCTCCATTTCTGCACGGATTTGGATGACATTTATTCTGTTCTGTATTTAATACAAATATGGCAAATCTCATTACGAGAAACTCGTTATTATTTTCAAATGAAATTTGGTCAGTGGATTATATTTTATTTATTTTTTTTAGAAAGAATAAGCAAAGAGCGAGTCCTTAAAAAAGCAACAACTCTTTGAAATTTGTAATGAGAAAACGTGAAAAAACATGAACTTTGTGGACCTTGAGTTTATTAGGGTAAAAATCACCGACATGTTGACCTTGGGAAATAAACACTTTTATCGAAACAAGTAGATTATATCCGCTTGATTTCTAAGCACGATATTTGATTTGGCCTCGCCGTCATCAACAATAAGACTATAGAAATCTTGAGCTCATGATTTTGTTCACAAATAAAAGTATTTTTTCAAGTTTTACCTTCACAGTTCTCTCCTCGATATCCTTTAGCGCATGTGCATTCGTAACCTTGTCCTACGTCATAGCAAGTGCCTCCGTTTTTGCAAGGGCTGGGCTCACACTGACTTCGCACTAGAACACAATATTAGGCTTAGATCAGAAGTACTGATGATAATTAAGAGAAATCTTCGGTCACTAATAATATCACATCGGCTACCTTATGCACATTCACATTACGTCTTTGAACTATCATTAAAAGATGCCGAACGCCCTAGATACAGCCCAGATTATACCCCCTCCCCCTTTACTCCCATTAGGGACTAGGGTAGTTGGTAAAGGTAGTTGGTGCGATAACGCCTCGATAGGAAATTGTTGGCCTTCGCAACATTTTCAGTAACATTGAATCGCTAGACTGATCAAATTACCGCAATTTTCCAACCTTATTTGTCCTGGGCAGGTAATTTTAACTTTCCAAAATATCAACGCGAAGAAAAACCAACACATCCAAATAATCAGTATACTTTAGGGAGAGAACTGGGTCGTTAAAATTTCTCAAGATGTTATTTAGATAAGTCTTACGTTCACAATGCGTTCCCATGAATCCTGGTGAACAGGTACATTCATATCCGTGAGCGACAACAGTACATGTGCCGCCATTTTGGCATGGAGTTGGCTCACAAGTGGAATGAGCTGAAATTAAAACACATCAGATATATTTTTACTGTAATTATTGGTTAACAATTGGCTCATACGTCAGCGTACGTTCATCGAGATATGAAGCACGCGGGAAGTTTGGAGAGCACGAGAGATGCGTAAGAGTTGCTCGAGGCGTAGCCAACACTCTAGCTTCTTGAGTGCTCTCCAAACTTCCCAAGTGCTTCATATCTCGATGAACGCACAGATTACGTATGAACCAGTTGTTTTATAACATTTTCAGCCCGATGGAAATTTTTTTTTCTCGAGGGATTTGCTTGCTGACGTCATGAGTGTGCACAATAGGAATATGAAGCACGCTCGCGCAATTGAATTTGATTAGACAAATTTACCAGCTATGTTATAATTTAGTTTGAACGTATTGCCTTTTTTTAAATATTGGTTCTCGCCGCCATGTTACAACCTTAGCTACCGGAAACCTCCTTTTATAGCCATATATTTGCAATGTGTATGGGAACAGTTTTTTTCCTCGTGCCCGGCTTCTGTTCTAAAGAAACGGCACGCCTTTAATCTTTATTTTGGAAAGAATTTCGCGACAAACACCATATGTAACATTTGTGACTTTGACATCCAGGATCAGTGACCATGCAAATCCCTAATTCGTGAAAGGAAGGTTTTGAACATTTGGTTTTTGCAAATCTCTGTTCTGTTCACGGAAATGCTGCGAGTAATTTTGTGTACTTATCAAAAACATTGACCACCTGCACAAACTCAAAAAAGGAATTTCAACAAGTGAAACTTAATTTCCAGCCAGGTTCCTCAGTCAAAAAACAATGGAATAGCAAGATTATTTCAATTATTTCCTTTTCTGAAGAATTCTAAATAATATTCAATCAAAAAAGTCTAAGTACGTAGAGGAAAATAACTTATCGCAATTTTTTTCAAAAACTCCCTCGTTGCGCAGGCGAAATATCACGATGAGCTAAGGTGATGATAATCTGCACCTTTGTTGTTTTGTAAACAAAATCCATATCAAATTGTCACAGTATCTTAAATGTACAACACCTCTGATTAGCAAGCTTCCAACAATTATGAAAACCGAAGTGTATCAATTGTATTGTAGCATAATGAGAAAGAAACTATTCGATAAACTTCAAATCCTTTTAACGAGAAAGTCGTTCTTTGTATGAGAGGAGTTTTATCGCTGCTTGGAAATACGGGCACGCGTTTCTTTTTCAATAAATCATGAAACAATCGCTTTTCTTGGTTCGTCGGCTTTCCAATCGCCCATAAGATCTCTCAAAATCATCGGATGACCTATTTCCAATGCGGGAAGAATATGACCCTTCATTAGTCACTTGCCGGAAACATTTGACCTACCTGGGTGATGATGTACAATAATTCTGTGAATATGTGGAAATGGACAATTAAGACATGGTAATCCGGGCACAAACTGTCTTTTACTTTGGGCCACATCGTTCATTTTATGTTCCGTCGCCTCCTTGAGCCTTTTGTGTTGTTCTGATTTATGCAATGAACTTCTTTTCCAAAAGGCAGCGGCATTATTTTGTCCTTGTCGCTGGTTTTTGCTTCCGCTGTGGTTCTCCCTTATTCCCTCCGTCTTGTGAATTACGGCTAATAATACCAAGGTGGCTAAAATTATAAACGATACTTTCATGTTGACAACGCTATTTTTCCCATGAAGGTAAACTTAGTGAAAACGTCTAAACTATAGCCATCTTTCGTCAAAGCTTCTGGTTGTTATGAATTAATCATGTCACGTGCCCTCTTTTGACAAGACAGGTCATCTTTGGCACTTTATTGGCTCAAAGAAAATCTCCGGCCATTAGGACCTGTTGCAACTAACTAATCAGTTCTTACAATAAATCGTTTAAAAACTTCCTGCTGCATCTTACCTTCTTTTCTAGTACAGCAGTAATTTGGCTTCTTGATCCATGACTAAGACAAAAATTTTCTCTAAAAAAAACAAAACGATGATTGCGACACGCTCTCGCTAATTTGCGTTTGTTAACCCCAATTTGTCCGTATGTTCCTTTTTTTATTAAGTAGAAATTGAGCTCTGAGTAATGTTTGATAAAACCCCTATCAAGTCACATTTGAAAAGGCCGTGGATGAAACAAGTCTAACAAAATCTAGGAAAGTGGTAAATTTGTGTAAACATATGGAACCGAGACAACATGCTGACCCTTCAAGTTGGATGAGTCAAATGGTGACCCCATATAACAGAATTGTGCAATGAGTGGTTTGCCTCTACTTTTACACCTATGTTAAGTGGTCTGTTTATATCAGTTGTTAAACCTTTTGTTTGTGACGTTATTATTAGTTTAACAACTTGTGTACATTAAAATTCTATTAGATAACGCGATGATTTCTCGCTCCATTTTTGCTGAGAATTGTTCTTCAGCTCTTGCCTGATGACAAATAAAAGAGATTTGTATGCTGTCATCTTCATCTTCTGTTTATTATAGATAGATAGCGTCATAACAAGAAAATGTTTACGTGATGAAACATACACTCCGGTTTTTCTTATTGTTGTGTTCTATCAGCGGCTTAAAGGCTTCTCCTAATTCTTCATGTTTTGTTTGACAGAAATTAAGACAGTAACTACATCCTGTTTTCCTTATCTTTGACCAGAGATGACTAATCAATGACTGATGAATATTTATTGAAGAGAGTCACCCAATGTACCTCCACCTCGACATTGTCTCTGTCGTCAATAAAAAAGAAAATTGACGAAAATCATATGAGGCCAAAATGGCGATCGGGTACTTTTGCTACTTTTAAGTGTTACGTATTTCCTCAGGAAAACCTCTCAGATGTTTTCTCTACTATTTACCCTTTTATTAATTTTTTCATTTTTAGCGCAAAGCGATGGGAAATGGTTCTCGGTGCCAGATATCATCAAGTTTAGGAGGTTAAGTTTGGGCAACAAGTGGCTGATGAAGATCATATTCAAGGAATTCGTTTATCACCCAAGTACAATGAAAATAGGTTGAAAAAACAATGAAGTCCTCCACTTTTGTAAAGATGTCGGCAGTATAAAGGCGGAGTAGACACAACACTGAATACGTGTCACCACGCCAAGACCAATCGAACGGACGACAATGTTGTCAATCAAGAAATTCAAGGACTAAGGCCAAAACCGCCCCCTTTTTTCTTTTTTTTTCTTTATTCGTTCACATTTCCCTTTTTTCTTTCGATGCTTTAAGGCATAAGCGTTTCTGAATGCCACAGAAAATCAAATATTTGAAGGAAAAGTGTTTGTTTCGTGACCTTTGCCAGTTTGCTCTATGGACTCAATTAATTCGTTTTACTGACGGAATCTTTAAAGAATGCAGGGAGATCCCATCTTCACAACTTTACTTACATTGTTTCATGACAACTCTGAATTTGTGTTTTTTAGTATATATATGTATGTGTTTGTATGTTTTCCTTGAGGAACACTTTAATCGCTTCCATTTCCTTTTCTTTGAAAAACTGAATGCAAGGCAACCCGTTTTCAAATTTTGGACTGACTCTATTAGGTAAGAAGTCTTACTTAATTTACACGATGATCTTAGACTAAAAGGCTCCGAAAAATTGCGCGGTGTTGACTGAGTTAAACGCCCTTTGGTGAATTTTCTTTGCTAAGAAAAAGCTAACTGTTTACAGTAAACTCAGTTGTACTGCTCGCCACTTGAATGTTTGAGCTAAATTTGTTTTTCATTTTGGAAGTAGTGTAGAACAGACGATGAAACTGGTGCCGGTATTGTACTCCGAATGCTACCTGCACCAAGATCGGTAACCCACTATGCCACGTAACTGGTCGAGAATCACACTTTCCATCCTCTTAATTCTTACAATGGTCTCACAATAAGGATAACCTAGTTCCTCGATAAACGATTTCTTAACATTTGAACATGAAAGTAACGCTTGGCACATGGCACATCACATTTCTCTTCCTAAGTTTAGTGACAACAATTCAGACTAAGATCTCTCAAGCGGCGTTCAAAGGAGACAAAACATCTAAAACGACAAGTAAAAGTCACCAACATCACAAAGCGGAGGTGAAGAAGGAAAAACGTTTTATGAACGAACATTCTCCGAAAGGCAGAGTAGTTTATTCATTCGTAACGGACAGGAACCGATATTTGCCGAGAAGGCCGCGCCTGTATCGAGCTTTCGTTGTTAGGCGTCCTTTAACAGTGCAACAATCGATAGAAAACGCTAACACGCGTCAAAACATTCCTTTCATGGAGGTGGAACCTACATATCATCAACAGCTTGTAAGAGTTCGTCCCATTTCGCGACCAATTTACTACTTGCAAGACACGCCTGATGAACAAGAAGCAGAGTTCGAGGATCCATTGAATGAACCTGTTACTTTGATGCCTGAGGAATTTCCAGGTGCGATAAATTCGTTTGCATATTGAGGTCAATATCCCAGGGTAAACAAATAGTCACTTTTAAATACGACTCAATGCAAATTTTTTGTCGTGCCATGACATCTCACGCCTAATTGAACTAAATTGCATTTGAGGAAGTGATTGCTGATTAATTGTGCTATTCATTTAATTGATTTGCTTAATTAACAGAACATAGATCAACAAATTTCACTCGTTTAACAGCTTTACTTTTTTAGTTTTCGTCCATAAATTTTACGAGAAAGACGATCCTTTGACCGAAATAATTTGAGATAAACTCTCCCTATAGGAAAATAGGAGTCGGCACCAGATAATCGGTTTCATTTTTTTTTTTTCTTCTATGTATATATTTATCAGTACATATCGACAGCTGTCGTCCTAATCCATGTTATAATGGTGGACGGTGTAAGAGACTCAGACATGGAAGATTTAGATGTGTATGCCATAGAGGGTACAGTGGTAGATTATGTAATGGTACGTATATTCATACTCAGTATATTAGAGTGAAATTAGAAATTAGAGTGTGGAACTAACTAACTAATGTGTGAGTCGAACTCAAAGTCGATTGCCTAAGACAAAAGGCTTCCTAAAAATTTTATTATGCATCACTGTAGAAAAGAAGCAATTTGTAATGGACTTCAATGAAAGATACACATTTGTTGATTCTTCGCTCAAATCCTGGAGGTTGACACTGGAATTTAAGAAACTTGTCCTTACTCCATCACCATCCGACATCTCAACAGCGAAAGTTATAATCAATTTAGGAATGTTAAGTGAGCAATTTATTTGTAGTGAAGGACTTTAATTTCTTTTTAACGCTCTCAGACGTCTTTCTCTATTTTTGTCATCATTATTACCATTTCATAATCTACTCTTTCTGCGATCACCATTTGATTTTATTGTACAGTGCTGCGAACAAAATGTAAACCGAACCCTTGCATGAACGGAGGAACCTGCACTCAGCTGAATGGAGGCTTTGAGTGCACATGTTCATTTGGCTACAAAGGAGAAACGTGCAGTCGTAAGTATTAACGTACATGTGTGGACAGCTTTGCAAATTTAACTAATCATTAGTGTTGGAAAACATTTTACAAATAAGCTGTTAAAAAGATTTCAAAAGTTTCAAATTTGGGGACACCTGCAAAATTTCTTTTCAAGAATTGTAAATTGCTCAAAGAGGCCTGGATAAAGTCTTACGGAAAGATTTGAAAAACTTATAAGAGCATATCAATTTGGAGACTTCACTAACGGAACACTTTTGGTTGTTGGTTTTTAGAGGAAGCCAAGTGTGGAAATAATCCGTGTCAGAATGGAGGCTCGTGTACCGAGCTGGACACGGGCTTCCAGTGTAGCTGTGCTCCTGGGTATCGTGGTAAAAAATGTCAAGGTAATCAGCCTTACTTTTTAGTTAACCTTTAAGCCCCTAGGAGTGGTTAACATCTTAACCCTCCTTGCAGTATCACTATCAATTAAACATTAAGGACACGAAAATATCGGAAATAGTCAGTAATTTGAAAATTTTCAAATTTAAAATTTAAAAGAAATGGATAGAAGACAGTATAGAAAATATGCGCATTAATTTTAGCGTGTCATAGATTAAAGATTTCAAACCGGTTGGAGGCAGAACTATTCGCTGTGTAGAAATCACAGCCAGCGAGTCGAAGGTAAAGCATCCGAAAAAAAACAAAAAAAAAGCGCCATCATCAACCAGCAATGCAGCTTTTCCCCAGGGCAACTAAGCTGGCGCTATCTTGATAAGAATCTTTCCTCCTAATTAACCTGAACATAAGAAATTCAATGCATGGGATATTTCAAGCGACAAGTTTCTCCGACTCATTAACCTAGAAGCAACAAAAACCATTTGTCGCATTAAGAGCTATTTCAAATGCACCACTATGGCTTTAATTGCAGTAATTTTTATATTTTGTCCCAGAAATAAGCTACTGCTACAAGACACCCTGCAGAAATGGTGGAACTTGTACTGAAACAGACACTGGGTTCGAGTGCGTCTGTCCATCACAGTGGAACTGTATCGACTGCAGCTGTAGCGGTAGGTTTCTTACATCCGGTGATCTTCTTCAATGCATTTCTTCTCTTGAGCATTCATATTCTTAATATCTCGATTTCTATATCCTTCACATCACTTATAAATCAATAATATCATATTTTGTTATCATTTTCAGCTGTTAATGGTATAAAGCATTCTCTGGATAATTGTTTACCAAATCCCTGCCAAAATGGAGGCACCTGTTTTTCTACTCATGATGGCTTTAAATGTCTCTGTATGCAAGGTTACAAAGGAAAGTCATGTGAAGGTACAAAGATTATCAGGTCTCATCATATTTCTAAGTTTTATTTTAATCACTGATCCAAGTAGGAATTAAACCCTTCCTAATCAAGGATCAAAAAAGATGTAAAACAATAACGGTTCAAGTGGTCATCTCATAGTAATTTGAAAGCGGATGTATTTGTGCCCCAAGAAAAAATAAATTTGAGATCACTTTTAAAGCGAGATATTTGAGAAGCTAAGTTTGATTAACATCCCTTATTTCAAGCCCTTTTCAAACGTACATACGTCCAAGAGAATTTGTGAACTGAGGCCAAGTAGCTGTGACTATCTACAAAAGTTTAATTTCTATGTCAGCTGTCTCTTTTTATGTTGGCAGCGGTTGAATATTGCAATACTGAACCATGCCTGAATGGTGGAACATGCAAGGAGACGGCAACGAGTTACATCTGCCTTTGTAAAAGTAGATTTCGAGGAAAAAACTGCGATGGTGAGTAGTAGTAGTACCTTTTCAAAATATAGTTTGCTCTGAAAATCCAAATCGCAACTCTTACCAGCATCTTTCCGAAATATTCAATAACGTCTCTTTCGTTCGTAAAACGAGAATGCTCTCTTTCCTCATGGAGCAAGAAAACGCAAACACTTTCCTAAATTTTGGGCCTTATCTGAATTTACTCTTTTATTTATTTTTAAAATCGATTTATCTATTTATTTATTTATTTTTAATGATAATAGTTTTCCTTTTGTAAAACCAAATACATCAACAACGACAAAGACAATCTTTCTGTACTTTCTATTCATTTAATGGTAACTGGACCGTGTAGAGTCTAGGTCAATCTTTTGTCATACATGTGATTAACCAACCCGAATGCCCGTCAAGCGGAAGTTCGATTTTTCGATTACGAGTATGATTCCTGACCGCAAAATTACCAATTAAGGATAGCCATTTTTTTCATCGATTTGAGAGCTTGCAATTCCAATCTTTAAAAACTTAACCATTAAAATCTGACAAAAGCACATTGAAAGCTATAAAAACATCTTTCCATATTTTGGAAAATCCCAACATTGATAAGAAATACCATTGCTATAGCTATAGTGATCAACCCTTTGACTTCTGGATTAATTTGAGTACAATCTATGCGATTGGCTGATGTAGGCATCAAATTCTAGATCTACGACTGCAACCAACTGTACCTTCATCTACCAATCACATTCGAGGAAATTGTAGTGGCTATAGTTAGTTTTGAGAAATCCACCACAAATACAACATAAAGACAAACATAAAATCCGTACATTAACACTAAACTCATGAATGAAACATTTTCAGTGGAAAACCATTGCCGACCTAAAAACCCATGCGAGAATGACGGTTTATGTGTAGAACTGGAAGATGATTATAAGTGCAGGTGTAAAATCGGATATCGCGGAGTCAACTGCGAAGGTATGATGTCTCATTAATCGTATATCTCCCAGAAGTGGTTAACATAACTTCCCTCCATGATATTCATATGTTGTCCAGCATATAGGTAATGAGAACACTCAAACTTACTTAGTAGAAGTTATCGTCTGTATCTAACGCCAAATTCTTATAACCAGTTTACAAAGAAATTATTAGCAGCTAGAGGGGAGAATTAATAATCACATCTTGGAAATTTAAGGGTTTAAGTGCCATTTAAACACTTGTTTACGTCTCAAGAAAAAGGTTTGATTAATTTCATGGAAATTCGTAAGTAAGGCGTCACAAATCCAAAATTCGCGGTATTCACTTATAGAAAGTAGACAGGGTACATAAACCTCTTCGATTTTAGCATATTTTGAACGTTTTTGTGGTATGGTGCATAACCTATACTTAAAAATTATGATATGCACAAGTACCTGATTTTAAAAAGCGAGACCCTTTCCATTTTTTTCTTTTTTTTCAACAAGAAAAAGAGTATTGCATTCCAAATCCCTGCAAGAATGGGGCAACCTGCACCGCTGAACAGCAAGGATATACGTGTTCTTGTCAGCCTGGCTTCAGAGGAGAAACATGTCAAAGTAAGTCAAGTCATTCAGTGAAGGTAACCGTTTTTGATTTCATAATTATATAATGTATTCATTATTGAGATAAATTCGGTCTGAAATATTCTCATGTCAAATTTGAAGCTTGGATTACAAGTACACCAAAATGTATATGATACAATATTCCACCGCAGAATCTAATCATATCTCTCGTAACTGTGAGCTCAAAAATGCGATGAACATCTTTGAAAATTTACAATAATTCTATAAAATTATCACCTTTTCCAAAGTAGAAGAGAAAATTGTGGATTTTAAAAAAAACATATTTTCTTCGCTTTTTAACAGTCCGGGAAATGTGTGCCTCCAATCCATGTCTGCACGAAGGAACATGTATAGAAATGGATAACAATACCTTCAAGTGCCTCTGCGTAGCAGGTTGGAAAGGAGAACACTGTCATGGTATGTCCAGACCACAAAAGTAGGAGGACAAAGTGTAGTGTAAAGCTAGCACTTGTAGTCAGGCGTCATTTGAATTAAATTGTGACCGAAAATTTGACCATTTTACAGGGTGATGCCTCTCTCTCTTGTTTTAGACATGCATCGGATTCTTTTTTTTATTATTTATTTTATGAAAGGGAAAGCGAATGAAGCCTGTTGCATTAGTTTATATGAGTAAATCAAAAGCCAATAATGGTCATTAAAAATGCAAAAACTATTATTCATCGAGAAAGTGTGACAAATTATTTTTTTTAGATAAGGATCTTTGTGTTCCAAATCCATGCAAGAACGAAGGTCATTGTGAAGCACATGGATTCTCCTTCCAATGCCACTGTGCCCTTGGCTTTAAGGGAAATAATTGCGCAGGTAAACTCATTTTCTGTCCTATTCAGGGCTCATTTCCTAACGTCATCATGTGCCCAACAACATAGGGAGGAAAATGATATCTCTATTATCACGACCGTAAATATCGATAAACTCTGTTCATGCGATTTTGCAATGCAACAAAAGTGACAAAGTAAGAGTGCCTTTGGGAGAGCCATGATATAAGGAATCACACCATCTGCAGTTTTAAAGACTAAATAAGAACTATACGTCTGTTTAGTGTCAAATTTGTCTGAATCATGAACGCAGTTTTACTTATCTAAGGTTCACGCAAGTTGAAATGGGTTCCTGGAGACCCCATTTGGCGGATTAAGATCACCCTTTAATAAAAAAACAAAGGAATTCCACTATTTTGCGAAGACCTCCTTATCTATTATTCATGACACGCTATGCGCTAGCAACGTGTAACCAACGTCGTCACAACATCCCTATGATAATAGTTTAATTTCATTTCGTGCAGCAAAAGATCCTTGCAGCCCGAATCCATGTCACCATGGGGGCCACTGTCTCAGCCACAGTGAAGTTGATTATGAGTGTGAATGTGGAAAAGGATACACTGGAGTAAAGTGTGAGAGTAAGTCCACCTATTTGATGAATTGCTTACAGCTGCTGCACACCGTGTAGAATGATAGAGAGATATTATTCGCCTTCTCACGAGGGGGGAACGAGGTATTGGAAAATTCTGTTTATGAACAGAAGAAAAAAAACCAAGAAAATTTAGGATCTTTCTTCTCCTATTCACTCCCATGTAGCTCTCGACATGCTGATCCTCGCAAGAATTTTGCAATAGCTTAGCCTTCCCTGTAACTCTTTGGTAGACTATTGGAGTAAGAAATCCGAAGGTTTGGGACTCGGTTCCTCGGCGGGGGAGGAGGGCGTTACTCGACAATCCAGATCAAAATGTATCTCTGTATTCCCTTAGCCCATTTCAAAAATTCCTATTTTCAACAACTGTTTCTTCTTCTACCCTAGGATTTTTTTCTCGATCAGTTACTGAAAGAAGCTGAATACTCCATGAAATGAAACGATATCGAGAAAAATGTGAAACATACACTGCTTTCTTTTCTTATCGTTTAAATGATATGAAATATTTGTGTATGTGCAACTTTTATATGATTATATCTTCTTTAAAGCTCGGCCGCGGCTTTCTTTTTCATCATTACAGGAGTAAACCCTTGTTACCCAAACCCCTGTAAATATGGAGGAACTTGTCAAACAACAACAGATAGTTTTACATGTAACTGCCCCACTGGAAGAGTTGGAGAATTCTGCGAAGGTAGCAAACCATGGATGACGCTCATCATATGCATAAGCGGCTGATAAAGTGTCGTCCTTCTTGTTTTGTGGTGTTTTGTTTTCTTCCGTTTCATTTCATCACCAACAATAATCATTATCATGATTGAGGTACAGGCCTTCTGATGGACAAATTTTGATATGACTTGGTTGAAGTTTAGGGGATCATCAAAAATTAAGGTTTCATAGTCCACGGTTTCTTCTTTTAACAGAGATTGACCCTTGTCTGCCAAATCCTTGCGAAAATGAAGGAGCTTGCATTAGACTGAGCCACGGCCAGCACCAATGTATCTGCACTAACGCTTTTGTTGGTCCACTTTGCACAGGTGAGAATCGGTAAAAAGATAAAATTAAAGACTAGAGAACCTCAGACGAACAAACAATGTGTTGCTTTATGTTACATCACACCATAGTCTAAAAGAATAAAGACAAAAGCGCAAAAGTATTAAAAATTTCATTGGCTCAAAGATAAGAAAAGAAAAATCCACTGACGAGCCAGGGCTCAGCCCACATGATTAATCCTTAATTAAGCGCGCTAACCATGAATTAAGATAATGTCTCCAACCTCCATATCAAGTTAATATCAGTGGAAGAAAATGGAGCATAGAATTCGAGGGAATAGGGTTCGTTTCCTAATCGGGTTCAACTTTTTCCTTTTACCTACCTTCTTGACAAGACCAATGAAATCCTTCTTTATTCCAGCGAGCCTACATTCCACCATCTTTTTTCAAAATGAGATAAAAGGATGATAAAATCCATAAAATGTCCATCTATAGACTTCATGCAGTTTTGTTGATTTATTTTTTTAGTTTCAAATCCATGTCTACCCAGTCCATGTCTTAACAATGGGACCTGCGTGAATAAAGGCATTGCATTTGAATGTCACTGTCCAGGAGCCTTTTCTGGAAAGCGATGCGAAAGTAAGTAGACTGTATCACTTTATATTTCTAGGAGGTTTTAAATTTATTTGTTTTCAGACACCTTCTTAGAGATTTAAAATGTTCAGTTTGTCTGAAATATCTCTCAGAACGTAGCTCTCATCTAATGAAAGGATCTAATTTGTTTTATTTCTTTTACAGTTCAGTCCAAGTGTTTTCCAAACCCTTGCCTTAATGACGCCACTTGCCGTGATGTTGACATAGGTCGCGGCTACGTGTGTTACTGCTCCATTGCATACCTGGGACCCGACTGTGAAAGTAAGATTACTTCTTATTATAACTAAACCTAATTTGTTCGCAGATATTCACGAATAGCATTTGATTGAAGAAGTTTTACTCAATTTTTCCTTTCAATGCCAAAAAAAAGTCCGCCATCGCGCAATAACAAGAGAAATAGTTTACGCCGATGTTGAATAGCACGGTGCATGGTAGTGCCACGGAAACGGAGACTGTTTAAATCCATTCTCTTGGAAAAGTCGAAGTGAGACCAAAAACCAAGAAAGACGAATCTTGATTTTGTTCATCGCGATTTCTCAAAATGTCCAGTTGGTACCGTAGACTTGATCTCCAGATTTAGAAGGAAATATTTATACAACGAGAACTTTATTAGACATTTTCTGCTTAGTCGGATATGCTCAACCGATGATCTACAGTTTAAAACATCAGTTGTCTTCTCAACAGAAACAAATTTGTGCTTTCACCACAACCCTTGTCAGAACGGAGGCACGTGCAAAACTGATGGAACCAACTTAGCGTGTCAATGTCCTCCGGGTTATCTGGGTTCGCATTGTGAACGTGAGTGTTTAGATAGTTAGAGGCTAACTAGCTTTAAGCTCTCTTGAAACGTAGTTTTAAAATAATAGAAGAAATTGAAAAATAAATGTTAATATTTCTTAGAATGATAATGGAAGGCTCTTCTGATCGTGTTCCTTGACTGGTATAAACCCAGAAGCTTTAGAATGAGTATTCTGGCTAAAAACGTTTGAAGCTATTTTTTTTTAAATTTTTTTTAACATTCTTCAACAGATTGTTCCTATCTGAAATGAATGACCAGTGTTAGTTAACAAATGATTTATAATAGAATTATCCACACATAGAACAGCCAAAGGTTTTTTCAGTAATTTTTTTTAAAAGGACTTTCAAATTAGTTGTTTTATGCCTTTCATTCATTACCCATTCGTTTCTCCAATTTTTTTTCTTCGAATTATAGAGGCGAACTTCTGTTTTTCGTCGCCCTGCAAAAACGGAGGAACATGTTCTCCAAAGACTGATGGCTTTGAATGTGACTGCAAACAAGGATTTTTCGGAAAAACTTGTGAAGGTAGCCACTTTACGTTTTCAGTAGATATCTTGGAAACGCTCTGTTGACTTGATTAATATTTTATAACTTCGTCCAAGCATTGCTTAATTTGTGGTTTTCTTTTCCTTTTTTTTTGTTTATCAAATGGTAAATGCCTTAGCAAAGTGGATTCGGAAACTAAGTCAAATAATTTTGTAGATATCTAGTTATGAAACGCTCTCATACAACTGTCAACAGCCTGTATAAGACAATGAAGAATCCTGATCCACAAGGAGAGCAGCAGTACTATTCCCTCTTGCAGAACTTGCTACCTTTCATCCACTACCACACAATTTCTTCAAAATGTCAATATTATCAACTGAAACACCAAATTATGTCTTGCAGTAGCTATAAAAGTAAGGAGAGCGCTAAAAGTTATTTTCATACGCTGTAGCAAGCTTTTTAATTTGCAGTTTTAAGTAAACTGGTTCCTCTTCAGTAAATTAAATTTATTTTATGACCCTGAAATTCCGCAGCTTTGAGCAGTCACTGTTTCCCAAACCCCTGCAAAAATGATGGGTTGTGTGCTGAAGTACAGAGCAAGGAGGGCTATATTTGTGTTTGCAAGGAGGGATTTGTTGGATCGCATTGCGAAAGTAAGATTTGCATGAGACTACAATCAGTTGAGATACGAGCAATTAATCGAGTATGCCCTTATAATTAGCGTCGATACTGAATGAGTACGCATGAGTGCCAGTAGATAATGGAGATGCTCAGAATGGATAGATGGTTGATTCCCTTTTGCTAAATGCACCTTTTTATTATTTTCCATTCTTCCTCAGAAGTTACAAAGCGTCGCTCGGGCGAACTTTAGGAATTGATGGAATTCTGAGCTACTGACTACCACGTTATGATCGCTGCAGTTTTTCTACTCTCCAGGTTTACTAACCTATGCTTTTCTGTTTTATCCTTATTAGGAAAAGATCCGTGCATTCCAAATCCCTGTCAACACAATGGTACATGCTTACAGGCTCATAACAGGCGACGATATCACTGCCTCTGTCAAGCCGGCTGGCGAGGATATGCCTGCGAACGTACGTATGTCACGGAAACAATGCTGTTGAGACAGTGAATCAAATCTTTAAGTCAGTTAATGTTTAAAGTTGTAAACTCAAGTCTTAATTGTTAACCGTCCTTATTTTTATTTCTATCTTTTGCTTCTCAATCAGGTGGCGATCTTTGCTATCCCACCAACCCTTGCCTTAATGGAGGAACATGTTTCAATGCCCTCGACACCTTTATTTGCCACTGTCCTAAAAGATATTCGGGAAAACATTGTGGAAGTGAGTAATATATTCCTGATTCCTTCGCCGGTAGTCTCTGGCTAAAATTAGCCCACCACTGACATATTAGCACACCTAAAAAATGTACGTCACCTCTTTTTCAAGTCTTATTGCAATAGTCTATGTACCTTGGTGAAGAACTCATACCATTAACTTATAATCCAGTATCTCTTTCACATAGATGACAAGTGTGCGCGTTGTGACGTAAATGCGAACTGCGTGGATGGAACGTGTGAATGTAGACATGGTTACGTTGGCAACGGTTTCACGTGTACTCGTAAGTTGAAATATCAAAATGATTGAGTATTTCCTCCGCATTTCTGTGAACTGTTTGGTTTCCAATTGAAACGTCACTGATGCCACGTTGTTTCTTCGTACCTAATAATTTTAAGGTAATACAGGTATGCTGAATGAAATCTCTGATTTGTGACATACTTTACACGGCAGGCATAGAAATCATCGATCATTTGTGGTGCAGTAAGTCCTGTATCTGGTTTTTAACAAAATTAGCAGGAAAGATTAATGGTTGTCCAAATGAAATGCCAATTTGAATATGTAATGCTCCCTGCTTTTAATCTTAAATGGTAAATTCGTTTCTGTTTAAGCTGTTGGAAATCCGTGCCAACCCAACCCTTGTGAAAATGGCGGAACATGTCATCCAGGACATGGTGAAAAACTGTTCGAATGCACGTGTCGCGAAGGATTCGTCGGCACTAAGTGTGAAGGTGAGATAACATGCATGATGGTTGGCATCCAGGGTTGCGATCTGCAATGAGCTTTTAAAATGCTCTTTGACCTACCAATCCTGAAGCAGAAACTCAGACCAGAAAACCATCCTTTCGACTACTTGCACATGGTTCGGAGAAAAATCATTTTTGGAAGCTTAATTACTTCCCCTAATAAAGTTCTCATCAACGTCCCATCCCATACCCATCCAAACCTCTTGATCATACTTTTAAGATAAAAATTTGGTCAGAGAGGCTTGCAAATAGGAACTTTGACTTATTACCGTGATTATTATATCATGATTGCTAAAGATATTAGACGATTGCGTGATGGTCCGATCACATTCACGGTAATCTTTTTCGACATGACATTTATTATGTACTGTTTTATAAAGTGTCTTTTATACAAAGGAGTAAATAAGCGCAATTTCCTGATTAAGGTAATGAAACAAAATTAGGTGATTTTTTTCTTAATTTTAACAGAATCCAAAAGTGCATGTGCATCAAACCCGTGCGCTAATGGAGGAACATGTGTAGATGCCACAAACAATGATGGTTCACTGCTGGAGGGCGTGATATTCACAAATCATTCACAATTCAAATGTGTTTGCCCCAAGGGTTACGCAGGAGAAAACTGTCAGAGTAAGTAGATGGGTCGTATTTAGTCGAAACTTGTAGATAACGCTGACTAGTTTGGTGGTAATTGGTCCAGATTTCAGCAGTGACGGATCAACTTGAACACAGTAAATTTCCATAGGATAATCCGCTGTGTCTTCATTATCAGTTTATAATTTGATCAAGCTAATAGATGTCAGTTTTATTATCATAGCTGCTTCTTTATTCACTTCAACAGAGCTTGTCATGAATAATCCTTGCTCCACCCACCCATGTCTCAACAATGGGACTTGCTTTGACGATACAAACAGCGCTGGAATAGATCTGAAACTGCTAAATGCTTTAGACTTTCGTTGCTTCTGTCCAATTGGATACAGTGGTATTGTCTGCGAAAGTAAGAAAATGAATTTGTAAATAAAAGTTGTTCATGTAACTTTGTGAAAATGATATCTCAATCTCTCTTCTTGAAAACAAAAAAGGAGAATGTTATAGTTCAAATTACTCCTGCGTTTCTTTCTTGAACAGCACCTAAGTCAGCATGTCACTCAAGCCCATGCCTCCATGGTGGGACCTGCTTAGACTCTTCAAACACAGCTGACGTGGCGTTTAACGCTAACGGTTATAAATGTCTTTGCGCCGCGGGCTTCATAGGAATGAATTGCGAAGGTAAACTATACATGGCGAATTTCTATCCACTACAAAGATAGTGCATAGATAGATAAGTACTCTGGTTGTATCAATTCCTATCAATTTACTGGAAATTTCCTATCGTTTCAATAGCCAGCTCAGCATCTGAATTAAAGACTGCTACAGTCACAGGTAAGTTTCTACCTTTAAATCTATTTGGACACGGCTTTTATATCTATAAGCGAGTTACCTTTGAAAAGAAGGCAAGTCAGAAAAAAAACTTTTCTTCGTCAGGGAATGCTAGCCTGGGAAGCGATAGATACATCTTTTCATGCGCATAGATATGTCAGTATAAGTCCCAACAATTGCTCTTTGAGGACGTCTGGAGAAACACAAATATTTAAACAGCCTATTACACTTCATCATCATCCCTCTATTGCACTTTTTCTGTAAAAACCCGTAAATGACCAGCATAAAATAACAAGTTTTTAATTTTGCTTGTTCGCACTGCATTAGCAAATATTAAAATAAATCAATAATTTACTCAGAATTGTTATCACTTTTTCTAAAGCTGCCCTTCAGGCCACAGCCAAACCAATAAGTGCACAGGGATACAAACCAGCAGGTCAGTTATAATTCTATACGTCCTATCTGACAGAATTAATAAATATCCAATAAAGACCGCTAAAATAAAATGTTTTCTTATACTGTAAAGAAACAGTATCACTGATCCATTGCCGTCCTAAAGGTATAGGTCTCGCTTTGATATACGCAACAAATGGTTATAGAACTTCCGCATTTCGCCTCAAACTACTACCAGGGGGAATGGTAGATGTTTTCATCATTATCGAAATGGTAAAAATTATTTCCCGCCGTATTACACATGCACCATATTTCCCACATGACTAGAGTTTTTAATCACGGTATTTTATGTTTTTTTTCTGAATTTGCAGCTCCGGTGATAGATGTTCATGCATCCTTAGGGACACCAGGTGCACCATCAGGTAAATACTCCTTGGTCAGCAGGCCTGTGGCCCACAACTCTTGACGAGGTCGATAGTAATGAACGTTTTTCGATATTAGATTCTATGCCTGCTAGCATGTAACACTTAAGAAAATCGGTCCTAGGACATAAGAAATTGTACATCAATAGGTGTTTCGCTGCTCGTGTGATCTGCTAGTATTCCGAGTACACTTTTTCATTGTGGAATTTTCTTTTATAAATGAGGTAAGCTTCCCTGTTACCACACGGCTGTGATCATGTGTTGACTCTAGGAACATTGTTCAACTTCTCACACGAAAATTGGGTGGCGATAATCATGTAGACTCCTTATTCGAATCCGTCTATTAAGAATAAACCTTCCCGTCGAAAAAAGCTCATTTTGAGGTCCATTTCTTGGTCAGAATCCATTGAATTAGAGCGATCTATTCATGAAATAGAAGTAAGAAACATTTTCTTGAGATCTATAATCCCCGCGTTGGCAAGGAAAATAAGCATGCCATAAAATATTGCTTTACTTTGGTTAAAAGTTTGATTTTGTGGCCAAATTCTTTTATTTCGTTTACTGCAGCTGTAGCCTTGGTGCCACAAGAGCCAAAGGAAACAAGCGCAGTATTGGGACAATTGGGTACAACCCTACTAGCCAAACCAGTTACAAGTGTAACCAAGCCGAATGTTGGTCTGACAGCCGAAATTGAAAGACCCAATCAAGGCCAAGTTGGTGTTGTTGTGATTCCAAAATCTGCTCAAACACCTCCCGCCAAAACTTTGACTGCGACGGTCCAAGGCTATGCCCCTCCCAGTTCCTCGAGTATGACATTACTTACTTGTAACAATCTTCAAATAAAAAGATAAAACCCTCTCGTCGGAGCCTTTTCTCAAGTATCAATCAATGCCTCTTTTCTCTTGCAGGCAGAGGTCTTGCGATGGCATTAGCACCAGGTACACTAGGTCAGATTGGTTACGTAGTGCCTGCATCATCATCTTTACTGCCATATGTGGCTTCTCCGAGCCTGGCACCAGCACCTTCTACTAATTCTCTTCCATATGTGCCTTCCAAAGCAGCACCTGCTCAACCGCCATCAGCAGGTCTCATTTCGTCACCTCTAGCAATGTCATCTCTGCTTGCCGTACCATCTTCATCACCTAAAGTAGCTCAGGCACCTGGGATTATAATGCCCCCAGGGCTATCACCACCTCCGGGGAATGGACCTGTCACTTTGGCTGTACGAGGAGGGACACCTGTTTTTGGCCTAGCGGCAAGAAGACAAACTTTGAATCAGAGGTCAAGAAATCATGGTCCTTTCTATTCAAGTTATAACGGTTATACGAGTAGGAGCGCCAACCGAAGAAATAATCAACAGAGTTATAGACATTATCCTTATACCAGAACAAATTGGTACTCGAATCCAAAGTACGCCAATCCTTTCCAACGGAGTTACAGACGCGTAAACAAGAAAAAACGAAGCAGTCACGATCAAGGTAAAACAGTCTAGCTTAATGATGAACTCATTACACGCCTTTTTTTTGCTGTTATTTGAAAAAAAAAACGAGTTTCTCGAGCATTACTCGATCGTCTCTCTGTTCGCTCTGACGAAGTGCTTATGCTCAAACTGTTATCTTTGAAACTCTTTACGGTGGCCAATTTACGATATCAACTCAGTTGATAATACTAAATTACCCCGTTATACTCTCACACCGACGCAGCACCACAGTTTCTTTAGAAACCTACCCCTTCTGTTCATTCGTCTCTTCATTATCCTAGCAAACTAAGAGGTATGTTGAAAACTGCTCTTTGCCATAATGCAGACCCCACAGATCCTTTACCAACTAGTGACAAATGAATGGGAAGAAATTCTAAGCTCCACCAACAGATGGCAGATTTCAAATCTAACTTAACTACTTATCCATTATTTGGCAGAAGAAGACGACAAGCCTTTGAAGAATACCCCAACCGACCACCTAAACGCTGAGGAAGATGTAAAAAGATCTTCATGAATGGCAACTCAAGGAAGAAGTGGTCCTTCCCAGTAAATTTAGTCCTTCTACTACTTTGATAACTTCCTGTGCAATTTAGACAAATATTTGGTTGTTGTAACTTAAAATTTAGCAATTGCAATTTTCTCATCTTTAGGCCCTTTCATTATATTAAGCTTTTTTTGTCCTTATATTTTCAACCTTCTTGTTTTCTCTATACCTATTTCTAGGAAAACAATTTTAAAAGAGGCAACAGAAAGCTCTGAATTTTGTTTCTGACCAGAGGATAAAAGGATTTTTCATGAGCTCGGTTATTACTCTGATGGGATACTGCTCATAATCACACGCAGTGTCAGATTAAACTATCGGAAGTATGCAGCAAACATCTTTTTTTAAGCAAGAACGGTTCAAACACGAAACTTCTACACCTAAACATGGATAATAGAAAGAATTATGATTCCAGTCGGGAAATAAAAGTGTTATCTCATCTGTGAAGATTTAAAATGTTTTGGTTTTTATCAAATGAGATGTAAATTGGCCACAGTGGAGCTTTCTACAGACTGAAGTTTTGTTATTCACTTTAACGAAGGGCAGGTGCTCGACATGTTAGTTTTAGAGACTTCTTACAGTGGCAAATTTACATTACCCACTCAGTTGATGAAACCAAATTATTTTGTACTACCACCCACAAACGCAGCACCACAGTTTCTTTAGAAACTTACCCACTTTGTTGACATGAGTACTGAAGTCCATCTTTGTATATTGTGAGGATGTTCAATCGCTAGCTTTCTTTAATCTAATTTCGAGCTTTGAACGAAGAATTTTATCAAAGCGATGAAAATGAATATGGTGTCGAGATAGGAATAAAATTGATTTTAAAGTTTGCTTCATTTTGTCTAGAGTTGTTCCTTTCAATTCTGCTAAAAAATTTGAAGGTCGATTGTATGAAAGAAGTCTAAGAATTTCCCACACACCATGCCTATATAATGATGGCAGTTAGGAGTACTACAATTCTTATTTTATTGATTTAGAAATATCAACTGTTTCAAAAACATTTTATCTCACAAATTTAACTACAAGCTGAATTATTCCATCGTAAAATATAAAAGTTTCCAACTCCTAATCGAAACAAGTCATTTCTGCACCCTAAAGGATATCTCCTTCGCAAAATAAATTGGTCAACCCTAAAGCGTAGAACGTTAAACGTAGTGCATCATTCTTGCCTTAGGTCCTCGAGTATCTGCATGGTTTAAAACCACGTCTAAGAAATATTCCGGGCAATGCGACTTTGAAACAAGTACATGTATGACACAAACAAACAAAAAAGACGGACATAAATCGCGTTTTGTCAGTGATTTTTGAGGAGATCTTTAGTTAGCAAACTGCTAGGGTAAGTGAGGTCAAGGGTGAAATCCTATCCCTCACCAGTTCGGAGATGTTACATCTCGATCGGCCTCTATTCAAAGTTAATTGTGCTTTTAAGGAGCGCATTCTCGGAACACTGGAAATGTTTGAAAACTCAATTGCCATCATGCAAAGCAAACTATACTTTTAAGATTCATCTATTTGTATTTCTCTCAGATTTAGATAAGAAAAAAGCTATCATTCTCTATCAAGCTAACTAAAATTTAGAGTAAAAGGTGGAAAATATAATCTGGCCCACTATTCACTTATCTCAAACCAAGCCTAAACTAATCATTTATTGATGAATCGAAACCATTGATCTAAATTGATTAACAAGTAAAGTTCATGGTGACCAATTGCAAAACAGAATTTGTTTGCTCTTGTACGTAAACAGAAAGGTATGAACTTAATAAAGAATTCAATTGAGAGACCTTTCCTCCCAGAAAACCGTCAAAAATGAGACCGCGGATAGCGAGAATTTTCTTGGGAGCGGCTTTATTTGTTGTTTTAAGTGAAATCGCCGCTAGGCCAGCGGACGAACGGGATTCCAATGCACAAAAGCTGAAAGAAAGAAGGGGGAAGACACAACAAGATGGACTAAAATGGAAACAAACAAAGCTTGAATTACGCGACTCTTCAAAAGGGCAACACAGAAAAACACGGGTCAATAAGTCACTGAAGAAAAAGCAGACTCCTTCGCCTTTGAAAGATGAGAACAGAGAGAGAAAAAGACAGTTTATAATGCGCCCTTCACATGCTTTCGGTCACTCGTATATGTTTATGCGTCCGCCACCCATGACCCAGAGAACAATCGTAACAACTCGTATACCCAGACCTCCCATGCCAATACCATATAATCCGTTTTTTGGTCGAGGATTCTTCGGTGGAATGCACCATCTGCATAACCCTTTTTACGATGCAATGGCACAAATGTATGGTGAAGAGGATGAAGAAGATGAAGGTATGTTTGATATTTACTGTGTTCATTAGTTTCGCCCCCTCGGCTGCTCGCATGAGGATCCATCAATCGTGAAACCAGTTAAAGGTGGCAGTCATAGTGACACCTACGATCATCAGTCTAAATAGCACGGTAAAGTTAATTGGCAATATTTGAAGAAGAATTTCGGAAGTTTACAAAATTCGTCATTGATTTTGGCCATACAACATATAAGAACAAAAACGAAAGAAATCACACCAAATAGACCCATGTAACCACTTTTGAGTGAATAAACTGAACTTTTAGTAAATGAAATTTATTCTCTTCGAAGGTCGTTTGTCAGAAGTCACATCAGGTCGGCCTTTCTATAAAATTCTGTATTGTCCTGCTAGAGCGTAAAAGCGAATGTTATTCAGGTCAAAGAGTCAGCTTTTTACTTGTAGTACTTATCATCTGCAAATTTTGTAGGAAGAAGTAGAGAACGTTTGGTGGTGTGACAAAATGAAAAAAACAAATCCCACCTACAATGACATGAAAGAATGAAATCACTTGCACTTACACAATCAACCCCCTGCAACTTTATATGGCGACGATCCAATGAGACCGAGCAGAGATCGCGCCTAATTGTCTCAATGACAGACGTAAGATTGTCTTCTTGTACGAGTTAAGCATTCGGACAGAATTACAGATAGATAAAACTACAGCTCTCACGTGATAACACACTATCTTACGCCAGAGTAGAGAATTAAAAACAGCTTTCAGATGAAAATCCTGTCGTTTTGTTTTCTTTTTCCTTTATTCTTCTCTTTGATTGATTTTGGCTGTAAACAATTCAGATTCTAAATTGTTTGTTTGATTGTTTGTTTCGACGCGCTAGCAATTGATTTCGTTTGTTCAATGTTTGCTTAAGTGGTCTGTATTGTTCATGAGTGATGAGAACACAGACTACTCTATTTTTAATTTTTTATTTTTTAATTCAAATTTGCAGAGACTAAAAGCAGTAGAAAGTATTGAGCAGTAGCCTTATTCATCCTCTAGCTACAATTAGAAATAGTAAATTCAGCTGACTTGTATTTTAACAGAACGTCACTGCAATCCAAATCCGTGCCAGAATGGTGCCACATGTAACGAGGTCAAGGACGGTTATGAATGTATGTGCACTCCTGGTTTCAAAGGAACTGATTGCGAAGGTATGCATTTTTTTTCTTTTGATGCAAGATTTTACACGGCGTTGTTGCCATGCCCATAAGTATAAAACATCTTTACTTTGTTCTGTCAGCCTTTTTCATTATCGTTGAATCGGGCTGACAATTTTGTAGTTTAGTTAAACAAAGTCGTGACAAAATCTTATTACAAATTTGTGGCTTCTGTTTCATTAAGTTTAAGCTAGAATCACTCTAAATGCTTTATTGATTAAGGTACACAATGCTTAAGGGTAACTTTTTATCTGTTATCCTAGAGGAGAACAAGTGTCACCCGAATCCTTGTCGCAATGGCGGAATCTGCACAGAAGCCAATGGTGCTTACATTTGTACATGTATGGAAGGATACAAGGGAATGAACTGCGAAGGTGCGATTCACTCTTAGATTGGTTCTTACATGCGATTATTTATTCTTTCTTTTATTTAACTCATTCTTGTAAAATGAATTAGGGTTCGACAACAAGCGGAATCGCTGGCTCTTTGTACAAATTCTCCGATTCAATCCACATGGATCTCTGGGCTCCATTTTTTTTCAATGTCTACTCGCACGGTACGCTGATATGAAGTGAGAGTACTCAGAACTTATCCTGGGGATTCGAAATGATATAGCTTGCAAATCCATAAAGCAGTTGACCACTTTCAGTATTACCGTGTCATGCGAACAAAAAAATTCCTCAAAATAATTTCTTTCTGTCCTCTTACCCGCTTTCGATATGTAAACATGTGCCCAAGAGTTTTACGTCACGTGTAAGAGGTGCTTCCGTCACTAAATTGATTTAAGGAATTCGGGATTAAGATCAGATTTAAGGTTCATTTTATTTGATCTTCAGTGCAGAATCTATTCCAAAGGAATGACCTTACCAGCTTAAAGACTAATTTTTTGATAGAGCATCTTATCGCCTCTGACAGCCAACCTGATGTTTACTAAGCGGTCATTCCCCAACATGATTTGATCATAAATTGCAAAGGAAAACTGAAACCAGAATAAGTCACTCAAAACTTTATTTCATCTGCTTACGAATGTTGTATCACCTCAATTTATCATAGAGAAAAATAAATGTCAGCCAAATCCATGTAGAAATGGCGGCACGTGCACCGAAATGGATGATGGATTCGAATGTTCGTGTCCAGCGGAGTACAAAGGACCTACATGTCAAGGTAAATAGGATTATCTATTGTCAGTAACTAAATAAGCATCCTATAAGAGACTAAATAAGATTAACATTATTTTATTTTGGAAAACTTTTTCGAGAATGTAATGCAGAAATTCTGTATTTCACCTTATTTTACAAATAGATTTCAGATTACCGTGCGTTGGCTCAATATGTGACGAGTACAATAAAGTGGCGCAAGAGCGCAGCCGAGCGCGTCACTGATGTTCTTGCCACATTTTGACGTCTCCCGTGATCTATTACTGTACAGACCCATGGCAATATTCATATATTTGTTTCATATAATTAAAAAGCAAAGTGTTCCTCATGATGACGTCACCTGCGCGTCTGTCCTCTAATAACTCATAACTAAGAACCAATCAAAAGGTGCGTATAATTCAGCTAATGTAAAACCTATTGAAGCATTCAACAATAACAAAATAGGAACTACATATTTTTCGGGAATGTGTTCGTGGGAAATATAGCATTTTCCCTCGAGGTAAGACTAAGTCAAATTTAGACAGTTGCACTTGCTTCCTTGGTAATCTTAAGATTACGCTTTAGGGAGAAGTTCCTGTTTAGGAAAATTTTAATCTGTTTTCTGCTAATCTTTTACAGTGGAGAATCTTTGCTTCCTAAACCCATGTCTGAATGGAGGAACATGTATGGAGGTTATGGGGTCTCACAGTTGCCTGTGTATGGAGGGATTCAGCGGAGCCGCTTGTGAAAGTAAGTAACGTTATTCATTACTAAGCGAAATCTCTACACTGAATCCGTCGAATCTATCCGTTGTCTCGAATGTTAAAAAAGCACCGTGTTCCCGTTTCAAATTCATTCTTTCAGTTGAAAGCAAATGTCGAAGCAATCCGTGCAGAAATGGGGGAACATGTTTCGACAATCACAACTCGTACACGTGTTCGTGTTTAGCGGGATTTTCAGGAATCAACTGCGAAAGTAAGTGAAGTTGAAAGTAATGCAGCTAGAATGAAGTGATTTTTTCGCGACATAATCTCTGTTTGGTTCTCGCAGTCTCCAATATATGGCATCAGAAATATGAAATAAGCACTGACATAGCTAGCAAGTGGCAATCGACAACCAACGGAAAAGAGCGTCTCTCTTAGCATATCCACATGTGAATATACATGTACATAAATTTTAATATTTCATGAATGGTTTGGCGTACTATTATACAATTTATTATCATTATATTTGCAAAAAAAAACAAGCGAATAAAAAACAAGTGTTTGATCGTAGCGTAAACGTAGTTCAACGAGTGTATGTTACGGAGCCGTAAGCAAGAGGCTGTAGCAAGTCTTTGCTGAAATTCGCTAGGTGTTCTCAAAGAGGCCATGTATCAATTTGTTCACGTTTCTCTTTCAGCAATGGTGTCAGTTTGTGACTCTAACCCTTGTCTTAATGGTGGTTCGTGTCTCAACCAAGGACCTAACATTTACAAATGTGTTTGTCCTCACGGCTTCCGCGGAAAGAATTGTGAAAGTAAGTTGTCTTTGGATGTAGGCAAGTGTGTTGTCGTGTCCTTCACGTGAACAAAACATTGCTACAGTAACATAGCATTGGGAAGGCCATACTCATTAGGAAATTGTTTCACAGTAAAATGACTGTATGGATGATTCGGCTCCGGCTGAAAGTAGGGGTCCCCAATCAATGTTATAGGCGAAAGGTTCATTGGTTACATAGCTTTTCCTGCTCATATGTTTTAACTCGGTTTTCCTTTTCAATTTCACAAACGTCAAGTCTAACCAGCTTAGATTTTTAACCATGCCCTCAACTTGCACTTTGGGCGTTTATCCTTTGCCATTAGAATAATAGTAATAATTTATAAACTTATTCAACGCATGCTGTTAGGTACAAACTATAAAAACCTGTTCTCTAAATGATGTCTGATCTAATCCTTGAGATAATTATCGTCTAAAACTCTTTTCTTTCATATAAATACAATTAAAGGTAGGAGAGAAAACCTCCCAAAATTGTGCTTCGTCCGGGCAGTAAGGTAGACGAACGAATGAACATGAAGTCAGGAGTGATTTGGATACATGCACTTAAATTTTCATACGTCGTTGTCTTATCTCCCAAAGGCGAGAAAAAATGTGAGCCTAACCCGTGTCAGAACAGTGGAGTCTGTAGAGAACTTATAGAGGACGAAGATTACAAATGTGAATGTTTACATGGATATAGAGGCAAGGATTGTGAAGGTGAGTTAATTGGATGTATTTCCCCAAATTCTAAAGGCTTTTAAAAACCCTTTAGTGATAATTCTGTGCAACAGAAATTTGTCCCAGTTTGATTCTGTTGTTGTTGTTGTTGTTTTTTTTTTTGCAGAGGAGATTAACCTGTGTGAATCAAATCCGTGCATAAATGGTGGCACATGTTCTATGTTAGGAAGTTCATACCACTGTCTTTGTGTCGAAGGATTCAGGGGAATAAATTGTCAGGGTGAGTTGAAAAGCAATTGAATTGATATCGACCAAATTTCCACATTTGCTATCGAGCCGCTCTTTTTACCTAGTAAGGCTAAGTCAGTTTACCACTCAGGCAGCCCATGGGTCAAGGAGCCTATGCCTTTTTTTCTTAGAGTAAAGGGATATGGCTTGTTGCTACTACCGTGTTCCTAGCAGAACGGGTTCGTCGTGGGTCACCATGCTCATAAGAGCTCGTGGGTACCAATTTCTAATATCGGTGGCGACGAACTCACTGAGAGTTATGCGTCTTGTCCAAGAACACAACGCTTTGAACCAGTCAGGGATTGCAAAATTTGCGACCCACAGGCCAGGCCATAAACAGTTAGGCCCTTTCTTCTTTACCAGAATTCCTTATCCAATAGCTAGCCAGTCTAAAATCAACAAAATCGACTGTTTAACAGAGCCGGATAGATGTCACGCACTTCCTTGTCAAAATGGTGGATCATGCTATCAGGAAATCACCGGGACATACAAATGTCAGTGTCCAGAGGGATTTAGAGGTTTCAATTGTGAAGGTTAGTATGTGTTAGTGCTTTGAATATAAATCCAACCAGAGAAATGCTTTACGCTTGCCGAAAACCTTTTGTAATCTGCGGAGCAGAAATCCACGTGGGTTTACCAGGCTTGGACTTTGAAAGATGTGTCATGTGGTTGAGCTGATCAAAAAACATTTCTTACCTCGGCCAAGATATCGATCGAATACCTTTCAATTTTTGATATGCAACTCTGCAGGACGTTAAATCTTTGTCATTTACCCCCCATATTTTAGAGGAGTTGAAGTGTCATTCCAACCCATGTCAAAATGGTGGTACCTGTTTTGAGAACAGTGGTGGTTATACTTGTACATGCCAACCAGGTTACAAAGGGATCAACTGTGCAGGTAATAAGCTTCAATAAAATCTACGATTTGCCATAACAATGAAAAAGTGATGAGTAACTACATCTCAACTTTAACTTCATCCCAACTCTTTACTTTACGATCTTTACCAATACATTTGTTTTCAAGAGAAGAAAAAAAACTTAACTTTAAAGGTCGGCATACATCATGCAAGAACTGATAAAATCTGTAATGAACCCCTCCTCTAGAGCGTGACAACTGTCACCCTAATCCCTGTCATCATGGTGGCGTATGTGAGATCGACGGCGAAGACTTCACTTGTTCCTGTTCGTCGGGGTGGACTGGAATCACGTGTGAAGGTAAGTTCTTTGGAACATTTTTTAACAGTGGGTAATACATGGACGATCGTGCGGACAGACACACGGACGACCGTGACTGGCTGCCTACATGGACGAAACGAGATGCAAGCAGTACACGAAGGAAAAGGTTGATTACTCTAAAAAATCATGTCTTCCCTATTTCGGTAGATGAAGACCACTGTCACCCGAGTCCTTGTGAGCACGGCGGAGTTTGTATAGCAAAGGGAGCATCCTATGAATGTCACTGTCCCATACATTGGACGGGAATTAACTGTGAAAGTAGGAGCTCTTTTTTATATATCCTTTATGAAAAAGGTCGATCACTTCAAGTCCAGTCCATTATCAAATTATGGGAGCAAAAACTCCTTAATTCTGTAAACCATTACAACAGAGAAATTTTAATACGCTATCAAAAATAAATTCATCTAATGCGAAACTAAAACAAACACTGGTGATTTGTCCACTCCTGTTTTCCCGCATTTTAAACGGTTTTTCACTTTCACTTTGAGTCGTCATTGGCTCAGCTTTGGCTGCTAGTGATGCTTAACTTTATTTTGATTGGCTGTAGTGAAACTTACCTTTATTTTGATTGGCTTTAGCGATAACTTTGGTTTTGGTCTTGCGACACTCAATCGAAATTCACTTTAATGACATAAGTCAGCCATCGCTATCAATAACGACACTCGAGAGCTTTTTACATGTAAAGCCGGAGAAGCTTCACCTTTGCCTGCGTCAAACAGGATATTTATAAATCTTTCATAAACTTGAGATGAGATATAATTTAAGGCAGTTGGAGATTGCCAAATTTTTCCATTGCAACCGATCAAGTTAGGAACGTTGACCTACTGTGTTTTTAGTACCACTGTATAAATATTTATCCACTGCTCTGTTTAAATCTTTCACAGCACCCTCCACAATAGCTTACGCAGTGGCCAACACATGCGCTGCCACCACCTACGGCTGCTGCCCTGACGGGAAGACACCAGCTGCAGGACCTCACCAGACAGGCTGCCCAGGTATAGATTTTACCTTAGCAAACGCGACTTCATAGTCACACTTTATAAGCTTTAACAGATTGAAAACAGTCAGTTTAGGGACAGTAATAATTTGTCACCTTAGAGGGGTGGGGGGAGGGGGAATGTTTGGAGGATCACATCGTTTTCAGGAGGAAAGGAGAGGGGATCGATAGTCGGCATAAAGGGGGGACCAGGGAAAATTGACTACCGATAAGGGGGAGGGGGGGTCTTTAGAATACTACAGAATCTTAGGCTTGATTTCATCGCAACAAAATCCAAAATTCTCCAAACCTCCCCCTCCCCGATGATAAATAATGACCGGTCCCTCACTTGCCTGTCCACGTTGGTTCACTCCCCGGACTCTGGGTCAAAATTCTATTCAAACCAAATTATCAACAGCCCTATATTCCAATTCTGAGCTTGAAAGCTAAGCCACGCCAATGTCAGTCATACATGAAGTTCAATATGATATAGTTGATGCGATCAGATCCGTAGCAGGTCAATAAATTCTATAACATTTTATACTCCCTGTAGTTTAAGTGTACTCTGCTTGCACGGTGCTTTTAAAACGAGTTCAAAGTTCATCTTTATTCTGAAACCTATAACAGATCTTTTCGCATCTGTTTCGGTGTTGTAAAGAGTTTTTGACGTTGTTTTCTTTGTTTTTCCTAAAAATGTTAAACTTGTTCCGGTCATCGAAAAAGAACATATTGGAGGTGAGATATGATCTTCTTCATATGATCCGTATTATGTATATTATTTTTATTTCTTGATCCGCATTAATTGAAACTTTCCGTAGTGTAAGGGGTTTATGGCGGATGGGTGTATATCTGTATATTTACATCTCACCACGCTAACAATGAGGAGCCATCGTAGTCCATCGGTCAGGAAAATAATTGGAACTATTCTAAAGATGCCGAAAATGATTCCAATCGGAAAACGACAAGAACAGTAGGAATAACATACTAAGACCGATCGAAAGCTAGCGATTCATTTCAAATGCGAACCTAGCTGTGGAAAGAAAAATCCAGAATTTGGGTCAAATCATTCAGACGATGAGCGATCCGCACCTAATCTATGAATCCACTTGATTGAATGTGAGGATCCGAATCGTTATGAACTGCACAAGAAGAAAAACTTGTCAACGTTCTTGATCTCGTTGTTGTTGATGACTACCAGTGGTGGAGGCCACAAGTCTCGTGCCTGAGATGATGATATTGGCTATACAAGTGTTAATGTCTCGCTCAGACTGATGATATGTTAAAGCGCCAACAGGCTGTTGAAGAACGATCTATTATACATAATCCGTAATGATAAAACAGTAAACAAGTCCTTTATTTCATTTTAAATCTTTAGGTATCGCAAAGTAAGCGGTCCAGTGTTCATGATGTCAGCTTCGATTCTGGCAACTCAGATAGGGGCCACCTTCAGGAAGAGTACCCTTGCCTGTTATTTGTATGAAAGATGCGGAGTGCATGCTTTGTTTGAAAGAGTAATCTAGCTTGAGCTGAGCTCGAATCATTTGCATTGTAAATATTAACGCTAAAGTAATCTAATCAAAGTATGCTATGAACACTAAATTAGTTGCCACAAGATGGATAAATAGAGTGTGTCATACAAAGGTACTTCCACCCTGCGAGATTAGATCGAAAGAAATGATTTAAGAATCGATTCAAGAAAGTTTTGCGAACTGTGGGAAACTTACAGATCAACTATCAATTTTCTATTTTTAAACTGACGTTAGCTCGTTGAAAATTGATGGAGTTTCTCAAAAAGTTACTGTTGAATATTTGGAAACTGTTTGATTCTAAGGGTTGATTTCCGCATTTTTCACGAGTCACTTCATTTAGTCCAGTCAGGAGAGGAGCGTGAGCTCATTTTCCGATCAGCGGCAGGTAATCGTGCTGCTGTTGTAAACAACGTAGGAGTAAAACGTCTACGCATGTGCCGACGCTGCGGTGGCCAGACGTCATACTTCATAGCTGTCAGAGCTGTTTTGACTAACAGGATCCTGAGAAACAACCACAAAGGCTAGTTTGTCGCAGTGTTTTGAAAACGTGCAGCTTTTTTCGTTAAAGCTTTAAAAACACGATGAATGAAATCAGCATTGTGTTAGGAAAGTCCTGAGTTTTCCCTATGCTGCTTTTATTTTCATGTGAAAGATTTCAGTGAACGTTTCCATTCCTTTTTTGGTTGTTTGACACGCTTTTCTTTTACACTTTGCGCCGGAAGTTGGCGCGCGACTGGCCGAAATCGATCCACTTGTGCATACCTTACGTTTGACTCCTGTGTTACGACAAACAGTGGCTGTATTAATATCATATCGTCGCCGATATTTTGAATGTTTTAGTTATCATTGCTTTAAAAACGGAGATTGGTTGAGAACAGCACTGGTATTGTCATGTTAGTTGTGTTGTTACAAACTTGTTATGCCGGTGACATTGCTAATACTCTTTCCGCTGGAAATTTTCAGCTGTATTGATCCGTTTTGACAGGCTCGGTTTATCTGTTATGACTTTTCATCCAGGCAAGAAATTGTTTTCTGGGCATGTTTTGCCACCAACGAGTGAAAGGCACATAGCATTAAAAATGTTGATTTGTACTAATAAAAGATGACACTTGATTTTGAACTTGACTCGGCTCACAGAAGTACTTTCTAATTATTAGAAATGACAGACTCTAGTCCACAACGACCCAATGTTTTCTTCTCCTTTTTCTTTTGCAAAGTGTAAGTTAATTAAAGCTGACTTGTCTTTTGAATTAATCTCAGGGGTGATGGTAACAAAGAACTCTGATTCAAATGAAGAAAAGGAAAAGATATTAAATGAAGAATCACATAAGCTTGCAGCAATGACCGATAAATTAAATTAATAAATATCTATTTATCTTCATTGAACAATTGGTTCAAGTGAGAGCAGTTGTTTATGTAGATATGAAAAGAAGGCGACAGTAGGAGGACCAGAAAGATGCGTAAGAGTTATTTGAGTGCTCTCCACACTCCCTAAGTACCCAATATTTAGATATAGGTGCCGCAGCTGACGTTTGAAACAACCGTTAAATATAGACAAATAAATAATTATATATTAGCTAATACGTCATTGCCAACTCACGAATGCTCTATTTTGCTATTTTTATCTATTTCTTTTCTAACTAGAATACGATGCTATAATACGTTATTAACCTTTTTGCATTGAAAGCCGTTATTAGCTATTTTTCCTGGCTCTGGTTTTAACAGTTTCTTAAAATCTTCAGAAGTCCATCCTTATATGGTTCGTAAGCGGCACACTTCGCCAAACAACTTAGTCGCACCAGTCCCTGCTGGTACTGACGTTCAGGAACACAAGCACTTCTCATCTCAGTGGCTTATATCTGATTCAGATGCGTATCAGTGAAAAAAAGCTGATGTTTTATATCGCTCTCTTATCCAGTGTTTGATTTGTTTCCCTCGTGTCTTCCACAACATTCACTGAGCCTGAGGGGAAAAAATGTTTAGTTTAATTGTTAAGTGATTATCAGAGCATCTCCGTTTTCTCTAATTTTTCCGGTTTCTTTTTATAACCATCCAAAATTAACTTACTCGACGGCTTTTTTAAAGCTGTGGTGCCTTAGTATTTCAAAATTACCTCAAGCGGGTGATTATGGCGAGGTATGATGCAATTCTCGACCAGTCACCTAGAGCCGGCTGTTCGAAGTGTGGGCAACGCTATCTGCTAGATAAATCTCTACCCCGTGGATGGCGCAGTACGTTTTGTCAACACATCCTCAAGATTGCGATTTATGCTTTGAAAAGCCTTATCTGCCTTTTGAACAACTGGTCCCTGAGTAATTATAATTCTTGGGAATAATACCCCGAATCATGTAATGCGTGTCGCCCGTAGTGCCCCCTAAGTACACCAATTGACCAATGGGAGGGCACGTATCATTTCAGCCATTTTCAAATAGTTAAGCGACACACCTATCGACCAATATAAATTCGTGGTACATATAATATCTTAGGATAGTTATGCAACTGATCTACCCGACTATGTATTTGTAGAATATCTATGATGGATGAACTTGAAGTACGCCAAACATTCTGTTTCAGAAGTGTAGAAAAAAAAAAAGAGGAGCTGTATTTCGAACCAGGAGACGTTTCAGCAATAACACACAAACTATTCTCGTAAAAACAGACGAGTCAAAGCGGACATCAAAGAAAAGCTGTCCATTTTCACTTTCTCTACGTCATTACCGAGTTCCAAATTTACCACATTTGTTATTCTGTTGAGGAAAATTCCAAAAAGCTCATTAGTATGGTACTGGACCCCACTGGAACGAACTTGAAAGCAATTCGAACGTTGTCAACAATTGTTGCGCAGAAGACTGGTACGAGGCAAAATCTAGCGAGCATGTTGATAAGTCTTTGACGTAAGTGCATAATAAACTAGTTCTTTCCGCGCAATATCCGCAATGGCTCGTAAAGCCAGCGACAGGAAAGTCAGATTGACTCCGTAAGTTGAACAAGATGGCCTTGAGCGCTAAGTCTCTCCGGCTGTTGTCCTTCGTCCATGTAGCGCTTGGTGTTTTAGCGATTATCGGAGGTCTTGCCGCAATGTTAGTGACAAATTATTACAATGGACTGTACGGCATGGGCATCTGGCTAGGCTGCTGGGTAAGTTAAATTCGTTACCGCAGCTCTTATGTAGCTGCTATATAATTTGATTGTCGGCTCAAAACGACTAACCCGTGCCCGCTGAATACTGGTACAATTTCCCTCGAAAGTTACATTAAGTGGGACGGTAAGATTTACGCTTACGTAAGGGGTTTCTGTTGTAAGTTGTTTTAGGGCTTCACCTACATGCTACGAAGTTAGGTGGTACAAAAATTATCATGAAAACATTCAGTATATATGTGATATTTGTTTGCGGTTACGGAAAAGAAGGTAGCGCGTGTGTTTGAGTGTTTATGTGAGCTCGGTGTTTCTTTTTTTTTTTCTGACTGCCCTTGCGTGACAAAAATTCTATACAATCTGAATAAATTTTTTTCCCTCGATATTAAGTGTGCGTCGGAGAAATCTTGATGATTTTTGCCGATATGAACGTTTCCTGAACAAAAAATACCAAGGATACCTGTAGATAAGTCGAGAAAGACGAGATCGGGGTACTGAACGGAAAGGAACGTTGACAACGGGCCAGTACGTAATCATGGAAAGAACGTTTCATGACAACAAGAAAGCGGACAGTCCGTCTGTTGTTAACCCATATGTCACATTAACGTCAGAGTTGCCAGGGGTTCTGACATTAATTAACATGAGTGCAAATATTGCTGGATTTTTTACGTCTGACTTGACAACTTTTCCCTTTTTCTATAAAAAGAGACTTTTTTTTAACATGAACACACACTTAAAATTATAATAGATTAAAAAAAAAAAAAATATATATATATATATTATAGGATGAAAACTAAATTGACTATACAAAATATATGAATTATATTTGTATTTCAATATTACAATGCCTGTATTCATTATTTGGAGTGTTGTTTCTGTTAAAATTGTTATTGGATGCATCTTTTTTAAAAACATTGATAGCAGCCTGGATCCATATATACATATATTTGTATAGTGTATTTATTAGTTCTTGATTTGTTTAGATCAATGATGTTTAAGGCATGGGGACAATTTTTTTGCCAAATTATTGCTGAAATGTTAATTTTCTTTGGGAGCAAACAATAGCAGTTTTAACAAAAGACCATAGTGAATGTTTGTTATTGTATTGAGTGAAGCTTAAAAGTGAAGCTTTGTATGCTTTCTGAATTTAATATGTAATGTTTCAGTACTGGTAAGTTTTACACATAATTGGGCAGATTGGAGTGTATTTGTTTTGTTACATATAGCTTGTTAGTGTGCCTGTTTACAAAATAACAATTTTCACCAGCATAACAGCAATATTATCATAACATAATTAAAATTTCAAAAATTTGTAATAAGGACAGTGCTAAGTCATGGTTACTCATGCACTTTTTCATTTGGTGTCAAGTTAGAACTATACTTGAAAGGTGTCAATTATGATTATTGCTAAGTTTTTTTGGGCTGCCTTTATTTCTGACATGGTAGTTGAATCTCAGGTCTTCAGTAATATGGTTCAGTTTTTTGAGTGGACAATTTATCATGCCTGTTGTTCTCATTTTAGTATTCAATGCCTATTTGCCAAAAGCAAGGACAATATTGTTGAATATAAGTTGTTAACAAATAGTTTAGACAACAACTCTGCACATTACTTTACTTTAACTTATTTCCTTTCTGAGACCCCTAAACCCCCTCCCCTTCCTCAAAACAAACAAACAATTCAAAAAAGTTACTTAGGCCATTTGAAAATTAATCACCCTGCGTATGTAGTGATTTTGTGATTGCAGCCTGTTTAATTATACCAAGAATGGAATGATATGATATTTAAGAGTCAGCTATCAATGCAATCTTTAACCTACAAATTTCCATTTCCATCTAATTCCTCTTAAGAATCCTCACTGCAGAATCAAAAATGAGACCATGAGAAAGAAAGTTTGTTTTAAATGATTGTGAATATATGGAATTCATATATATGAAAAGCAGATTATCAAGAAATGAATATGGGAGGGATCTTTGCTGTAATGAAACACTGCTTAAGGCCTGTATGGGATTTGAACCTATGACCTCTGTGATGCCGGTGCAGTGCTTTACCAACTAAGCTAATGAGCCAACTGGGAGCTGATCAATATGTTGGTTCCATATAAACCCGTGAAGTGATGAATCAACAACTGTGAATGTATGAAAGTTATATATGTGAACTGTGGATAAAGACGTGAATATGAAAGTGATCTTTGCAATTATGAACACTACTTGAGCAGTAGTGAATATGAGGCCTGAAAAAAATTCAGGCCTGTACAAGATTTGAACCCAATTGACCTCTGCAATACTGGTGCAGTGCTCTACCAACTGAGCTAACATTAGCCAACTGGAAGCTGATCATTATGTTGGTTTGTAAAACCTTGCCAAGTGGTGAATAAATGACTGTAAATATATGAAAACAATATAATTGTGAACTGATTGCAGTTATGACCACTACCTAAGCAGTGGTAAAAATAAGGCCTGAAAAAATAGTTAGTTTTGTTTTAAGCAAGCAAAAAAAATGTTTATTATTGCTGACACATTTTCATGGAAAGATGTAAATAGCAAAATCTAAAGAAACAGTCATTTAAAAAATAATAAAAATGTTGTTCATAAAATCAAATCTCAGACTGAAACATTAAGTTGATAAAATGTGAATAAATAAATGATGACAGAAATATACTTTTGTCATGACTAACATCTAGTTTCTCCTTACAACATCACCCCTTAATCAAACATTAAGGTCATGAGAATAAAGGAGATGATCATCAAATAAAGAATCTCTTGATTGTTGGAAAAATTCTCCTTGTCAGAACCCTTGAATGTCTAGGGAGTAGTATGGAGAATATGCTTACTGATGTTAGGGAGAGTAAAGGGTTAATTGCACTCAATTTTATAGTTCTGTCAATTTTGACAATTTTCTTCTTTTTCTTTTTCATCTTCAGGTCATATTGACAGGTTCGGTTGGATTAGCAAGTTCTCTGATGCCTAGGAACTTTTGCCGGGTATTGAAAAATATTCATATTCTGAAGATGTTAGGAAGATGTTTTTTGGATGTTCCATCAATAATCAACTAAATTTTTGTGCAAGGTATTCATAGAGAGTTTGTTATTCTTTTTAGATTGGAGGCTTTTTGGGATTTTGTCTGGTTGCTGTTGTCCTCCTGTCAGTTTGCTGCATTGTAATAGGAACAGTAGCTGTAAGGCACTTTGAGTTTGAGTCAAGTGTAACTCGTGATTATTACAAAGGCAAGGGTACTTTTGGAAATGAGCATCATGAAGATTTTTACAAATCAGAAGAATATTTTGAAGGGAGGCATGAAAACGGCCGCATTGGTCTAGCTGTGTATGGCTCTCTTTTGGTCATCAGCTTATGTGATGTGTTGTTGTGCTGTGCTTCTATCTATGTGTGCCGTGACCTTACTCGCAGTGAACAGGTATGAGTAATATCTATCTATCTATCTATCTATCTATCTATCTATCTATCTATCTATATCTATCTGAAGGTTAAACTAATCAATAAGACATAACTTTTCTGTGACTCTGAGTTTCACGCTTACACGATCACCAGACAGATTTAAACAGTTAAATACAATAATGTACATTTAATAATGCAGCAAAACTGTAATATAATGAATCAACAAGGGGCTGGCAGAATGCATCTATTGCAAAGAAAAAAGCTTGTCATGTTGTTGTTGTTATTTTTTTTTGCTTCTTGGTCAGTTGTGGACAAAAGTGTTGTCCAAGGCTATTCATAATTTTGTTTTTCATGTACCCTTGTTCCCACCAATAGCAGAGCATTCTTAATAGAAACCACACACAACCTAGTCAATACCTTGATTCACTCTGGAGAAGGGCTAACACTTGAAACATCAGCTTCAGAAACTCTTTATGGACGACCAATTTACATTATCAACTCAGTTGATTGACCAATTAAAGTTATTTTGTACAGGAGGGATGAGGGGGGAGGGGGGAGAGAGGTGGCAGTAATCAATAAAGGTAAAGGATTCTGACTTCAGCAAAATGTATTTAGGCTCACACTGCTGCTATGACATGAATGCTTGGCAAATGACTTAGCTTAAGGTCTGAGTAAGCGGGAAGTTCTAGCTTGTGAAATTCAGTTGCTTGAGTCATAATACTCAGCCAAATAATGGAATTAGTGAAGAAGTACATAGAGGCAATATTTGACTTGTCCAAAATTTTCCTTTTTGTTGCAGGTAACACTTGCAAGCAGTAATAGCCGTCATTCATCATTATCTCGTTATTCCCAACGGAACATTGCTACTTTACCCATAGCAGAGTTAGGGTATAGTCATCAGAACTGGGCAGAGGTTGTCTTCCAAGGAGCTATACCTCAACCCCTACAGCCTATTCAAGGTCATTTCCTACAGCATCCGGATTTTCAGTTTTTTGCACCATACAAATTACCGGTGAGTTAAAACTATGATTTGACCATCAGGAACATTGTACACTATTTCTCAATTCTTCTCAAAGTGTTATTATTATCATTAATAATTGTATTTCTTTATAATATGTAACATACAATAAACTAATGTAGAGTTAGCTTTCATCTACCAAAAAGGTTTCCAACAACTTTTTTTATTGCATCTTAACCCATTACACCCCAACATCAATATGCATATCCTTGTTAAATTTCCTGATAAGAAGAATTTGTTTGATAATCAAGAGCTTTTTTAATTGGTGGTCATTTCCTTTATTTTCGTGTCCTAAATGTGTGATATCATTCAGGGTGGATATCATAAGGAGAAATTATATGCTAGTTACTCTTAAGGGCCAAAGGGCTGAGGAGAAATTTGATGATTCAATATGCAGTCTTGTCTTTTAACACTCTCAGGATTCACCAAAAGGAATTTCTCTCCATTGTGAGTGCATTAATTATTAAGAAGAAATGTGATCAGATAAATAAAAAATATAAATCAGATAATGTAATTTGATTAAAATCCAAATTCTCAGGGCAAAAATTGTAAGAAAAGTATGGCAGATGGTGTGGAAAAGTAATATGAAGATGTTGAGAGTGATCTGAATTGTCTTGTGTATTAACTTTCAATGGTTTGACTCTCAGAGTCAGGAAGATTTTATATGCGCTTGCTACTTGATGCTCTTGTATGAATTTGAGCATAGGATGTGTGATGAAAATCATTTAATAGGCCCTACTGCACATTTTCAGGTCAATTGCGGTATTTTATTTTTCATTTAATTCCACATACTAGCAATTTGAAGTTCATGCCTTTAAATGTGATGACACATTTTCCTTTCTAAACCAGGACAATCATAATGCTTTAACAGTCACAAGAAGTCACAGGAAATGTTGTCAATAGTGTAACTTTGCTTCTTTAATTTCTGTTTAATCTGTCGACAATCATTACTAATATTTTCTTTTCTTCTAAATGTCAAGAATTATGCTGAACTTTACCCAGAGGGCATTGTTAACCCTGGCAACACACCTGTCAGTGAGGACACCAGACTACAGATTGTGCCAAATGAACCACCTCCAGCATACACACCAACAGAAAACCAAGAACTTTGTCAGCTTCCTGGCTCTTCATTGGGTGCCTCCTTGAATTCACACCCAGCATTGCCAACTGAAGAAAGTGCATCAGGTCAAGGGTCAACAACAAATATTTCAGCTAGAACCTTGACACCAGAAAATATGAATGTATCGGAAGCAACAAGAGTTTCACAACTTTCCAGTAGAGAACACCCACAATTTTCAGAGACACCGTCAGAAAATCTAGTATCATGTACCCCAGTTCTTACGCTGCATGCGGAGAATTCAACTTTTTCATCACTGCCTGTGACATCTTCAGCAGCAGATACTTCAGAAATTGTTAGAAGATCCTCAAGTTTTTCATCTGTATCACCAGGAGTTTCTTTGACTTCACTACCAAACTCAGTGCAACTCACTCTAGACATGGATCACATAGCGTCATCTGAATCACAAAACAACACTGCACGTCGTGAAACTGTTACTACTCCTGCTGAGACAAATGGAGATACATTCAAGGTGATAACTACATTGTAGCTAAGAAAATAACCACCATACTGGCTAACAAGAGAAAAAAAAAAAAAAAAAAGAAGCATGGCCTTTCTGGATTGCTAGAGAATGACATTCCCTGAAGAATGTTAACTGTTACTGTTTTGCTTCAGCCTATAGGCCTGGGCTGAATAGATGAGCTGAACAAATTGGATTAAACCACTTTGATATGGAGAGGGCTTGAAATTTGGTTATGCCTGAACAGCTGGACCCATTTTCTAATAACTATGAATCTAGTCATAATAAGGGGTCAGGAATGGCAGAGCTCCCAAAGTAAATATCCTTTGTTGAATCTCTCTTTTACGGTTCTTGACAACTAAACATAACATGGTTCCTGAGAACTTGGTTTACTTTAGGAAGAATTTCATGTCCACTTTTTGACACATACATATTAATCTGATAAAATTAATTTGCAGACAAATACCCTGCTAAGGGTTACCAATTAGTATGGTATCCACTCCTTCCTCCTTTTCCTCAGCCTTTTTTAACATTGGCAAACCAATATCACATTTTTGTATGCAAACTAAAGAGTTGAAACATACTCTTTGAGATGGAAGCAAAAGTAATTTCTAGCCCTAATGTACAGCTTTTTTCCTATCCTTTTTGAACCTGTCTTTGATATAAAGTTTTGTACCTATGGCAACCACTTTTGCTGCACTGTGGTACAAAATAAATATATCTCTATTTTTGGCAAAATGTGTTTAATTTTTTACATGATCCCCCTGCACCTACTAAGTAAATTTAATGTACACTCATATTTAAGTAAAGTGGCTTAAAAGTAGGACATAATCCAATTTAGCAACTTTATTATTTAATTGGTGTAAATATATTTTCCTACAAATTCAGTTGTGATATGCCATTAATAATTGCAAATTTCATGGTAAATAAATATTAATATTTTGTTCATATTAAGAGTCTTGTTTCCTTCCTGTCAGGTGAGAGCTACCAGCATTTTCCAACTTACTGACTTCACTTATTTTCACGCAATGCATTTTAACCCTTTAAAAGGCATTTTGATATACCTGAATAACTCCCATGAGTGACCAGGACAGAATTTCTTTGAACTAACATCATAAGAATTCTCTAGAAAACAGTAATGAGAAATTTACTAATGAGATTTTGAGAGTTAAAGGGTTAAAATGATTCCAACTACCCCCCTGTTCAGACAACATACCTCTTTGGTGAGGATCTTCTTCATTTACTGCCCTGTCCCTCAAGCCCTCTTCTCTGGACTCTTGTACTTTTGAAATTTATGAAACCCTGTCTTGATCTGATCAACTGATTTGTGACTTACTAATTTTTGACTTATTTGAGACTTTGAATTTGATTTAACTAAGTCTGTTTTCTCAGCCCGACCCCTCTGCCTTTTAAAATTTGGACCAGCTGGTGGAGGAAGGAATTGAATCACTTACTCTGGGAGAGGTTGAGGGTTAAAGCTGATCAGCTTAGACCAACCGTCTGAAAATAAATGAAATAACATAACTGGCTGTAGCAATGGAGAGCCTGCTACCCTTGCAATGACATTTTCAAAAAATGTAACACTCTACTCTGTGAGCAGTCTAACGAAAATTCCTCCACACAGCGCAGCATGTTGGAGTGCATTATGATGTACGAATTAACCCCTTCCCCCTCCTCCCCCGTTGATCATGCGATGAATGTTGCCATACGTTTTGACAACACTTATTCGCAGTTAAGCAATCTAACCATTGAATATAGCGTTATCCATCTTTTGAAAAACTAGACCCAGAAATTCAGAAAAAACTCTTACTGTTGGCTACTTTTTCAAAGAAAGAGAAATGAGAATGGAGCCCTCGGTACTTTTGGTCAGCAGTTTTGTTACCAAAAGGGCACAAATGTTATCATACATGAAGTCTCAAATTGCTGTGAAGACGTGCACAATCACTTTGGCTCTCCTCTAAGATTGATTGTGCAGTTCATTTTCGGGCTTTTTTTATTTCGATTTTGATGACAATATCAAGAGATCACTGACATGGAAGCAAATCAACAAACACAGAGTCAAGGAGCCGCCAAACAAGCCATGATTTATATCTGTGGAGGTTGGTTATCTTATGGAACATTGTAAAGCACGAGGTGCCTTCGATCCCGTAGTCTAGTTCAGACTCTTGATCCGTCTTGAACAAGAAATGAGTTAAAGAAATCAAGAGAGGAAAATCACTTGGATGAAATAAATTCCTCTCGGATTTTGGAAGGTTAATGGGTATTAAAATACGAAGTAGTGACTAATGATCAACAATTATTTAATAAATAGAGTAAGAAAGGTAGTAAATTTTGAGCAATGAATGTAGATGTTTTTCCGTCTTGTCACGAGCGTGCGACAAAGAAAAACTTTCGAATCCCCACGAGGAATGGTATAGTAGGTCCGTCAAATTAAAGGCAGCCAGAGGCTTATGAGGAGCATCAGTTATCATTGATCTCCTGATATGGTCATGAATCGAACTTCAAACCTTCGAATTCTGCGCTCGAAGCAACAAGACGAAAGGCATCTTTCTCTAACTATTTACTAGGACTGGGTTCGGTTTACGCATGACAGCGAGAGTAATCGAAACATCGTGGTTTGTGTTTTCTTTCAAAGTAGAAGGCCTTTGGATAATTCAAACTGAAGACTTGTTAACTCTTGCATTTATGTGAAATCGAATCCAATGGTTGCACGCTTGGGAATTACTATTGTCTGTACGTGTATTTGACAGAAATGTATTACATCACTCCTTCATCCATTAGAGTCAATCTAATAAGTGGCCGTGTTACCATAGTTCAAAGAGGTGAATGGTTTGGAAACCTGTTTTATTCTTCCCACAATGACAAAGTTTGTTTTCATTTGATTTATGTTAGTCTTTAAATGAGGCAAACTTAATGGAAATTATATTTTGTTGACACAAATGACTTCCTTTCCCATGTTTATGACTAGGAAGGGCTGAAACACACATACACAGACAAAAGCAAAGAGAAAAAAAAAAAACTTTTGTTATATCCTGATAAACTCTTAAACTCCCTAGATGTCATTAGGAATTATCCTGATTGTCTGCTGTACATTTCTTCTTGTGTTACTTCTGAGAAATTGGTATTGGATTAAGTAATAATCTAATTGATATTTATTTTGGTTCTCATCATTTTCCTTCTTGATTTAGTATTGATATTGTGAGGAGAAATTCTGTCTTGGTCACTTATAGGAGTTAAAGAGTTATCAAGTTAATGAATAGATTCCATGTTACTGTGCAACTGTTCTGTAATATATCACAGGGTGGCTCAAAAAAAAAAAAAAAAAAAAAAAAAAAGAAGAAATTTAGCTTCCATTATGATAGTTTGTCTCATTTGAAGACTAACATTTGAAAAAAATGATGTCATCTGTTATCCATAACCAAACAGACACATGGCAAATGGAATATATATTTTTATTGAGATGGGCATTTGTGTCTGTCCTCCAATAGGTCATAGGTGAGAACAAATCAAAATGTGTGGACAATTCAGCTTCTATTTTGACATGTTGTAGAATTTTAGGTGCAGGTGGATCTGTGGTAGCCTTTGTATAAAAGTAGTGACACCCACCCAGTTCACTAACTGGTTTGCCCCAAGAGGCTACAAAACCTTATTTCACCCTTTGACCCTCAAGAGTGACAAGCATCTAATTTCTCCTTACATTATCACCTCTGAATCACACATTAAGGTCATGAGAATATAGGAAATGATCACCAACTAAAGAAGCTCCTGATTATTTATTAAATTCTCCTTGTCTGCAACTTAGGAAATGTATAGGGAAGAGAATGGAGAATATGCATACTGATATCAAGGTGTAGAGAATTTAGATAACTTACTTTTTATAATTTTTGTTTTTCCCTATTATTCAGAATGTCACACAGAAAATGAGATCAAATCAAGGGATCCAATTCGTTGTCGGGAATGTGGATACAGGATCATGTACAAGAAAAGGACAAAGAGAAGTATCCTTTTGCCAACTAGGTGTTATGTTACTGTGCATAAAGAACTATTATGTGTCCAAGGGGATTCTGTGAACAAAAAAATCAGTTGACAGAAAGACAAGGGTTCCAAAATGTAAAAAAAAAAAAATAAAATAAATGGTTGTGCCTGAGTGACAAGCTGTTAACCCCTTTAACTTTCAATATCTGATTGATAATTCTCCCCTCTAGCTGCTACACATTTCCATTTGAATTTGTTATGGGTAACTGGTGTAAGAACAAGAGAACATCTCCTACCTGATACATCTCAGTATTCTCATTACCTACTGGATGATATAAATGTAGAAGTTAATCACTTTTGGGAGTTACAGGGTTGAGGCATTGGAATGAACCTGTGCATGAATTCCTAGTCTGATATAATAATTTTATCATATATCCTCACCTTTTCATGATTTTGTGTGGCAATCAATTCTAAGCTTTTACACAACCCTCCCCTCCCCCCTGCCCCTCCACCCATTTGACCCATGTCTGTGCCTGGGGAGTGGAGAATTCAAACCTTGCCTGACTAGGGTTGAAGCTTCAAATTGATCTGTGTATTAGTCACAAGGGTCAACTTTATTCTACCTTCATTAGAATTGAGATACTTTGATAATATTTTGAAGGATCAGTGCTTATGGGGAAGAAGCTGTATGGTAAAATCTACATATTTGTGGAAATTTGAGTTGAAAAGTAAAAGTGATTGTTTACAATGTAGTTGTCTCCTTAACAAATTGCTTCTCAAAGTGGTGGTTTTTGATGCCAGATGACATGGTTTTAACACCCTCACAAGACAATCTGCGCAAAAAAAGATATTTCTAGTGGAGTTGCAGTTCCATCTGCTCAGCAACACACCAGGAAATGAACATCATTGCATTCACACTTTACAGTCTCGTTTCTGCATCTTATCTTGCTGTACAGTACTCTTTTGTTAAGAAAATAATGCTCCATCATTAAAGTTCTTTATTTGAAACGTATCTTCTTACTTTTCTCAAAATGATCACCAATCATTAACCCTTTAACTCCCAAGATCTGATTGTTAATTCTCCCCTGTAGCTGCTACAGATTTCCTTGTTACTTAGTTATGACTACTTGGTGCTAAATCAAGATAGCAGCTTCTACCTGATAAATTTGAATATTCTCATTACCTGTTTGCTGAAGAATGTATGGATATTGTAGGGAGAAGTTTTATGTTTATCACTTCAGGGAGTTACAGGGTTAAAAAGAAAAAAATTCTTTAGACTTTACCCGCAATCAGAGAAGCCTGGGCTTGGTAAATATTTCACTTTTTCGATGGTACCATGTACCAACCTGACATTACAGAAGCGGTAACTAGAATGAGAGAAATGATTCAAATTGCGCTGTCATTGATCGAATAGACAGGAGTGTTTGTCGTTTTGCAGTGAGCATGAGACACTCAAGAAAAAGAAAGCAACGCTTTTCTGGATTGCTTTTAAGTTGGGAGGAACGGGATTGAAGAAATAACAACCATGCAGCTCACAAAAAAGCACCCAGAAGGTCTACTCCCCATAGGAAAGCGAGACGGGAATTTTTTTCTGCAAGAAATTGCTTGCCGCTAGTTGGCAACGCGTGGTGGCTTAGTGTGAGGAACAAAACAATTTTCGGGTCCGTTGGTTATGAGACAGTTATTCCCTTGCTGTGAGTTAAAGTGTTTGATATCTTATTTTACCGCGGTTAGTAATTAAGTATTGCGATGAATATGAACAATGTACTTTCCATGGAATTTTTCGTCTCTGAAAACGACCAGTTCTAACGATCTGGAGGGCGTGGCACTGAACCTTTACCTTAAAGAATATTTAAATGACGTTCAAAAAAAATAACAAAGGAAAACAACAAAAACAAACAAAAAAAAGCAGTAAGAACTCTATGCTACTTTCAACTGTCAAAATGAAGTAAATTGGTGAGACACTATTGTAAAAAAACAAACTGCTTTATTTGTGAGCTAAGGCGCTCGTCTGACTTCTTGTTAAATAACAATATTTACAACGCAATTTAAGAATTTTCAATTTTTACAACCAACTCTCTCTAAGCTCAGAGTCCGAGTGAGAGTTTATCGATGTGCTGTTGACATGAAGCGTGCACTCGGTGAGTATTGACGTAACAGTTGTGTACTCTCGTGTAAGCGTCGGATCAAGTTAATTGAAATGTTTTATGTACAATTTGTTGGTTTGTTTCCTTTTCGTATACGGACTGGAAAGCCACTGAGATAACAGTCTGACACTGATTATACTTTGATCCTTCGACTCTCCCAAACCTTTGTCAGTAATCACTTATAAAAATATTATGTGACATCTTCCAAAAAACATTTACATTTTAAATTGATATTGTCTATAAAATATCATCATCACACCAACGGGATTCTTTTCAGCCCAATTAACTGTAGACTTTTCTACCCAAGCACGAAAGAGCCGCACTTAAATTATTTCACTGTCCTACGGTTCGTCATACGACAGTCTTAAGGTAATTAATTGTGAATCATTAATGATCATTAACAATATGAACGGGTGGGGGGAGGGGGAAGGGAATAAACTCTCAACAAAGTAAATAAAACTAAAAACAATGGCCCAATCTACACCTAAACTTACATTATAAGCTTATTTGTTTATACTAAAAATGAAAATGTAAGTAAATGGAGCTTAATCGCGTTCTTTGGGGTCGTTTTGTTTGACTACTGAAAAATGATGGACAAGGTGGTGAAGCCTTTAAAATAAAAATGTGCGAAGGTCGACAGACATCGCATAGACAAGACAACATAAATGCGGAGCACGAATGGCTCAGGACGGACACGAGTTGCACGTTGACGACAGATGAATTTTCCTCTGCTATGCATACGAGTAAAAACTCTACACAGAATCTGCAGCTGGTTCTTTATCTTCTTCGTTATCTTTCCCCGATTCTTCCTGATCTTTGCCATTTCGCTCGGTGGACGAGTCTTCCTTGGGCGTCTCCTCGTCATTCGTACTGTGATCGAGTGATTCTCTTGGATCTTGAGGGGTAGGGTCGTCTTTCTCTCCCTCAGGTGGTTCCTGTTCTGGGGGATCTTCCCGGGACGTTTCCTTTACAGAACTTTCTCCAGGCTCGTTCTGTTGCTCATTATCATTCTCCTTCGTTATATCATGTTCTCCAGCAGGCAGTTCACCCGACGGTTGGTCAGCCTCCTCTTCAGGTGCAGCAGACTCTGGTTCCTCAGGATTCCCTTTGCCTGCCGCCTCCTCAACTTCAGGAGCAGAATGATCACTTTCTTTAAGTTCATCTCCACCTGGTTGTTGTTCTCCTTTGTCGTGGTTCTCTCCTTCTCCTTGTTCCGCGTGTATTTCACCCGACTCAGCTTGCTCCTCCTCGCCCTTTTGTTTTTCCTCCTCACCGTCTGTTTTGTCTTCCTCTTCCACGCCCTCATCTTTGTCTCCTTCGCCTCCTTTTTCGTCTTCCTCGTCTTCTCGTTTGTCTCCCTCACCTTCACGTTCTCGTTCATTCTCTCCTTCACGTTCCTGTGCACTCTCTTCGCGTTCTCGTTCATTCTCTCCTTCACGTTCCTGTGCACTCTCTTCGCGTTCATGTTGATCTTCTCCTTCGGCCACAACAGGTTGTTCATTACCATCTTCCTTCCGATGTGCATTATTCTTTCGTTCGTTTTCTCTTTCCGTCAGGAACTGCTTTACTTCATCAGATATTTCTTTTGATATCTGATTCATTGGCAGGAGCGTAAGGTCGACAACTGACTTATTGGCTTTTGCTGCTTCAAAAAGCTTTAGCGCTCCTTCGTCACCAATTTTGTTCCCCTCCATGTCAATGTAACTGAGGCTTTTACATCCTCGTATACCGTCAGCCAAGACAACAGCTTCCTCGTCACCTAAATTATTGAAGTCTAGAGAAATTGTTTCCAAAGTGCTGTTTGTGATCAAGGCCTTGCTAATACTCTTCCAACCCTTCAAGTCAATGTTGTTACCGCTGATCGTTAGTATCGAGACCGTCTGGTTATGCTCGATCAGTTTGGCGATATGTTCGGCGCCATCTTGCGTGATGCCACAGTCTCCTATGTCCAGGTTCATTATTGCCGTGCCTGTGGTTTCTAAAATAGCGTCGACTAGTATCCCAACTCCATTATCGTTTAACTTATTTCCATGTAACCTGAAACAGAGCAATGAATCCGATATTAGCGGATTTTCTCGCTCTAGTGAGAGGGATTCGAATTTGACATATCTTCGAGATCTATCTTTAAAAATAGGCGAGCTGATTTGCTGATACAACTGTACCAAAATGCTGATACAACGGTACCATAACATCTTTGAACAATACGACATAAAGAATCCGTTACAAATAGACAGGATAAGTTCAAAATCAGTAGGTACTCACAGTAGCATCTTAATTGAATTGTTCTCTCTGACAACTTCAGCCAAGTGTTTCGCACCTTCTGGCCCGAAAGTATTCACACTTAGGTTCAGCATCTAAAAACAATCAAACAAACAAGCGCACCAGTTAATATCATTCTATATAAAACATTTACTCGCGGCTGTGGGTGATAAATTGACGAACGCACCTTTAAATCGAGCCTATTCTTCAGAGAAGGAGTCAGTATTTCTAGCATATTGTCATCTAGCGCAGCATTTCTGAGAATAATTGATCCAAGCTCCTCTCGTGAGTCGATGATACTTGCGAGCTCTTCAACCTGTGATGTAGGAAAAAAATAATTGATCCAAAAATAAAGGGATTACCTGTTTTAAACAAATAATAAATACCTTGGAAAAAATTCATAACCTTGAAGTTCTAGGACCGATTATCTAACAAAGTTTAACCGTTGTTTGACAAAACCGCGTTCTAAACTATCTTCAACTTGGCCGAACCTTTTATCTTAAAATTTATTTTTGTGAGCTGTGACAAGAGGGCCGACAGTTAACAGGGGAAGGACACTTATGACATCAAATCAATCCCTCAAAGACAACGCCAGAAGCCCATTGCTTGTGTAAAACTGTGGTTTAGGCAGGACCTCGCCTAAATAACCGGCCTATACGGTTAGGTTCTTTTTTTTCAGAGGGCTTAGTTCGAAACGGTCATTAACCCTTAAACTCCTAAGATTTGATCGTTAATTCTCCCCTTTACCTGCTACTCATTTCCTTGTTAATCGTTATAAGTATCTGGTGTACGATAAATACAACAATTTCCATCTGATAAGTTTGAGTTTCTCGTTACCTGTTCGCTGGATAATGTTTAGATATTTTGGGGAGAGGTCACAAGTTAATTATTTCTGGGAATTAAAGGGTCAAAATTGAATAAAAATGAAAATGTCAGAACACTCAAATTCCTGCAATCGTGCCTATACTGTACCTGTTCTTTGGCAAGTTCAACGCCAGCGATGTCAACATCCTCTTTCCCTTCCAGCAGAGAACGGACTGAACCCTGGTGCTTGGCACCAGGCCGCACGCCAACTGCCTTCAAAGCCTGATCCGGTAACTGACCGGATGAGACTAAGTCTGGATCACTTCCGGGATCTTGATCAGGTCCTGACTTCAGTTTCCCATTCTTTTTGGAATCTCGCTCTGGCGATAAACAAGAAACAAGAAACAGAGAGTTAACGGTGAAAAATTGAAAGGAAAAAAAAAAACCAACAACAACAACAACATGCTGGCAGTGCTCTAAGATGCGACTGTTTTGTGAGTAGAAAACAAGTGAAACTTGGCGACCAAATATGCTAAGAAAGTCGCCAATTTGGCCACCTGCCTCTGACGGTAATGCAGCATGCTGGAACATTTTTATTACTAAATGTTTACGGCGTTAACTTAGAGTGAGATAAACATTTGCATACATATTACTCAAAATTTCCTTGCTTTTTTACCTTATTTACTTGGTCGACTGACATTTTAATTTTAGCAACCTTTCCATTACTTTACATCTCCAAATGGTGTTGGAGTTGGCTCCCTACGTAGGTGCAAAGCACTACACACTTCCAGGATCTTTGATTACATTTGATTACAGTACTTGTAGACAAACGACTACCGACAAGCTATTAGATTACAATTAGCTTGTCAATCATGTTGTTGATGTCTTATTGGTTATTGGTACGACAGAGTACGATATCACTCTTTTCTAACCATTATACCTTGTTTTCCTTCATCCTCGCTGTCGCTGCTTTCACTACTGCTACTGCTACTACTACTGCTGCTGCTGCTGTCACTAAGCTCTGGAGACTTCACAGTATCATTCCTGTCAGGTTGGTCATCCTCTTGATGCTCCTGCTCAGCTGGGTTAGTGACTCCGTTCTCCCGTCCGTGATCCAGGGACTCAGGGACGTCTTCAGCCTCCTCGTCATCCTGCTCAGCAATACTTGTACTTGGACCCTGCTTGTTTGGCGTTTCTTCGTCGTCTGGTACTTCGTCTGGAGTCTAAAAAAATGAACATCGTACAATGTATTATCAGGGTTATCAAGGACGTCTTGGATAACGAGCTGCCCTCGAGAATCGATTTAAGACATTAAAGGAAATTTGTGAAGGATCATGCACTTGGCTTAACACACGACAAGCTAGTCGTTTCGCTGCCATACCTCTTCACCTTCCTCGCCTCTCTCTCCATCTTGGTCACCTTCAATAACAGTGACATCCTCATCAAACGAAACATTCTTGCTATGTCTTCCTTCAGAGTCTGTTGGACTCGCTGGGCGTTCAGCATCCTGTCATCAACAAACACAACAACAAAATGGGGTCAACGTTTAAAAGGCTAATCGAGAGGCGTGTTGGATCAGGTTTCCGCTGAGCGTCTGAAGGCCAAAATCAACGTTATTGCAACAACCAATCAACAAAGAGGTCAACATCCTCATAAGCCAATGAAAATTCAGAGTTTAAAGAAGCAAACTGCTCGAGCGCGGGAAGAGCCCGGTGCACAGCCGCGATGGTTTTAATTTTGCATCTGATTGGTTGAGAGTATGACGCGAGTTTTCTGAACCAATCACAGAACGAAGTAAAGCCAAGTCAAAACAATCCGCTCAATTCAAATTACTGTCTTAATATCCATTCTTATATTCATGCAAACATTACATCAACCGATTATCATAAGTCGATATTCATAACATCCGGAGGAAAATATCACCCAGTAGAACTACCTCAATGGGATTACGATTAGTCCCCTTTTCAAAGTAAAATATGTCGAAACAAAAGAATTTGACCACAAAGGAAAATATAACCGTAGCCAAAAACTTCGTCGTTTCGTTTTACAAACAAGGCAGCTATTGCTCAAATTCACCACCAGACAAAGCAAAAATTACAATTATGTATTAAAGTGATGATCAATCTCTCTAGCAGGCCACGACCACTTAGTACAGGACGCACTAAGTGTGCATGGAATCTTTTGCAGTAAGGATGCGCAATGCCATACCAAGGAATGAATTTAGGTTGGAGATGTTTCAAAACACCCTCCGAAACATCGATCATATATAACAGGGTTATCAATTTAGAAACCTCCCCATCATTACCGAAAAAATTAAAACAAAAGTAAAACGAACAAACAAACAAACAGACAAACAAATTAACAAAACCCTTCCCTAGATTTATTTGTATATTAAATTATATCTATAAAATGGTTATTTAATTTATTAAAAAAAAAAACCACCGCTTTTAAGCTCTCAATATTTCGTCAGGTTTCACGTAAAACATTCCTCAGTTTGTTAAGATGATTCAAAATATCGCCCAGAATTGTATCACACCTTTCGCCAGACTTTATTATCATTTATTTGTGGGAACATTATTTTGTTTTAAACTTACTTTTAGTTAATATTATCAGTATCGTTATTTTCCATTCTCTTTCCATTTTCAAATTGTCGATTGTTTTCTTACAAAGAAAAGATAAAGCAATCCAGATTGCTAGACTCACCTCCCCGGAAACATAGCTGTATCGACATAACAGTTTCTATTAATTTATTGTGCTTATTAGAACAAGTAAGGAGCTTTGCCTTAATATAGTTTATTTCATTTAGATTTATTTTTGTTATAATTCTTTTATTCTTGTTTACTTTTGTTATTTAGATTTATTAATTCACTTTTCGCATTAGATCTACAGATTACTTCTAGTTATTTTATTTCATTTTACTATTGCTATTATCGATATTATTATATTTACTATTAATATTATCATTATTACAATTACTACCTTTGTTGTCATCACTTTTATCATTATTATCATTATTATTATTATTACTGTTATTGGAATAACTATTTTCAACGTTTTCGAATGCACAATATTATTATTATTATTATTATTATTAATTTTTTTCTATCATTTGTTTTATCCGTTAGTAGTTGTCTGCAGTAGTAGTAGTTGTATTGTATCGTAACGTATTTCAAGGTATGCATCTATGATTACGAATTGTCTGTAATTAGTACTTTTTAAACGGGCCCGCCTAGACAAGCATAGGTTATCTGCGAGCCAGGAGAAAATTTACCCTGCTTCCTAAAGATGTTTATCTGAGATTGATTTATTCCTGTACACTACAATACACGGTTTCTGTAACACAAACAGATACGTTACAGAGGCTCTCGTGGTAAATGTACATGGCTTATTGTTTGTAAGTTGAGCACTTTTCGGCTGTGTGTCGGAAGTACTGAAATCTGGGATGTAATTGCATGGTTTACTTTCCATCACTCTGTGGTAAGTTTAGAAAATTCGCGTCACCCTCTTGGCCAATCAGCTGCAGAACAAATCTGCACTTTGACATATACATGCTCCCGCAGTTTGCTTCTTTTGCCTTTGAGTTCTTTTGAGCTCCTTGAAATATTTTGTTTGTTCTGATTAGCCTACCTGATTACTTAGGGTTTTTTGGTTTTGGGACGCACAAGTCGAGGAGACCGGGCAATTGGTTTCTTCTGTTAATGTTTAACACTTACGTGATTGTTTTCCTTCTCTGTTTCATCCTCAATCTCTTCAGGATCATCCTCTCGTTTTCCAGTGTCAGCTGCCTGTTTTTCCTCTGTTTCATCTGGAATATCATCTTCAGGTTCATCATCTTCTTTTTCACTGTCTTCATCCTCTTCACCCTCACTCTCAGACTTGCTTTTCTCTTTCTCTCCATCCGACTCGAAGTCTTCATTATATTCTTCGTCATCTTTACCATCTTTATCATCTTTGTCATCTTCTTTATCAGTTTCTTGTTTCGCGTCACTTTTTTCCTTGTTGTCTTCTTCCTTGTCCGGGGATTCCTCGAACTCATCATTCTCATATTTATCAGCTCCTGATTCTTCACCTTCGCCACCACCTTCATCTGTCACCGAAAAAAAAAAACGTTCTTGTCAATACAGGACGTTTACATTACTTATAACCTGTTCCAGGCGCTCCGTTTACAACGCAAAACACGATAGCAAACGGCGCGATAGTAGCAGAGGAATGAAAAAATGAGAGAGATTTGGGTCGGATCGAGTCGTGTAAAGAACTCAAGACCCAAACTCCCCTTCATACGCGACCCGACCCAAGTCTCCCATTTTTCTCGTTCCGCCGGAGCTATTTCGCTCCGTTTTACTAACTGACTAATTAGTGAAAAAGGAGCAAGGCTCATTCCGAGAAACTCAATCAACGTCGTCTTCAAAAAATTTACTGGATTCTCCGGCCGCTGGTGATAGCATTCGCGCAATGTAACAATAGGTAGAATTTTTAAAGATTTTATTTTTTGTAAATCAAAATGTCACGGTAAAAGGCGGCGTTCTCCGATCACAAGCAGTGTTTCTCACAAAAGATTACCCCTTTCTTGAACTGTATATAATAACAAAAATCATTTCCTGTCGTCAATCAACTTATTCGGTTTGTCATTCAATTGAAATATGGTAGGCCCAGTCCCCGACACAAAAAAGAAAACTATTTCTTTCCTTGATGTCTTACCTGGATTATTCTCTTTAGTGTTCTCCTCATCTTCAACTGTCAATTCTTCTTTGTCCTTGGCGTTATTCTCATCACGAGGGGTCTGGGTACTACTGTCTACCATTTCACCTTCGTCTGTCAATTAGAAAGAAAACCAGAGGTGAATATTAAAGTAGAACTTCTTTGAAAAACCGTAGGATTATTCTGCAACAGCCACTGAACCGACTGAAATTTAGTAAGAATAACTGTTTCGATATCGTCACTTAGGTGATGGCCAAAACGGTTGCAACTTCGTCGATTCTAATCAACATCTATTTTTCACTGGCAGCATGAGAACCCACGCAATATTTGTGCTCTTAAGTTTTAATTCTGCCAAAGCCGGATTGATTTTAATGACAAAATGCATGATGTGTGGCATTGTCTAATCAATAAAGCATCTCTGAAGGCTAGCCTACATGTGTAGTCTTAATAAATAATGGGTGATGATAATAATTAAAAAAAATTTAACTTAAAAAAGAAATATTTTCATCTTAAAACCAAAAAAAAACAAAAAAACAAAAAAAATGTAATTGCTTTAACACGTGATTGCACGTTATAAGATCAGCAAAATATCAACCTTACACCGGTCAATGCATTTAGCACAAGCTTCACTTCCTTGTAACTGTTTAAATAATAGAGATTCCCGCGGTGAAATTGTATGGAAACACCTTCAAACTCATTCAGAACGGTCATTTATTTGCCATACAATGTAACTGGTTCGTCTCCTTACATATTTCTCTTTCAAATAAAAGTACCTAGCGAAGTAACTTTTGAAGCCGTAAATTAACCACGGCTCTAGGCCAACCTTTTGGCTATCTGCTGCATTGTTTTTAAACATTATCAATAAACAACAACAACAACAACAACAACAACAAAACCTTAAATGTTCATTGTCATATAAATTGTCGAAGCCCGTTTAACTCCATAAATCCTTAAAAAAATCCGGACTCTTGCCTCTAGCCCTACCTGAATACCGTTTGATTTACTTACAAGATATTATTTCAACAAAGCCTCTTGTTGGAAATACTTTTATCGTGAAGGCACGTGTATCTGTGTTTAATACAGGGAAGATCAAAAATCAAATACGCTTTTCGATGGAGCGTCGTTAAACGAAAACCAAAGTCATCACAACGGTCAATCGAAAGAAAGGGAAATACGTGTAAAGGCCGATAAGAACTCAATGTAAAAACAGCCATACTGCCTTAAGCGCGGGAAAACGCGGGTGATATAGTCATAATTGGGCTCAGTTTTACATCTGATTGGTTGAGAGACTGGCGCAAGTTTCTGGACCAGTCACAGAGCAAAGTAAAGCAAAACCAATGTAATCCCTCATTACTTTGGACATTAAATTGAAAATTGCTCTTAATTGTAAATTACTTATATGATTTTACATGCCACGTAAGAGCTTTCGTTTAGAGGATGACTTTTCAATTTGTTCCTTACAGGCTTTGCCAAAGAGAGATTAGCACATCCGCTGTTTGAAATGTAATATAAAAGTTAATTCAAAATTCATCCTTCTTCAGTAAGATAACAGATAGATAAAAGAATTATATTTAACAAGTAATAACGATGCCATCGTTTGAATTATAGGCTGACTTTTTTCATGTTTTCATATAAGAGCTTGTTTTACCTTACTTTTCATTTACAAATAACTTTAATCTATCAATAATAATTTAAACCTCTTAGCGCAATCGAATTTCTTAGTTTACTTCACAATCGCGCCTATTAGACATGGTCTGCCTAGGTGCAACATGGAAAGTTCACTAAAATGCGCAGAAAGATAACACCTGGTACACGTAAATCAAGGAAGATCAAGCTGCATGTGTATCAAAAAATGAGAGGCTACATGTCAAGCGCTTTGTCCAACGCCATTGTTAAGCGTGAGAGCATAACACTGTTTCCCTGAACATGCGCATCGATATCCTCGATAAGCTCTTCGAACGTCTCGATATTTGATCCTCGCTTCTCGATCCTCAATTCTCGGTCCCCGACTCCAGATTCTCAAATCTCGATCTTCGATCTTCGATACGTGATTCTCGAAACTTGATTCCCGAAGGTTTTGGGATCGAGAATCGAGTTTCGAGTCGAGACTGTCATCAACGTACTTATGAGCGGACTACCGTATACCAGAGAGAAATAAATTACATCCAGGGTAAAACACTTTCTTAGCTAAATGACAATACAATCATGCTAACTTTTTTACCTTTTTCCTCGTCCCCATCCACTTGATCACCATCTGATTCAGGTTTTAGCTTAGTTATTATCACATCAAATGTCTCTCCTTGTTCTTCCTCTTCCTGCTCATAAGCTGTCTGCAAATTGAGAAACAGTCATACAGTGTATGCCCCAGATTCAAACAAAACAATAATAAAAATAAATGAAAAACAAGAAAAAAACTAAATTTACCTCAGTCATAAAAGTTTTAGATCTGTCGGCTTCACCACCAGCCTTATGCTTCTTGGAATATCTGTGAGCTGATGCAACTTGACATCTGTAAAGCCAGAAATAATTACAAATTTACAACTGCCACCTTAATAAAATCCTTCCTCATATGGCAAAAATTTTGTTTAGGAAAGAGAAAATATTTCACAATAAGCAGTAACTGATGGCTAGTTTATTTATCTAATTATGTGATAGTTATGATTAGTTGGTAAAAGGACTTCCTATTGTTCAATTCCGTCTGTAATCAATTACTCGTACATAATAAGTCGGATTCCCGTTTCGCAGTAGTCCAATTGTTAATTACGAGTGCGACTACAGACTGAATTGAACACCACTCAGTCCTATCACCATTATCAATAATAAAGAACAGAGTCAGAGCCAGAGAGAAGTGAATGCATGTAAACATTCATTATTGAAAATTTACCTGTAACAGGGTGCAGCTCCCTCAACAACAACAAACTGAAAATGACCATTTCTACCACCCAAGACATGACCAGGTTTGTGTTTGTATTCACAACAACAGCTGAGTCGAATATCTTGCATGCCATCAATGTAAAATGTCAAACCAAAGGGGGAACCCCTGTGACGCCGTGAGATGAAGGTAAAAATCGCTAGAAAAAGGAAAAAAAGAAAGCATAAAAATATGCATTCAAACAGGAAAGAAATGAAATTGGGAGAAACTCATAGGTAAAAGTAATTCTTGTAAATATCTTAAAATTAGGAGTATAAGACATCAGAAAAAAACAACAAAGACCGAAAAACGAAAAAAAAGAACATGAATACACTGGAATAACTGTGAGACAATTGTTGAGGCAAGTTGGTTGACAACGAAACAATTTCCACGAAGAAGTTCCATTTCAAAACTTTCATTCAAAATGTTATCTTTCACTGACAGTATACAGGTGTAATGTCATCACAAAAAAAGCAAAAAAACAACAACAAAATAAAAAAACAACAACAAAATAATAAACAACAACACAAAAACAAGCAAAAGGATATTAATAGAAGTTCTTGTTTGGGGTGTGACACCTCTTTAGATGTTCACATTCCTAAGGAACAAGTAATACTGCTTCTAACACAACTTACTGTTTGGAGGCAACAGTTCTCTGAAAACACACAAAGTGCTTCCTCCACAGTGCTGCTGCAGAACCATTACTTCCGATAATCTGTCTTCTGGAAACATGCTGTTGGTGAGCACCAGACTGGGACCAACAAACTTCATTGTCACTTCTGCCAAGGATTGAAGCTAAACAAAGAAACAGGCACCTGTTAGGTTACATGTAGGTGTCTCTTTCTTTCTGACAGGGCTGCTAACCCTTCAACTCCTAGAAGTGATCAGCATGAAACTTCTCCCTATAATATCCTTACATTATCCAACAAACAGCTAATGATAATATTCAAACTTATCAGGTAGAAGTTGTTGTCTTGATCTAACACCAAAATTCTCATAAGTTATTCAAAAGTATGTGTAGCAGCTAAAGAGGAGAACTACCAATCAGATCTCAGGAGTTAAAGGGTTAAAAAATTCATTCCTTATTGAAAGTAAAATGCATACTTGGATCTCCCCAGTCAGTTTAAACAGACAGAGATTTATCATTCCATAACTTTATGTCTGTGTCTTCAGTGGTATATACATTCAAAGAAGCAATTTTTGTGAGTCAAAATTTGATTACAAATACAATGTATGGCATCGATAGGTACATCATATTTCCATGAATGCTACTTTGTCTCACTAAACATTTGTAGATGAAGAAACAAAGTTGTGAAGAGAAAAAAAAAAAAAAGGCAAAAGAGCCCATGGCCACTCCAAACTTGCTAAAAAAATTAAACCTCCACCGATTTGAAATTTTTAAACCAGAAAAAAAATGGCTTGAAACATTAGAATGCATTTCAATACCTGTACTCTGCGGGCAACTGCTGGTTCAGTTCTGGCCAAGAAATGATACTACAAAAGGGTGATAAATTAAAAGTATAATGATCATAACTATGTAGTATTAATTGCAAATAGAACACAAACTTAGGGTTAATTACAAGTTGTTAATTCTTCCACTCATATATGTAGCATTCAGTACTATCACTTTTCATCATGTAAATTATATCACATAACTTTCCCATATCTATATATTTTGTTGTTGAAGTAAATTATGCTGTGTGTGTAATTCATGATTAAAGGACTGTCTCTGTTTTCAAGATGTTCTTCTTTTCTAGAACACAACAAACAATTTTGGTAATGGCAAGGTAATGTCAGTCATCACCATTTGCTTTCTGACATACCCTTTGAAGCTTTACGCCTCTCCTTGTAGAGCCAGCAGTCCTGGAACGCCGTGGTGTTCCTGTTGGGGGAGGTGCTGGGGCTGGGTAAGTGGCAGGATATGCTCTGGTGTATGGAGATGGACCAAGTTCCTCTGTCTCATCTTTAAGATAGCCATTCATGGCGGATGGATTTGAATCAACCTTGCAACAAACAAAACCAAATTGTAAGCACATCATTCGGTTCCACTATGTATATTATATAAGAAATATCTTAATTAGACAGTTTGGAGTAGGTTAAATCTATTTTGTATTTAATTTTTTTTTCCAAAGTACATTGTGCTTCTATAAACACAGTTCACTTGATCTCTGTGTCATAGAAACAAGATGTATTTGAAATAATAATAATAACAATAATAATAATAATAATCTACTTTATATTTCAAGGGTGACACTTGACAGTATAAAATTCTGATATACTTGTGGCCCTCAAAAACAAATTAAAAATAAACACAAATACATATAAATAATGAAGTGATTAAGACTAGGTAATTGAACAATTAAAATGAGAATTATCTATTAAGGATTAATAAAAAATATATGAGAATCAAATATAATAGCCTATTGCAAGCTACAGTTAAGTGATGAACATCTTTATAGGACTCCAAAAAAATACTTATATAAAGACTTCTTTAAAATTTCTAAACTTGAGCTATTCTTAATTTCATTGGGAAGTGAATTCCAAAAACTAGTAGCTGATATTTGAAATACAGGATATCTCTCACTAATTTGACTTGCAAAACTTTACAGAAACAATTTACCTGATGGTATGATTTCACCCTACATACAGATCTCAACATTAAATTAGGCATGTGAAAAAAACTCATTCTGCAAAATTTGCATACATCTGTTTTAAAACTGCTGGGTAACTGATAACTACTATATCAGCCATGAGAAAGTCTTAACCCCTATCATTTCTAATCAGACTTATACAAAGATTTTTAATTTTGGACCATTCTGTACATGTGTCAAATGGATCATGTGGAAAAAATGGACTGATTTAGTGCATGCATCACATGATGAAAATTGTAATAATTTTGTCCAGTGCTATAAAACTGTAAATCTAAAACTCAAAAGACTCTCTAGCAGATCAAGACTGTTACCCTGTAGTATATTTTCTGGGTATCATTGTCATAATATATCTCCGAAGGTTTCAGATCTCCTTGGTCCTCTTCGTCACCGCCTGTCATTGTAGCTGGTGCTGTGGAAGGCCTGTCTCTCAGTTGTGCCTTAGCCATTTGCCGAGCTGTTCGTTCTCGAGGAGAAAGAAGAGGAAGAATATCCTCATCACCTTTTCTATTTCTTCCCTCCTACAAATGAAGAAATAAATTAATAAATTATAACAGGTCTTGGAATTTTCATTGAGAGATTTAAAACTTTTTTCAAGAAACTTAGTATCATTTATAATTCATTTTGAAAAATTGTAGCTCAAAAGGATTAATAGGTAACCAAGTTATTGGCAATGAAAGCATACTGCTGAAGGCAAAAGAAGGCATCAACATTCTATCTTGACAAGAACATTAAATCATAAAATTCATTCCTGAAGACACTTTTGCTTTATTGCAGAGTATCTTGATCAACAAGGTATAGATTAACCCTTCAACTCTTATGATCTGATTGTTAATTCTCCCCTCTAGCTACTGCACTCTTTCTTGCAAATCGGTTGCGCAGGAATAATTGGTGTTAAATCAAGACAAAGAGTTCTACTTGATATGTGTAAATGTATACTCTCATGACCAGTTTGCTGGTAATGCATGGATACTATAGGAAGAAGTTACAAGTTTTAAAATCACCTCTGGGAATTAACATTAAAAGGCATGTCCTAATATTTGATGCATTTGACAGTGTTTTTCAGAATGCAGATACAAATTGATAGAGGTGAGACTTTGTGACTATTATGTTCACCAATAATTATTCCCAAAGTTGGATTTTTAGATGAATACATATATGCACAAGTAGAGCTATTGTGTCAAGATAGTAGCCCATCCTAAAAAAAAAATTTTACATTACATGAAAATAAATATTGATTAACTTCCTACAGTGACAGTAGTTGTATTTAGTTTTGCTCTCTGTCAATGCTCTATGCACATTTCTATGAATTTGTAAAAAGCTTATTTTAATTAATTTCTTTTTAAAGAGCTACTGAGTACATTTTTTTTTTAATCAACCATTTGGCAAGCTCTAATCTCCAGCCTTTTTTTAATGAACTCAGAAAAAAAAATTAAAGTTTATAATATGTTACTATTTTAGAGAGACTCTCACCTTTAACTTAGTTTCCACTGTCTTTAAAGCAAAGAAGAAGAAGCACATTGTGAAGGAGTAAGAGAATAGGATTGAAAAAAGATTTAACTTTATCTTAAGACAAGTGCAATAAGAGTACAGAATCAAGCAAGGTTTAGAGATATTATTATATTTCAAATTCCAAATGCAAAAAACCAGGAATGCATTTTATGATCATAAAAAATTAAAAGAACAGTTATTCTGAACTAAGTGGAAGTGAATAGGCCAGGGTTATATTTAACTTGATACTTTGCAGCTCAATTAAAGCATGTACCACTTTCACTGACACTAAGGTGAATTATTGCAGTTCAGAATATACCACCCAGATATCAAAACATGTCAGTTTATTTCTTTCAATATACACTGAGAGATGGTCGGGAATTAAACTCTTGATGTGCAATTTTGTCTCATGAGCCACTCAGAGGTGAATAGTACTTGTCATTCACTTCTGAACTAGCCAATCAGTATGCGCGAAATCACTTTTCACTTGTATGGTATATACTAAGAATAATATTATACTTTTAAAAAAATGTGAATGAGCAATTCATTTCCTTAAGATAAAAAAAATTTGGCATGCCCTTTTTAATATCATACATCACTTTTTTTAAATATGTGTTTTTTTTAAAATTCTTAATCATAATCACCTTCACTCTTCTGACCAACTCAACTTTGTATATTTCATCCAGTCTCTTTCTTATCTCATACTGACGAACCCTCTGCAAAGTGAAAAAAAAGTATAACATTCAACATATGCAAAAAAGTAAAAACCCTTCACACTCATTGCAACCTAAAAATACTTTAGCTGAAACCAAATCATTTCTTCTCCTTTGCAAACACCTAAGTTAAACTAGCAATGAATCAGAAGAAAAAACAACAAAACTAGATATATCTTTTCTACCAATTGCTTACTTACTATCCACAAATTATCTTATGTCACCTTGCCTGCAGTGTGGGTGTCTTTAATTTGGGCAAGTTAACTTTATATTAGCTCACGATCGTTTATCTAACCAGCCAATTGTTTGAGTTGGAGTTAGAGTGGATGCTGGGGGAGGGAAAGGGCTATTTTCTTCACTCCCCTACCCCTCTCCTTATTTTAAACCGTTGACTGCCCTCTTGGTACAAATTTATTTCTCTCCCCAGCCTTCCACTGCCATTAAAATCAAAGATGGTGGCCATAACTTTTGTTTAGAGAATACTGAGCACTTGCTTGCCAAACTTATGTCTGCTCTGTAGGCTACATGTCACCCCACTGACTGTTTCATGACTATCATTGTGAAACAGGAATGTTCACCTCCATATCCAATGTCTTGTGCACAATAGCAGTTGCTAGGAGATCACGCACATGTTTCCTGTGTTCCTTCTTGGCCATGTTAAGTCTGTATGTCTTCTCATCAATTATCTTCCCCTTTCTGGTTACCTAATGGTACAGAAACACAGGGTTATAATATATAAGGAGTCATATATATAGCAAAAAAAAAGCGTTATGAGGTACTCTATATAAACATGCCCCATCCAAAACTTCATTTAGAGAATTAGCACCATACATGTCAGAAGGTATTAGGGACTGTACTTTAAAACCAAGTGGCCCATGTAGGCAGTCTGAGCTTATCCCAGTTCTTTTTACCCTTTAACTCCCATGAGTGACCAAGACAGAATTTCTCCTTACAATATCAATACAGTATCAAGCAAACAAGTGATGAGAATGAAGAAGAATATCAGTTAGGGGATTATTAGTTGATCTAATAACAAATTCTCCAAACTAACATTCCAAAAAAAAATATATGGCAGACAGTAAGGAGAATAACAAGTGAGATCTTAGGAGTGAAATGGTTAAGCATGAAGTAACTGGGAGTATCACCACTCTCCCTAGCCAGCTTAACAAATGAGATATGCCAGTCCATTGCACTAGTAACACAAGGAGAAACGTTATTATTGTCAGTCCTATAAGTATAGTAAATTGAAGGTTGTTTATAAATTAGCTAGTTTAAACATTCAAAAAATATATCCAAAAAGTAAGTTTTAACTATCATTGTACAAAAAAAGATAAAATTTAAAGCATGTGTCAACTGACTTGACTGCAACAAACTTTAAAGTTCTCTTTAAGCCTGTTGGGGAAAAAAAAATAAGGAAACAGATCAGTTGGTTTTTTTGGTTCTTACCAGTCCTGACTTCTGCAAGTGTTTCTTCATACGAGAGTTTGAAAAATATCCAGCCAGATGCTTGTCTTGCAAGCTGTTATAGGCAGCTAAAGGACTGGAAATGAAAACCACACACAATAAAGATCATTTCACTTAATGAACTGTACAATTTGTTGACTTAGGTTAGATGTCATTCCTTCTTAAATCTCAATTTCCTATTCCCTTTTTTTAAATTTATTTAACCCTTTCACTCCCACAAGTGACCAAGACAGAATTTCTCCTTACAATATCAATACAATATCAAGCAGGCAGGTGATGAGAATAGAGAAGAATATCAATTATGGGATTATTAGTTGATCCGATACCAAATTCTCTGAACTAACATCATAAGAATTGTTTGGCAGATAGTTAGGAGAATTACTAAATAGATCCTGGAAGTGAAAGGGTCAATTTTTGTTTAACTCATTCACAGCCTAACATCAGAATGTAAAATATCCATACTGTTTGTTATACCTTCTTATGGTTATTACAAAGAAAGTCAAACTAACTTTTAAGAGCTTCTTAAGTTCACATTCATTTTCTTTATTCTCGTGACCTTTATGTTTGTTTTGGGTGATTACTGTTTGGAGAAATTAGATGCTCCATGAGGTTTAAGGTTAAATAACTAATTAAAACCATTGTAACTTCTAAGAGGGCTGAGTGACTGTGTTTTCACAAAATTTGAAATTCTCAAGGTCCTTTTCTCTCTCTCACCCCTGTTTTCTTGTTTTTTTGCTTTTGTTTTAACAGTTCACCCTCTGGAATAAAAATTACAATGAAGTACGTAGGAGGGTGGGAATAATATGATTGTGCACATGAAGTGGTTCAAATTTTTGCCAGTTTAAGATTTTTGAAATCTGGCCATAAATCTGTGTTTTCTTTTATTGCAGATCATTGTTAAAAGTTAAAATTGAACTGATTTGACAAACTCTAACCAAATGACAACATTGATATTATCATACTATACCAAAACAACAATAGGGATTTAGCAATAATAATAAATAAAGATCAACACAGTGCATAATGCACAAAAAAGAGAGTTTAGGGATTAATTTTCAATTCATGTACTCAATTATCTGAACCCAAATTATTGGTATGCAAACATTATTGTGAATGATCCATTTAGTCTTGTGTATAGATTCAACTTGAAATAAATATGGCTTAAAATTATGTCCCAACATGCAGGGAAAGCAAAACTCCTCACTCAAATCAAAATAACTATGCAACTGACTTGTGAATCTGACTAACATTTCACAAGGTGAAATAAATGTTACTTGAACTCAGGAAAGATCAATTAAAATATTCCTTGAGGAAATTATGCCTTAAAATTATGTCCCAACATGCAGGGTAAGCAAAACTCGTCATTCACAAATCAAAATAAATACTCAACGGACTTGTGAATCTGACTAACATTTATTTCATGGCGTGAAATAAACGCTGCTTGATACTTTTTTTTTTCAATTTTAGTGAGCACAGGAAACATCAATTAAAATATTTTTTTAGGAAACTACAAGTTTTTGACAATAACATAAACCATCTTGCAATGTTAAAAGCAGAAAATTGCAAGTGAACATTGACTAATGATCAGATGGGTGAAATACTACACAAACAATTAGACAATTAAAATGGATGGAAGATTATAAAAGTTTTCATAACACCCTTGGCCTATACACACCGCATACCCTATGGCTCTTTCCTTCGGCTCTATTAAGTAAAGTGTGTTGGTTATTCAAAGTTTGAGCATTAATTGCAAAATATACCACACAATTACATGAGTGAGCAATTAAGCGCATATATGCATTTGCAATAACAGGTATAGAAATTTGCCCACCAACAGTTTAAAATCACCTCATTATATTATTCCGCAGCTGGAAGACTAAATGTGTTTTCTTTAGTTAGGTGAGAGTACTTCATTCGGCAAGGAAGATTCAGGAATTAATTGCAAAAAACGCGTTTAAAAACAATGCCCTTAAAATTCATTTGGTGGCAACGACGATTTCTGTGATCGAAAGGATCACCAAGTTGCTAGCAGTTAATCCATGATTAGCTTACGTTTGGTTATTACTTGACAGAAGCAAGAGCACATTGTAATCAAGACAAGCGGTGAATCATGAAAAGTCGCAACCTTAAGCTTCACGCTGCAAAAGCAGTGTGTTTAACTGACATGTTTTAAAAGACCTCAAGAAACTACGATCCTCGTCCGAGCAACAAAATTCAAGAATCACATCTGTGTAACTTTCTTTTTCATTACCCACCAAAAGACCCTGCTGTTATCAATAGATAATCCCCGTCAATCTCGGCCTACAATCTCAACTAAATCTACAAGTATTCGATTTCACAGCAACCCGAACTCGCTTCTCTGTCAAACAACACAGATGAGGTTGATCTTGACAAAACGAAAAAAAACTTAATTTTTTTCTACAAAATATAATTATACCAGGATGTAGAGGCTTTCATAAACTCACCCTGGATCTGCGTGACTCATGATTGCCGAGTAGGTTCTTTAACACAACCTTGTAATCAGAGAACTTAGTCAGCGATGATCGGTTCGGAAATGGCGTCGTTTTCACGCGTTTTCTTTCCTTTCCCGCGCTACCTTCCTCTTTGTCAACTACGAGAAATTTTACGATCCATCGAAGTAGAAGTGGAAGCCATAGAGACCACAGTGTTTATATAGTATCCTATTCAAAAAGTAGAGCTTGCGGTGAGCGATATCTACTCTAAGATAAATTCAATGCAGCCCGGTTGCCAAGGAGCGTTTGTGTCGCTAACACACAGGTGACGTCACTTCTCTCCAGGTCCCTGTGTGTGTGCTCAGCGGCCGAGTGTTCCCCAGTATCCCTCTAATAAATGTTAGTTGAAACACGTTCAGGTAAGACTCATTGATACTTAAAAGGTAATTAATAAATGTGATGTTTTAAAAATCTGCTCTACACGAAACGGTGGTGGAACGAGAAACCACACTGCAAAATGACAGTGAAAGAATTAAGTTCTACATTTCATTTCAACTTCTAAAAAGCCATTGGCAAGATATAACGTGGAGATGGAGAGACTAAGCAAGAAAATATAACGGAGGAGAAACTTGTAGTTATTTGGAGAAGGAAAGAAAACAAATTGAAAATAAAAGGAAATTCAAACTTAAATAATGAGAACGTTCCTTTGGGCTTCAAAACTTGATGGATAGAGTCATCTGCCTTTTCCAAATATATCCATAATCCTCTTAACTGATCCGCTTTCGTTTCGTTTAACATGTGCGTATGTGTTCCTAGCCTTCTAGCCGGCGTAATTTTGCCAAGCAAGTGCTCAAAAGTTTCTTGCTTAAATTATAGCCGGCATCTGTGATTGATTTTCACCACGGCAGAAGTGACAGCAGAAACGAAGGAAGAGTGGGATGGGGTGAGAAGGTATTAGAGGAGCCCCTTGAATAAAACGCCGCGAGATCATGTAAGTGGTGTTGGAAGTGTTTTAGAGTCCTACGATTGCCGGATTAATTTCAACTAAAACAACTGATGCTATTAGTTTGAGATTTCCATCGAACAAGAGCAAAAGTGATTGTTTCAACTGCTTTAATCTGAGATGGTTTTCATGTAACTGGTTAGTCAAACAGTCCGAATCCCATGTCATCATCACTTTCTTCTTCTTCTTCTTCCTCTTTCTTCTCCTCTTTGGCCTCCTCAGCAGGAGCAGCAGCAGCAGCTGCATCCGCGGCAGGTGCCAAAGATGCAAATGCTTCTGGATTCTCCAGGAAAGCTTTGAGCTAAACAAAAACAAACCAAAATAAATACCGTCTTTGCTCATGCCACCCTTGGAAAAATGCTGCCCTCAGTCAAATGCTGCAAAACTAACTGTAATTCCCTCACACTTAAATAAATGCAACACCAATGCAGCATTTTCTTAGGAATATAAGAAAATAAAACATCCCAAACTGTACACTGTGGTTGTGTATAAACTTCTTAAAAATCAATAAGAAATCAACAAAAAATGCAAAATACTAGAAGAAATTTATATCTTATAATATTTACAAATAATTTGCCTTTACTAAGTGACATATGAAATACAATTTTGATTAAAAGGCCACAATTGAATAAATTCAGCAACTAAACTGAATTTAAGGCTACAACCCTGCAACCTTGGACAAGGATAATTTGCACTTGCACAAAAATATTAAGGCTGAATAACGACCAAAAACAGTTGTGCACATTTATTTTGAAATCACAGAGTTCTAGAAATTTTTACCTGCTCAACTTGTGGGAATGTGATCTCAGTTTCCACAGCAACAGCAGCAATATTCTGAGGGGGAAAACAAGGAAGAAAACAAACATGATAATGCAGTTTTCAGAATATCCTTTTGGTTTATGAAGTTTAATCAACTGACTCAAATTGGTGTTAATACAATATTAAAATGAATGATCATAATAAATTACATTACACCTGATCACTGTCATAGGTTGAGCCAGAAGAAAACTACTTTAAAACCCTCTGCTCTCTGTTCAACTCTTTATTGGATTTTTCTCAATGATTCTAATGAGGGTTCCAAGCTCAGCTTTCTTTAAAAGTCCCCCTTTCTGCCTATTGCAACACCAATCAGGAGAGCTGCAGCTTGGATCCTGCACCATTAGGGTGTCATTGATCACCTGTGATAAACTGGCTCATGATTCATCAATTTTGTAGAAAACTTACCTTGAAGCCATTGATGATTGAATGTGGAACAGATGCTACTGTTGGGTAGCCAATTTCAAGTGAAACTGATGCAACATTCACAATACCCTGAAAAGTAATAAAATTTTGATTTACAAAAAATCATTTTTAAATCTCATAAATTTTAAACCATTATATGTGTGACTTGTGTGACATCTTTTTCTGATCTGCTGGTGGAACATACCTCAACAAAACGAGACAAGATATCTTCAGAAGTAATATCCAGCACATCAGGTGAGAAACAAGCTCCACTTTCATACACTGGAAAAAAAAAATCATAAATAACATCACAAGTCAATGCAAAAAGAGCTGTTAATGAGTAATAACTTATTCTACTCTTCTCAAAAATGGGAACTGGCTGCTTCACAAATATTTCTTTGGATAGTAATTCAATATTTTATCAACCAAAAGGTGAAAGCAACATGCTTAGAGATGCAGACTAGTGGGAAGTTTCGGCTAAAGCAGCCATTGATGACTACTCAACAACACACCTTTCCATTGAAATAACTCGTAGTATATTATCGTGTCCATTGCATCATTTGCACATAAATTTATTTTTTAAGGCTGCCAGATTGGAGCACTCGCTATTGAAGAAATCAACCATGCATGACTGTTAAAAATGTATAATGTTTTCTGAAATATTAATATTACTTGTTAAATATCTCTTTTGAGACAGATTATTGAACGTGAAGCACGCAACAAAGATGAGATTTCTTTTTGTATGTGTTTAGGGAAGTTCACAAAGGCTCTCACATAGTTTCTAAGTTTCATTTGTATAATTGTAGTGTACTTGGAAATCTGAGGATTAACTAAGAAGTCTTTATATATAAATTGTACCCCTACCTTGCTGGATGACAAGACCATACGAGAATGGAGAGATCTTCAACATGTTCAACAGGGTGGACTCTGATGCTCCCACTTTTTCACTCTTCTTGATCAGATGTACATCATTCTAAACATAACAGACAGCAGAAACATTTCAGTGTTAGAGCAAACCAATACCTTCCACTTCTCTTAAAATGGAAAATATTTCGATCCTTGATACATGACCCAATGTAAGTTTTGGAATGAAAGAGTTTAACAAACAAAAAAATTGGAATGTTCATGCCTAGTGTATCAATGCATGAACCTACAGCTCAATTTGGGTTCTGAAACTATAATGAAAGAGAGTACATGCTATCAACAGGTGCAGGATTAAGAGGAAGAGAGTTAACTCTAAAAAAAAAAAAATAAATACCCTAATAATGATAATGATAATAATAATAATAATAATAATAATAATAATAATAATAATAATAATAATAATAATATTATTTACAGATGGATATAGAACAAAAACAAATTGTGCTTTATGTACAGGAATAAATGTTAACTCCAACGAACCTGCACAGCTAAAACAAAATAAGGGTTCACTGATAAAATCATCAGTATAAAAAGCAACAATTTAGAATTCAAAATTTCAAATACTTTTGAACAATAAATAGTCAAAAAGTCAATATTTACAAAGAGAATAATAATAATAATAATAAAAAAGGAACATATAAAAGGATGCAAGTCTAAAATTCAACGAAAGTGGGATTTTTGTTGTTTGGATGTCACACAGGACTCTCTTAGTGGTCCTTGAGCCTTTTGAGAAAGATGTTTTTGCTCTAATCCACTGGATGGTCTTCACAATATTAATAAAAATAACAAAACAAACAGAGATCACTGACTAAGATTTCAATGGTTCCTCTGGCAATCTTGGTTGGAATGGCCAACGCCTGGAAAAATGATGTCTTCTCAGGACCCAGGCCAGTGTTTCCCTTTGGAACAAACACATCCAGAGGGGCAATTGCACCAGCTTTAGCTGGGGCTGCCACTTTGTTTGCCAGGATAAGATCTCGCACATCTGTGAGCTCTTCCTTGGTGAAGACAAAGCCTACATTGCCTTTGATGTGAGGGATCAACCTACATGGCACAAATGCAACAGAATGTTAATATCACAGTAGTATGATCACCATCATAATCTGGGAAAATGCAACAGAAATTTTCATACTATTTTTGAAAGATCAACACTGTAGCTTGTGAAAATGGCTTATCAAAACAACTTGGTATGCTTTAAAATAAGATTCATGAAGGTTTAAAAGGATGCAAACCAGCCATGTGAAATGTCATATTACTGTTAAAATCAGTTTAACGGAGTCTTACTTAAGATGTACCCCCTGTGCTTGTCTAACTTTTCAAGAAACCCAAGGAGAGAAACAAAATACATCGTTCCTCAGAGAACTTGTGACCTGCTTTGAGGGGACTATCCCATGTTGCTCTTACTTTTCCAACGCAGGATTGTTTTCCAAGTGTCCCCGGATGGCCTTCCTTATCATGGTGTTCTTGCCCATGAGAATTTCAGCTCTACCACGCAGAGACTGACGGATCTGCTGCATCTGTTTGGACCCTACATTGTCCACACCAACCAGAAACATCTTAGGAAATTCATCCATGTATTGCTGTTGAGAAAAGTACATTCAAAATTATTAAGCAAGCTGTTTAAGTCTTTTCCTATATAGGGGCTTCACACCAGTTTTTCACTTACTTCCCATGCAAAATTAAATTTACCTCTTGAAAAGTAAAAGAAAGCAACATTAACCACAAACTAGTGTGGTCCTGTAGGTAATTTCTTACCATTACAGAAAGCAATTTTCTGAGGCAAAATGTTTGAAAATCAATTGAGTCAAAAATTACAAAACATGGACATGAATTAGAGTTTTCTTTACATCCTGCATTCTAACATTCTTTGACACATTCAAAGTCTATGTTTTATAACCAAGACAAATTTCTATGAACTCCCTGAATGGTGTAATCATAACCAATACAATTTTCAAAACTGTGATGGGTGCATTAGCTGCTTTATTTTCTCAAATCATTCTGTATAGTTGTAATTAAACAGTGTAATTGTACAGGTAGCAGTTATTGAAACTTACAATTAGCCTCATAAAATAATTTGTCTTCCATGTTGCCTTGTCTTCCCTAACCATTTTTCTTGGTGAAGGATTGCGCAGAACAGCGTTTAAAGACTAGATCTAGTTTGGAAACAAAGTGAAATGAAGAAATTATGATGAATAACATGGTCAGCCTACTGTAATATATTAATAATTATTGGTATCACGCTAAAATACTGTGTACAAAGAAGAAAAAAAAGCAGGTTGCCACTTTTCTCTTCAGGGCTACTTATCACAACTTTTGGGTGGTATGATCATGAAATTAGAGTTAATCTACTTTTCTTCCCATCATAATTCATTTATAGATGTAACATAAAAGCAATAGGCTTGATTTGAATGGTTTCGTGGAATTATCAGCCAACTTGGGATTTCGAATTAACACTTGAGAAGATTGTTACCAGTACTAATACTACTCCTGACTCCCTTGACAGATTGTGATTCAAGTGATCGAACCTTTCCTCTAACCAACTAATGTATCACATGCATTTGTCACGCTATACAAAAGCCATGAAAATGCTGTCTATTGCTTAAATAGACGAGATTTCAAGGCATCACCATGTCTGGTCAACCAGCTTACTTCAGCTCAAGTTAACACACTCCTTAACTTCAGGTATGTTTCACCTCTCTCGCGACCATTTTTCTCAGCTTTTCGAATGAAATACCTTTATTCAAATTGCAAGAGTGTTAACCTGATTGTGAAGAATACTTTTACCAATAACCTTGTTAATTGAATGAAACAAAGAGGACTCGGTGACTAAAAAACGCCATTATATGCTTTTGCTAAATATAAAGATATTTTTTTGATACGCACGAATCCCATTTCGTAAAGGAGTGAATGTTCTTTTTTTGCCCAATTTCTACTACTTTTACATTTTTTAGGGCTTTGACCATATGTACTTTGCGAATTTCGGAACTCTACAGCACATGGTGAGACGCTTAAGCTATCATTAACTTCACAAATTTCCTTCAAGACTTACTTTAAGAACAACGTGAAAGAAAGAGAACTAAGCACGTGTCCAGCTGACATACCATAATTTTCAAAGTTACCCACAATGCTATACGATATCCGGATGCCCAGCCAACTTCGGCAATTTCCGTAGAGTCCTCGGCAGGTTCAAAATTGCAATCAAAAATACTTTTTAGATTAGAGCGTCTATTCGCGCGGCAAAGGAACAGAATACATACATGAGCTTCGGTAAGTGAGCCGTTTTTATAGTAATAGCTGATGTGTGCGAGGACACCTAACGCTGATCTTTCTTTGAATTTTGAATACGCTCAGCGAGCGATTTTGGAGTGAAATGCTTTCTCTTTTAAAATTCGTAATGCTACTAATGAAGGTATTCATGGCTGATGTCCTATATGATGAAGACTTCAAACTCGCGCGAAAGTGGATTGCTTAGTAATCGTGAAAAATTGAGATTTCAAGGATTATTTCAGTTTATGAATTAACTTTTTTCTACTTCTTACTATAATGTGCTAGTAATAAAACTTAGGCCCTCTTGTCAGTTGCGCAATGAGACGTTGTTACCACCACCCCACCCCCAGGTGCAGGAGTTCGTGCATATATATATATATCTATAAAAGTAAGACTGGAAAGTGAATTACGCATCACAGACTTGGTTTTAAGACACAAACCTACATTTTGAACACGTATTGGACTTTTTTATAATTTTTTTTTAACTGAGTTGAGTGAAGGAACTAAGGGAAATGCTTGCTATTCATAATTTGAATTTTTTTAAAGCTTGATGATCCTTTCTTCCAGAAAATTAACGCATTCGAAATGTGGAATATATGCACACAGCATAAGATGCTCAAGCAAGCAAAGAATCTGAGGAGAATTGCAAGGTTGATATCAAGAAGTGCACTTGGACCTGGGCCAGCTGGTCTCAATAATTTACAGGATAGACTATTTCAAGTCTACCCAGAGGTTGCTGAGGCAATTGTCAGTAAAAGGCCAGTTGTTGCATTAGAATCAACTATTATAACACATGGAATGCCTTATCCTGAAAATTTAAGGTATGTTAATGCTAACAAAACTCCCTTACTGTGAAGAAAAAAAGGGTTCATCAAGGATGGTTGGGATCAACACCAGTATCTGAGCGACTGCAGCCTACCTCTCCCCTAACCCAACAAAGGTCACCTGATAACAAGCTAGAAATAAAGATGGGTTAGGGGAGGGGTACTGAGATATCCAGTTGCTCAGATACTGACATTGATCTGTTGGTTAATTATAACAGCTTCGCCAATTCTTTATTCCAAGCAAATACCATGCATGTAATTCCATTCACCCTTATGCGCAAAAGAACTAAATATAGATTCCCCATACCTGGCTTTTTGTAGCCATATCTCATCATTTTAGGTCCAATAATATAATGTTTTATCAAAAAATAACCAGTCTAAGATGATACTTTTCTTCAATCTTGTTACCATTCTGCTTGACATTGTAAAAATGTTGCAAGTAGAAATTACTTATCGATCACTTTTGGGAGTTAACTGAGCAATCGTAAATTAGTGCTTACCTCTGAGTAGAGAGGGCATTATGAAAATAGCTAGTCAATTAGCCAGTCAATGTTAGTGTCACTCTTGGTGGGTTAATAACGATCTGAAAGTAAACACAAATTGTTTTCAAAATTGAACTTTTTTACATTCTCTGGTGCAAACTGATTGTCAAAACACCATTGGAGCCATCTGAGGTCATTCTACATTTTAGAGTATTCTATCATGATTCTAGTGGATATTCTGTCTCATAGTCTGTGCTTTAGGATATTCTGTCTCTGTGGTTCACTGCCATTCTGACTTTCTGTCAAATAGGGTCACCCCTCACTGTAGACTTTTCATCTTTCCATGGAATCTCAATTAAAAGAAATTGATTATCTTTGAATTTTTTTTTCTACACAGAATTGCTAAGGAAGTTGAAAAAATTGTGAAAAATAATGGAGCAATACCAGCCACTATAGCAGTTATTTCTGGCAAAATCCATGTAGGTGGGTGTGATCCTATATTTCATTTTACCTTTTCTTTTCTTGAGGCATTGTTGGAAAAAAATTATGAGATTAGTATTCAAAGTCAATAGGAGCAGATGATAATTCAAGAATTTTATGTCAGTGATTACCAATGTGAACTCTTGTTTGCCTGAAAAAAACAAGGAAGAGTTAAGATTCCATTTGAGGTTGCTGTTTAGTAAACCATTCAATTAATGTTTTACACTATTTAATTTCAAACAAAACTTTTTTTATTATATAGTGGCCAGCTGTAGACTTTTTTGACATAAAAAATTGAAAAGAAGAAAAAATTGTCCATAGGTTTGTCAGAAGCAAACTTGGAGAGGTTAGCTCAGGATACTGATGCTGTAAAAACATCCAGGAGAGATTTGCCCCATGTTATCAGCAAGGTGATGTATATATTTCAATTTTTCATTATTTTATTTTCAACTACGGTTCTTAATAAATTTTCCACTGAGGATCTTTCCTGAGATCTGGGGGTAATATCTATTTTGAATCTGAGAATACATGAATTAACAAGTCTCTTCTTAGCAGACTAGTAATCATTGCTGGTGGCAGTCTGTGTTCTGAGTTAGCATTATAATGAAGTTAGAAGATATTACCCTTTACTTATAAGTATAAATGGCTAAATTACAGTAGCATTGTGTTAAGATTACTCTAGTGTTACTTTGCACATTTCTCCTGCTCTTTTAAATTTGTTAATAATGACTAAAATTTACTCTGAAGGGCAAAGAATTTGTTCTCTGAGAGTTTGGAATGATTGTAAAAGCATGTTTCAATGTTAACATTGGGGAAGCCTTAAAATTGCCTCTGAGGATTGACAGCCTGAATGCACATAAAAAACTGTAATTTCTTGTCATGCAGGGTCTAACTGGAGGAACCACAGTATCAAGTACTATGATTGCTGCAAATGCCACAGGTATCCCAGTCTTTGTTACAGGAGGAATTGGTGGTGTTCATAGAGGAGCACAATCAAGTAAGTTCAATCACTTAATTGTTAATGACATTTGTTTAGCTTTGACAGCCAATTAAAATACAGTCTTGATTTTTTCTGCCAATACTGGGATTGATTGCTGAATTTTATGACTGACATTGTAAACTTAGATTTTTTTTTTCCAACGTTACAAATTCTCTTGTGCTCTTTTGAGTGGGTACATTCCAGATTTTAGTCATTCAGACATTATAAAACTCCCTGGTCCTCTGAAATACATCATAATAATCAATAATACATTGATAAGTAATTTTGATGTTAATTCATCTCCCCTTGAGCAGCATTTGATATCAGTGCTGACCTTACTGAGCTTGGTAAAACCCCAATGGCAGTTGTTTGTGCTGGAGCTAAATCTATTCTGGACATTGAATTGACTCTTGAGTATTTGGTAAGTGCATCAGAATTAAGTTATGTGTAATAATGAGCACTGCAGTTAACAATTATTGACCCAGGTGGAGATAAATATATCCAGCAATTTCACCAATACTGGTGTGAAAAATATATTTCTTTCTCTATATATCACACAAGAATCAAAAAATAGGTTTGTTTCTGTCAATGTACTTGAAAATGGTTGCAAATTAAACTCTTGCCCTACATTACTGCTTGGAGGTGAATAGCACATGCCAATCACTTCTAAGCTATCCAATCAATACACATGAAAAGTACTATTTACCTGTGAAGTATATACCTATTGTATTTGAGATTTGACTGCCATTTAGTTGTTTCAGTGCCCCTTCGATTACATGCAGGGTTAGCTCTGAAACTTCAATTAATTATGATAATTCATCTCATTGCAAGGCCAATGTCAGTAATAAGAAAGAAGTGTCATAAAAGCTCTGCAGAGGTTTACTGAAGGAGATTGTTACTCTGACTTAATTCCTTGTTCCATTCAATGCACAAACAAAATGTAAATTGAAAATGTAAAAATACAATTCTGTTCAAAGTTGGTTATAGACTTAACTATCTTGAGGGTCACAGTATATTTAACATAATTTTGTGCAGTTTTTATTTTCTTCCAATCTTTAACAGGGCTAATTTGTAAATTGTATTGAATGATAAATTTTGTAATCGTTATGGTATGTATAATTTTTCACTAGGTAGGTAACTAGGTTGAAGCAGTTTGTGTTGATTTCCTTCCTATAGAAAATTTTACTTTATTTCTAACAAATTTGTATTTTGTTATAGGAAACACAAGGTGTTCTTGTGGCTACATATGGAGACTCCTTAGACTTCCCAGCCTTCTTTACCCCAAAAAGTGGATTTAAGGTATGAAATACAGTTGTATTTGATCTCCAAACATTTTCAAAATTTTTTCTGTAAATATTAGATGTGTGACAGTCAATATTAAGTGTTTGATTTTCAATTAGCATTACGTGTAATGCTTAAGATGACCACAGTAATGACATCAATAGCATTTCCTTTGCAAATTCAGAAAGGTTGTAGTTATAGGAACTTTCTAGACTTTTGTTAACAGAGTTGACAAGACTTGAAAGAGAAATTTGCACTGTGAGCATTTAAAGGAAACTAAATTGAAATCGAGAGTGACTAGTGTTGTACTAGTGTTGACTAGTGTTGTACTAGTGTTGACTAGTGTTGTACTAGTGTGGACTAGTGCTGTTGTTTCCAACAAAACTATTCGGATCAATATCAGTATCTGGGCAACTGCCCACCTACCCCTCCCCTAACCCAACATTAACTCTAACTTGTTATCAATTGACTGTTTTGAGTTAGGGGAGGGGTAGGTTGGCAGTTGCCCAGATACTGATATTGATCCAACTATTCTAGATAAGATGATTGCTTGGAATGCTATTGTTTATTCTGCATATTTTGTTTGATCTTGCTTTTTGCTAACTGTATTTTTCTTCATGCTGGTTTTTTACAGTCTGTTTGCAATATACAAACCCCAGAAGAGGCAGCTAAGTTAATTGGTGAGTTTTTTTTGGTCTAAGCAAAGCAGCAAGAGTTTTTTGTGAGATTCTTTGTTGAGGCTCACATAAGCTCTTACCATGGTGACCGAAACTGTCTCAGCTTCTAAGGCTATAGAGGGTCTTTTAAGAGAGCCTCGATTGTTTGAGGATTTCTCATTCGTTTCTGACTACTCTGCAGATGCGAATTTATCACTAAAATCTAGCAGTGGAATAGTTTTAGCTGTCCCAATCTCCAAAGAGGAAGCCGCATCTGGGGAAATCATCGAGAAAGCTATCCAAAAGGCTTTGCAGGAAGCCAGGTATTTATCATTAGTAATGAACAAGGTAATAATGATCCTTCGTGTTAAATCAATTTTTGATTTTGTTCCATAAGTTATTGTATTTCACCATATTTTACATAGTTCTGTGTCTGTTCATCATATTGCTCCTACGGCTCCGTACACGCTTCTAGTTCTCTTAAAAAATATCAGTAGCCATATGCAATAGCCACATGCAGTATCAGATGTAGCCCTCCGGCTCGGCGTTTGGCCTCAAAATATTTGAAGATGAAGAAAAATAAGAAATTCAAGAAGGGAGACAGAAAGGGAGAGAGCGGCGGTCTTATGGTAAATACTTATTGATTGAGTTGGTCGGAACGAACGTTTTCGGTTGCACTTGGTCTGTACGTCAGGACCTCGAGCCAAATATTTTAAATTTCTTTCCCGCCCTCCCGTTCGATTAAGAAGTACTCCCTATGGAGTACACAAATATTATGATTTTTATGTTTTTGTCGTAGTGATTCTGGTATTAAAAGTAAAGAAGTGACACCCTTTTTGCTCAAGAGAGTGAATGAACTTACGAAGGGTCAATCTCTTCAAGCCAGTATCCTTTTTCAACTTGCTCTTGTTATCTACCGTTCATTTGTTTGAATTTGCCCAAGAGAACTTTTTCTTCAAAGTTTTTCTTAAATTATTACCACGAAGAAAGGTCGAAAAAATTTACTGTGAATTTCAAGGAAGAGTTTGTCAGACATTGTCAGTTAAGCAGCTCAAAATGAAGGTTATACGTTTATTTGCTGCGTCACTGGGCAAGGGAAATGAATAGTTCGTGCTTTATAATTTAAGATGATGTTAATCTGTGAATGACACAGGCGTACACGAAAATAAAAACAAACAAAATTCCGAGTTGTCCCAGTAGTTAGCAAACCAACGACCCTCCTATTAGTACTTCGGATGCTTTACCACTGAGCTGTCGGAGACTCGTGATGGAAGTTTCATGGAAGTTTGTCACCATGGACTTTTTTTCCGAGTTTGCCTGGATCATTTACTGAATAACGTCATCTTCGTTAGCAACCATAAGTTGTTAAAGTTAGGCAAGCGTCATGACTAGTTTATTGAAGCTAACGTTTTAAGCGTTAGACCCAGCTGGGGTACAGCTTTTATGTGAAGTCAGCCCTGCTTCTATGCACTGATAGCTCGCTGAATAGTCAACTGCGAGGTGCCGGGATTGGTTAATTTATAAGGTGTATATCCTTAACTTTCTCTGTCAGATATGGCATTAGTAAAAAACAATGCAAAGATAGGAAGTTTAATTGCTGTTGAATTATGCAGAATACGAAAATTAAAAGAGAAGAAAGCTGTGGTAAGCTATAACAACGTGATAGCTACACTGTCATTGATTCCATTGGCCCGAGTGTCTGTTTGATTAAGGATGCTTTTCACTTACGACGGAGTCAGTGTCATAATCAGAAGCGTAGAGCGATACGATTTAATAGAAATCAGACCAACAGGATCGGTAGAAAAATATCGGTGCTTCTCACGATTCCGTCGCCTACGATTCAGTGGAAACTGGATTGTCGGAGTCATAAACCTTTGGATGGCCTGAAAACTGGCATAACGATTGGTTGCTTCTTCCGCTTCTGCATGCGACGCCGACAATCTTGCTGTCGCTGAGTCATAAGAGTCATTGGAGTCTTGAATGGAATCGCAAGAAAATATAACCGTTCTGATTCTCCAGGTCCGATTCTATGTAGCTCAATACTTCTCCGAGGACTCCGATTTTCGATGTTTGCTGGGTCGGAAACACTCTTGCGACTCCGACTCCGTCTCGAGTGAAAATCAGCCTTTATAATCATCAACAATGTCTAGATACGATTTGTGCCCAAGCCGTAGCGGCTTTTGTGATCCAGAACAGAAGAAACACAACAAAAAGGAATCCTCTTTTTTCCATAAATTATCGACGAACAGAAATGTAAGATGAAGGATTTTGTTTGTTGCTTCACAGGAATCACAAGGCAAAGTGCCAGGCTTTCCAGATTCAACCAGAGATTGGAACCGGCAAAGGAGACCAGTGAGTCGTCAATAGTAAATATGAATAGTCAAATTTGGAAGCGAATATTGTAGAGCCACAGAATTCTGTTCACGGCAAACCAGTCAGTGTCAATTTCTTGTGGATTACTTTTTAAAGTTTAATTTAACTGGGCAATGTGAAGAAGTGTATAAGTTCAAAGAGGCCTAAGCGGTTTACAGCTAACGGTTATGTTTTGTCACAATTGACGATTAGATTAATAAGTTTTGTTCACGCCTCACCCAACGGTTAATTTTTCAGCCTTTTTGCAACTAACAGTTAAACACCATTAAGACTCACTATTTCAGAAGTGACCAGAATCAACTAAATTGAATACTTAAACTATGATAAAACTCGAACGAGAAGGCAAATGGAGAATGAATAAGCATGATTGAGTGGGATAGAAGAGAATTTTGGGGTTAATTTCAAAACTGACGTCCTGACCTTTTTAGTTTATCTTTGTAAGTATGAAAACGCTGTCATAACACTTAAACTGAAATGATCTTGCTTAGTTACTTTGCATCCAAAAGCTCTGTTTTCTGCTGAGGTGACAATCTATTTGGCCTTGTCCGTTCAAAAAATCACCGGTTGATATTTGTAAAATAATGCGCATACACGAATTTTCAACTCTTCAAGACGATTTCATTCGTGAACGTCCCGCTAAATACATCAAAACATCAAAGGAAAACTACGCATCTGAAAAAGGACGAGGTTTCTTCAACACGCATCACGTGATAATCACGAGATCTGGTGACGCTACACATGCGTTACATTTCGTGACATACTCTCCTGCAAGCGTTACATTTCGAGAAATTCTACAATACTTTTTCATTCCCGTTTTTTTTCTTTTCTTGGTCACGTTCTTTTCTAGGTTGTGATCGGTGGATCCAATGTAGATTTTATCGCGACGGCAGAAAGCATTGTGGTAAGTACGGTAATAAATTCAAAACAGATATCAATTAGATATAATTGAATTTACACAGACCGACAGACAAACAAAAAGATTTTTAAACTCTTTTCACCCTAACATCGGTATCCATATTCTCCTTACTGTTCTCAATGAATTTCCTACGGTTCTGACGAGAAGGATTTGTTCAGCAATGAAGAGGTTCTATAGTTGGTGATCATTTCCTTTATTCTCGTGACCTCAATGTCTGATTCAGTGGTGATAATGTAACGAGAAATTAGATGCTAGTCACTCGTAGGTGTCATGGGGTTAAGTGTGCCATCACTTAAGTTTTAAGGGTTTTTGCAGGTGTATGAAAGAACTGTTTATGTTTATGGACTGGATTTAAATCGCATAGTAACATATCTTCTTTACACAGCTTGAAGCGTCTAATCCTGGAAAAGTAAGGATGAGTTTCGGTGGAGTTGGAAGAAATATGGCAGGTATTCCTTTGTTTTACGTAATAGTAGCACCAGTCACCTTTGTAGGCGTTTTGTGGCATGTCACGCAACGCTCCCCTTTAAAAGGAAGTTAGGGGAGGGATCGTAACGTGACATCTCAACGTTTTAGATAAGTTCGGATGCATTGAAGTTCTCTTCCACAATTGAGAATGACAAGTAAACAGAAGCCTGCTCTTTAAAGAATTCAGTTTAAAACTGCTATACACACCTGCCTCGATACAAAATCTAATTTTTAATTCTCTCTTCCAGCTTTTTACACAAATCCTGGCTAAAAAGTTAAGCGAATTTGATGTTAGATCAAGATAGCATTTTTTTCCTTGATAAGATTGTGTATTCTCATTCGCCCTTTGCTGGATAGTGTATGTATATTAGAGGGAAGAAGTTTCATGTTAATCACTTCTGGGAGTTAAAGAGTTAATGAGTTCGTTAATTCCGCTCTTCGTAACTCTGCCTTACTCACCCCGGTGTTATGTTGATTGAGGCCTATTTTGCACGTTTTAGATTAACGTTTAGCGTGCAATGTATTTGTAATCGTCCAAGATATAACAGTGTAAAGGTTGGTTGCCTTTTAATCTTAAGATTGAATTCAAACATTAAAAATCCTACTGTGATGGTTTTTGTTTGTTTGTTTGTTTTTTTCTGCATCAAAGCTGCAGTTAAAACGGTGAAATATAGTTTGCTCTTCAATTCAACAGAATGCCTGGCTCGTCTTGGCATGAGGCCGTTGTTCGTGTCATCCATAGGAAGCGATCCTCTGGGAGCTATGCTGCTAAAACACTGTGAAGAAGCTAGAATGGTACATCTCTTTTGGGTCATGAAAGCAAGAGTTTTCTTTGTTCCAGGCTCGTGACAAGACGGCTCCCTTAAAATATTGGATTTATTCGTAGAACAGATCGACGTGGGAATGAAGTTTCTATAGCAATAAGACTACATCTGAACACTGGGACAGTAGCAAAGAAATTATTAGAAATTGCTTTTCCCCATTCCCTCTTCCCACCGTCCACTTTAATTCTACATCAAACATACCTGGTTGACTAAACCATCGTGAGCTTGTGACGTTAGCTTGAGACAATGTTGTGCTGACTGTGCTATACTTAGAAAAATTAGGTCATACCAATTAACAACCCTTCCCCTCAAGTTACGTGCATGCTATTACTTCCCTGTAAGCAATTTATTGTTTTTAAATTGTTCTTTGGTTCTTAGGTTACACGTGGCATATACACCTCTAAGGTGAATCACACTGGTACGTACTCGGCGATACTGAGTCAAAATGACGACTTTCACGCGGCAGTTGGTGACATGGACATTCATAAAGTTATCAGTCCTGATCATGTAAGATACTGTTGGTTGAACTATAGTGAGGACTATAGATTTCTTCATTAGTTCCATTACGTCTGCCCCTCAGATGTGACTAGTTATTTTACCCACAACCGTAGACTTATGCAAGGGCAGAACCAGGAATATTTGATAGGGAAGAGGAGTCCAAACAATTTTTTTTCTAATGCTTTAACCTTAGTAGGCTACTAATTTTTCAAAATAAGTAAATAATGAATACTTGATATTTAGTAGTAACGTAGAAACGTAGTAAGGGTTCGCCAATGTGAAGTTGTGGGACACCCCTGCTAAGAACTTAAAGATAAAGGGTTCTTTTTGCCTTTAAATAATTTTATCCTCCCCCCCCCTTTCCCCCGGCACACCCCCCCCCCCATGTTGATTTCAACTTTTTTTATTATTACTTTTGCTGAAGGGCGGAATGGGTTTATCATATTTTTTCAACACCGAAATCAAGATATTTAGAGGTATGAAGAATGAACCTTTTGAGCGTGTCTTTCGAAGGTTTCCCCATGGAGGTATGGCCCCGATTGTACGTCAACTACTCAGTCCTATGTGGGCAGGTTAAGTTACTCCTCAGATAAGCAAGTAATTTCAGCATGTTCTTAAACGCTTTCTTTATTTTTTGAACATATTTGTTAGATTGCAGCCTTCGAGGAACCCATTAAACATGCACCTTTGGTAATGCTGGATGGCAATATTACTGAAGAAGCTATCGATCATGCGTGTTACTTCTGTGCAGCTAACCACATACCAGGTACCACATTGCTAAGGCTGAGTATAGAGTACGATTTAATGAATTCGATTTACCAATAAACGTGGCGGTCATGAATTAATAGTCGACATGTGCTGTAGATGGAGGGTGAAGATTTAATGTAAGATCTTAGATTGACGGTGAGTTAGTAACTAACCAGGTGACGACATTACTAAAAAAAGCTGTTGGTCAGGCGCGTCACCCCTGTGCAGCTAACCACATACCAGGTACCACAATGCTAATGCTGAGTGTAGAGATTGGTTTAATGACTTTGGTCTTCTACTATATTGTGACGGTCATGAAAGAATAAACGACATGTACTGTAGATATAAGGTGAAGATGTAGTGTGGGATCTTAGATTGACGGTAAGCTAATCTCAGTTATTTGTAGTTAGCTGTTTTTTGAAAGTGCATGTACAGTGGATGTCATGGATATTTCAAGGATAGCAGATAACGGACTAATTCCTTCCCTGTCATTTCCCCGAAAACCCTCCTGATACAGAACTTGTAAAACCGCTTCTTTATTAATTGCGTTGTTATTTAGTGTGGTTTGAACCAACGTGCATCATGAAAGCCGAGAAACCCTTTCGTAGTGACGCGTGGCACAACATAACATACATATCACCTAATCTAAAAGAGCTTCGAACCATGAGCTCTGCCATAATGAACGACGAACTACAGAAATCAAATCTTCCACCACACATCACAAAGGATGATAAAGAGAAAGATCGACCACTAGAAGATATTATAACCGAGTGTTTGCACCTTTGCAAGCCACTTTTAAAGCATATTCATTGCATCATCGTGACACTTGGCAAGCATGGTGCCTTAATCTGTAGAGACACTTCCGCTGACACTCCATTTCCAACGGCTCACCACATGAGTCGGGTATCTGCGGCGCGGCAACACAGTTTGGTGTCAGCGCAGTATTTTCCCGCCGTAGGCCCAGGAAGTCATGTGCCAGGGGGAAACGTCACTGGTGCAGGTGACAGGTGAGATTGGATGATTGATCTTGGGGGGAAATAGAATTTATAGACAGAGCACAGTGCGAAGGAGAGCCGCCTTCCCCTGTATTTCATATTATTTAGCAACTTTATTTCGTTCATGGTCATTCCCTTGAAATGAGAAACTGCTGAGATTTAGTTGAAAAATAGAATTCTGAGATAAAAGCAAAGATGCTTGTAGCCTGCGAGTAGCCGTACCCACCCCTCTCAAGGTGAAATGGAAGGTATCCGTTTCACCTTGGGATGGATGGTACGGCTACTCGTAGGCTAGGATGCCTGTTGTAATCTCGTAGAGGTAGCATCACCTAAAAGAAAACGTTGCCATTTTTTTCTGGGTGTGCGTGCTTATCTCATGCGGATGCACATCGTATTACTAAGAAAGGCACACAAACAGCACGTGAAATTTAAAAACATGGAATTTATGGATACGGTCGTGGGCCATTTTACGACCTAGGTATTTGGTGCCCAAGAAAAATGCCGTTGAATAAAGACTCATTGAATATGTCCACTGACCAGTCGATGTTGTTTTTATGTTTCAGTTTTGCAGCAGCAATGGCTTCGTGTATTATTCAAGGACACTCTCCGGTCATCTGTGTAAAGGCTGGTATATTAGCAGCCCAATATTCTCTGCAATCGCAAGATGCCATTTCTCCGGCTGTTTTCCCAGAGAACTTTACCCCTGAAAATGTTGAATCCTGTATACCATGGGACGCGAATGATATAAATATGGACATTTTTTAGCATTCACTTAATTGGTGAACATTTCGGGGTTAGCACGTTACTGGAATACGTCCTGAACGTTTCTTGTGTGCATCCGTGCGTGCGCGAAATTGATTGATGTCTCGTAAAACTAGTTTGACTGGTTGGTCTTAGGACAGTGGTCCTGTTCTGAATGACTACTTAATTGGCTTCAGAGCTTGGATTATTTTAAAATAGTTGTTGTCAGTAAATCACTTTCTTGACTTGTGTGTTTTGCGTGACGTGCGAGATTTGCGTGACGCTGATACTGAATGACGTGAAGTGGTGTTACATTTTATCACAGACGTCAGTGATCTTCCCTTGCACTGTAATGAAATGCCAGTGAAATTCGCTCAACGACAGACGTGGACTAACGGAAACTCTCAGAGATATGGAAGTACCACATAATTTGAATGTGGGGAAAATAATGCAAGAAACCATTTTCAAGGAAGTTATGAAGTGTTTCTTACGCGAATCGTAATCTAAAGTTTTGAAACATCTTATCACCTCTTCATCACCTAAATGGAGATTAAGCTAGGATTTTACTTAAAGTAAGGTGCGAGTCTTGTTTACAGTCAGATTGTTTGATGGTCAGATCTTTTCCAATAGATCGTCAGACACTATAGTTAGATCTTCATTGGATCATTTCTATACATCAATTACTTTCAGCGCTATAAGTTTGTGCCATCATTCCCGTTACCTTGTAATACTAAAAAGTGTTTGCTTTTACCCTAATGATTCGATTAATTCCCCTTGTTCCAACAAGCGCCCTCCTCGAATTGGTCTTTGTGAATGAGCGCCCCTACACCACTAAGCGCCCCTATTGAGTCATTCATGGTAATATACCTTGGAATCGTCGAAGCAAACAGTTTAAGTAGACAATTAACCTTGCAATCCTCAGCGACCACACATCAGCTTCATTAGCAGGTGGGTGCAAAGGAAGAAAATTCTAATTACAGTTCGGAGTTAAGAACCTCTCTTAGCATTCATTGCGCAAAGATGAGTTTACCAAATGTAGTGTCGTCGTGTCAAAAAAGCCAATTGTTCTTTCTCCCCTCTGTGCCGCTGTCACTGGAGTCTGGGCTTTTGCTATTTTTAGTTTCCTATACATTTTCGCGTTCCTAATGCATTTTTATCTTTTTCTTGCCATTGTGCCGATTTTGCATTCCGTTCCAGCATTATTGTTTCACTGCACTTTGTATTTCTATACCACGCGCCGTGTTGATATCGCTCTGTCGTAGCGCCTTTGTGTACTTGTTGTTCCTCGGTGTCCTTGTTTCAAAATTTTTAGTCTTAAACAGTGTAACTGCGTTCGTGCACATCTGTTAATCTTCACTGTCATCCTGTTTCCGTTCAAATGTTCAGCTGTATCATGATGACTCTCTGTCATTGTAACCCCGCTCGGTGCTTCTGTCAGATCCTGGTGTGTTTCACTGAATCACTGTGCCATATTTCCGGTTTTGTGTGGTGCCAGTATCATACTTTGTCCCAATGTAACCACAGGCGGTCCAACTCACGTCTCGAGAAAAAGTCAACGATTAATTCATAAAAGCATAACGCGTTGTGTGACTCGGTGTTTAGTAACGGGAGGAACCGTTGAAAATTTGAGCACGATTTTCAACGATAAGTATTTCAAAATATGAACATTTTACACGTAAAATCAGTAAAACTTACTCACACCCAGTGTTTCCGTTGTAGTTTCTGACGATTTTGTGCCATTTTAAGCGTACTTTTCCATCACTGTTATTCCTGTTAAAAGACGTCTTTTAATAGTGATGACAGTGGTGGAAAAGCACGCTTAAAACAGCAGAAATCGCCAGAAACTACGACGGACACACGGTATGTGAGTAATTTGTATTAATTTTACGTGTAAACATTCATATTTTATATATTTATCGTTGTAAATCGACCATATTTCGTTCCCCATACTACTCCTTGCAACGTGTTCAAATTTTCAACGGTTCCTTTCGTGACTTAACACCGAGTCACACAACGCGTGACGCTTTCATAAATTAATCGTTGGCTTTTTCTCGAGACGTGATCTTGGACCGCCTGTAATGTAACCATATTCTGAACAGACGTTTTTCAATGACACCAAAGTGTCTAAAGAAGAGTATCAGTTAGAAAGGTTTGCATAATCCACAACCTATTTCCGATAAACTCTCCAAGAGTTTCTTTTTAGGGTCCCACAGCATCCCCAAACTCATAGCCTGCGAGATGGTTCAAGCTGCTTTAAACGGAAGATACAAAGACTTGCTGCTCTTCGAGAAGGTTTGCGTTCACAGAATGTTTTTCTCTTTCAGAACTTTCTCTTGTCCAAGAGAGCCGTGATTGTACCGAAGTAACTGAACGATGTCTTAAAAACGATTGCCTCGAAGCCAAATTTGTGCGATTATTCGACTTGAAAAGGATATTTATTAAAGCTCGCGAAAAGTCGCGCTTGAAAAACGTGTAAAGAAGTGGATTGACGACAGATGTGATATATCGAACAAAGGCAAATACCTCGGCGGCTTTGGCGATTGGTGACGTCAACTCGATCCTGATCCTCAGATAACCTTTGATGTTTAAAACCATCATAATAGTAAAGTAAGGCAGCCAACAAATTGCAAATATTGCCGCCATTAACGCGAAAACTAAGATGCACTTTCTATCACTGGTGCGCCTCCTTCGCTGTCTTGATGTAACTCCTCTGTGCGATGAAGATGGTCTTCTTTTGCTAGTGATCGCTTTGAACATGACTATATAGGCATAAATCATAAATGTATATGGAATAACAAAGACAAATACAAGACAAACTATAGAATAGATTGCGAAACACAGAGGAAGAGACTGACTGTTTTTCCAAATCAACGGGGTGATGCCAATTAATGTAGACAAGATCCAAATCGCAGCTAACACCTTAAAGACCATCTTCTTGGTTACGAGATAGTGTCTTAATGGCCTGATGATCGCTGAATACTTTTCTGCAGTGATGATGAAGAGATGGTATGCGGCTGACACAGCCATAAGAGTATGCACAATGAACAACCAGTAGTTAAAGTCCGCTCGCATGCTGGGTGGAACAACTGGGAAATGAAAGATGACGAAGTATGGAATATTGACAGCGCCTGTTAAGAAATCGCAAATCGCCAAACCAAGCAGTAAGTAATTGGATGAGGTTCGAAGACACTTCTTTCTACAAAACAAGACGAACACCAGTCCGTTGCACAAAATTATGGCTATGGCTATTGGAAGAAGTCTGCTCAACACAGTCATTCCAACGTTTGACTCCGGAGAAGACTGAGCTGAAGCTGTGCTGTTACTCATGTCTAGCAGGCGTCGCAATCGATACTGAAAAGAGACAATAGCGTCTGCATCAAGAAGAAAGCTTCCTCTAGTTATCACGCGTTTGTTTTAAAATAGAGAGACTACCACATGGCGGGCGGGGGCTTTAGCCCCCCCCCCCCCCCCCCACTCTTTTGCAAAAATAAAGTAAATTCAACAAAAAATAATTTAACAAAAATAACGGAGCCAAAAATAGCCCCTACCCCCCCCCCTCCCAAGCTCAAAAACTTGCTGCGCGGTTCCTGTACCAGCAGTCTCTCGGTGAAAAATATTTTATAGAATTAACTGAGCCATTTGTCCGTGTTTACAAAGCCTTACTATCTAAATATTCGAGAAGTTGAAAGAAATATCGAAAGTTATGCAATTCCTTGAGAGCGTTAAAGCCATTTGCTTACTTTTCCAAATTGCTCTCGTGTCTAGATGACTAATTAACACGGGAAGAGTTTCCTTATCCCATCGAGGCAACAAATGACATTAATTACGAAACGTTTGCCTTGACACTTTGAAAATGCAAAACATTTCTTGATAGAGAACATGTTGACGCCTACAAATGACGAATTTGGAAAGCATTTTAGATCTGTGGACGTACGCCCTCTTCCCATAATGAATCATATTGACTGGATTACTCTGCTAAATTATTGGGAAGTCATAAAGACTATATTTAAACCTTCTATACTAACCTTTCCGCTCATATTTGTATACTTTACCGTTAGAGCCATGATTTCCTTAATATTTGTTGTCAATATTGTCGTCGAAAAGTAACCAAGATCTGAACGACGACAGCTGGAGTATACGATATTTTGAATTGACTGCTGTGCGGCAAAATTTCGGTTTCGAGAAGAGATCGAATGACTTACCTTTAATGCGAAGACACAACGGAGGGATAGCGTCTCACTGTGACAATCCTTCGATAATCTAAATTGAATGCCCTCGTATAACGCTTTAAGGCAGAGTTTCTGTGACGATTTTTCTCGTCTTTCCTCCCTGAAATTCAAAATTCAGACTTCATTGAATATTAAACACTTTACGTGTTTAAGAACCATTTTAGATTTTGCATTTAGCAAATAGCGTACACAGCTGTAGGGACTTTCAAATGCAAATAATTAGTGTAATATCATAGAAAATTTGCCTTTTTCAACGTGTCTGACTCAGTATCAAAAATTAAACCCCTAAATTAGAACTTTTCACCGGGAAAACTCGCGCAAAATTTATGTCTCAGGTTTAATGAACAAAGCTTCATTACGTTATCTTTTTTACATGCACCGAAAACGCTTGTTTTGTCAGGCTTAATTATACTCAAATATTGTTCAAGTAAAATCTTTTCTTGAGATATTTTTATTATCATTTCCTCTTTTATGTGGAATAACGATTAGCTCTTTGCCTAGGAAACATTATCTCAAAGTAATGTCGCAACTTCCGCACATTCGTTGCACTTTAATTTCAATTTTTTTTTTTTTTCTGATGTCTGCGCGTCTTAATTCGTTTATGAGTGCTGACAGAACATAATACAATTTACAAGAACCTGAGGGGCCATTCATTATTTATCACCTGGGGAGGAGGTATATTTTTATTTTTATTTTATTCTATTTATTATAGTAAATGTTATTTTATCTATTTATTTATAATTTTTTTTTTCAAAAGTTTTGGGGGGGAAGGTTTTCAGGGGGACTGGAGGGAGGTTACTTTTCTTCAACAGCCGGTTAAAAGGGGAGGGGCCTAAGATTGACCACCAATTAGCAACTTAACAACAATTAACGGTTCATTATTTAACGCTGCCCCCAGCAATGAATAATAAACGGTCCCTAAACCGTCAGTTGAGTTTTTTTTTCGGAAAAGGTATCCCTGGGAATTCTTGGAAGGGGTGTACCACCTGGTTTTTCAAAACCAGACCGGTAATTTCCCACGGGCATTTAAAGATAGCCCCTAAAAATTTTTAACCGTCTTTAGGTCTGGCTTCTGAATGTTATATGTCGTCGGCGAAACCAGAACGTTTTATCGTTGTATTGAAATTAAGGTTGGAATCAGTTCCGAAGCTAAGAATTGGTGAAATCGACCGATGCAGAAATTCACCCCCTAGAAGAATTTTTGTCTTAAATTTCATTTCTCAGTTAATCACTCGAAGTTGAAATAATAAGTTCATACACAGACGTGGTTTCCTCTAAAAAGTACATCCTATCCAGGACTATCTATACCCATATTAGGACCAAAAGGGTTCAAAACTATGCCCACCCTTCCCGGCCCTTCGAGGAAGGTGCACGTTTTGCCCGCAGTTCATTATCGAACGGGTATTGGATACTTATAATGTAACTAGACTTTCATCAAAAGTACCAACACACTTTTAATTCCTCACTTTAGGAATTTACATACATTTGCTCACAGGCCTAATAGAACGACGCATGCTTTCATTATAATTTCATTACGGAAAGGAGGCAAATTTTACTTTCACTTACTTTTCTTCTAAAGCCCAATTGTAAGGCCAACGCGAATTATTGAGACCTCTTTTTTACATTTAATGAAAATAATTCCGCATAATGCTGCATTCGAGTTTGCCGTATCACAAGCATGTAAATGTATATAATTCACGAATGCCAACCATCACGGGGACAATTTTTATAAGGCAACTTTTTTCATGAAATTTCGGATTAATAATAAGAAAAAAATTAGATTCTCAACCGATGATCTGAAGGGTGTTCTGTGTTCAACGAGAAAGGCTAGAGGTTTCAGGATTCGTGAATTTTGGGTCAAGATAAATTACGATATGTACAATTGTGACACCTCAATTAGTCTAACATAAAGTTTCATGAATTGAATTTCAAATTTGACGACAAAAATGCGTTTAATGCTATGGATGTCTGCAAATCGATTACTTTAGTTTAAAACAAACTTAGCTGATCATTGACTTTCAATCGCCTCTTAGGTATCACCACCATGTAGTCTATAAAATTTCTCACGAGAAATCGAACTAAATTCATGTCATGAGACTAGATGGCTAGTTTCAGATCAATAGAGACACTAAATACTTGAAAGAAAAATTAGGTGCACGTTTAATATGAATCATCTAAGAGACTTGTCATAAGCAGCCCTCGGTTGCTCGTCTCCAAACCAAATAAATGTTTACAAATATGGAAAGAACGAGGGCTTAAGCTGGAAGTAAAGTTTCAACGTGTTCAATTTCAGAGGAATTCATGGGCATGTTATGCTGAGGCAGAAACAGAAAGTACTTTCTCTAAAGTTGTCTGCCGTCTACTAGGCGCCGCTCTTTGAGGAAACATATTAATTAGCGTCGCCCTCATGATTTGGCGTCCCATCGATAATTCGAAAAATTAATCAGCGCCGCCGCAGCGGCGCTCCTTCTGGCTCTTAAGTCATGGTTGTTTGCTACGCGACTTTGCTAATAGCACGTCCAAATGAATGCTGGGATTGGCCGACCTTGTACCAGGTCTCTCAAGGGGCATGTTTCGCGTGACCTCGATCTTTGTTGTTGTTGTGTGTAATGCAGAGCCAATTCTTTCTATGATGGGCGGATGGGATCATTGATTTGTGTGGAAATGTGAAAATGAAAGGTAGAAAATGTGAACTAAAACTTTTTATTTTCAATTCGTGGGTTTTTGCAGAAGTCCGCAATAATCCGTTACACCCTTCATTTCGTTCTTCAACCTCCCAAACGTTAATCCCTTAGTTTAAAACCGAACCCAAATGATTACAAGAAGCTTTACCATGTATCAGTTTTGCAACGCCATGGAGGAAGTTAGCCCTGCCAGGCTTTCAGGCGTCTAACCGTTTACACTCTACTTTTTCCTCCTTTTTTTGTCAGGCAACACGATCGCCTCAGCTCCTTTTAGACACAGATAAAAGCAACCTATTCGCGGGATATCTCATAGACTGCCTTTCGATAGAATTCCAAAACTTGTATTCATCTAGTGTAATATAAAGTTTATTTCGGTTTGTGTACGTATTAAATGACTTAACGAAACACATCCATGAAAGTGTACAGAACGACGATGATGTTGTGATAACCTTATCTATCGACTTGGTGGGTAACCATATATCTCAGGTATGCCGGTGGCTCCGCTACCCTGCCTCCCGAACTAAAGCTCCGCTATTTTTATTTTAGAAGGCGCTTGCTGTTTTTCCCTCATCTCGTTAACGGATAATTCGCGGTTTCGTTAAGAGTATGTATCAAGTTACATTATTTATAAAATTGTCAACTATTTTGGCTCATAACTCATCAATTCGGTTCCTTAACATTCTATTCAGATGTATCATATTACGCTACCAAAAAAACACTGACAGTGGATCATTAAGAGTCCTGAGAAATTAGCCTTTCTCCCGTAGATTTACCATCAGAACTAGAATGATAACGATAGTAACATATTAAAAAAAAAGAGAAGAATATCAAGTGCGAGCACCAGCGCTACGAACACTAATTCCGTTTAATTATACGAACAAACTTCATCAGATCCCACTTCCTAGCTATCAAGAGAATGCTAATGCTTTCAAACAGAAGACACGAAAAGTATTTGTTCTTCTGAGATGCTTCCTTTCACGTTACTTGCGTCTTTAGCCTCTGCTGTAATCCAAGAAAGCCGAGATAACGTGGTACTGTTTTCAACAGATTTCTTTCGCAGGAACCATTCTCTTTGTTTCGAGGATTTACTCCTACCATGAATAAACTCTTTCTTATGGGAAATTTTTCGTAAGGTCCGCCAGAAGTCGCGCTTGAAAAACGTGTAGAGGAGTGGGTTAGTAAAGGAAGTTATGTATCGAACGAGGACAATAGCTTCAGTGGCTTTAGCAACCGGTTGCGTCAACTCCATGCAGAGATAATTTTTGATACCGATGACCAGCCCGATGGTGAAATATGGCAACCAACAAATCACATATATTGCTGCCATCAGTGCGAAAACTAAAATACACTTTCTATCGTTGACGATCCCCCATGTCAGTCCTGATGCAACCCTTCTGGGAATGGAAGATGGTCTTCTTTTGCTGGTGATCGCCTTGAACATGACTACAAAGGCATAAATCATGAACGCATATGGAATAACAAACACGAAAACAAGGCACACCGAAAAATAGATGACCGAAAACAGCAATTGCATTTGACTGTTTTTCCAAGCTAATGGGATGCTGGCTATGACCGTTGACGAGATCCAGATAGCAGCTAATGATTTTAAAACCGTTTTTTTAGTTACAAGGTAATGTTTTAGTGGTTTGGTGATGGCCAAAAATTTTTCCGCGGTGATAACGAGGAGGTGGTAAGCGGCCGTTACAGCCATAAAGTTATGTATGATGACCAACCAGTAATTGTAGTTCTTTTGCATGTTAAGTGGAACAACTTGGAAACTAAAAATTATGAAGTATGGAATGTTTACAGCGCCTGTTAAGAAATCGCAAATTGCCAAACCAAGCAGCAAGTAATTGGATGACGTTCGAAGACTTTTTCGTTTGCAAAACAAGGCGAACACTAGTCCGTTGGAGAAAATAATGGCTATTGAAATTGGAAGAAGTCTCTTCACTGTTGTCATTCCAGGGTTTGACTGAGGACGAAACTGATCCGTAGTAGAGGTGTTGTTCATTTTTCTTTCAGTTTAGCTGCAGACGTTGATCTCGACAGAATCTGAGCAAAAGACAGTCGTACTTTATTCTTAAACATACAAATATCTATATAACCCCAAAATTGTCTCGGGAAAGGGGTTGGAATGGGGATGATCATGGTGCTTGATATACGAAGAACCACATTCTTAAAAGATTACAATATCTATTAAGCTTGATAAATTTCTCTGCCACATCTTTCTTTTTTTATAATTTATACATTATATATATATATATACGTAAATATATATTTTTTTGTTGTTGTTTGTTTGTTTGTTGGGTTTTTTTTTTTGTTTTTTTAACTAAACATATACATTGATCGAGTCACGAATTCCTTTAAATTAACTATTCATTCACAACGACTGACCTTGGAGACAAAGAATCGGTTAGAACCGCGGCGTTTCACGTCTAAACTTCAAACGTCATCAGGTAATGTCACGAGGTACCGTGACCACGCAATTCAAGCACCATTTGTAAACAAAAATGCAACAGCTTTCAAGTTTCGCAAGACTGCCGTTTTAATTTGTTTTTTCTCGAAGAAGCTAAAAGTATGGAATCCTAGTCTAAAAGTGTACAATTTTCAAGCCAGAAGAAAACTAATTTCGCATGCTATTAATTTAAGACAAGTGTGTTGTGAGGTTACCGATGTTTTATAAATTATTAATCGGTCAAAAAGAATACATAGAGGGTTTCTATAAGCGCTCAATTTAAACTGGAACCGTTTCACTAGAATCATGTGTTTCTGCATGATCTTTGTAACGTGTGAAAAGTCCATAACTAATGCTAAAACAATTATGGCATAAATACGAAGGGAAAAATGAACGGTGACAATGTTTTACCTTGGTTCATTACTGAACCGGTTCGTGTTTTGAAAAAAAGAAAACAAACAAACAAAGGAAATTGTTTTCCCGTAAATTCATCAGCTTGACTACGCTGTGTCAGTCGTGGAAGCTATCACATGCATATCCTTGTTCATGCGCCATATTCTGTTCGATCATAAAGCACATTACTTGGTTCTTTAACGTCGCTTTAAGTAAGCTAATTTATTCGGCTTAGCGGTTAAGAATTCGTATTTCTATATCATTTCCCATTATCTATTACAAATGCAACTGGTATATACATGAAGCAAGTTCACATTTAGTTAAAAGATCGTTCTGCGTTTATCGCCTTTACTGACGGCCGGCAAAGGTTTATCCGTCCAGCTTAAAAGGTAACACGCCTTAAATGAAGGCCTTTTGGACAAATTTTCCTCATCGATGCAATTCGCTTCTTTCGATATTTTAAGACCTTAAAACATGGCAAATCTTTAGTTATCTACTCTTTGAAGGTTCAAATTGACGCATGATTTGCCTTCTGTTATCAGTCTTCTTTGTCGTAAATTAAAGCGTGGCCTTATTGAATATTTGATATTTTCTTTTGCTTAGAATGGAAGAAAAAATTCAAATTTGAGAAAAAAATTACAAAACATACCTCAAATTTTCAACTTAGCAATCGTGGCTCCTTTAAGCGCAGAGAAGTCACGTTCAATCTCTCTCTGTGGCTACCCAACAAATGGTATCCTTCTTTGAATAGTTTTTGCATAAATTCAACCGTTTGCTCAATCGCTTAATTACATTTCCATATTAATCAAACGTCTTACTGTTTCAGAGCAGATAATTAGAAATACGATCATTCTAGAGGTTATTTGGTCTTCCTAACGATTAATTAATGTTAATGCTTCGCAAACCGTTTTTTCACCACTTCTTTTTTTTGGTGTATAGTCTGTTTTATGCGTAGCATAGGAATACTTGAAGTTGGTAAATGCTAATGTTTCTGGCGCATTATTAGACTTGTCACTGATATAAGAGAAAAGAAATATCGATTCTCAAGCGCTGCCAAATGTCCCTTTTACTCTTTAGAATGGAAGTGTTGATCTTAGGTCTATTAAGATCTTAAACACAACCCCTTCAACGACGTCTTCTAAGCATCCTCTATACTGATAACAGATGTCATGATAAAGTTTCCCTAGCAACATTGATATAACATTTAAAAAGTACTTCCTCGCGAACCGTGGGATGACAAATCATCAAGGATATTATGGAAAAGTCTCCAATATGACAGCTGAAAGTCCAAAAACCACCGAACATTAAAAGCAACCGCAGAAAACAACACAAGACAAAACACTCTGTACGGTCGGTTGTTTTACCCAATAAAATGTAATTTCAAGCCTACAAAAACTCAGATATGTTTGTACGTCAAGGATTTTTTAATTCTATATGGTAGATTTTACATCATCAACGCTTTAATGATTTGAGTTGACCGTCTTAATTTTTTTCATGAATGCAAAATGCACTCTGAATTTTAAACCGTGCTCGTTATTTCAGAGAAAAGTATAATGGCACTTCAGAATTTATCACAAAGAACGTAAAATTTTTTTGTTTTTTTTAAAGTGAGATATTCTTCATCTTTTCCCCTCTTTCCAATTTCTTCAGCAGAGGAGGAAAGTCGTAGCAGTAGCTTCTCAGTTAATTCAAAACGATTACATCTTCGATGGTAAATATGTTTAAAGACACTACAGAGACAAGAAATTAGAGATAGAAACAAGAGATATTCCAAGAACGCATAAGAAGCCACATTGAGTAAGGCTCTCTCTAAGTTCAAATTTTGTGACAGCAATAGCTAAACGCACGACAAAATAAACTTGTTGCATTGAGAAAAAAGAAAAAGAGGACAAAAACCTGAATCTGAAGTTTAGAGTCCCTTGATAGTCAAAGTCCCTGTTATTTGACACTGGACCACGCTCGCGTTCGTTGTTGTTATTGTTTGTGGATGGCTGATAAATGTAAGCACAATATTTTTCGGAGGAAAGTCAACTTTAAAATTGTTAGCGTGGCTTTTTTTTTCTGCTAGATGATCTATTAAAGATCTCTCTAAGAATCTGTCAACTCGTTATAGGCAATAGACAAAATATTTTTTGTTTTTTTCTCCTTATAAAGTATCAGAACCAATCAACATGTAGGCTGCGAGCCAAATTTTATTCCTTTTGCTTAGCAATTATTGAAATCGCCTCATGTAAAGGTACATTAAGCAAATGACTTGGCAGCATCTGAGGCACGCTTGTAAGGTAAATCTGCATGCCTGACTGCAATGCTATATGTAGCATGCTTCATGTTGACTTTAAGAACGAAGTCCAACTATGTCCCATAATTTATCGCAAGAAATCGACCAAATTTGACGAAAATAAAAGAATCGTATATGCTAACATTACGAATTGTTGTTTGGTAAACGTTTGCGTTGGAATAATGGCCAAATATATTAGAACCTTCGTTATCTGTTCTTGTTTATTCGTGATTTGGGAGTCAGTTAAATAATTAAACAATACACCATTATTTCAAAGTACTTTTGGTCTTTTTTCGAACAAAACAGAGAACGAAATGAGATAACACGGCAACTACACGGGCAGTTTCGCGGAAACTTCTGTGTTTAGCTCTGGACATGCACACAACTGAACATATTGAGCTAAACACACACCAACCAGATGGCTTTTTATCTTAATTCAATTTACAAAAGTCTCCTGTAAGTTCATCAGTGATATAGAAGGCAATCTTCTCTATAATGAAATGTCAAATGTTTAGATCAAAATAACAAAACATTAATTTCATAGCTTTATGCCACTAAATCCCAGAATCACTGAGGGCCGTTTCAAAATTTCCATCTCAACCAAGGTGCTGCTCTTTTAAATAACTCGCGAAGTCTGAACATATGCCACTGACGGCAGACGGACAACTTAAGGCAGTAACACACAAAATGGATCGAAATCATACAACACAACAAAGGGAATGACATCTTAGCCCCATAACCGGATGCCTGTTTCCGAAAAGGTCCTGAACATGACTTATTTAGTAATATCCCTATGGAATCAATACGAGTTTGCAACTCTGTGACACCAGTTTGGTTACAGTAGAGGTATCATTATCCATTTCGAAATGGTGGGTCATAAAGTAAAAGTAGGTCTCAGCCTTTCAAGGATTTTCAAACTTACATCAATTCATCATATTTGGCAGGTAGATTAGGGGGTACGGTGGTACAACTTCCTGTCACTGAGCTACTGTTGATAAGCACAAATATAAAGATAAAAACAGAAAAACAAATAAGGATAAAATGACACCATCACCTCAGCTATAAATTTCATTTTGAAAGAAATTATATTACTGACTATTCCTAACATGAATCTGCATAATATAGGTCATTATTCTATTACGCAGAGCCCCAAAACGTTTCCAATTAAAGTTTTTACCTAAGCTGACCAGTAAGAGACTTGGTACTCCATAACAGCATAATTATCGTGCTTTTTTTTCCCGAGAAATAAATTTGAGATTCTCTAGATGATTAGTTATCAGGACATCCTGTAATTTAGCAGCGCAGATCTGAGATCATAATCATCTCGCGACATTTCCTGAGTTCCGCTATTAATGAATTTTCACTGACAGAGTGAAATTTAAAACGTTTTCTCATAACTTTCCAACGCCTTTTTTTGCTTCTTTATTGAGCGGAGAACTCTTTTTTCTTCTTTCACATCCTCTCGAGTTTCGTAAGCGATAACCCCGATATTGATATCGGGTTCTTGGTGACTTATCAAATAATTCGTGACCCACCTCGTTTCCTTCCCTTTTTGGCGAAGGAAACGTGGAAAATTCCAATATTAAGTAACATTGTTTCGTCCACTGCACATCCTAAGCATATAAAAAAAGAACGAACTTGCTAATTAGGCTTCTATTTAGGCTAGCTACAACATAAAGCTTTTTGTAGATCATGAATGTACCCTTTAAGTGTTCTCTAGACAGTGGAATATGGAGAATACACACTACTGGAAAACATTTTGGCGGTCAGATTGGGAAGTTTTTTTTTCCACATAAATATTTTGCATAATCTCTCCAATGTTTGGTATCAGGAATTCAAATATTTGGAGTTTTGAATGGCGTAATTGTGATAATCATCAATATTC